GGAGTTGAGAGTGCATAAAATACCAGTTATGGAACAACAGAACGAATGATGAGGAAGCTAGCGAAAGCGCACATGGAGATACCAGTTATGGAAGAACGGGATGATGGAAGGAGCCGAGTTGTGAAGTAGTCCGAAGCGCTGACTGCCGGGGGCGGGAAAGAGACGTTATACAGGAAGAGCGGGGGTGATGACAGCAGGGCGGGGCTCCGTGCGGGGATGATGGCAGAACCATGTGGGGATGATGGCGCAGCGCAAGGCTTCCTGAGGATCAGAGCACGCCGGATCACGGAGGGAGGCCGATGCGTGGGTTGATCAATCACATGCAAGGATCATGCGATGCATCATGACGCGAGGGAGGAGGCCGGCGCAAGTAACTGTAATACAAAGCAGATGATGCATCATCAGCTGCTATAATCAGAGCGAAACGATGCATACCACAATGCTACGGCTGTAGGAATTGATATAATACACTGTTGGCTGTGAGGGCAGGGTATGATGAATCACCCTGCCAGGTACAGGTGATCAATCGTCATGGGAAAGTGTGCCATGCTGCATTGGACAGAGGCTGGCTTGTCGACATGACAATGAGGTGAACATTTTCTGGCTGCAGGTCGTCATGTTGAAGTGAGCTGAGTGCTGACCCACGGTGACCCGCGTCATCTTGCGATTCTCTACGGCCTCCTGCTCACTCCTGATACGGATAACCCGGTAAGATTCCTATCCCTTCATGCGATATAAACCCGCTCAGATCGTCCAGCTGGATTTGCATGCAACGATGGAGTACAATGATGACAGCGGTATGATGCACACGAGACATTCTCTACCAGCTTCCGTTGACGTTGAGCTTCCATTTGTTCGTAGGTCAACATGCTCTGAAGGTCCATGAGATGGTGAGTATCTTATGTGTCCGAGACATCACGGCGACTTCATCTCCATCCGTTGTAGGTGAAAAAACACGCCTCGAAAACAAGGCGAGACTGGCGGAGCGAACTGGGTGGAGGGAATTGAAATTTATCAGCTCGCGCTGTAAGGTCCCAGGCTGTAGGAAGCACTACTGAGAAATTCAGTATTTCTTTCGTCGGCGTGCATCATATACTTCGAAATCTTGTCAATATCTAGTAAAGCTTGGAAGCCTCCCCGAAAGCTATCACTGAACCTTGAGTATTATCAAGCCCCAAGTTTATATGTGCATCAGACATATTGAATGTACATATATACTATGATAGCGGCGGCCATTTTGTTGACTTCGCACTGCTCCTGAAGAGTTCTGGAAACAACCCATGGAAGAAAGGATTTGGAGGGGCGGGTACCCGTACTTCTGCTAGGGGCCATAACCTCTTGAGACGTCCACGCACAGGAATAGAATGATGGCCCAGTCTCATATGTTTTCGACCACGATATTGAAGACCGAGCAGAGGAGACGTGGCGAGTACACGAACAACTGTTATACTCGTAGCGATCAGCACCGCCTATCGCGACAAGTGGTCGGCATGCCACATTGGGACGCATTGCAAGAAGTAAAAGCGACGAAACACCCTGGCTGTTTGTTCAGCGGTATGTGGAGAAAGTTGAGTTTTATGAGCCGAATGTTCAGATCTACTAAGATTGACTGCGCGTTCCCGTCTTGCATTCGATATCCAGCACGAATACGAGAGCAAAGATAATATGATACGAACGCGATGGGAGGCTTTGGCCGTGAGCGCTGAGCGCTGAGCAATCTTGCAATGCATAAAGGGGTTGCAACGTTGGGAATAGGCATTCCGACGAGCAAAAGGCAGGAAAGGATGCCCGAGCTGGCAGTGGCGAAGACATTGCACTGCACCGCACTGCACCGCACAAAACCTTCTCGGAACTTGTCCGCTGCGGCACCATCCCCCGGAGCCATCCACGTACCGGGCAGACAAGATACGCACATATGTATAGATCACTGTCAATTAGCCTACGTCCGCTCCTCGGATCGGCACGTCGTCTCGCAACGAATCACGATGCGTGATGCTCTATGATGCTGCGGACTCGCGTAGCTACGGAAGGCGACCATCGACGTACGCGTGCGGCCCAGGTCTGCAAAACGTGGACGTGCTGAAGTCAGCCGAGTGGAGTTGTCTGGCCATGGATGCGGCCGCGATAGCGAATGCACATAATGAGGAATCAGTTAGCCTCGAGAAGAAGCACGGATGGCTGCCTAGTCCCCGTTGAACTGAGAGTTGGGACTAGTACCAATCGAGCCAAAGTCAGCACGAACCGGAGAAGGTACGAGGCATACCTGACAAAGCGTGCATGATCAGCCGAGGGCCGAATCTCCAAATGTCGACATAGCCGTCCTGATCTATAACGTAGAAAGGACAGGACTGAGAATGACGGTCGGCCATGCGGGTGCCGAATGCACCGCATACATATATGCGTCCCTTTCGTGCCCTGATGCGATGCTAAGACATGCCACCGAGCCATTCGACTCCCGGATGGCTCGAAAGACATCGCTCTGAGCATCGAGAGCACGTCGATGTCGTCGGCGAGATGGTGAGAACGCTAAAAAGTGCAAGTGATGGCGCGGTGACACTTTGGCAGCTTGAGCAGCACTAGGAGATGTTTGAGCGTGAAGCACATGTTGCATGCCTCGAAGGCGCTGTAGAGGCACGCAACGGGAGATAGAGCTGACTCTGTCCTGCAAAAGAAGGATCATGAGTACTGAATTGCGAAGGCGCTGGATGTGTCAATGTGGCGATCGTCACGAAGAGAGCTATATATAAGAGAGACAAATGATAAATCGGAAATCACCAACCACCGTGAAGTCTATGATGGGCGCTGATCAACAACCTTCGGCCTCGTTTCCGTCTCTTCATGTCAATCTTGAGCTTGATCACGAGCCATGCAATCCGATCCGGTCCTTTTTCGGGATCGTCCCTGGACCCCTCATTCTTCGTCGCTCTATCGTCCATCGCACATGCACCATTCCCTGGTATTCCGTGGTTATCGAGGATCATACGGGCCGGAAGACGTGGTTCTTTGAATGAACCTACTCACGGGGTACAGCGGGTGGTCCGTACGGGAGGAGAGGAAAGGCGAGCTTTATGTTCGCCACTTCGCCCTCGGACGCACTACGGAGGAGGCTCGCGCAGGAGAAGCCGAGACAAGGGTGCTCACCGGAAGCGACTGCATTCGTCCTGGATTGTATCACCGCACAGGTACGGCCAAGAGGCACAGAATAGCAGGTCCATACGGACGTGAGGGAGGCCTCTGTCACGGATGTTAGATCGTCCGTCCCCGGCGAGGGCGACGAGATCAAAGATCGAGGGTCAGGGCGGGCGTGACAGGCCGTGCACTCAACGGCGTTAGCGGGGGACCCAATTCAGTCATCATCCTAGGAAGCTGTATTAGAACGTCCACGGCTTCTGGCTATGGATTGCGATAAGCAGGAAGCAAGCACTTGCAAGCGTCGGCAGCGAGATTGCTCGCGGACGCGGGCGGTGTGATGTTGGGACGAGTAGGAACGTTGGACGAGGAGCGCGGGCCTATGTATAGCTCGGAGGCAACGCTAACGTGGCGAGCTGCGATTAGCCTCCGCGTTGCCGCCGCCGCTGCAGCGCTGGTGCCGAACGACGGGCAGCTTTCAGCGAAGCAGCATGGACACTGGGCGGGTGCTAGCAGGCAGGTACCAGGACGCGGAGGAGAAACGGCGGAAGAAGGCTGCTGACAGTGGCGAACGTGGAGGGATAGCGCTGTTGGGTCTAGGCGAGGAGAATGCGATAGCGCCAACATGGGAGGAGGTACATAAGCCCGGCACGCCCGAACGACGATCCAACATGTGCTGCTGCTGCCCGACATGCACGCACGTTGCTCGTGCTCACAGCTCGCAGAAGAGCCGCAGCGGCTGGCGCGCCCCGGTCGAACGTCGTCGTGGCCGCACAGAATCGCAACGGGGTCGTCGCAGCATGCGCACGGATGGCACTCGCAACCGTCGTCGCCCATTGCGTGGCTGTCGCTGGCGAGCACGCTGCCGACGGCGCGGAGCTTCTCACAGCTGGAACCGATCTGCGAGCCCATCAGCGAGGAGCCGGAAACGAGTGCGACGTCCTCCGTCCCAGTCCCATATCCGGATGTGGTTGACCCCCTCCACGCATATAAGCGTCATCACAAGCCCCGTGCGGCTCTCACTCTTTCCGCTCCCCCTCCTCCTCCCTTCCTCATCTCCACCGTCCCCGTCTATCTCAACCAGCCGTCGCCTGTGTCCAACATGCCTTCCGACTCCCTCATGCCCAAGAGCGATTCCTTCAGTGCCCGCACCCGCGGCGCCAGCCACATCGACTTCAAGACCGCTACCACCGGCGTCGCCGCAAAGGCCATGCGCAACGAGATCAGCAACCTCGTCAAGTCCGTCAAGGACCCAGACACCAAGCGTGCCTTCGACACCGAGATGCAGTCCTTCTTTTACCTCTTTACCCGCTACCTCTCCCAACGCGCGCGCAGCCAGGAACTGTGAGTCTCGATCGCGTTATCTGATGCATGGAAGCAAAGGCGCATATATGCGTCCCGGCATGCTAGCAGCGCCTCTGCATCGTGCAGATCGTGTCTGATCGCCCGGATTGAAACGCGTCGGGCGCGTTGTGGACGTGTTGTGGGCGTTCGCCTGATTGGGATATCCCGCCCTCCCGCACCGATCTATGATCTGATGCTGATTCATGCGCATATAGTGACTGGGACAAAATCAAATCGCCTGCAGAAGATCAGATCGTCCCGTACTCCAAGCTACCTGAGAAAGCCGACATCTCAAACCTCAACAAGCTTGCTGTGCTCAAGGTCAATGGCGGTCTCGGTACTTCCATGGGTATGTAGGCATGGATTCAAAAGTCGCTTCCGTCTGACGTATGGAAAGGGATGACCGGTGCCAAGTCTGCACTCGAAGTCAAGGACGACATGACGTTCCTCGACCTGACCGTGCGGCAGATTGAGCACCTGAACACGACACATCGCGTCGACGTGCCCATGATCCTCATGACCTCCTTCAACACGCACGAGGACACGCTGCGAATCATTAAGAAGTACGCAAACCAGCAGCTGCGCATCACGACGTTCAACCAGAGCCGCTATCCGCGCATCTACAAGGAGACGCTCCTTCCGTGCCCCAAGACCGCGGATGACGACAAGAAGCAGTGGTATCCGCCCGGCCACGGTGATCTGTACAATGCGTTGTACCAGAGCGGTGTGCTCGACCAGCTGCTGGCGGAGGGCAAGGAGTACCTCTTTGTGTCCAACTCGGATAACTTGGGCGCTGTGTGAGTGGCCGACATAGGTCATGGTGCCGAAAGTGTGCTGATGTGCAGTCGACAGCGTTGATGAGAACATCTTGCAGCACATGATCGATTCACAAGCAGACTTCCTTATGGAGGTCACAGACAAGACGAAGGCCGACGTCAAGGTCGGTACTTGTCTCCGTCCTCGGGTCTTGTCTGACGCTTACTTCCGCTTCATCAGGGTGGAACGCTCATTGACTACGAGGGCAATATCCAGCTGCTCGAGATTGCGCAGGTGCCGTCGGAGCACGTCGAGGACTTCAAATCTGTGCGCAAGTTCAAGATCTTCAACACGAACAACATTTGGCTCAACCTCAAGGGTTTGTCTCGCATCTCACCACTCTCCGCGCCCAACTGATGCTGTCCTCGTGTCTTTCAGCGCTGAAGGAGATCATGGATAAGGGCGAGATGGAGCTCGACATCATCGTGAACCCGAAGACGACAGAGGACGGGCAGGCGGTGATCCAGCTCGAGACGGCTTTGGGTGCGGCGATCAAGCACTTCCGGAATGCGCACGGCGTCAACGTACCGCGCTCGCGTTTCTTGCCTGTGAAGAGCTGTTCGGACTTGCTCCTTATCAAGAGCGACATCTATTCGTTGCAGCATGGTCAGCTGGTGATTAACGAACAGAGGATGTTTGAGACGACGCCTGTGATCAAGCTGGGCGATCACTTCAAGAAGGTGCGTATATGCGACGTGGATGGTTGGGATGGGCGCTGATGGTGGTCGGTGTGATGCGTAGATTGCGCAGTTCCAGAAGCGATTCAAGAAGATCCCGAAGATCATCGAGCTGGACCACCTAACCGTGACGGGCGATGTTTACTTTGGGCGGAACGTCACCCTGCGTGGGACAGTCATCAGTGCGTGTCGCCTCGCGTATGAGTAGATGTTGGCTGAGTGTTGTGTGCGATGTAGTCGTTGCGAACGAAGGACAGAGCATCCATATCCCGGATGGATGTATACTCGAGAACCGTACGTCTATGGCATTGCTGGACAGAGCACGTTGCTGATATATACGCGTCTGCAGGATTGCTCTCGGGAAACCTCAACATGATCGAGCTATGAGCGCACTGGTTACATACCCGCCTGCCCCACCCACTCCAGCCCGTGCTCTGCTCTGCCCTCCCTGCTATCCTCTCTCACTGTACATATGTGCATCATACTCACGACGGACTCGCGGTGTTTGTGTTGTTCTCTGTCTCATTTTCATTTACTGTTGCGTATTAGAGGGCATGGATCTGGGCTTTGGGGGTTCAGGATTGATTGGTGGTTTATGTTTGAGCTCAAAATCGCGCGTGTGCTGCATTGGCTCGTTAAGGTGGTCGATACTAGTTCTGAGCTTGTGCCGGTGTGGGATGGTGCGCGTAAGGTTAGAAAGGGTAGGTGTCTTTTGACGTCTGATATATGAAGGTCGGTCTTGTAATGATCGTCCGAGTATATGGAGATACGAATGTATCGCAAACGTACTCAGCGAGAGTTCTGAGCGGGAGACCTTGAAAAGACCAGCCTGTCAATGGATAGAATTATCGTAACAACGTATTTCGATTGAACGACCTCGCAGTAATGAGCCGGCATGCTTTAACTTCGCCATGTTGCTTTATTCATCAGTAGAGTTATTAATCTTCCAACAAGAAGAGAGGGCCACAATTCATACGCTTACCAAAAAGGGAAGTCATCCTACCCAGCGCCACAGCTGGTTTACAGACACCTCTCATGATTTAAACTCATCAAAAATGGGACGCAGCGCAAAATTACATAAAAGATCGGTATGTCTCTTTAGAATCATCCTGAATGGTGCTGAAGTACTCAAGGTGCGATCGTTCGTGTTCCATGTAGCAAAAGAAAAGCTCCACTGGCTCAGCCTCTGGGCCCCGGGCGCCTTCTACTAAACAAGCAGCTATCGCTGTTTCCGTACAAGGCCAGAAAAAGAGGTCTGTCGCGAAGGTTAAGGTGTTCAAGAATAGGGGGAGGGATGCGGAAGGGCCGGTGCTTGGGGGAGCGGATTATGTTGACTTGATGTTGGGATCGCGGCGGAAGGCTAGGGAGGAGGCTGGGAAGTTGCGGGAGGAATGATTGATTGTGTATGTTCTTTGGGTGTGCTGAGAGGTGAGATGTGTCTGGTTTCCTTCGCGATTTTGTTCACGTTGGAGGCTACGGCGGTTCCAAATCCTCTTGCTCGGTGCTTGGCGAAGACTGCCGTGCGATGTGGTCCCGGGCCTTCTTGTGAAGACTGTTTTGTGCGATACGATATGATGTGCTTGTTTGTTACATTTAGTTTGCCAGATTCATAATGAAGTGCGCTCAAGAGTCGTGAGCGCACTCTGCTATGAATATGACATCTCAAGACACGAATCATGAACCCTTCATCGCTTGGAACTTGATGCGCCAACCAGTGCGTACAACATCGTGCAGTGGTAAAAAATAACCACTATGCGACGAGATCATCCGGAGTGCACATCTGTGCTACGCTATGTCCGTCTCGGTATGTATCACTGACTTTATGATTTCGTCTTTGTTCGGCTAGTAATCGTCTCCTCAGTGTTAGGCTAATGAAAGTCCCTGTCGTAGGACTCACCGGGAACGTGCAAAACCCTGTGATCAAGTCGAGATATACAGGAACATCTCGGTGTCGTTGCGCTTCATCTGGCGAGAGCTGGACCATCGCATTGCTCTGTCTGCAAGCAACAAGCTCTACGACGAAGAAAAAAACAGACAACCGTACGCAGTGGCCACACAATGGGATTCCAAGCCTAAGCCTGGAAATGCAGAGGCCGTCCAGGAGCCAACGCTGAGCACGATCAGGACCGCATTGTACTCCGTCCCATCGGAGCATCCTCACCCCAGCGGTTTTGCCTTCTGCCTGCATCAAGCTGGAGACCTCTTTGCAAGCCACGATTTGTCTTCTCAGCGCGGTCACTTTGGACATCAGGATCCTGTGTGCCTGGAGGGCGTCCTACCCAGCCTCCATCGCGATTGATTCAGCCGGCACAGTCTTCGAAGGAGCCTGTTTCCACTCCATGTGGGAAGATCGTGCGGATGGCGTTGGCATCCTTGAGATACTGGACCTGTGCACCGAGTTTCTCATCATTCAGGTACATCTTACACATGTGTGAGCCGCCTTCGGAGAGGAAGACGAACACCCCAGACCTGTATACAGGTCAATACGTTGAGGATGTCAGCGAGATCTGAGTAGCATGCCCATACTCATGATATGTATTTCCCCACTCTGAGTCCTGCCCGTCTTCCATGCCTCGATGGGATCGCGAGCAAGATGCGCGTAAAGCATGCCTGAGTAAGAGCTGCGCACGATTGCATCCACATATAAGGTCATTCTCGGTTCCGTCGTATCTGGAGGAATGAACAGACGTACTTTTGTTTAGATCAGAACTTGCAGCATCAGGCGCAGGCAAGACTGTAGACCGGTTCAATACTGCGATGCGACTGAATCCCCTCTTCAACAAATGGTACGCTGTGGACAGCCCGAAGCATCTAATAATGATCTCGCTAGTCAAATTAACGATCATCCGTAGGTACGGCTGCAAAGGAGGACGCCGTGCCCATATCGTTATCCACGACGCGGCTCTCAGGCTCACGTAGTCGCACCATCCATCTTGTTCAGAGTCTTCAACAATGGTTCCGAACTTTCCACTGTCACTGTCCCATGCCTGTCTTGAATCTGCAACATATTGTACATCCGTATAAGCTATACGTACAGCCGTCCGTCTAGTATGTAGCCGCTGTAAGGAGATAGAGAATGACATCCAACTAGTAGCATTAGTCCTTGCAAGCATGTCACCCTTATCCCAACCGTGCTTTCTTCCTACCGTGACCGCTGCCCAAGCCCGCCGCGCCACCGCTCAGGCTTGCGAAACTCGCAACGCTGCCAGCGCGCCCCGACTGTGGGTGTGACAATTGTTGCGATAAATGGGCCTGTGCCTGAGCCTGCACCTGCCCGAGCTGAGATGTTGTAGGTGGCAGCGGTATCATTGACGGCGCGTCGTCGTGCGTGATGCGCCGCTTGGGTGGATACTGCGAGTTTGGAACCGAGGCGAAAGCACTACGATGGGTTTCTGTCAGTCGATACAACTTGAATATACGACGACAGAACGTACTTATGAGTGGGGACCGGGTCCTCCTGGAACCACTTGTGCCGGAGAGCTTCCTTTGCTGACAGCCGATTGTCGGGGTCGTACGCGAAGAGTTCGCGCAACAAATCCACGCCTGCTGGAGACCGGATTCGCGATTGGCACCACTCGCTCAGGCGATTCTGGTAGCTAGACGTGTGCGGATATATCAGTATGCTGCTGTTAAATTGCAGATGGCATCGTACATGTCGAGACGTTTCATATTTTGATACTCTGGGAGATCTTTGAGGCCAGGCCAGTCTTTCTCTGCAGTAGTGTTAGTCTTATTTTTCAGAAGGCTGCGAGGCAATCGCACCTTCCGGCGTGCCGAGGACTTCAAAAATCTTGAGCAGCTGGTCCTTCTGAAATGGCACGTTCTTTTTTGAGTCCAGCTTCGCCTCTTCTCCCTTGAAGATCGGTCGAAGACTCGCCAGTTCTGCCATCACACAGCCGACGGCCCACACGTCCACGGCCTTGTTGTAGTGCTTTGCGCCGAGCAGCAGCTCCGGGGCGCGATACCATATAGTGACGACCACCTTGTCGCCCGCGAACAGCGGCTGCAGAGGTTGGTGCGTCAAGCGTGCTAGTCCTAGATCGCCGATTTTGACGACGCCGGATGAGTTTATGAGAATATTTGCTGGCTTGAGATCGCGGTGGATGATATGCGCCGTGTGGAGGTAGAGAAGGCCATTCAGCAGCTGGTAAGTGAGTGATTTAAGAACTGCTTGTGGGATGGGGTTCCTGAGTGTTTGAGAGTGATGATGAATGACTTGCTTTTCGCGGCTTCATCAGCATACAAGGATATCGAAGGCAACCGGTGACCATACCAGAAAGTCGTGCTCTGCATATTCGAACACCATATATATCGACTTCTCTTCAAGTATGACTTCTTCCAATGCAACAACATTCTCGTGCGATATCTCGCGGTTTAGCTGAACAATAATGGATCAGCCAATACGGAATTACACATTTGTGATGCTCACCGCAATTTCTCTGATGGCACTTTGACTGATGCCTGTGTACGTGACAACGTCGCCTTCCTTGTCGGGTTTGAACTTTTTGATCGCATATATCCTTTTTTCACCTTCCTTACTCCGTGCCTGGTAAACTCTGCCATACGTTCCAGAAGAGATGAAGCCAAGGATTTCGTATTTGTCTGTTACTTTTGCCCTGGCGGCATCGCGCTTGGCTCTGTAGATCCGCATCGGATCATTGACGAGCAAATTCGGGGAAAATTCGTCATGCATAGCGAGAGCCGCCATTTAGATATTCATCCACAATTCAGCTTGCGCCGTGACATGAATGTTGAACTGATGAAGGGGCTTGAGCTTGAGTACTTGAGTTTGGCTTGAGCCTGAAAGCGCTGGCGGCGCCTGCAGCCATCAAAGGATGGGCGCTTATAACCACTGAGGGACGCCGACTCGAGTCGTTTCAGGTGCGACCACAATAAGTTCGACTTCTCACAAACGTCGTAGGTTCGCGTAACGTTCGCCACCGTGTTTACGCTCATCTCAGCAAGCTAGGAATGCATTGACTCATACTGTCTGAATTTAAGAACCGTTCGCGGATCCGCGGTCTTATGTGAACTTCTCTCCAGGAGTGGAAAGAGTTTCTTGCCTCGAAATTGCTACCGAGCGTGCTGTGTAGGACAGCGGCTTAGACGGATAGAATATATTGAATGTGACTCCGGTCGGTGGCATTGACGAAGTTATCCCGATGCACCAGCTCGGAATTTGCCCGACCGCACTAGTAGCAGGCTTGAGACTCAGTCTTACCCCTCCTCGACACATTACTTTGGATGAATCAGGGGCTTCACGCCATTTACACTGACAATATACTATCCAGGACGGTGTCGCTATTCACAATGTATCTTCATCGTTATCTTTACTGACGGCAAGTAGTAGCGGTTGGTCTGATGGCACATCATGTACGAAGACCAGCGGCGGCAGGATGACGAGATCCGTACCAAATGTCGCGGTGACTCCCCAATTTTGCAATTCCTGCGTTAAGTCGGTGACCTTGCTCCGGCTTCCAGCATACCTGCGGAACTCTATGTACCTTCTCTGAAAGAGATTGTTCTCCTATTCCAGGGCAACTTCCCAACGATCTCGCCCATGGAAAGCCGTGTTCGTGGCAATCGCTTCGAAATTTGCTCCGTTATTGCGGTCCTTGGAAATCCTAAGCTCCCCAGACATCTACCGTCCTCTTGCATCAGACGGGTCCGTTCAATTCTTGCTAAAGCTGCATCAGCTCATAACTGTATTTTTGACCTTATTAGACTGGTAGTTCTCCCCTTTGGATATCGCATAAACGATGGTCGCTTAGTCGAAGGCTTAGGTGCTCACATTGAATGTCAACATGCAACCATCCCTCACTAATACAGACTTACTGGATATCAAACATCGCTCTCTCAACTTCGTGCCCGAGATCGAGAGCGTCCCAGGTGGACTTCTCTCCCCTAACTCTTCTGCGGCTGCTTCTATGGACTCGTGCTGTTGTCGTTCACTGTCTCGTTCACAGATGGCCAAGCCGATGAGGAGATTGAATGGGCTGCCCGATGGATAGATCATGTCTTTCCAAACCTCGACTCATCCAGCCTTCCGCTGCAAAAATGTAAAAGCTGTTCGATAGTGACCGTCAAATGTAAGCAAATTATCACTGGAGCAGGTAAGATTTTCATTCCAAAGGTCAGTCCTAATCGTCCAGTGTCCTACCTTGGCATTGGAGAATTTTCTAAAGTGACAACAATCTAGATCAACCACTAGCTGCGGACCATTGAGGTTCTTATTGACATACCTGCAACATGTTTATCAGTTCCTTGGCTCACCGATCCAAGCACGCGAAAGGTTATCATTATCGTGCCATCAGGCGTAGCAGTTAGACAGCCTTCGTGAGCTTTCTGAACCAGTATCTACCGAACACTTCCAATATCGGAAGGAGTAGTCCGCTTCGCAGAACTTGCTGCAGCCAGCTTCTCTCGCTCCTCAATAGCCTTGTTCCATAACCGCAGGTCCAACGTGAGCGAATCCGTCACAACGATCGCACGAAGCACAAGATATGGGTCGATTTCACTCTTCCGAGCGTGCAAGGGGAGAATAGGCAGCGGGAAGGGGTGCTATACGAATAGATCGGACGGTAAGACAAGCAACGGTGGGAATGCCACCTTCTACGCACCTCCGACTCCTCCAAATTCCCCATGGCCATAATCACGCTGTTTCGTTCCCGTAGCCATGGCATGGATGAATGGGGATTGAGGCAGAGAGATATGTCCACGAAAAGCGCGGCGTGCCCATCAGCTAGCAGCAGCATGCTCGTCTCCGGAATGTAGGCGAGCATCCTATCGACCCAGTTCAGTAACAGAGCAATTAGTACAGGGCTTGCACAACCGTCCGGCTACTCGAAGCTTTCGCGAGGTAAATTCTGGAGTGATTGAAGATAACTTAACGGGAGTCGCGCAGTCCAGCAGCTGGGGCATGTTTCGTTATCCTTGATGTAAGAATGCGGAATTTTTGCTTCTCTGAGCATCCTTCTTCATCTCTGTGCGAGAAATGAAAGCCAAACCGATTATGGCCTGTGCTGTTGAGTTTGGCGCAAGTCCGACATAAAAGTAGGAGGAAATCTGAACTCGGCAATTCCCAGGTCACTGAGGTCAGCGTGCCCTCGTCCTTCGACTCACTCTTCCACTCTCCCGTATCTCTCAAGTCTTCATCCACTCTTGTCTGTGTATCATTCTGGACGTCGATCGCGCTGGAGCGCTGGCATTTATTGTCAGCTTTGCAGTATACTTTATATTTCGTACCGCAGTCCTCAACTCCCCCCTGACAAATCATCCCCATACACCCAGTTATTTCGAAACTCCTTTGATTTTTAAGCTTCAAGCAGCTTCAAGCTCTGCCGTGTGCCATTGATAGCGAACACGCACTGGCTCTTTACAAACGCTCGTCATGCCCAACAAACGACCTCTGACTCCCAATCTCCTCCCGCCGCCGAAGCGTCTCCATACATCCGACAACCCCCCTTCCATCCCGCATGCTCCGCGGCCGAACTTTGACACGCTCCTTTACGACGAGATCATACTGCTTATCTTCTCGTACCTGTCTTGGACAGATCTCTGCGCAATCCAGCGAACAAACAGAAACTGGTCGAGGCTCGCGCTCGACAACCAGGTACATATCCCCCACGAGCACTATTCATGACAACCCGTCGTTGAACGCAGAGCGATAGTTGTGGAAGGCTCAGTATCTGAGCGAGTATGGTAGATCGAGGCTTCGTGGAGTGCGAGGCTTCATAGGGCGGGCAGATGGCCGGGAGATTAGGCCACTGCCCGGTCGAGCGCACTCGGAAGGCATCAAGGATTGGAAATGGATGTTTCGCATAAGCTCGAATTGGCGTACAGGTACGTTCACGTCTGATCCTTCTTCGAATAAATCATATAAATCATTGTGCAGGACGCTGTTCGGTGGAAGCATTGCAAACTGGACTCAACTTCCCCTTGTCGGATAGGACGCTGCTACCGTCCAGCTCAGATTCACAAGGTGTCCAGGATCAAACATTCCTTATAATCTCTGGCAGCATGACGATAACTGCCAGTTCTCGGGCATCCTCTCATCCAGTGCTCACTCTTATTGATACAACGCATGGCACACACACTCTACGGTCTGCATCAACCCGGCCGTCGGCGACAGTGCAGGTTACGGCTCTCGCCCTTGACCAATGCCCTCCAACGACTACTCACCATGCTCGGCTCGTGTCGTTTCTCTCGACGGGCGAGTTTGTTCTATTTTCCATAGACCACCACACTCCCACCCACTCATCACGGCTGTTCACTTACGTGCCAAATTCCCGAACGTCACGCACAGCGCCGATCATTCAGGCAGTATATCACCACCCGTTGCTTGTAACGCTCTCACAGTCATTCCACCTGTCGCTGTACGACCTGTCCAACGACAACGTAGCCCATACGCAGACGCTCACATCCTTTACCTCGCACCCTCCAAGTTCCCTCGTCCTTTCCACTCCTTCTCCAGGGACATACAAGCTCGTCTTGGCATATGCGATTCCTGTGTACCCTTCGCATTGGAGTGTTGGTGCTACGGAGCTGATGGTTGCGAGTGAAGCAGGCGGCCGAATGGCAGTCACCGGGACGCGTACCGCTCGTGCTATCGATGTGCCTCAGGGGTGGATCGACGAGAACAAGCTCCGCCTCATGCGTGAGCAGTGGTCTCGCAAGGTCGCCCGCGTAGCAGACACACAGACTGACGGGAAGTGGGTAGTTCTTGCTCCTGGCGATGCCGTTCCTACCAGTACCGCGGAAAAGAATGCTGTGGGTTCGCCCTCTTCGTCATCCGCATCTTCATCTCCTCCGTCAAGTCCTTCTCGGTCTCCTCATTCGTCGCTTTACACATCTTCAAGTCTGCACTCCGCAAACGCGTTGCAGCTCTACCGCCTCTATCTGCCTGCATCGTCTTCCCCCACGGCGATGCCCAAGTTGACGTTCGTGCGAAGCTTGCACGGGCAGATTGGCCCCGTTTCTGCGCTCTCTCTCGCCGATGGGCGGTGCGTGAGCCTCGGTGTGAATGGGAGTATTTGGGTGTGGGATCTGGAGGGTGGGACTGGTGCAGAGGTATCCAGCGGGAGAGTCGCTGTTGCACACGCTATCGACGAGGTCGAGAGTGAGGAGACGAGGCTGCGGGCCGCATCGGGCGTGAAGGGCACCGTGGTGTTCGACGAGAGGAGGATCATCAGTGTTGGTACAGATGGCGTGCAAGTATGGAGATTCGACGTATAACCATCGATGTAGAGCTGTTTGCGCTGTATCGTATTCTGTCCTCGTGCATTGTAGATTTCTTGAACATGCATTGTAGACTGAGACAAGCCCATCACTGAAGCTGATCTAACAGGACTGAATTGCTAATTTGTGTTGTTCACTATAAGCAACACTCAGTGATTTTTCTGAACATACGCATGTGTAAATCCTGATACAACTAAACATAAACGAACCTGGCGAGCCTCATGCGACCCAGGTTGAACGTTGAACTATGATTGAAGGAAAAAAATGTCACAAGTGAGAGAAGTAAGAGTTGAACCAGCAAAGTACCCAGCTAAGTTCGGCGCAAGCAACGTTTTCAAACTTTCCGAATTTCGACGTAAATATGAAACAATAACATACAGTTTCTTCATGGCGTAGCTCAACAGCAGAGAATATACCACTTCTCACCGAAGGAAAGGTACCAGAGTTGATCTGAATCATTCTCATCCAGTGAGTGCTTTCGGAAGGCTTTTTTGCACCTTTGGGACTGAGCACTCACTTCTGCGTTTGGCTGTGGACTTATGAGATGATAGAATGCCACGGCAAGGGGAAATGAAATTATATTTCCATTGATTCTCCGGTGGAAGAACCTTGTCATGCTTGCCGTCCTTCGGACCGACTCACTGGCAGTTTCGTCAGCGTGCATTCTTTGCTGTGACGGATAGCATTCGATGCTCAGTAGCGCTACTAGAGCCTCGTATGTCACACTTGGTAACATCATGGAGCGCTAGCGGTGATCACGTGATCATCTACACAAAAAAGGAACTTGTGGCCAACTTGTGGCGGGATAGCATTCCTGAACACCTACCATGGCACCGTCTCGTGGCCCAACCCCCCTTGCTCGAACACTGCACACCACGCTCGACCACCACAAAGGATCCGTGCACGTCGTACGCTACGCCAAAGGGACCGCGAAATACGTGCTGTCTGGCGGGCAAGACCGCACCGTGCGCTTGTGGAACCCGGACTTGGGCACGGAGATAAAGACGTATGCTGCTCATGGCTATGAAGTCCTATCTATTACCGTGTACGTCTATATGCTCGGTATATATCTGTGCTTGGAGGCTGAGGAGGGTGATTTAGCTCTCACGACAATAGCAAGTTCGCTTCCTCTGGAGGAGACCGCCAGGTGTTCTTATGGGACGTTGTGACTGGGACCACAATCCGGAGGATTCCAGGCCACATGGGCAAGATCTTTGCTGTAGAGTTCAACGAAGATGCGAGTGTTCTAGCGAGCGGTACGTCCTCATGTCTCCTAGCCGACATCGTCGCGTCCAACCGACTGGAAGCAATATGCAGGCTCGTATGATTCTACGGTTAGGTTGTGGGATCTTCGGTGCGTCCTCGTGTCCTAGATGAACTTTACTGTCAATAACAGCCTGCTGTGTTCTAGTTCCCAAAACCGCCAGCCCATACAGACACTGGAAGAGGCGCACGACGCTGTGCAGACTCTTCATGTAGGACCGACTTACATTGTGACTGGCTCTGTAGATGGCTATGTGCGTACATACGACCTCCGCATGGGAGAACTGCGCTCGGATTTCATAGGACGTACGCACTCTCTACTCTCGCTGTCTGTCCATCGAGTTGAACTGTCGCCAAAGATCCGGTGACGGCTGTCATTCCCTCCCAAGACGGTCAAACCTATCTCGTAATGACGCTAGACGCGCACGTCCGACTAATGGACATGACCACGGGCAAGATGCTGAATGATTTCACCGGCCACACGAACTCATCGTACCGCTGTCGCACATGCTTCGGACATGGCGAGGCGAGCGTCGTATGTGGCGACGAGAAGGGAATGGTGTGGGCTTGGGATTTGGTTGATGTACGTTTCGCAAGCAGTCGCGTCGTTGATTCGGATATTGTCTCACGCGCTTTGTTGTGCCAGGCAACACCTCTGCAGCCGAACCCGCCGCCGAAGGTGCACGATAAGGTCATCACATGGATAGAGCAACATCCTATTGAGGCTGGAGAGTTGGTCACTGCGAGCGCGGATGGTACCGTCAAGGTCTGGCGATATCCTGATGCTGCAACGTAGATTCCTCATACGCCGGGAAATCATACCGGTGAGAACTAGCGGCTATGAATATCAGTGGAACGAGTAGGATTAAATTGTCCGTGTCTATCTGCTGCTTTGAAAGAGACAGCCGTTCGGGAGCGTGACGGACGTAACGGAAATAGTCACAAGCGATGCTACGCGCTTGCTTTCGCGGTCACCTGATCAATGCGGCGCGACGCGTTCGTTGTGGAGATATGAAAGCTAGATTCGTGCTCGTTATAATTTACGACTGATCATCATGATTTATTGCGATGAGCTTCTGGACGTTGCGTTTGTTTCAGTGGGAGGTCGGATAAGCGTGCGAGCTATTAGCGTGCGTGCAGACTTGCTCTTCCATATGTGCGTACCGTAGTTAGTGCGCCGAACGAAAATAATGAATCTTACCTGTCATCGTTCCTGTTGAAAATTCAAAGCGCGAGCGCTCTGATGCGGTGGTAGCATCGCGGGATCAGATTAGATCTCGGGAAGATCTGGCATCTGGTGCTCTGTGGTTAGTGCCACTCAATCGCTGCTGTTTTTTGTGCTCGAAACCCCGTCGCTATCATCGCCCGTGGTCCGCGTAAAACATGTGTGTGCCTGCAGAACTTCTAGCATGTGGCGAGGAGCGGATATCAAGCGGCTCGCGAACACGTGTTCACGGTGGCTGGCACGATCTGGCGATCTGACGGTGGCCACTGGCACATCGCTCTGGCCATAAAGCACGCCGCTTATCCGTCCTTTCTCTCTCTTCCCATATACCATCAACACAGCATATTCACCTACTCTCTCTCCATTGGTATCCATTTACCTCGTGCAGGCCTTCTTAACCACACACAGAGCATCGCCTACGGCCACCGCGCAGCCACCGCCTCACGCACCTCCCCACATTAGGCATTAGCGACACTTTATTGCTCCCAACCTCTTCATCTAGTATATCCATCCCTTCATCTACTATACCCCATCCATACATCTCAGAGCTGCCTGTCATGTCCCGCTACGATCGCCTCCGCTCTTGCTCACCTGGCATCGCCTCTTCCACATCTATCTGGACAGTCTCGGACGACGAGGAGTCGTACCCGAGAACCTATTTCCCCCATTCTTATGTCAGGGATGACGACCTGCTTGCAAACATCTCATCACGAACTCATTTTTCCGGTTCCCGCCCTCCCAAGGTTGACGCCGCCACGAAGCCACGACGCAACGCCCCGGGAGCGTACTCGAGCGCGGACAGGCCTGCGATACTAGAGGATGGGAGAATAACGGATGACCACCCACTAGTCGATCTATACATCCAGCGCCTCGCTGCTGTGTACAACGTGGAAATCGGGCACCTCGAGATGACGCCATTTATCTCCCATATGCCACCGGACATGAAGGGCTCACTGAATGTCGGGAAGGTGCTGGACGTGAGCGCGGTGCTGGACATCGGGCTGACGTTGAACGAACTCCAGAGCGCGTGTATTCTCTCGCTGGCAGCGCTAAAGGTGCTCTACAGCTTCGATCACCAGGCGCACTGGGCACTGTGGGGGAAATGCGTGAGGGAGCGCACTGCGGCGGTCGTGCAGCGAGTCTCGTGTACGTCACAAGTATTTCAATCGACCCTTCCTCGCTGACATCGCCGCGCACTTAGGCCACACTCCCCGGTTGATCCACTCGAGTGTCTGCTGGGTGGGCAAGAGTGAGAACCTTATAGCACTCTCGCGGGCACACTTCCTCCGACTGCTGGTCAGCGATTCGGAAGTGGACAAGCGATCACTCCGGGATCGCAAGGTCACTGTAAAGACCGCAGTTGCTCCGGTCAACCCTCCGCGGACACGCTCGCGCACGACCACCTCTAACGACAAGGCGAAGCTAGGCGAGGAGGATGCGGTGGCGGAGAACCGCGTCCGGACGCGATCGGCCTCGAGGGTTGTGGAGGAGGCGGAGGTTGTGGCTGCGGAGAACGAGTCTGTTCTCGAGCAAGCGTCCAGTGCCATCCTCATGCTTGCAAATGCCACGGTTTCCGCGGATGCGGCCATCGATATCGAGACAGTTGAAGAGCCAACCGCTGACGAGAAACCCGTCCCTATCGAAGAAGCCGCCTCTATGGCTGCTATATGTGTACCAGCCGATGCACCGTCTGAAATCGCTAGATCAGCACCCACTCAAGAGGAGCCTGCTGTCCATGACGAGTCCGTAATCACCGAAGAGGTCGCCGCTATCGCTGCTATCCCTGCATCAGTCGATGCAGCAGTTGCCACTGCTAGACCGGCGCTTACTAGACGCTCCTCGAGACGCGTACAGAAGAAACGGACCGCGACGCCCGCACCCGAGCCTTCTTCGCTGGCCTCAGCAACAGCGGCGAACACTTCTTGCCCAAGTGATCTGGCCGCGCTGAGCGCACCGTCTACTACGCCTGCAGTCGAGTCTCTTCCCACCACGCGCTCCAGTACTGTGGTTAGTGACAGTGCTGATTCTGACCAGACGGTCGTCCCAGAGGACGGCGGCTCGAAGCCCAAAGGGAAGAAGAGAAAGGCCGCCGAGATTGAGGGAATTGATGGCGAAGAGACTCCGGAGGGACAGGAAGAGGGTCCACGGCGGAAGTCACGTCGCGCCGTGGTGAAGACGGCGAAGGCTCGCGAGGCGGACGTCGCGCCCAAGAGGCTGCCTGTACCGCGGAAGACAAGCACGCGCGCCAAGAAGGCGAAGACTTGACGAGAAGAGCATGCTTATGTTCACGATACTTATGAGCCACGGGAGGGATGAACCTGCATATGCATTGTACGATCCCGCATACTGTACTTTTACTAACTTATTGCGACCTGTGAATGGCTCTATATCAATATTTGCCTCGGCCCTCATGCAACATATGTACTATTAGATGATCTACTACATCGCATCCATACCATAATATAATATTCCATCTCCCTCTCTGTGTAACCTTCTTTTGTGAAAGGTAAGCTGCTGTACATTTGCCTTGTGGTAACAACTCCCGAAACGGTAACTGTTAGCCACAAGCGCGACGCGTCCTGGTCATATGACCGACCGGATGTTTCAGCATTCGCGTCCGAATCTTCCCTTGCCTACATCAATTCGCTCATAAATACATGAAAAGATGCAGCAACATATACAACGTGGCGAGTTTAGACATTTTTGAAACTCGGAAGGTGCGCAAGGTGTGGAACCAGAGGAGGGTGTCACGGTCATGTGATTGTGCAGGACGCCACGCGACAACATTTACTTGGTACCGCGACATCATAGTTATTTTGAACCGTTTCCTTCATGTCGTCGATCTGTACCCATTCAACCTCGTTATATGATGGCACGTACTGCATCGTGTTGAACACACCGGACATCCTATCCACCCCGGGAGAATAGCCTGTTCGCCATCAACGTGTACGGTGTCATGCATGGGGATTTCTATTTGTCACTATGATGACTCCATACTGTCCCCGACTATCTCACGGGTAGAATGACGCTGTCTATGAAGATGTCGCTGCGAATTGACGTGTTCCTCACTGGACAAGCAGACCCTACAGACACTGTCCCCTAGACAAAGGCTTCAAGCTTTGCCTGTAGTGCATCTTCCATCAGAATGCATCGAGAGTACCGGCAATCGTAAGTGTTTTTTTCCCGGTATTTCAAACTTCTAAAATCCCTGCGTATCTCTCCTGATGGTCTCAGCACTAACGGTTGCTGCTCCGTGTCTTTATTTGAAGAATGTATCCGTGTTTAGACTCGATGAAGTGAAAGACTCCGCGTCTCAATGCGCTGCATCCTTCAAATTTGAGAGCATCATATCATATCTCTCTCCTCTAGGTCCGTCCTCTCTTAACCTTACCGGCATTGTTGTTTGTCACCTTCAAATTTGACGCTGTGATCACCTCGCACTGATGATTATCTGCACCTTCTGGCAGCAGCGTGGCTTGATCTGGAATATTTCACCTTGAATAGAGGCAGAGGGGCAAAGTGAAGCCTGCGATTTGGAGTGCTGAGCCTGCACGAATGGTGCGAGTTGTCTTCGAGCTGCCCCCTGAATTCTAATCTGTTTGCTACTCACCAGTATGCCAAATCTCTGATTGAGTCAAGTCCTGGGACTGGATGGCCAATTTTCCTGCTCAAGCTGTCTCAAAAAAGCAAGACGACCACGATAATGGACCCGACACGTTTCACCATGATAGGATGTTGATGACGACGGCAATGATTGCAACGACGACCCTGAACATGATAACAAGCTTTAGATATTTGCACAGGCTGTCCGTTAGGAAATATCAGTACGAAATTCTTGTCAGCAATTGCTTAAACGCAAGTCGTAAGCGGGTCATTAAGTGGTTGACAATGAACCAGAAAATCTAACGCCTTTGTTCACGCACGACAAATCTAGCATCTACTAACGTTTTGCAGTCGCTGTACTTCCTGCGGGTGATTCTGTGGTGCACATTGTGTTGAAACTTGTGGCGCAATTGAGTTTCGTGACTATATGATGAAGCGCAACGGTGGAATGGAAAACACAGTATCGTCCAACCAGAACAGTTTATTTTTCCGCAAAGAGGTTTGGCTTCTTATATCCTGTCGTAATGTGCGCGAGCATTTCCAGTAGCTCGCACCTATCGATCACCATTTTGCTTGACTTATTGACTCCCAGAGGATCGCATGCTGAAACTGGTGCATACGATGGTGCCCAAGGCGTCGCACATCGTCTATATGCGAATCCCTCGTTCTCTCATCAGGGTCGATGTGTGTCGCGATCAATCTGCTCCTGAACTAACGTAACAGTCCCATAGTTGATACGGCTGAGATCACGCACGAGAAGATGCTGCTGCTTCCTATGTTCAAGGCGAGAACAGCGCCAAGTTAGATCTTCGGGAGCAGCGGCACCGCGAACGATCTCATATTCTCCTGGGACGAAGCCAACACATTCCGAGCCCATTCAGTGAAGCGCAGGTGGACGGTGACATCAATCAGTTGCGATTGGCTATTGAGCCGGGCCGCCAAAAGAAAAGCGATGGGCTAGGAATAGGACTGATAACACCGCTGTATTGACTGCTTTCGTTATAGTACCCGTATGTGTCGGCTTTGCTAGCATATTGATATGCCGGTGCGTCCCATGATTTGCGTCCCAGCGGTTCTGTCTGTCAACTCATACAATAGCAGGCCGCTAACTGGTTCTTGGATGGTAGTAACAGAGAAAGGATATCACATTTTCTGCTTTCAGTACGTGTCCTTCTCTTCAGCCATTTCGTCGGTTGATAACAAAAGACGAGGTATGTTTTCTTCGAACAATGAACACGCGGTTCTGAACCTTGGTACATACGTTGCATCTACGCTGGACCATTCCTTCTCGGTGCAACTTGATGCAAGATGCCATCGACCTTGTAGCTCCACGGATGCCTTCAATGTCTGTGCCTTTGACAAGTCAATAGCCAAATGTCCTGTTGGCGAGCCCAGCCTTGTGCAGGCTCAGACGGTCCTATCCCTCCACCGATGTTCGCCAGTGCCACGGCCTCCCTTGTATTCCGGCAAGGGTCATGGGATTGCGAGCGTTAGAACAAGAATGCTCACGGGTGCAACCGGTGTATATCTGTCGTAATCTCATTTCCAAAGTGTTCGGCTAAGACGAGGCGCCTATGCCGACTGTGCGTAGCCAACCTGGCCCCCCATAGCGCGCCGCCTTCGCGTTCAGGCAGAGAACCAGCGCAGTGCGGGCGTCTACAGCAGGAAGACTGAATCCGGGCCGCGCCTCGGATCACCCGGCACGTGATGGACAAGCCCAGATGACGGGCCGGCGGCCCGTCGAGCCCTCCCGATGGTCCCCTTCCTTAATAACTTCGGGTGTCCGTACCATTCTTCCCGCCTGTGTGCAAGTTCCTCGACACCTCCTTATCTCAAACCATGATGGACCACGCAATCCACCATGGACTCAACGGACACAGCCGACACGTTTCTCGCCCGCTGACTCCAGGAATTTATGCACCTATCCCCACGTTCTACCAACCGGAGACTGAGGAGCTCGGTGAGTGTTCTCCAGGTCATTCAATAGCGCACAGAGGATTGAGGATTTTCATCTGTTTCCAAGATCTTACCACTCTCGCGGAACATGTCGTTCGTTGCGCGAAAGCCGGCGTGCAGCCCCTCCTCGCAGGATCCATGGGCGAAGGCGCGCACCTAACACACGGCGAGCGTGTGCTGCTCATCAAGACCGCACGGAAAGCACTCGACGATGCTGGCTTCGAATCGATGCCCATCATCTCAGGTACTGGCACCGGCAGCACACGCGAGACAATCGAGCTCTGCAAGGAGGCCGCGTCGGCAGGAGCGGACTACGCAATTGTCATCGCAAGCGGATACTATGCCGGTGTCCTGGCCGGTAACCCGAAGGCATTGAAGGCATTCTGGTCAGAGGTGGCGGAGAAGAGCCCTATTCCCGTCGTAATCTATAACTGTGAATTGATCGGTTTTCACACATGATCAGCGAGGTTGACCCGTTGGGCAGATCCCGCTGCGAGTGGCGGCATCGACCTTGATTCTGATCTAATCACGGAGTTGGCGACTGAGTGCCCTAACTTGGCCGGTGTCAAGCTCACGTCAGTCCATTTTTTACTGTTTACGCACTAGTTTCTGTTGCTCACATTCTTATAGATGCGGTAGCGTTGGCAAGTTGACGCGGATCTGCGCAGCCGTGTCCGACCCATCTTTCTCATCACTATATCCCCGGAAGAACCTTGATGCGCCATTCTTGGTGCTGGGTGGTTACGCTGATTTCATCCTCCCATCCTCCTACGCGAACGGACATGGTGCCATCACAGGTCTGGCGAACGTTGCACCCGTGAGTGGCTCCTTCACGTCCCTTGAACCTTCCAGTTACTGAGCCAATAATCCCAGTATACAATCATGAAGCTCTTCCAGCTCTCTGAGGCTGCGCACAAGGACCCTTCCCTTCTTCCGGAGGCACAGCGTGTACAAGGTATTGTTAGCCGAGCAGATTTCACCATCGCAAAAGCTAGTATCTCCGGCACAAAGGCGTTGCTGGAGAAGATATACGGCTACGGTGGTGTTCCGCGCAAGCCTTTGCCTCCGTTCGAGCCTGCAGCGTTTGAGGCGCTCTGGGCACACCCCCATGTTCAGGACATCGTGAAGATAGAGCATGAGTTGAGCGGAAAGACGAAGTCGTGAATGGTTGGTCATTTGCCTACAGCAATTTCCGTGGGCCGCTGAGGTGGCGGCGTGTGGGCGATAGGAAAACCACGTTTTCTCCTGTGCATGATCCATGTAACATTAGAGCAGCACCGTTAGACGTTTTCCTGTACAATGAGCTACAGCCCGATGGAAGCATCCAATGCAGTGCAGCACCGATGTCTGCGTTCCGGCTAATGAACACGAGATCAACATGAGTAGCGGATATATATGCGACCATTTGAGATGATCATGCGTTTTGCTGCTGCGAAGGCGTGATGCAATAGAGACGAATTGTAGCTGTACTGACGTTGAAGAATAACTGGGATCAAGATGGGCACGGCGCGCACTCGGAAATTACGAAATCCCCGACCTCGTTTTCCTCCTGCCATCCCAACGCTAAATCACACTCAGGTTGCGGAGATTAGCCTTCCCTCCAGCATGAATTATTTCTTCTGTAATTATTGCAATGAGTCTCATGGTGATGTTCCGGGCGAGCTTGCCGAGGAATATGCAACATTGTATTCACGGAGCGCAGTGAGGCGGAGTAGATCGACCGAAATATATACAATCAATGGGGCGAAATTGCGCATCGTCACACCTTGCACTGGTCGTAAAAGAGAGCTGCGTAGCGTCGCTTGGCCGTCAGGCGTATCAGGATCAACCCGGCCTTCGTCCAGGATGGGATGAGCGGCTAAGGATTGCACGCTGTGCGGCATCTACGCCACTTATGCGCTCTTGCAAGCGAGATTGTATCCCCGAGTACTTCACATTGAGCAAGACGATGTTGACATCAGCCTGACTCGAATTTCCAGAGGGCAACAGAATCACGAGGTCGTGTGGCGATAGTACAGCGAGGCAACAGAGTAGCTGCCGCCACCTGACGCGGCGGAAGTCCATCAGAGTCGCAGTCCTAGTTATTTTACAGAAGCACGATCAGCTTGAACAATCGACTGCGCAGCATACAAAGATAAGAAGGATCAGGCGTGCGCGTGAGGCCAAATGATCGTCAATTGATGAACGCTTAAGCAAAGTTGTGAGGAATTTATAAAACGTCACTAGACGGCCGCGGTGACAATGAGGCGCTTCGTACGTAAGGATCAGACTCGTAGACACACCTTCAGAGAAAAAGCTTCACCTACGACCACACTTCGCGGAAAGCTTTTCGGGGGTCGGAACATTTGCTACCCCGGATGGTTGAACGTTGACACGTCAGGATTGGGCAGTGTGTACACGGCACCGCGGAGAGCGTTCGTCAGTCGCTGTTAAGTACTCTTTGGTGAGTCAGGCATTACTCGTAAAGTCTCCCAACTTTCGAACCTTCTGTTTGCTAGGTCGTTAGCGTTCGACCCTAAAGCTACCAATCCGCATCCTTACGTTCACCTGCGGTTCCTCGCTGCGCTTCCTGACTGCAGGCAATCTTACTGATGTACGGTTTGGCGCGCCCGGGCGGACAACTTGAAGTATATCGCCCCTCATAGTACGGCGCGCGAATCACCGTGTCACCAAGTGTCGCTATGTGATGCCTTGATCAATTCCGGACATCCTACGTGTTCAAACGTTCCAAATCTGCAGATGGGTGTGTCGGTGAACAGAACTGGAAACGGATAGAACACACAACGGAGGCAAGAATCATACCACACTACGTTCGTCGCAGCTTAGATTGGATTGCTTGCATCTGTTTGATTGATTAATCTTTACCTTTGCCTTTATTGAATGGTGAGCCCAATGAGTGAGCCTTCTCTACTTGATCCTCACGCGTTTATATACATCACAGAATTACAGTTAGAGTTGTCAGCTTGAGTGGTGACATCTCGGCTTGGCGGCTGGGCAAAGGAACAGTCGAGTAGAAGAGGAATGCATTCACACGGACACAATTCAAGAATGTGTCTCTGTGAGCGCGGGACACGTATTCAGTCGGTGAGTCCTGCGCATACGTCTTCCGAACTGTATGCTTCATGCATGAGGGTGAGTATCCATCGCGATGGTTAAATCGGGATGCCTTGAAACGCTCTCGATTCTTCCATTCTCATGGTATGTACCGCAACAAATGCCCTTGTGCAGGGTGTTCGTCACAGTACATATGAGAAGGAAGAGTCGAGACTGGTAGAGACATCCGGAAGTCGGTTTGTCCGCATAGACCGATGCGACGTATCTAGAATAGAACAATTTAAGTGGAAGTATCTCGGGTATCCTCCGGATCTTGCAAGGTTTGCTTACACCTCGTAAATAGGAACTGACCTACCAATTTGTATGATAGAGTGGACCCGATAGGGCTGCTGCGACACTAGGATCGGCGGGAGACCGTTCCGACAGGCCTCTCCAGCCTGGTAATTGGACGAGCCTTAGCCGGCCGCGAAAGCCCAATCGGACCTCGTGGTACATCAGGATGCACGGAGGGACTATGCGTTCTATGCAGCGGAGAGGACGTTGGGATGTAAGTCGCTGCCGTCCATCGTCGACTCACTCCCATTATATGCCTGACCACCGCCAAGGAGAAGACACAACGCTCCACCACACAGTAATCGATGGATCGCCGTCTCCACTGACCGTCCATCCTACTGCAGCCTGCCCACCTCCATACGGTCATATTGAGAATGACTCACCGGAAACCCTAAACGTCTTCCTCCGACCAGAGCCCTGCAATGTATTGATGGATGCGATAACTGATTCGTAAGGTGGGCGCCATCCGTCCGCACCGCATGCTGCAGACAAGGATGCTTCTGTGCACATTGCATTGTTCAAGCCCCAATCCCCCCTGCGTCAGTAACCGCGTGGTCTGTGACTGGGGTGCTGGCGATGGCGATAGATCGCTCTGGGTGCACTGACGAATATTTCTGCCATGCGATGTGACTGGCAACGACGGCGTTTGTTTGTCCAGATTATGAAAAGTTAGAACGACGATGCAAGAAAGGCTCGTCAATGATGGTGACGACGCGGGGAGGAGGACAGCCGATAGCCCCCAGTAGGCGAGAATGAGGGAATGCACTAGTCGAAAAGGCACTCAGTCGGAGATGGTCTGAGCTGGTCGGCTGGCGATTTGATTTCTGACCATCGACATGTGACTCATATTGGACATAAAGGCAGAAGAGGTTTGCCACCAATGCGCTCTCATCATCCGCCTGCTAACTCCTGGACATCGACTGACTGTAATGCATGACCAGATCACGAAGATGGGCCCTAGTCGACAGCTCTATCCTCACAATCTGACTGGGTGGCATATCCTTTCGTCTCCCTGTTGAGCAAGCTCCAAGGACGGTTGCTCGTCTCATGGCCCAATTCACGACTGAACATACAATGATTGCACCGCTCGTGACTCAAGGTTCTGTCTACAATTGAATTGAAAATAACGCACGACACGGCTTAAAATGTCATTTGAATTGTGGCCGATTGAAGAGAGTGCTGTCACCTCGGAGACTGAGATCACACTCATTGGTTCTCCTGGACGTACGTGACTCTGCCTCCATCTTTGACTATACCTCAGACTTTCAGCCTCATCCTCAGTTGGGAACGAACTACACTCCAACGGATGCGGATCGATGGAGATAGGCGGAAGAGGAGAGTTTGGTCCGGATTGAAACTCGCGGCACGTCCGAGTACGATCGTATCCGCTACATCCGCAGGTATCATTCCCTCGCCATCCAAACCGTCATCATGTAGGTATACGATGCTCGCACTCTGTCTTCTGTGCATCCAACGTCAACATCATGGACTGCACATATACGACGCAGACCCTACCTGTTTCTGACGGTCAGACCGTCTCCCGTCGAGGCGTGGCCAAGGTCAGTGTGGCTCGGCACTTCAACTTGCAGCACTTCGCTTACCTACATCCGCAGAGGTGTTCGTCCCCTCCTCGCGCAGACTCAGTTGTCTCCATGCTTCGTTCTCTGAGTCTCGATGACGACTTCTTTGAGCGTCGAGCGCTGCGCGCTACGTGCATACAGAAGACGCCACTGGACGATTTCCATCCCCAGGCAAGCGAGATCGTTCCGGGACTGTTCGTCTGCGACATTTACACTGCCACATCACCGGCTGTTGTGCGTGGACTGGGCATCACCCACGTCGCATCCGTGATCAAGCACGACTGTCCTCGATTCCCAAAACCAATGCAGCATGTCTGGGTCCCCATCGACGATTCTCGCCAGGCGGAACTTCTCGGACACTTGGACTTTGTCGTAGAGTGGATCGCCCAAGCGCTTGAGCAAAAGGGACAAGTGATGGTCCATTGTGTGTGGGGGATGAGCAGGAGTGCCAGCGTCGTGATCGCATATCTCATGGCCGTGGAGAAGATGCCGTTCGACATTGCATGCAAGCATGTCATCTCAAGAAGGAAGGTTGTGAGACCTAACAGCGCGTTCATGCGGCAATTGAAGGCGTATGAACAAATTTTGAGGAGTAGGGGTCAGCGTAGGCACTCAGTTTGACCGTGTACGGTGCGTGCAAAAAAAAACAAAAGCAGGAATGAACTGTTGTGACATTATGTCAGAATAATCTCTGGAAATCTAGGCATTCCTCAGTATATTTGCAGGCAAGAAACGGTACTTTCAGAATCGAAGGGGATTCACTGAGTTACTCGACGAAGAAAACCTTCCAGGCGTGACCGTTACGATCACGTGGACAGCAGTCACAATATCTGTTATGTCACTTACGGTGGCTGAAGACAGCACTCTTCCTGACGTTCACCATTGCCATTCCGACCAGTTGATTACACATGAACTATGTATAAAACATGTTTCAAATGGCTGTCTTTGCGGCAGTCCTCCGCCACAAACGGTCCTGCAGTTTTTGAAAAAACGTGACAGTCCGTGTAGCTTATCGTAGTTGGTACTGACGCCATGTTTTTATTGCGACCGATAAGCTGATGAGAAGTGCCACTGGCCTGCGACCTGAATGTCGAGAATGCCTGCAGAGCCGTCAAAAGTGCCGCCGAGCCTTACTGAGGTGCAAGTATCTGCTATCCGGCGAGCTGCAGCAGATTTACTACCAGAATGCGCAAAGTTCCTGGCCTCACTGATTCAGATTGACACCACCAATCCTCCTGGCAAGAATTATCCCGAATGTGCACAACTCATCGGAAATACTCTGAAGTCATTCGGGTATACGGTGGAATATGTCGAGGTACCTGTGCATCAGCTCCCGACCCTCGCACCGAGTGGTGAAGGTCTGCGCCGTGTAAACGTGATTGGCAGGCTGTCTGGCAGCGACGGCGCTCAAGGAAAGACGCTGCATGTGAATGGGCACTTCGACGTCGTGCCGATTGGTACAGCGGCGAATTGGAAGTACCCTCCATTCGGTGGCGAGGTCCATAACGGTAGGATGTACGGACGGGGAACTGCCGATATGAAAGGAGGCATTGCTGCTCAGGCATGTCAATTCGGCTCCGAGGTGTTGAAAAGATAAACTGAATGTTATCATCCCAGATCTTCGCAGTAGAAGCCATCAAAAGAGCTGGTCTTCGCCTCGAGGGCAACATTGAACAGTCAGGGGTAGTAGACGAGGAAACCACTGGCATTCACAATGCCGGCATGGGCTTCCTCGTTGATTCGGGCCATATCAGAGCCGACAAGATCGATGCCGTTGTAATAACCGAGCCACTAAACACGACTAACGTCTGTTGTGGACGTGAGTAGCTTCGCACACATTCATGTTCCATTAATGACATCATCTTCTTGCAAGACCGAGGCACGATATGGGGTGCTATCACCTTCCGCGGACGATTATCGCATGGATCGATGCCGGGGCTCGGGATCAACGCTCTTCATCACGCATGCACGTTCGTGCATCTCGCGACGACCACCCTTTGCCCTAAACTTGCGTCACGCGTCGACGAGTCGGTGATTCCTGCTGAAGCGCGCATGGCTTCATTGGCTTTCACGATCCTCAAAGCAGGAGATAACATCAACAGTGTGCCTGACATTGCCGTCGTGCACTTCGATAGGCGCATCGTGCCTGGCGAGACCCTTGCAAATGCGCGTAAAGAGATAATGGATATCCTGACAAGCATGAACGACAGAGAAGATTGCACGGGGCTCGATTACGAGTACAAAGAGGAATATGCTACCGAGGCGACCTGGGTGGATCCGAAGCAGCCCATTTCGCTGATCTTCCAAGATGCCATAAAGGTGGTGACGGGCCAACAGGCAGGCATTGTGACTTCTCCTGGCAGCGATGATTAAGTTAGTTCTTACGTCCGCATTTGTCCTGCTTGCCACTGATGTGCATGGTCCTCCCTGCATTCTTCGCAGCGCTTCCTGGTCCATTCATTGAGGCCCGCAATAGAATCCACAATCGTCTACGGACCAGGATATATCTCCGAGGCTCACATAGCGGATGAGAGCATAGACCTAGAGAAGGAGCTCAAGGTTGGGATGGAGGTCATGGCATTAGCATTTGCTACCTTTCTTGGTGTGGATGAAATACAGGAAGCCTGATTGCATGTGTCGCGCGGTAACTTATCTTCTATAGAATGGCTTTCCCCACCTTTGAAGAAGCAATCCTTGGTTCCTGATACAGCTCGCGATTTTGATAGCTCATCCTTTCTCACGGCAAACATGCGGGATCCGTACGCGTCTTTCCTCATTCGTCTCCGCTTTCCGTTTCGTCCGCGGATCTCCATGGTCGTTATCTGACCTTATCACCGGGTCTGTGTCCTGACGGATCACAGATGTATATCTCTGCGAGAAGACTCACTCAAAAGCGACCCGGCCCCCAGTCCACGCGCTGCAAGAACGTCAGGATCGCGCGTCGCCACCATGGTTTTCGGCACAAATTTATGACAGGCTCGCGGGCCGACAGACGGGCTGCGTCAGGTTTCTTCGGTTAACTGATCATGTCATGTACGGAATTCACGACGGACTGCCACAATGTAAGCTTGTTTCTCAGAGCTGCTCTATTTTCAGAGAGAGCTGACAGACACTGGGAACCGAATGTCAAATATGCCCGTACGAATGCGACCGACGATCCGAGGATAAAAAGAGGCCTGGCTTCCGATGATGCTTCGTCGCGAAGTCTTCGTAAACAAGAACCTCAGTAACTTCGCACATGAAGGGAGCTGCGGTACCGCTCATTTGAAACATAATCTTCTCGTACGGTCGCACGATGGCCGGAGAAATTACGTAGAACGGTCGTCAAGGTACACGCTGTTACAAAGGACACGAATAATAGCCGAATATTACACTACAGTACGTTAATACGCAGAGAATCCATCAAGCGGACTTCCCAGGGACCACTTCAAACGCCTCCTCTCGCCCTTTCCCATTTCGACTGCTATCCTCGTCGCTGTTGACAATTGCTGCATCGTTCAGGACTTCGCCTTCCTCCACGCCGCGCAGGCCGCCTCCGCTGTAATCGGACAGATAGAAGTATGTGGCGGGCAGTGCGACGATCAGCCCGCCGACGATGTTCCCGAGGTACGAAGCGATCAGAGACCTTTCGGGGACAACGTGTCAATATAAATGACGACTTGACAGCGTGTCCTTGGCACGTACTTTCGAATGTACTCGGCCACCGTCAACTGAGGGAGCGATCAGCAGATATTCCCGAGAACATTTCCACGTTACTCACGTCAGCTCCAAACATGATACCCAATGGGACGGAGAACATGTTCGCAATCACTAGTAGAAGGTCTTAGCAATCGACTCGCAAGGCCGACGAGAAGGATTCTTACCGTGATCAAATGCTGCCGAGACGAAAATCTATAAGACGAAGTGAACTTCGGTGCAGTTCTCGCGCAGTTACATGACAAAGCCTACCATGATCGGGATCCATATAGCCACAATCTGTGCAGTTGCAGTCAGCCTGCCTTCTATGAGATGTGCTATTTGCAGAACGGACCTTTGAGAGCGTATCACGCGCTCCAGCAGCTTGCTATGTGAAAAGATGCCTCTATTGAGAACATGCTCACAACATCCATACAGTGAAACACTTACCCAAACTGCTACGCAGACGAGCCAATTACAGCCAATGCCGCGGAGGAAGATTTGGTACCATTCCGGCTCCTTTGCCTTGTGTCTAATGGTGAGAGAGAACGTGTCATATGAGCACGAGTCAAACAAGCAGCTGAATTGACTCACAGTGCGAAGTCCTGTGCATAGCTGATGTATGGCTCTGTTGAGATGATGCCGCTATCTGCACGATGAAGAATGGCTATCAGCAATCCTCGCTAGTCCACGCTGGCATGAGGTGCTCGCATTTTGTAAGGACAGCTGCGAAGAAGAGGCTGCCGCATAGGTTGCCGAAAGTGACTATTCGGAATATGTTCAGAAGCGCTGAGAAGCGCAGCTGCTTAGATGACCCACCGAGAAGCCAATTCCATGGAAGTCCCCACCAAGGCACTGCACCCTTCAAGCAGGCCATTGGAAATATCTGGTCACAAATGTCAGCATGCGTGTCTATGCATCTATATCTGGGCTTACCATCATGTTGCTGGTCAGCAGTTCCTGACCCTGAAGGACAATCCTGGCAATCGTACGTTAGTTCGTCCCACTATGCAATGCCGCCCTACGCCCACGCTAGCCCATGCCAGGGACGGGCTCCTGCGCATTAGGAAGGCCGCCTTACATTATCAAACCCACGGGAAACACTGCCCCTCCCAAGACCTTGACCAAGCCGGGGTTATTGGTGGTGATTCCTGCTGAGCCACCTGAGATAATCTCTGAGAGGAGACCGCCGAACGACAGCATGACACCTGCAAGAACCTGCAAAAACAGTGAATGGATTCCTTCAGAGAGACAAAACGGAATATCACGACTTACCGCTTTGAGGAAGACCACATCTCCTCGCGTTCTGTGCTTAGCGATGCCATGCTCAACCATCGCCACCGCTACTTGAGCTGGCTTGAGGGTACTAGGAGGGTCGAAATTCGTCATAACGGAGGGCGCCAGGAAGGATGCACGAAGGGGGCACGGCGTACAAGGGAAAGGAGCCACCGCGACGCCCACGCTCGGGGGACCCTGATACTTGTAGTGCAGGGAAAGCGCTCAATCTTTGGTTTGATAGCGACGAATGCAACTAGCACGTCAGCTGAGAGATGGGAACGCGGCCGCCAGAAGGAATGCATTCTGCCCGATCAGGCCCCGCGCTGATGGATTGGACTTCGACAGCAAGTGTAGCGAGGCGGTGAGAACTACCGACTTTGGCGAGTAGATCGCTTCCTTCGCCTGCAGAGCCTCCACGCTGCCGCAAGGCATCCACCACGCATCCGACGATGGACTTATAACCTTTCAATATCGAGAGAACAGATAAGTGGCCAGCTCGCTCGGTGAGCAGCGGCACACACCTGCCAGCAGCTCAATGTGACCAATCCTGAGACTGTGCATTCATAAGCTCCGAGCGTCAAGCGATGCGGGGTACGGGAGAAACTATCTGAAAAAAGACATAGGCCGGATGTGGGCATCTGTATCTGAGATCCATGCGGGGACATGGTAAAGATGCTGTGTTTTCGAGTCTTCTCCCTACAGTCGAACTTCTACCTATGGCAAGACCCATGCCGCATTCGTTGACGTCCCGCGCTGAATTCCGCCTTCGCGAAAATTCCTGAGTTCTCGATTTCTTGTCGCAAAGGATTGCTATGAAAGCCATCCACGAGATCCGGAGGCCAAACCTTGTCGAGTAAACATCAGCGCCGGGCAATCACAAGACCGTTCAGGCACAAGACCGACTGGTGGCGCAGCCTAAGAGGCGGCCGACGTCGTTTGGGAGCATTCCAGGACACAACATCCAGCGTAAACAGTTGAACGTTGGAGTCAGACACAGCATGGCAAAGAATCTTGCTTTTGAAAGAGTTTGATGCTTGGAATGAAGCTTGGCAGTCAAAAGTGCGATCGAGAGCACTGGTCCATCGAAACGACTTGATGTCGTAAAAATAGCAGCTTTAGCGTCGGAATGCAAATTTCCAAGACCGCGCTCCATTACGGCATTTTTATCTTCATGTAATGTGCATGCTCGGCATGGACGAATGCGAGATACTGTTTCACATGTCATTACGTAAAGGCCGTACGGGAGAACCCAAAGATATATCATCAACTCTTGATGCATTGATGGTGAGCGATACAATGGTGAAGCCAGGTGATGTCGCATTGCCAGTAATCCAATGGTTGGCTGCTACCATCACGCATCAAGCTCAAGACCGAGCATGGAAAGATGCGCGCTTGCAAAGGCTTGTATCAAGGAAAGCGCCTCGGATGTTTCGTCCAATAGCCAGCCAATGGGCGCGGGTCGTACTGTATATACCGGCGTGTCTTCGCCCACATAGCATTTCGAAGCTTAGATTAGTGACTGAACTAGCAATTTCAGCTGGAAGAGGCTGACGATGCGAGCGAACCAGCCTCTTTGCACTGAATGGCGTAAGCGACCAAGAACATTGCAGAACAGGCAATAGCACGTTGAAGATTCAATATTGACAGTCTTCCGAACATCTAATCGGCAAAGCCAGCTGCGAGAGAAGCTAACGCATTGGATTTGAAGACATCTATTGTCACCGGCTGGTACAAGTCGCAGACGTAATTTGCCATTCGGAGGTGCTCAGTGTCGAGAGGTTGTCGGATAGCAATCAAGCCCATCAGCGCCGGGGCTCTACACAGGAAAAGAAGATGTCCGCAGTGTCCGGCGAATCACGGGGAATTAACTGCCTAGCCATGGTGCCAGAACGTCCTGTCTAGCCGCAGTCCTCAATCAAAGCAGTCAGTGTCTCAATCACCCTAGATGAAGAAGCAGACTCGGTAGTCAAGATCATGAAGATGATCAAGAGGCGATGAGGGCACATCACCCGAGTCGGTCTTCTAGGGCATCCATTCTTCATCGGCTCCCCGCAACAAAGCCCCCAGAGCGTGCACTAAATCAGGCAGACAGTGAAGAAGCCGAGAGATGGTACAAGAAGGAGGTGGGCCCTGCAGGTCAGGGATGTCGCTTTTGATTCATTGCTGTCAGCAATCGCCGGATGATCCCGCGGTGCGCAATTAGCTCGTTTCTAGCCATATAGCTTCAGTATAATTGCTGCCCGTTCGTGCTGTTCTCGACAGATGAAGGAAAGGCAGTGATGGAGCACACGGCGAGTCAGACAGGCTTTACTCGCGAAACCCGCAGCCTGTGGGTTTCGCGAGTAAGGTCTGTCGGGTCCGACGTGCGTGAACTCACCTCGTTTTCCAGCATTTAAGCATATCTACCAAACTTCGGCATAGATAAATCAATGCAATCAACATGGGGATGACGGCATACTTCAGCTAGGACGTCGACATTGAAGATTAGCGTACTCATGAGAAATCGTTAAAAATATCACGTGCTTGAGCGCTCAATATTTGACGCGCCTGTGGCGGCGAGCCACAGACGCGTGAACATTTGGCGAAGACCTCATATACATGACAGTCAATATCTATGATCCAGGTGCTACATTAATAAATAAGATACAGTCAAACTTAGGTAATATATGTAGGAATGGAGCACTGGTGCAGGTCTGTAGTCCTAGTGGTACAATACCTATGTGATGTATATAAACAAATAGGTTCCCATCTGAGGAGCAAGAATGTGAGTCCTCCGTCCTCGGACCTGTTTTATCTGGTCGACAGGGACACGCACAAATTAACAGATGGACATGTGTAGAGCATGATACGCCAATATTAGTCATTACAGGATGTCGGCGTCTTTCATGTAATTGCGCTGAATGCCATCCCGCACTGCAACGCAAGCAAGTTAGCGATCATCCACTTATCAGATGCGCCAGCAGAGCGATAAGAAGAATTGAATAGGAGAAAATTTAACTCCATATGCGTACCTGTAGCAACGGTGATAGCTGTCGCCTTCGTGTCCTATATATCATGCCAAGTATCAAAAGATCACTCAAAGGAAAGCCGCTAGGCAGACAGCAAGGCTCACAATGACAGATGTAAGATATGAGTAGAAAGTTCGTTTCTCAGGCGACTGCTTCATGAACACGTCCTTGAATTGCTGGCGGAAATCTGCGAAAGTGTGAGACCGATACGTGAACTCCGATGGGCGCTATACGCACACTTTGCGACGGACTGGGCGTCGTTCGGCCGATCACCATAGCTGGGAACGTACTTGACGACCCGGACGCCGCGCGACAGCTTCTTCTGCAGGAGGTCGCACTTGTTCAAGAACTGTTCCCACGCACACGACGGGGGATATGTCAGCGACAGGGGGGGACAAGTCATACAGCGCAACAGGGACGCACCAGAATTAGCTGCACATGACGAAGCAGCTTGGACCCGCATACCGCCTTCCAAATCATGAGGCTGTCCTGGAGACGATTCACGCGGTGATCCTCCGCGAGTCGCTCATCAAAGCAGCTGATGGGCGCAAGAAAGATGAGCGCATGGATATCGTCGAAGTACGGGTACCAGGCATGCCGCTGTGTACAGTGTCGGTCAGATGAGCTGATGATCGCAGAATAATGCATGATGCACGCACGGAGGACCGAGCTCCGCCTACATCGTAGAGAATCCACTCGCGTCCCGCGTCAACGCCTCCTGAGTTGATCAATGAGCGAGATGCAATGGTGCCGCAGTCTGCAGAAGTGATGAGGCGATACGCACCTTTATCAAACTTGAATCGGTACTCCTGCACTCCCATGGTCCGCAGACGAGCTCGCACGACGTCTTCGTCAGAAGGTTCATAATCACGTGCTGCAACACGAGCAACGTCGTTGAGGAAGCTGCAATCACAGATACCGAGCTCGTCAATCAGTGCCCCGCGGAGAGCGTGTCCACAGTAGAAATGGGCTCACAACCCCGGACCCTCCTCCAGACGGGACTTGACTTTCCGGCGCGCCAAGATAGCTTGCACGTCGGGATCCGCCCACAACGCCACCATGTCTTCCGCGGATGATGAGATGATCTCAGCGGCTGTCTGTGCTTGTGGCTCGCACTCGCCGGTGTGAGAGGACCAATCAGCGTCGTCATCGCTGTCATCGCGATTCATGAATGCAAATGGTGAAATCGGTCGTCCACGTCGCCTGTCGTATGGCTATGTGCCGTTAATAAAGACGGAAATAAGGGAGATCGTGAGGAAATTAACGCACCTTTCTCTTATTCGACATGGCGTTCTCATCTGCATCGCCCGCATCCTCTCTCGAACCTAGCGAGGCCCGTCTCACTGCATTGTAGCTAGACTTGACACGATTGAGTGCAGACTTCCACCCTGTCCGGCTTGTGATGAAGAATTCACGCGGACGACGTTCAGCAAGATCTTCTTGGCGTGTCCATGGAGCAGCATCCCCTCTAAATCCCGGGGCCTCACTTGTAGCTGCACCAAGGCTCTGCTCCAGATCGCGTTGCACATGTCGCAACGGTGCCAGACGTAATTGGAGAACACGGTGCTTATCCGTCAATGTCGAAAATGACGATGCCTCTTCTTCGCCGTCTCCATCATCCTCAGTGTCAGGATCAAGGTCCCCTGCAACAGGGTTGACCAGTGTATTTTCCGTGTCGATGGAAGGGCTGTACTTGGTACGAGCGGTAGAGGGCCGAGGTAGAGTGCTCGCCTTATCTGAAACGGTAGGGCGGACCTGTGCAGTGGAAGGTCGAGTGTGCGATCGAGCCGGCGACATGGAGCGTGTGGACTGCGGTTGCGATCGTGAATCTGACAGTTCCTTGCCGAGTGTGTCTAGAATTGTGTTGATGGAGCGGACGAGATTAAGGTGGATGACTGCACGCCATGCGGAACGCTCTTGCAAGAAAGACGAATATGCATATGCCATTTGGAAATCTGTAAAACGCTGACATCAGCACGCGGTCATACAGTCGGTGACCGATGGATGAGAAATCAGGACAGCGGAAGTGCTACGACGTAGACGATCTTTCAGCTCTAGGAACAGTCTTGAACTCTTCCTGGAGCTGGAGAAGACCTGCGCCCTCGCAATAATACGCCGGAATCTCTTCATGGCGAAAGCAGTGCAGTAGGAATAGGACATACTTTTCACAGTAGTCGACTTGCCACTCTCGCTCTGCCCGAGCAGAAGCACCTTGACGGGCTTGCCACGCTTTTTCATGGCCTGCTTTTCTGCCTTGATGTGCGCGTCGATCTGCTCGCTGATCAGACGAGCTTGTGCCTCTCTCTGTTCCCGGGCCCAACGATCGGCGGGTGACTCGTCCTTGGGGGGTGCCATCGCGAGCGTCAACGGGTCGGGTGAGTCCATCGTCAGGACGGCCATGATGGTCGGGAGCAAGAACACGGAAGGACGATCCCAATGACTACGAAAACGGTATATCCTGAGAATACGGATAGAGGACGAGCTGGACTCCGACGTTATGACAGATTGAACGGCGCGTGCATGATGTGGAGAGAATTACACTGCTGCTACGTGGGCCGTATCGCCGCATTGTAACTTTATGAAGAGACATCGCTACCAAAAGGGCTGTTGCTGGTGGGAACGCAGGAAGTGAAACGCACCGAGACCCGGACATCATCATGATGGCGCCAGTGTCCGCGCTCAATCCTGACCTAATATCACATTTTCCATGTGATGGACCGCTGTACAGCATGGCTGCCCAGCCGCCTCACTGCGCGATCCACACATACAAGCGGGATATCTGACAAGCTAACTTGCAGAGAAATGATGGTGTCTCGTTAGGTGCGGCAATGTGCACCCAGGAACGCGTCTCGCCTTTCACGGTCACGTGTGGACCAGTCGCGGTGGCCGTCCGACTGTACGCTTCTGTCTTATTGTCTTCAGCAACCTTCCTCTCCTCGAGGTCCACTAGAAGTTTTCGTTCTCGCCGTTCAGACTCCTCTGGTCGCCATCTTGAGGTTGTCGCTGGATTGCGACTGCTTCGCTACAAGGCACAAATCTCAGCTGACTCCACATCGCTCCACTTGCAGCCGAAACGTACAGAGACGATCCTTCAAAGCTTCAAGCTTCGAAGCTCAGCTTTATCAAACTTCCGACGTGTATATCCGGTACAATGGCACAGAGGGACCCTTTCTTTCTGTTTGAAATTTGCGATTTCCCTGCGTTGTGCACCTAGTAGGATGCTCATACTACGTGGAGGCAAACGATGATGGCACCGTCGAAAGAACCAAGTGGCATACTTAATGCGCAGAGTCGTGTTCCGGCTTTGCTTTCTCCCCGCCCCTGAGTTCAGTGTAATCACGCTCTTCGTCAGTTGATGTGCCTGCCATTGATATTCAAGCCGGTTGCTCTTGCCAAGCCATTCCCACCATCTGCCATTTCAAATGCTTACTGAAGAGACAACCTCGATGGCGTAACACCGGAATCTGTGCCACAAATTCAAATATGATAGTCACATTGAAGGGATGCGTTCATTCTGCACGTAACAGCCCATTCTCCGCTTGGTCTTGCTGCCGTCACTGTCCGCTCAACGGCTTTCCGTCGTGCTGCCGTCCTGATGAACTGAGATTTGATGTGACTTCACTGCACCGGTGAGGGACAATCAGGATCCGAGCGATGGGCAATCAAACTGACGTTGAAGCTTCCCTCTCATCTCCGCCTGCGAAGATACACCGACGAGCATTACCATATTGCTCCATCGCCTGAATCTGTAAGAAGCGCACAGTTAGCGTGGTGAATCGAAGTGTGTTCAATGCCATCGTCACCAGTCGAGCATCCTTTCCTGCTTTTGCTTGCCGGGGCTATCCCCAACATTGCATCAGGCTCTGGATGTAATGCGCAGTAAATCCGAAGCTCACGCTAAAATCTCGGCATACCGCTGAATAAACAATCCCTTGAGCGATTCGATCCTTGCAAGTCGTCCATGGCCAGTGTAGCATGCCGCCAACTACTTGTCAAGAAGCGATACTGATTGCTACAAGAATTAAAAGTACTTTGCTCACGTACTGGACATGCATCTCCTCTCCTCGGTCTTCAATATGGTGCTACGAAACTGAGCCACCATTCTATTCCTGTGCGGGCGCGTATCAAGAGGTTACGGCCCTAGAAGTAAGGGCACCCGCCGCTCCAAATCCGCTTCCATAATTGTTTCCAAAACTCCCGGTCAGCAGTAGTGCGAGGTCAACAGAACGGCCGCCGCTCTCATTATATGTGTACATTGTATATGTCTGTTGCATATAAACTTGAGGCTTGATTGCATTGAAGATTCAACGATGATTTTCGGGGAGGCTTCCAAGCTTTACTAAATATTAACAGGATTTCGAAATACATGATGCACGCTAACGAAAGAAATACCGAACTTCTCAATCGTGCTTCCTACAGGGACCTTACAGCGCGAGCTGGTCAAAGATCAATTACCTCCACCTAATTCGTTCCGCCAGTCTCGCCTTGTTTTCGAGGCGTGTTTTCTCACCTACAACGGATGGAGATGAAGTAGCCGTAATGTCTCGGACACATTAGATGCTCACCATCTCATGAACCTTCAGAGCGTGTTGACCTACGGATAAATGGAGGCTCAACGTCAACAAAAGCTGGTAGAGAATGTATCGCGTGCGTCATACCGGTGTCATCATTGTACTCCATCGTTGCATGCAAATCCAGCTAGACGATATGAGTGGGCTTCTACCGCACGAAGGGATAGGAACCTTACTGGGTTATCCGTATCAGGGGTTAGCAGGAGGCCGTAGAGAATCTGCAAGATGACGCTGTTCACCGTGGATCAGCACTTAGATCACTTCAACATGATGACCTGCACCAGAAAATGTTCACCTCATTGTCATGTCGACAAGCCAGCCTCTGTCCAATGCAGCATGGCACACTTTCCCGTGACGATTGATGTTGGGGTGCAGAATAGGAGTTATGAATCGACTGAAGGATGGGTAAGTGTCATGCACGTCCTTGCAAGAACCGAAATGCATACATTTCCGGAGCCACCTGAGGATAGCTCTCGCCGAAATCAACGTACGCCAAAAATGTACCGCCGTCGTAAGGGGACTGATGCAGCCCAATGGTCATTGAAGTTGGACGTAAATCATTAGCGGAAGTTACGTACCCCATGAGGAGCCTCTATGACAACCTAACGAACAAGTCAATCGATGACTTTGCGGTCACCAGTTAGAGTAATCACCTTCCAGAACGCCAGATCATCGCCAGCATAGATGTCAATTGCCGCTGTGAAAGAAATTAGCTTCACCGTGCTCGGGAAAATTACTTGGCAGTTTACTAACGATGTGGTGAGTTAACAATGTTGCGAATTTCCTGCATAAGACGCCGTTGTCTGTCAGTCGACGGCGGAATGCTCCGTGCTGCAGCTTTCTGCGCGGCTCGCAGCGGCTCGTGAAGGCGCTACGATAAAGGACCAGTATGTCAGTTTGTATGTGTACGGACGACCAAAAGTGGGATCCTACAGCATGTGGCTTGCGTTGAGGGCATGTTTCAGCGGTCACAACGTCCACCTGAGAAACGTTGAGCTGCGGCGTTCAGAGGAAGAATGATACGTACAGGATATGTCCACGTGTCGTTATACTTCATAAGCTGCCATGGCTGACTCACGACGGGCTTGGGAGGCTGCAAAGGCGAAATCAGGTGCATATAACACAAGGATCATTACCAGAACCCACTCGCGGAACCCGATCCTTGGACCAAAGAACAGTTTCGAGTGCAACGATATTCAAGGCATTCTCGAGCTTGCAAATGTCATAGTAGTGTTAGATGATTTCTCACGTGTAATAACACGTTATGCATACCGTGTCAACCTTGAAGGAGTATCCTCCAGTGACCACAGATATAGGATGCAGAATGTTCCTGAGTCCGCCGGTTTGCATCGCGATGGAATCAACAATAACGTTGGACCTCTGCAGTTGGGCAGTAACGACGTGACTTTTAATCTTCGAATTGACATCCACTCCTATGTGAAAAAACGACCAATCAGAGCGTACATACGCCATATTTCACGTAGATTGGCTTACCGTCCGTCAAACAGATAATTCTCGATGCGGCGGAAGGATGCTGGGGTAAAGGAGGATTATCACATGATCACGGAAGACGCCATGATTGTATCCACACCTCCGCCTTGAACCTTTCCAGCATAGTATGTGCGACATGAAGACTGTCGAAAAGAGGTGTGTCGCCGTCGGCCTGCGATGAAAAAAAGGATGAATCACTTCATTGAATCAGAGTGATTTTTTTGCACCCACTTTGACATTTTGAAGTGTATTGCGGAACTCTTCTTTGAGGAGCGTAATCGGCTTAAAAATGTATCTTCAGATAAGCCCTTAACGGGTAGTCGCCACACTTACTTGGACTTCACGAACTTCTTTTCCGAATGTGACTATCCCTGGGATCTCAATTCAACATTGACAGCAATGCCGCACTGATGACACATTACCTATGGCCACCGGATAATTGAATGCCTCCGACTTGTCGACGAAACTAATCATGAAGGTTTTCAGTATGAGCGCTCTTGTAGAGTGTTCGAGTACCCACGCTTCGAATGCTTGTTTGACAATGTCTAATCTGAGAGCGATCCGGGATTAGGCTTTGGAATAAGTACATATAGCACACGTACCTGCTCAGTGATCGGGAATCCGCGCGGAGCCGCTCTGAACCTGAGGCTATATGATGCCATGCTGCCATCCCTGATTAGACACACAGATGCCACTGTGAAACAACAAAGTGAATACGACTCACCGCGGCGATCCAAAGTCAGCGAATCGGCTGGCAATTTACCCGCTATTTGTTCCGTTTCGGAACTTAGACTGGAGGTCAGGGTCTGAGGCATGAGAGCACTGCCACGCATGCTGCCGTCACCATAATCCTTCAGTCCTGGGAAAACATAAATTTAGGACATATGGTCAGTGCTATCTGTCACAAACCGTGCCACATTCTCGTTGAAGATGGTTTACGGTCCCAGAAAGACCACTCGTCCAGCAAGATAGAGAGCAATGATTTCGGTCGCGGATGTGCAATGTACAGATATTCTTGACTATAATGGCGGATCTTCACGAGGAGCGGCTTTTGTGGTTGCAAGAAAGCCCGCGGCCTCCCATTCCTGAAATCAAGAGCAGACCGTTGGATGCTTCTCATTGGCATCAAGTCGTAACCACGGTTCAGTTCCACCGTCGGGTCCATTGGTGAGGTATTGTGAGCCTTGAGCCATGCCTCTATACTGCTACGCTCGTAGACGAGTCCTGTAAAAGAGATCCATCAGAGTTCTCAAAACCTGAGCGCAAAACTCATACCATCGCTTGCTTGGACAGGATCCCGGAAGATTTCGCCACTCAACGGGTCAATTAGATTCTGTGATGAGACGTATATCAGTCCTGCATTGAGTGCATGTGTCAACAGTAAAAAGACTCACCATCGGTATATTACGTGCAGTGCGAACACTAGAGACTTCACGAGCAGTGGCTGCCTGTTTCATCAGATGCTCGACAAGCTGGTCTTTCATAGCAGGATATTCCGTCGCGGCGATGAAGTCTTCCAAGATATGCAACCTGGACAAGGTGATTACTGCTAACTAATGTTCGAATTCCAGGAAGACTACTCACATCGACGTGGCACAATTGTTACCGGACTGGCTCATCTGCCAGTGTTGACGAATGTACAAAACCTTTAGCTCATCAATGACTGCTTCAACTCTTTCTCTCCTGGAGATGTTATTGTCGTTACCCCACCAAGACCTCTGTGTCGCAACCTGTCCATGATAGACATGCCGGACGATGCTAGGCATACAATCCAAGTTGATGAGATGCTCCTTCGCTGCAGGACGCCAACAGCTTAAGCGAAGATTGACAATATCACTAACACGCGCATACCTCGAGTCAGAGCAGCTTGTATTTCTCCTCTACCTTGCCGTGCGGCAATTTGTTCGCGAACATATTTCAAAGCAGCTTCATCTGGATCATTCTGCTCTTCGAAATCGTCATCCGGATTGAAGTTTTCTTCCATAGAACGAGATATATCTAAGGCGACCACTGCGTCGTTGGTTGTAATCATGCTTACAAATTGGGTGTCCAATAGTCAAGAACTCACCAATGGCTTCCTCGATGTCCCTGGTGTCAACACGATCCATCCTGGCACTGCCAAAGGCATCAATGTCCCATTCACCTGCCCGTTTGCGCGCCTCAATGATTGGCTGCAGGCCGACAGCGAGCTGTGCAAGGAAACGCACTTGGCATCAATGTCCCGATCGTTCGAGAAGCGATGAACATACTGTATTAACGTCAACTCCAACCTCTCCTCCATGACATGGTCTCAAGAGAAAAACATCCTCGCCTGGAGGCGAACATGGTCCGCCACGTGAAACGTACACAGCGTTATACCCCGCCTGGTCCAGCGTTAATGAGGGTGTAGTCACAGGAGGATGCAAGCTCAGAGGCGCATGAATCTGCAACTCGACATTGGCCATGTCGATGGCAGCGGCCAAATGCAAGCTATTGAGCCTTCGAGACAGGACTGTAACGCGTGGGATTGCCTTATTGAGCACTGGGAGCTTCAGCGACCTTCGCGCGATTTGGAGGATTAGCGGCCGCAAGCTTGGCAAGGCCGGCTCGATCACCGGAATAGGCTCTGAGGGATTATATAGAGCACCTCCTTGTTGCCTGACGTTGGCTGCATTGCGCTCAACTATCCGACCTCCAAAGGCTACGGGATCCCTCAACGGCTCTCCAGATAGCTCGCTAGAACACAGTCAGTGTGAGATAGATGCATCCCTCAACGATTGCGCACGCTTACCAGGCAAGGGTGACATCCTGGAAGACAGGAATTGTGGAAATCTCTTGATCATGTTGCGGCAGGGTGAAGATTCGTTTGGTACGTTCGATAAGAACCCCGAACATTATTCGAGCACCTTCGAATACTCTTGAGGTATCACCTTTGGTGATCTGCGGATGCGCGACATCTAATGCAAGGTGATACATTGTGTCTGATAATGCTCGCATTTCTTCTGGTTGTACCGTCTCATTCTGTATCAAGATGTACAACGACCGGACCGCTGATGGGGATTGTTAGACCTGACAGTGGAACGAAGAAACGTGCATACCGGGAGGAAAGCACGTCAAAGCAAGGAGGTGATGAAGCATTCTGTGCTTCATATTCTGCTGCTCTGTATTCTGATCCGCGGTGCTATGCGAATTGTCTTAGCTGTAACAGTCGTGATGGCTGAAGGCTGATGTCTTACGATAGATAATTAGCGAAGACTAGCAAAGAAGATAAGAACGTTGCCATGCCGCGATCACTTTGCCCAACGGATGGTTGCTACAAATGGATAAATGTGCACATCAGATGGCCCAAATTTTCTGAAATCCTGAGGTGCTACTTACCCATTCCTCTCGGTACGTGTACACTGCCGCCTTTCCGACTCTCTTCCCGTCCGGTTCCTCATTTTTAGTCCCTCTTGTGACGTACAGCGTGAGCTGGCCACCATTTGGAATCTCAGAATCCAGGCCCAGATCTTCGATGGAAACAGCAGATGACTGGTTGAATATTGGCGACGACGCAGTGTGTAAGTAGAGTGAAGCTTGTGATCGAGTCACGGGGCGGTAGGGGCCATTTAGCTCGAAGCGACGTATTCCATCTGGCTCGTCATGACGAGAAGCACAGCAAATGGACACGATTGTCGAGTGTCGGAACGACACCACTCTGTAAAAGTGATACATCAAGCCGTGCTTTGACGAACTCAAACGTTTTCTTAACATACCCGGTGTTTGCCCTGCCAAACTATGGCGACATGATCATACAATTCTGTAGTGGGTGAAGTAACAGGTGACTGCTCACCATTCTGACGCTGAGCCCATGGCCGAAGTGTGCATACTTATTAGTAAGGATGGCAAGCACTGCAGATCAATGTCAGTGGGACAACTAGTCACCTTCACAAGTCGCACGTACACTCAGACTCATCAAGATTTATCATCTCGTCTGTTGCATTCGTGTAGCGTTCAGGCAGCGGGACCGTATCAATTACCGATCCCGAATACACAACGACTAAGTGAGGCTCTGCAGCGCGATGGTGAGATCAGCGCGATTTCTAATACGCACTGATGATAAAGAGGTTCATACTTCGCATATCGAACGGGACGGCCTCTGCTGAGAATGACGATCTCGGGCATCCAGCGGGACATCCCTGAGTGGATGATGTTCGGGCAAAATAGCAATGTGCATGAAAGATGTGCTTGCACCTACATGCATAGAAACAGAGATGAAGTCAATCCAAGGGAATATATAGATTAATTAAAGACATACCCGGCATTCTAAAGGCACACAGTGAGCTAGGAAATGTGGAAAGTGAAACGGACAGCACACCTGCACCAAAGGACAATGTCTGATATTCTCAGCACCAGAAGCGGCGCTTTTATCTTCACCGGCTTTGATAATGCATTTCTCACAAGGGAATCCTATTCTCCGTAATTACGTGGTCAGAACAAGCTCGTTATTTCTCTGACACATCTGAAACAAATCCATACCGAATAATTCCATGCAAATTGGACACTCCATACTTGCCAGATCAGACAGAGAGTTGCGGAGTATTCCGTCACCTTACGTCGATAGATAATGAGCCGGCTATCAGTGTAAAATGGGAAGATTGTTACCGAGGGCAGCATGGGAATAACGACATTGAAAAAAACATCGCTGACCGTTGATCTCCCTGGAGCAATGAAGCTGCTCGAAACGGCCTTCTGCAGAATGAATGAGGACATGTATGCGCATGCTTGAGCCAAACGACCGTATACCTAAATAGATCTGATTCGCCACGGTGCATGCACATGACCCTCGAATCTTCTCTTCTTCCGCACTTTGATTCTCGTGATAATCTGCTGCAATAGGATAGTTCTCAAGCCAGCCCAGAGTCCGGGCGATCTCTCTGCGCACTTCACCCTGGCAGTGATCATGAGCAAATATCTGTGAGGAGAAACATGGAAGGCTAACCATGGGCAAATCGACACTAACGGAACTACCCTGGAATGCCATGAGCTTTCCCACCTCCTCATTCCCATCATTCCTATCGTTGCGAGCAAGCTCCGGGGTTACAACGGCTATCTTCACACGTTTCCTGGAAGGTGGCGGGTTGTCGACGGTGGCGGAGCTGGTAGGTTGTGCGTGCACTTGCTGCAAAGCCTTTGACTTTCTCTTGTTGCGATTTCCATTCTTCTTTCTTCCGATATTGTTGGAATTTGTGCGCGCCACATTCCCATCAACGACGGCGGATGCAGGAGGAGGTGAAACCAGAACTGGGGGCTCTGACCCGATATATGCACGTATGACTTCCTCAGCGTGGATCACATCCCCCACCTGGTCTTCAGGAAAGAGCTGAGATCCATCGGGAAGGGCCAGCGAAATCTGGGATGCTATCTCTCGGCCCAATCCTCTCCGGCGCACGATCTCCTCGGCAAGCTGGCCCACCGTGTGCGTTGATGCTATCGGAATCACCAGACGCCCTTGCGGGCGTCCTGAAACTGCCGGGACATCAACAAGAATACGTATCTTGGGCCCCTCCATTTATCGAGCGATATCGACTGCAGGATGATGGAGGTTCTCAAGACGACGAGGAGACGCCGTAGACAGGGTACACGCGCAGTTTATAGGAGCGTCAAGATAAGCGCTTGCGTATTTGGCAGTCCCTCGTGCGGCCGTAATCAGTCGCGGACAGTGAGTTCATGAACAGTAATGCTAGTGTCTACATATATCAACCAAAATAAGAAGTAAAGGGAAATGGTCTTCTGCCAAAAATACGGTGCAGGCGTGAAACTGATACAACAGCCACCATTTGGCCACCACCGTATGTGCAGCCATTTCGCAGTCATGTGACCGTGTCCCGTTCAACGCGGCGCATTTCATGCCATTGGCACTGTACGAAACTGCACATTCTTTCAAGTGCTTGAGATTTCGGGAGATCATGCTCACGAATAATGAGAAGCTTCAATTTTTCTAACCCGATGTTAGAGTAAAATTCACATCTTGGACGACGTCGATCTTACGACCCGGCGCTAACGGTACATACTATAAGGGTCTGCCGCGAGGTTGTTGAATCTACTCTTCGTCAGAGCAACATTGATCATGTTGTATTTTCCTATCGCTATGCATCAGCATGACTGCGTAAGTTCAACCGAGACACCTGCCAGTGCTTAGCTATCAGCCCTGACATATGGAGTCAAAGCACGGAAGCGAACAATCTAGCCATCACGACCAACACGTGTAGACGGGTCTGACATCGACTGCAAGAGCATGTTGGCAAATATTAACTACAGTAGACTATCTCATAATGCATAAGGTTGGTTCCCGGCTCAGGCTATGCATTATGAGATGATATGCATTACCAGATGTGTCACATTGTGTTACATAGTGTGACAGTTGTGACCTTTTACTGAGCAGTTGTCACGCCTGGTGCCTCGAAAAGGAGACTGATGTGAAACTCGATAAATACAGACAGATAAGGCAGTAATCCGAGTTCCTTGGTGACTCTGGGGTGTAATTTCTGAGTACTTTTGGACCCAGACATGGCAATTGCATTAGAAGCAAATGAGAATTTTGCTATGATAGATAGCTTTTGACACCATTTTCATGCACAAATCATCTAAAATAGGTCAAATTTCCAATCTGATAATGCATAAAATCCAAATTTGGTTATGCAATATGCGATATGAGATTTTATGCATAATTCCCTTGGGGACGAGCATGGTTCCCAGGTCAGGCCATGCATTATGAGATATTATGCATTATGAGATCATGCATTATGAGATAGTCTACTGTAGTAGTTCGGATGTTCGCCGCTGCTGAATATGACACCAGAAATATCGGGATGCCACGAAGCATTGTGACAATCATCTTGCGTGGATCTTGATCTAGCTTGATATGTTGATACCTTACAACCATTTCAATAGCAAAGCGCAGGCCTACCAGCCTGGAAATGTGAGAAGTGTTCATGGACTCGTGTGCCGTCGGAACTCCAGAGCGCCCGGCGCGTCCACTTGAGCGCTAAAGTTATATGGCCTTAAGATGTCCTCTTCCAAGTTCCTTCTGCGCGATTTCGCATTCCACTGCGCTCACGCAGATATGCAAATCCTACGTTGCAGGTATATTCGACACTGAAGATCTGCAGATCACATTAGCAGCACCACCGGCCATCCTGGGGGGGAAAGTTTGTCACTATGCGTCGATTTGACGTCAGTCCTTGGAGAATTGGAGACTGCACGCTATATATCCTCATAGGAAGGTAAAGCCGGTTTCTGTCACTTCACCTCTTTCCCAGAGATCGACAATGCTCGCCGCAACTCACCTCCGCCGTGCACTCTTGCAGACACGCACTCTGACCCGCGCGCTGACCACGACTGCGCCGCGTCTCGCCCCGAAAGCACAAGTATTCCCATTCGACTTTCTTCCCGCGAACTCGCTCGACACGAAGCCGCGCATCAAGGGCCTCACTGAGATCCGTGGTCCATACTATGCACCAGTGACGAAGACGTACCTCGACGAGCTCCTCAGCGACTGGGGCGACTATGTAGATGGGATCAAGTTTGCTGGTGGGGCCTTCTCATTGATGCCAGAAGAAAAATTGAGAAATTTGATTGAGACGGCACACAAACACAGTATGCCATCAATGGATGGCTGACGGTCACGGTTTAACTGCTGACTGTCCTCTGTGAACAGACTGCTATGTGAGCACTGGCGGATTCATCGAGCGCGTGCTCTCTGCCTCAGGCGGTAACAAAGACGTGATCTCCAAATATCTTACAGCATGCAAGAACATGGGGTGCATATTTTGCTCACTATAATGCACTGAACATGCGTCTCACTTCTTTCCGCTTTCAGCTTTGACGTGCTTGAGCTGTCCTCCGGCTTCTTGTCCATTCCTACTGAAGACTGGGCAGCATTGGTAGAATTCACCGCTGCCCACAGACTCAAGCCGAAGCCCGAGGTGGGCATCCAGTGGGGTGCCGGCGGCGATGCTACTGTCGAGGAGCTCGAATCCGCCGGAACACGCGACCCTAAGTGGCTCATCGACCGTGCTAACACCTTCCTCCAAGCCGGTGCTCATGTACGTACATCGACCACACTCATCACATGCCCGCTGAAGTCTATACCAGATGATCATGATTGAGAGTGAAGGCATCACCGAGAACGTCAAGGCGTGGCGAACGGACGTCATTTCTGCGGTGACCTCAGCGCTGCCCCGCGACAAGATCATGTTCGAGGCAGCCGAGCCGGATGTGTTTGCGTACCACATCCAGAATCAGGGTGCACGCGCGAACCTCTTCATCGACCACTCACAGATCGTGCAGCTGGCGTGTCTGCGCCGTGGCATCTGGGGCACGGGAAGCACGTTCTCAAGGGTAGTGACGTTCGAAGGCACGCAGGATTATGCGAAGGGGAAGTAAATGAGCAAGTGCTTTCCGATATGATTCCTACGCAGATTTTATGTAAGGTAGTCCACCTGTAATATATAGCGTTTTCCTGGAATCCTTGATCCCATCATGGACGCGATCGAGGTGTGAGCAAGCGCGCGCTTCGATGGTGTATACTCATTATCCGACTAGCTAACATGGGGTCTATGTTCCCTAGGGTCATGGAAGAGCCCAGCTCTTCCAGTGTCTCCCACCATCCCACGTAGACATTAACCCAGAGATGTCGCCGCCGACGCTCGCCATCGTCGCGGCAGGTGCCATGGGCTCCGCCGTCGCCCGCCGCTTCACCTCCGCCGGCTGCACCGTCCTCACGAACCTCGACGGACGTTCCCCCGCAACGCGCGCTCGTGCGTCCGCCGCCGGGATGCAGGACGTCCCCATGCGCGAGCTCGCTGCGCGTGCCGAGTGGATCCTGAGCATCCTCCCGCCGAGCGAGGCTATGGGGTTCGCGGAGAGCTATCTCGACGCGCACGCGGACATCGGATACTCGCCTGACGGCCACGATCTGAATTTTGCGGATTGCAATGCGGTGAGCCCGGAGACGGTCAAGAAGATTGCGGCGATGTTCAAGAAGAGCCCGGTCGGGTTCGTGGACGCGGGGATCATTGGCGGGCCGCCGAAGGACGGATATGATCCTGTATTTTATGCTTCTGCAGACGATGCGGGCCCTTTGAACGCCTTTTCTGGCCTGCAGAAGTGGGGGCTTAATGTGTCCTTGCTGAAAGGCGAGGGGGCAGGTGTCGGAGATGCGAGCGCACTGAAGATGTCGTATGCAGTAAGTACCTCAACCATCCTGCATTCACTCAAGCTAACAAACTTGCTCGCACTTAGGGCATAACCAAGGGCATCACAGGTCTGTGTACAACGATGATCCTAGGTGAGTTCACTGCATCGTTGCGTGACCAATCTTCTTCATTAATATCACCATAGCCGCCCACTCCTCCTCTCCCGCCACCGCACAGGCCCTCCTCCGCGAACTAGGCGCCTCGCAACCAATGATACTCCAGCGCATCACGCGCACTGTCCCAGATATGCTTCCGAAGGCATATCGCTGGGTCGGGGAAATGGAAGAGATTTCGTCATTCGTAGGCGGAGGAGCGGGCCAGATCCACCAGGGCATGGCAAGAATCTACGAGAGAGTGGAGCGATCGTTGAAGGAGGAGGAGGAAGGTAAGGGTGGAAATGACGTGAAGGCCTTGCGCGACTTCGTGGAGGAGGCAAAGAAGCTGCTTGAAGAGAAGAAGTAAACCGCAATCGGAAGTGGCGTAAAGCTCCAGTGCGATTCACACTTAGCAACCCAAGTCTATGCAAAATCCCGTCAGATTGATGTATTCACATCTCGAGGACATTCGAAGCTGGACACGACCACCGCATATTCATTTCCGGGGTATACTGCCCTCGCTTCAGGCTCTCATATGCGGTGGGCACGGGCACGAGCACAGCAGAGGAGGTTCCGATTAGGTTTCAATCGAGTTACTTTTGAATCTGGGCATCTCGAAGGATTGATTACCATCTAGTTATGGTGCAACACATTACATTGTGTTTGGTTACTGTATAAAACTGTGAACTGGCTTCCCAGGTACAAGATGCCTGTTCAATGTGGAAAATGTCCTGGAGGCGACGGATTCGCGTCAGAGTCAAAACAGATTTGTTGGGCATAGTATTCCACCACATGTCTGCGCTATGGGACGGTCATCGACAGAATACTTATTTGCGCAATAAGGAGTTACATTCAAATTGATCCAGAGTCGTTACGGGACGTTACAGGTCATTCGTGGCCTTGCCCATCTCTGACTGCTCTCAATTCGGATACAACCCCTCCAACAGTTTCACCACCTGCGGATACGTCGGATCGTCCATGTTGCCCACAGCGAGCTCCGCAATTGTAGGCACGTCGGCCCTGGGGACCTTGTATTCCTCCAGGTTAGATTGCAGTCCCAGATTCTTCACGAGCCTACGTATGCCTATTCAGTATTATTCCGATGCCCGGTTGTCTGAGGGACGCACCCATCTATGAGCCCCGAGAGCTTGAGCACGTCGCCGTCCAGCGAGCCTGTGGACTGCTCGCGGAGGTGGAAGAGGGTGCCGGAGAGCCACTCTTTGTCTTCCTGGGAGGCAATCTGAGCTTTCAGCGCAACTGTAGGTGCGAGAGTCAGGCACTGTAAAACGAAACCCAGAAGGGTCAGCGATTGTCATATGAAGAATGATTCTAGCACGTACAGATGTAATCCCGTGAGGGATGCTGTACGTCGCGCCCAACTTGTGCCCAAGAGCATGAGACAAGCCGAGAGCACTACAATCACCTGTTGAATCTCAACTCGTAGTTTCAATCATAAGCTATGCACCTGTACTTCTCCAATCTTAGAGGCCAGAGACTCATCCACGACGCGATCTGGAGCTTCTGCCTGACGTCAATCGCCTGCGGATTCGCTTTTGACTCGGGAAGATATTTGAAAAGATCAGCGAGGGCGGCGTAGCATAGATGCTTGACTGGCGGCGGGACGAGCGGTCTGTAGAGATTCTCTGATAAAGTGGAAATAAGGTTCAATAGTTGCTTATAGTTGGTGTCGAAACAAAACGCACCAACTGCGTGGTCTACCGCACGCATTCCGGTAGATAGCCTGGAAGGAAGATTAAATAGCATCACTTTGATATATCTGGGCTCTCACAGCGAGCTTACCAGAGACGTTCAGGCGTTGCGAGCGTCAGCTCAGCATCAAGGATGATCCCCGCTGGAGCCAGCTGCGGATTGCTCACGGCGACTTTCTTACCCTCCTCGCTGATATAACCTGCTCCCACCTGCTCATTGGACATGAGTATTCTGTACCTGCTCATCGACGATATGACTGACAGTATACTCCGCTGCACTGAGCGTTGTCGGAACCGCGATCTGCTTGAGGAAGTCTCCGCCGGACTTCTGCTGGTGGAAGTAGATAATCGCCTTCGCTGCATCGATTGGAGAGCCGCCTCCGACAGAGACGATGATGTCTGCCCCCGCGTCCTCGAACGCTTTCAGCCCCTTGCGAATACCCGCGACTGGCGCGTGCTGTCCTATCTCGTGGAAGGTGCCGCCATACGCTTTGCGTTCCTTGAGAATGGCTTCCACCTTCTTGACAACGTCCGTCTGGAAGATCGGCGTAAATTAGTACAGCGCTGATGGTGATCAGGTCGGCACCCACCTTTTCGTACAGACTTCTCCCTGTCACGATCAGCGCTTTGGCCCCTCCGAGAACGTCCAACAGCTTAGGCAACGCAGTCTTGAGTGAACCTGGTCCATAGTAGACGCCCTTCAACGTCTCCGTCCAGGCGTATGAACCCTGCAGCGAGGAAGATTCGTACTCGGTGCTGTCGACACTGGACATGTTGCCGATGATGCTCGGAAAGGCGGTTGAAGATATTCCTGGACAAAGGCGAACAGCAACTGTCTCTTATATCGGCGCTCCCCTCTGGCTATTTCTAAGAGCGTTGACCGAAATGTAGCAATTGCTGACACGAACGACGTCATGTGCCCCTTGGAGAGCTGTGAGCCGTCCGCGATGATTGCAATGCGAGCATGTTCTTTTTGGAGGAGGCACGGCAATTTTTTTTCATCTTTCAGACTTGTATTATAACCAGAGACGCGGAGGAGTGAAAAATGAAGGCCCTAACGATAATACGCGCAAGCGGCAGCCGTGATAATTAGACAGCACGTGACCGTGTCGTGATTCCACGCACTGGCAGCGGGCGCCTCCGAGACGCGCAGACTCTTCCGCAACAACCTCCTTATTCCCGATGCAAATCTGTCTCAGTAGAATGAAAAAAAAAAGCATACAAAAAGACATCTCAGCGTAATGGACTGGATTGGTGCAGTAACAAAAGAGACCACGTCTACGGTGTTCGATGCTTCCTCCTAGCAACCGTCTCCCTTGATCCCAAAGTGCAAGCCATTGATCAGGTACCATTCTCGAATGTGCCTGATCTGATCCGTAAAAAGGACGGATGACTCGCGTTCAGAAATCCGGAGAGCTGACGGGCAATGCTCGCCGCTCTAGCCGGGGAGCCAGGGCGTGCCGTAGCGCCAGTCCATCTATAAAACATACGCGGACTTGTCTCAAGAGCCCGCCCGGCACCGCCATAAACTCAATATCAGCAACCAGACGCTCGTTTCTCTCCTTGCCCCTCTTTGAACACAATCGCTTCTGCATCTATCGCAAACAACGCGCGCAATGGCTCCAGGAGACAGTCGTGCCAATACTGGACTCACCTTCTTCGGAATGGTGGGTGGCGTTATGGCCGCTTTGAAGCTGAAGGAAAAGTGGAACGAATGTGAGTAGTCGACCTCTGAATATTACCGTTCTTGCGCTGATGTTGCTTTCTGTAGACAGACGTATTCCTGACGAGGAAGATGCCTTGGGCCCACTTGCCTTGCATAGTCCCATCGATGAGGACGGGATGCATACTTTGGATACAACTATCCCCTCCGTCAGGTTGAAGAGGAGGAAGGCGGACTGCTGCGTGTGCTGCGGGATGCAGTTCGTCTTTGACACATCTGCATCGCTTCTTTACTGATAGTGGCGCAGGTGCGGCCTTTTCTGGAAGGCCTTCGGAATTGTGTGCCTCCTACTGGTAGGCTGGCAGACCATCAAGTTCGTCGTCTGGATGGTGACCGTAAGTGTATCCACCGAATGCGTCAAGTCCTGTGACCGAGTGTCTCGCTCCGCAGCCCTCCCCGACCGGCCTCGAGACCATGCCAAAGTTCAGCGCCTCGCTGGGCTGTTCCGACGCTCCTCACTTGTATGGCGATTCAAAGACCACATTCTCAGTCCCAATAAATGTTGATGCTTTGGACCACATCGTTGACATCAACGGCGGCGCGGTCGGTACTCTGACAATCGCCGAAGGCGCACCAGGCGCAACCGAGATCAAATACGAGATGACGCTCCGCTCGAGCGACGCGTCCTATCTCGACCTGGTCACCCTCAGCTACTCAACGCCTTCCGAGGTCGAGGACCCGATGACCCAGAGCCGCATGAGCCTCGTGACGCCCATCTATGGTGAAGCTGCCGGCGCATGTATGCGCTACGATATGACCGTATACGTGCCACCAAGCATCGCGTCACTCAGCGTCACCACCCGCGGCTCGGGCGCCACGCAGCTGAAGTTTGACGACGACTCGAACTTCGATCTGGGCAGTCTTTACGTGAAGACGTACGGCCTGGATGAGCGCAACATGATCCTCCCGCATAAGGGCGTGCACGCCGGCCTGCTGACGCTCGAGATGGAGCGCGGCTGGCTCGTTGGGGACGTCGCGATCGTGGACAAGACGGTGCTCACGACACAGCGCGGGGACGCCACGCTGAACACACACGTCTACCCTGCGCCCTCGTCAGAGGAGCCGCCTGCGGTTGCCCAGCTGCAGACCACAACGGGATCGGGGCGCTCGGACATTTTCTACGTGAACCACCCTGGCCATGCTCACCGCCAGATCTCGAGCATTCACCGCTCCTCGCGGAACGGCGATTTGTACCTCACCTACAAGGAAGCAGAATGCAACGGGACCGTCGACCTCACCGCGCAGTCGTTCTCCGCGACGGGTCTGCAAGGATCGGTTCGTCATGGAGGAGATGAGTTGCCATGGGTTGGGAGCAAGGACGGCGCGGACAAGATCGTGGCCGAGTCTCCCCACGGGTGGGTCGGGATCTATTTCTAAACTGGGTCTTCATGTCTATGTGAGTGGGAAGTGCACCCGTTAGAGTTGAGCTGCGGTTCATCTAGTGCAGATGTGCTATCACACCGGACTCTATGGGACTCATAGTATCTGTATCGTGGTTCACGCTCATTTGTATTCATGGTCATCATTATATCATTCGTGCGAGCTAATATACAGTGCAACTTTTGTCCATCCTCATGAAGCGCCGATTCCACCACGTCGATGCGGCATCGGGCTCCAAGCTCTTTGGTCAGCGGTTTTCTTGTCTACAACTCCCTTTGGCGGTGCCGAAGGATCTGACTCATTCTGACCCACGACGGTCAATATATGTGTGATCACAAGCCGAATACAACGATGGCAGGAAGAACTTCGGATTCTCGCTTAGAGAGAAGAGTGGAAACAGGTATGATCTACTTGATTCGCGCCCCGGACACTCATTGACTATGACTGTGAACTCTCATCAACGGCTTCAGACCCCTTCGAGAACGTCTACACGTGTGGTAGCATCTGGATCTCTACGTCCATCGACCGCGATGCAAAGTAATGCGCGATGTTCGCCGTTTACAAATTGAGTCTTGGTAAGCGATTCTTATCTTTTCGCGCATCGTGGCCATGCTCAGTTGATACTGGTAGGCAAGGACATGGCAGATGTCTGGCCCACAAGCTGATCTGAGTGCCCTTCGGTGATGTTGGCTAGATGACTGTGAAGCGCTGCCAGGCCATACGATAGTTGTCTCTGATGCATCAGTGCACAGATCAGACATTGTGTCCACCTGTCTGATCCTTTGATTCGAAGAATGATAACAAAGCGCTCGCAATGTGCATGCCGTTTATAAGTACAAGGGTACCAGCAATTCCCCTAGCTCCCGTCTCTCACATATCCGGACTACGGCTGCCCACTACTTTGGACCTCGAGTTTCAGATAAATTCAATATCTAACTGTCAATCCATACCATGGCTGCCCTGAGGTCGCGAGAAGTGGCTGCATGGTGAGTCTCCCGAGCATAGCACAATGAACGTGTTCCGCTAATAAATGTCTCTGCCAGAAGAGAAAGAAGGCGATATATCGCGCAATGAGGCGACCGCCGAGGATCTCGCGGACGAGACCCTCAGACCGAAGAGAAAGAAAGCGGCCTCCCGCGCCTGTTGTGGGATACGGTAAGCTTGTTTATACGCTATTGACCTCCAGGCACTCATTATGGATTCAGATGTGCATTGATTGGGAAAACCATCGCCATTGTTTGTCTGCTCGGCGTTGGTCTGTTGGTCGTGAAGTATGGGTTGAATCCAGTCAAAATACTGCTGGGGATCATCAATGGCTGTACCTATCTGATATTCTGGGTGATGATGCGTGTGTGGAACTTGCAGCTTTGGTCTATGATCGTAAGGTCATTGTTTCTCGTATGCGCATCCTGCAGCTAAATTTTGCGCTTCCAGCACTACCCCACTGGTCTGGAGAACATGCCAGAGTACAGTGCCTCTCTTGGATGTACGAATGCCTCCCGAGTATTCAGCGATGTCAAAACGACATTTGCGGTGCCAACCGCGCCTGTGGAGGCTGTACATTCACTTGACATCGCAGGCAGTGCTGTTGGCACTCTCACGATCGCGCAAGGCCTCCCGGACGCTTCCGACATCAAATACGAGACATTCGTCCATTCCAGCGATCCTACCCTCCTCGACCTCATCGCATTCACCCAAGCTCCTTTGCCCGACCGTGTCGATCCTCTTCACGAAACCCGCGTAATTGTAGAGACGCCAGCATTTGACATATTCACAGGCGCCTGTGTGCGCTACGATATGACCGTGTACATCCCCTCGAGCGTCTCTTCGCTTGATATCCGAGCTCATGGCAACGGAGCCCTGCAACTGAAGTTCGACGAGCGGTCAAACTTCGAAGTGGATGCGCTGTCAGTGACAATTGAAATGCCGGACTCGCGGAACTTGATCATGCCTCACAAGGGCGTACGTGCCGACATCATGACCATCGGTATGGCAAGCGGATGGCTCGTGGGGGACGTTACGATCGTCAATGAGACGCGGCTTGGCAGGGAAGATGGGAACATGACACTGAATGCGCACATCTATCCCGCTCCATCCCACGAGGACCCACCTGCGCCCGCTAATCTAGACACCACCACGGGCTCGGGACCAAGCTCATACATATTCTACATGGCCGACGCTGGCCATTCCCGTCGTCCGATCCACAGCGTTCATCGTTCGCTTGGCGAGGACATGCTTTGGCTGGTGTATCCGCAGGTAACTGTCAACGGCACTGTGAACATCACCGCGAGCAATTACCCAGGAGGACGGCTGGAGCACCATGACCCTGATGGTCCGGACAGTATTGTGTCTCAGTCCGACGGTCCCATTGTTTTCTTCGCTCATTCTTTCTAGACGTGCGTGTTCGTAAATATCACAGCAGCTATGCAGATCACGTTCAATATGAAGGAAACTCGTGCAATGGATGAAAGGTTGCAAACTTGGAAGGAAGATGGGGAGACGATTGAGCGAGAATGCTATGTATATATTTGATTTATGAGCAGCACTGTCAATGATCATTATGATCTTCGCCACAATCAAAATATTGTGGTCGCTGTAACGCGGCGCCGCATTTTGACATCGGCTCAGGGAGCTACTGTTGTTGATATCGAGCACTGCCTATAGTAAAAATCAAATATAACACTCAGTTGCCATCCTATGCACTCACAGCTCTGTGGTTTTGTCAAGAACGGTTTCAAGTTGCCGCTCCACTACGGCCTCACGTCAACTCTGGGCAGTGAGAGGCGGTGAAGCCGTTGAGGATATCTTTACGAATATCATAGTCAATGATGTAACTCTGTTGTTGATGGCAACGGCTGGCGTACGACCTTGATGAAACGAAATCTTATGCTAGCGTGACGCTCATGTAGCGCCTCGAGAAACTGCCGGGCGTGGAAATTAGTCTTACGCTAGCAGACTGCGACGAGAGCGAAAATGTTAAACATGGCTACCAGCGCGTGTTACTCCCTTTTATTTCCTTATCCAATAGTTAGCCTGGTTTCATGCGCAGTTCCACGTTGAAAAGGTTCAACGACGACCGTTCGGTGACTCGGACGCGAGTCGTTCCGCCTTTGCTTTACACGAGGTCATGTGACCGCGTCCGAATCACCTGGGCCGCAAGGAGCCCAGTAAGTCCGTTCGTCTTATTTCCTCGTACATCCGCCCATCGCGTTCATTACACCGCTTTGGGAAGCACATTTTCTCACACACTAGTCATGCGACCGGTCTCTTTCGGATCCAATCCGTTGTCAGACAAAGTAAATTGGCGGGCAGTGCTACATCTGATGCCGTGATGGAATCAGTTATTACCGACAGATCGATGGGGTGAGGCTGGTCGGGAGACATGCAAGCGACGGCGGAGCCGACCATGACTCAGTCTACCATCGTGCGAAATGCTCAGCGTGCTGATATTAAGACCTCGCTATCAAAGGACACTGCTTCTCCAGCATACTACTACCATCACGGACTCCCTCTGCTTCAAACTTCCTAGTGAACGCGATCTGGCGGTTGGCTATCTTTGCTTGCTTGATAATCACATAGTACCATGTCGTCCTTGAGATTGAGAGAATCATGGAGCCAAGGTGAGTCTCGCTGGCAATCAAAGCATAAATACGGTTGCTGAGCGATTGATGCTACGACAGAAAAGGAACCGGGTGCGACATACGCTGAGGTTGTGGTCGAGGACATGGAAGATGTTATTGTCAGGCCAAGAAGAAAGAACACGTCCGGCGGTTGTTGCGGGAGAAGGTGAGTTCGATCATGTACTGCATCATGCTGGTAGATATATTTGTGGTGCAGATGTGGATTCTTGATGAAAGTCTTTGGGGTCGTTTGTCTGCTCGGCGCCGTCATTCTATTCGCGAAGTCTGGTCTAGAACCTTTCAAAGTTCTGTTTTACATCGCTATGATCTGCTTCAAGGCCGCGTTATGGGTTTCGAAAGCGTCGTACAAAGCCGCTCGGTGGTATATGACGGTAAGCGGTCTAATGCAGTGGTCTTGACGTCTTATGAACGATGATCTCTGTCTTATGCAGCGTGCCCCCAATACCGTACCAGAGGGCATGCCGGAGTACAGTACCGCTCTGGGCTGCTCCAACGTGTCGCGCGTCTACAAAGACTCGCAGACGACGTTCACAATCCAGACGGAAGGCGTCTTTGGCCATCTCATCGATATCGAAGGCAGTGCTGTCGGTACCCTCACGATTGCAAATGCTGTTCCTGACTCCACCGAAATCAAATACGAGGCGACACTCCGCTCCAACGACCTGTCTCTCCTCGATCTCGTCACCTTCAACGATCCCAGTCTTTCTGATAGCATTGAAGATCTAGCCACACGGAGCCGGATGCTGCTGAGGACACCAGTGTTTGACAACTCGACCGGCTCGTGCATGCGCTACGACATGACCGCGTACATCCCTTCGAACGTCTCTTCCCTCGATATTCGGGTTCGAGGGGGCGGGGCCATGCAGCTCAAATTCGACGAGGAATCGAACTTTACGATGGGCGCGCTGTCTGTGAACATCAACACGACAGACGAGCGGAATCTGGTTCTTCCACACAAGGGCGTACATGCTGATGTCATGGATATCGACATGGCCCTTGGATGGCTAGTAGGAGATATAGCTATTCTCAACGAGACGAAGCTCGGTACAGAGGAAGGGAATATGACGATGTTCTTGCACGTCTATCCCGCAGCATCCTACGAGGACCCGCCTGCTCCCGCCAAACTGAATACCTCGTCCGGCACAGAAAAGAGCTCCACCTTCTTCTATATGAATGACACGAGCCATTCGCGTCGCGCAATTCACAGCACCCACCGTTCTCACGGGCCCCTACTATTGATATATGGGGACGTGAAGATCAACGGCACTGTGAACATCACCGCAGGCCTCCGATTTGCGATTGGATCGGAAGAAAATATGGATGGACCCGATCGCTTGGTGGCCCAGTCAGATGGTCTTGTCTTTGCCACGTATTAGTTAACTTTCGGTATTGCAGTATGTCATGTTGTGCAAGCTTGCGAGCGTTCCAAGACACCCAGTTGACATTCGTCTTGTAAATAATATTGATACTATGTGTACGTGGTTATGAGGATGTCTTTCAAGTAACTATGTACTGCAATAAATCCCAAGAGTTCTTGATGGTAAGAATGTCGATGAAGCTCGGCGGCATTTCACTGCAACTTCAGTTGCAGCTGCCCTCAATTGCCATTGACTTCAAGGCTTTGCGTTACGCAGACGCGGTCACATGACCTGTGACAAGCGCGACTCTAATCACGCAGTTGCGCTACGTCCACCGTGTATCGAAATCTTCCCCATCCGGTCATGGCTGAATGTGCTCTCAGGTTTTCCTCCTCGATAACCACAGATCTCGGAGAATATAAGCTCATGGAACTACCTTCTGAGGTATATAAGCTCATGGAGTGTGTTGATGGAGGCGGCTCCAGGTAGGCAGCACGTCGAACGCGAATTGGCGTCTTCCACACTGAGATCAGTTTGTCAGTAAAGGGAAACACAGACGAGGATGCCGTGCTCTGCACCTCAGATAAGACGTATGCTATTCGTTCCGTGGTTCTATCAAACTCTGTACTCGTGACCACTCCTGGTCTGGATAAGGATGGCAAGGTCACTGTGGAGATACGCGATCAATTGAACGAAGTTTTAGAACTTGTTCCATCTGTCCCTCGACTCCACAAGTTGGACAGTTTGCTCAAACGTCGAGTGTACGACGAGAACGATGAGGAGGATGAGGAGGACGCGGAGACGAGTGGTTACGACAGTAACAACGGGCAGGTGAGTAAGGAGCTTGAAATGATTGTACCAACTTCTAATGATAGATTAATGACAGAAATTGTCCTACGATGAGGCTAAAGAGACTCTTCAGACGAGCGACCTTGAATTGGCTGAAGGACTCAAGAAGAGACGTGTTTTGATTCTCCAGGGCAAGCGCTCCCTCACGACTAAAGCTATTTTTGAGTGATGACCTCTTTGTGCAGGAGATCTCCGTCCCGTAGCACCATCATACCTTAAAACAGTACTTGAACTTCTCCTGACCCATCTCGTATCATTGGCACAACCACATGCAGCTGCGTCATTGGAACAGCTCTCGTCTGCCCTGGAATACGAATACGATATCCGAAAGGATGTTTGCACGCAAGTTGTATCTTGGTTTGGAGACATCGAGGATGGAAAGTGGAAGATGGACGTCCAGGCCGTTGTTAAGGAGATTGGACTAGGAATTTTACGACCGTTCCGAGTCAGTGCTCAAGTAGCTGCTCCTACACAACCGTCTTACTATCATGCCCAGGATGAGCCGATTTCGCGAAGCGAGTTCTTGACAAAGTGGGGCAAGGCAGTCGGCGACACGTTCGAGGCCTCCATCTCGCTCGACCTACTCTCGGTGAACGCATCACTCAACACGCATCACGTCGTACATCACTAATCCCCATCCACAGGGAAACTATCTATCGAGTATGGACATGCTGAAGAACGTTCCCGTGATGATGCTCACATATTTCCCCTCCTCTGAACTCCCCGTCGATCCCGCAGCGCGCTTCATCGATCTCTTCCTTACTCGCTCGCGATGGAAAGCAAACGAGATCGCGCCCTTCCTCACAGACATAGTGGTGGACTCGAAGGAACGAGACAAGCTCCTACTTCAGTTCGCTAGGGCAGTGACAGATGCGGATGGTGTATGGTACACAGCGCGAGCAAAGTACAACGGGTAGAATGCGCCAGCTCCGGTGGTGCACAACTTTTACAGATGGTATGATACGAGCGAGGTAACGGGTGATTTTGAAAAATTGTTGCTCAGAAAAGAATGCGAACATACGGACTCTTTATCGGCAAAAGGGCATCCAAAAGGGTACTTTACGCGAAGAGCGCTACCATTGTGCAGCCTTGCCCTTCGGACGTTTGGCCGAGCTGTGATGATCCTCGTCAACATCCATATGATCCTTTCTCTTCTTCTTCTTGCTCTTTTTGTGCACATCCTCTGCATCGGTGCGTTCAACAAGCTCTTGAACGAACTCCCACAAGGCCCGGATAATGTCACTGCGCGACCGGACATCCGCATAGCGATTTCGGATGTGCGTGCGCATGTTGTACAGTTCCTGTGCGCGAACACGATCTGCGGACTTGCTTTCCCCGAGATCGCGCAGCGCGAAAAGAAGAACACCTGCGATGGCCCTGTTCAGCCATCGCTAGCTTAGGTTCGGAATAAGACCCACCGATGAAGACGAATTCAATTGGTGCCACTCTCTTGTGAATGTTCTTGAATGCGTGGTTGTAGTCCGGTGAATCGGCCAGGTACCAGAATTTGGTCAGCACGTTTCCGATCGCTGTCTTGAACGCTGGAGAGGGCGCTTCTGCACGCGACACCCATTGCTCCATTTTCTGTGCAGTCGGAGTGGAGTGCTCCGGATAGTTATCACAGCAGTAGACAAGCTGTGCAAGGCTCTGGAAGTCTCGCCCTCTTTTCATGTCTACGTCGATCTTGGTCGTCAGGCCGTCATCGTTACTTATAAATTGCGCGTCGAGATCAGATATCCAGTCTGCCCAGGGAGACGCGATGGCTTGCAGTTTCTCTGCATCGACGATATCAGCACGAGAACGACAAGAAAAGCATCATCCCAGATGGCGCACCAGCTGCTGTGAGAGGCATTCCCAGCTGCACTCGTTGGAAGATGTCGCGCTCGAAGCCTCGCGGTAGGTTCTTGTACTCCACTGTCGAAATCTCAGTAACTGTGTCAACCATTCTGATCGAGCGACGCACCGCATGTTATCTGCTTCGACGCAAAATCCCGTTTCCACTGTTCTGGCACCTCGAATCGTGATCCTTTTTGAGATTCGGCACGAGTGTACCACCAGCTTTTCTTCGTTATAGGATCCTTATCTGGTGTTTGCGTCAACAAATCGCGATTGTTGCACCAAGACAAGCCACATACAGGGAATCTTAAAACAGTGATATGAGAGTTAGCATTCTGATTTCTTTACACCAGACGGAACAAAGCCTGTTCTCTTTGAAATCCTCCTTCCTTCAACAGCCACGCCTTATAGGATTTACATTAACGGGTAAAAGGATACTCTTATAACAATCGTTATAACGAAAACCCTCGCAGCCGAAGTGTGTACGCCTCGAGGCGAAGTATGAGGAGTGGCTCACCTGCCCATCAAAGAATTTCTGAATCGATGTCAACCTTTGCTTCCCATCTACGCATCTCCTGACTTGTTCTCCATCTTCGATTACCACCGCGAACACTACTGGAGGAACATAAAAATTGCGATAGATTGAGTCAAGAAGTTTCATCTGCTTGGGTTCGGTCCAGACAATATCTTAGGAGACGGCAACGCCTTTAGGATACTGCGCTCGGGGAGACTTGTGTGACATACCGCGCTGGTAAGGTGGCGCAAGGTCAATCACTCCTTCGTGAATCAAGGCTACACGAAAGTCAATCAGGCTACTTCATAATGACATTCAATAAAACTTACTGTGCAGTTGCTGCGTTGAATATAGACGAGCCTCCGGGGGATCCAGGCGGTCTCCGATGTGAAACAGGTTCTCATCAGTATCATCATCGATGTCTGAAATCAGCTCATCGTAGTCTTTGTGCTGCTCCATGGTTGGTTAAGCAGAGAGTAGGGAACCCTGAATGCCAGTGGCATGTTGGTTCATATAAGTTGCTATCTAAAATAATTAAATAAGTTGTTGCCGCGTAATTAACCCAATCCGGCCGGCTGGGTAAGCGTCCGACGTCTACGCTACCGGTTTCTTAGTAGCGGTTCTCTGCGGGTCAGGCTCTGCTCATCATCAGTGCCGAGCTGGAGAGTAATACGCTCAGATGAACTCTTCTGCTGAACTAGATTCATTTAATTCCTCTGCTCTGGAGGAAGTCATTCCGAATGAGCCACCACCACCTTCGCATGCCAGCCCAGTGGTCGCATTCATCATCGGACTTGCCATCATTCTCCTAGCGTCCATACTCAACGCTGCTGGCCTCAATTTGACGAAACTGGATCATGTGGGTGCTCATAGCAGGCATCATATCACTGACCTTACGACCGAGACTCGAACAGGTCCGCACCAGCGCAATGCCTAAAGCTCAGCGGAGAAGGGACTGGTTACGGCCACTTTGGTTACTGGGCATGCTGCTGTACATGTGAGAGATACCGCTCGCTAATCTGGCCTTCCAGTAACCGTCATTCATTGCAGTCTGTCACAGCTCATAGGCAGTACTCTTGCGCTCGAGTACATGCGGGCAGGTTCGTGATACTGCTGGACGTACTGTGTAGGTTATGGACTGAACTCTTGCAGAATACGTCGCTCCCCTTGGATCTACGTCGCTCATCTTCAATTTCCTATTCGCCAAGTTCCTCGTGGACACACCAGTGACGACCTATGACATCTACGTTCGTCTCTTTGTCTTGCCATCGCAGAGGACCGTTGATTCATCATCTCACAGGGTACTATCATTGTCATATTCGGCGTAGTTGGGATCGTAGCCTTTGGCTCTATCAACAGTGGCTTAGGCACAGAGACAAACGCACAACATCTCACATTTCTGTGGACCCGTGGAAACTGGCTGGCATTCTTCTTCTTCATGGCCTTCGCGCTCATCCTGCTCTTCTTCTTCGTCTCACAATTGGAGCAGGTTTTGAACGCTAGAGGAGACCTGACGGCAGCGCCATTTTCCGGCATGGGCGCGCGGCGGGAAACTCTGCCCTCTGTCGGCATCATGGGAACAGTCGTTGCTACGTTGGATGCTGTGATGATATGGCTGAAGGAGAAGCTTGAGTTATGGACCGCCTCACAAGATGACAAGAGGTTGGCGTGGACGCTGGGTATTGGATGGGCGTGCTGCGGTGGCGGCTTGGCCGGTGGCTGTTTGGTATTTGCTAAGGCTGCGTAAGTTCCATGTCATGCAGAATAGGAGGCAACAGCTCATCGCTGTATAGGGTCAAGCTGATAACAAGCACTGTGTCTCACGAGAATACTGGCAACCAGTTCGGACAAGCATCAAGCATATTTACCTTTATTCTTCTTGCCGTGACAGCTGTGTCGCAAATTGTCTGTCTTAACCGTGGTCTCAAAGTATATGATTCAACGTTGGTTGTGCCGGTTTTCTATGGCGTCTACACAGGCACTGGGTACGCTCATTCCCTATTAAACATGTGGAGCCTACGTTGATGTGTTTCTCAGCTTCCTCGACTCATTGGTCAGTAGGCTATTCATCCTTTGGCACGTGTTGCTGATTTCCTTCCCTGCAGATATTCAACAACGAGGTGGACGCGTACCAGTCATGGACTCTCTTCCTTATCTTCGTGTCTATGATCACCCTTGTCTCAGGTGTCGTGCTACTCACATACAAGAAGCCTGAGAAGAAGCCGTTACACTCAGAAAATCCGAGTACCATGGCGTTGCCACGGATAGGAACGGGCAGGAAGGGCAATGGTGAAGGAGATGACGAACAGGAGGCTCTTCATGACATCGAGGAAGGAGATGGGGAAGCCGACATGATGTGGCAGATCGGCGATGCCGAGGAAGCCGAGGACGAGGAAGATGGCCCGCGCTCACGAAGCCCGTTGCCGGTACGGCGCAGGGTCAGTAGTACCAAGCCAAAGGTCGGGGGCGATGGCGAGGAGGAGCACATGCTACCAGATAGAGAGGAGGGCGAGGAGGGGCATCGTGAATCAACATCCTCCGACGCCACCCTCGCGCGGCCGGACAGCGCGCCCGCATACACTGACGAATTCGGCACTTGGGAGCACGGCAAAGCGCAATCATGATATTACGAAGCACTACAGGACTCTGGGAAGGTTTGATGCTGTATTTATGAGTACAATCATACCCATTAATTCTATAGGCAACTAATGGCATATATCACTCGTTGGACACAGAATCCGCTCCTTAACGCTCAACTTTGACGTTAGAATGCTCCTGCTCGAGGGCCGAGGCTGCGCTATGCAACCGTCATCTTGCAACTTTCATACGCGGGGAACACCAACCTGTGCTACTTGAAGCAAGCTATCGTACTGCAATAGAACGTACCTTAAGGTCCGTGTGAAGACAGCCAACACCAGGGGCACTAGGACGTACCCAGCGTTTGGAAAAGTCAGCAATACACCATTCAGACCACATTGAGTGCCACATGGAGCGCAAATGGCTTTCGCCACGGGTGGGGTGGCACTATCATCTCTGTGATATCACTCGGGGTCGCCCTAAACTCAACGCCCTGCTGCGAGCCACAATGTCGGGTGCAAGTCTCCTCCTGAAGTATCAGTCACGCTGCGGTGCCCATACATTGACTTCGCTGGGCGCTGATTGTGGCGGCAGCTAGCCGTGCAAATATAGCCTCAATTGCACCTCAGTAGCCTCTGCCACACCGACACTGGCTTATCAGATGGTCTGATATTCCCATCCTCAGTCAAAGTCACCTTAGTAATTTGCTTCCAGCATTCCCTGACCGACAGACATTGCAGCATATTTCATACCACTGTGAATGCCGTACTTCTTGTCTCCTGCTTACGAGGCCCAAACGGGAACCCGGTGGCGGAAAGACCGATGCAATTACAATATTCACCGCCCATAGGTGAGTCATGAATGTAATATAATGGATTGAGGACTAATGTCATTCAGAAGGAGACACACATTTCTGGTCGCACGGACCGACGGCATGTGAGAGCAGTTAAAATGAAAGCTACGTCTCAGACGAGGGAGGCTCAGATCAGATGCCACTGTCTCTTGCATCTATCCATCGCACAGAAGGTACGCATGCGCCTACGTGCTTACAGAATCTCGTACGTTCAAGCACCGCCCATTCACGCAATGTCCCCGTAAGAACGTTTCACGAAGGGCTCTGATGTCGATCTCGCTGCCTCTGATCGCATAGATAGCTGGCATGCTCCCTGGGATGCTGAATATCCATAGCGAACCTGCTTCCGCGGAACAGGACCGCAGTTCGAACCTAATACAATGGTGGATGGCACATATGATGGCGTCGGTATGCCGACCTGCCCCCAGGAATCAGAATGGCAAGATGGTGACGGTCTCCGCGAACGCGACTAGTGTCCCTCCGATCAGCGGCTGTATGAAGGGCTTTCTCGCCTGGAGATTCATGAATGCTCGTCATTGATATAATTCCTCGCGCCGTCTGTGGACACGGATGTACTTCCGGTCGCCATTATGAATGGGTACCATAACCGGGTTGAGCCCATGGTAACTCACTTTCAAGTATTAGGATAGCCTCGCAGCAGAGTATATTGTGTCTGCACTATGTGCAATATAGTCTTACCGTCATTAACATGCATGCACACGCTTGAAATCCTTCAAGCAGTGATTATAATTCTGTGGCCTAGGCGCTTAGACAAGATTGCAGCGCTCGTGTCCTATGATGTTATCGGCATTGAGCATGGGCTAATCCTTGGCCTTGTCCACTTCCATCCCTGCTCTCTCTGGGTTTGTTCTACTTCTACTTTTTCGCGGCCTGTCTGCGCTGATTGTTCAAATGGAACATTTACTCTCTGTGTTGCAGCAGAAACTGAGCGACCACCCCGATAGTGTATCTCTGCAGGAAGCAATCTCGCATCTAACGCAGGTCGACAACGGAAAGGACGCGTATCGTTCTAGCAATTGGGAAATTATCCAGAATGACTTCGGCAAGTTGTCTGCTGGAGGATTGTGGGAAGTAACTCCAGAGAACGAGGAAATGTTGGAGGATGTACGGAAGACATTGATGGCAGACAGATCTCGTGCTTCAAGCATTTCTAACAAGCAGTCCTCCCCAGCAGGATCGAATAAAAGAGAATATGAACCTCGCCGGGACATCTCCGTAGTGATGCCACCGCCGCTGTCCACCCCATTACTTCCCGTATCCTTGATGAATCCGACTGTTCTCCCTATTGAACTCGTAGAAGTCCTCAACCACACCTACTTCCTTCACTTACTTGTGCTCAAGCCGGAGAGTGTACTGCCTCCTGGAAAGTCTCTCCTATCTGTCATGTCCCGACCGCATATCGAGCCTCACCACGAAGGAGAGCTACCGAGTCTGAAGGAGCGCGTTGAGAGCCTCGTGCACAAGGCGTTCTGGGACGAGGTGCGCAGTAATCTCCTGTTCTTCATCAGGGTCTTGAAGCTTGCCGAATAGGCGTACGAGTCTCTATCTACGCCCACGCCTGCTATCCAGCTGCCGCGTCTGAAGAAGCTGTATGAAGATCTGTATGCTGCGCTAAAGCCCCTACTGCCGGCCCACCATCCCCTCCTGGTCACGCTTTCCTCGCCGCTATCACCGACATCCTCTCCCCTCCGCACCGCTGTTACGCACCTCCGCGAGGTACTCGTATGCCTGCGTGAACGCTGCGCGCCTGCCCGGGATAGCGATATTGACGCACTGATCCGCGCTATAGACGATCTGTCTTCCGTAGCGCCGGCCACGGACATCGCGAGGCTGGTTGTGGATACTGTGCGATCGATTCTCAAGGTAGCGGAGACGATGAAGGACGATCTGTCCCAGTTCGTATTGGGCACAATGGGCGAACAGCAGCTTAGAGCTGTCATTACCACTCAGGCGAAGGAGCGAGAAAGGGAACTGACTCTCCAGCTGTGGAAGCCAGCACGTGTGGAGCAGCTCTGGCGAGAGTGGTTGCAGGGGACCGAGGTACCTGACGGAGTCCCAACGGACCATAGTGCCCGCCACCGATGGGTTCATTGTCTGATGCAGGCGATTGGATCGACAATTCCTGTCTCGTGCCCACTCCCTACAGTAACGATCTCAGATGATTCACCCCCAGAGATAGAGCTAGCTCCTCCTCACGGAAACGTGCTCCCGCCTCCTTTCTTCTTTATATGTCCAGCATTGCTATACGTGCAGAATTACCTGCAAGCGCTCGTCATCGCCGCGTCTCTACGTTCCTTAGTGCGCTTGCCGTCAACGCCCACACTAACGGCTTCGGCACAGTCGAATGGCCTCGATGCAGCTGGAGGAAGCTTTATGGAGCGTACTTGGGCGCTGTTGAAGGCGGAGGTCGATGAGGAGTCCGGATCGGGCGAGACGAAGATTATCAACCTCTCCGACGAGGTCCTTCGAGTGCGCCGGCAGTTGCTCCGCGCGGGAGAAACTCTGGATGCCGAGGAGGAGGCGAAGCTGCGTGCAGCGGTGGATCGCACGTTGCAGCCTCACGACCCCGTGTTCCTGCTGCTGCAGAAACGACTCCTCCAGGCAGTAGCAGTTCGTTTGGCTCTCCCTTTTGAAACGGAGTCGCCCGCTGCTTATGGTCCGCACCTACCTGAGAAGTTACAGGCGGGACGCGAACGTCCAGGAAAGAGACCGAGGCTCATGATGGAACTCGAGCACGAGGAGGGAACACAGCTATTGAATGATAAGGTCAAGGAACCCATGTTGGCTGTGAAAGGCTTCGATGATGAAGTACTCGTCAAAGCCGTAGGGGAATCGTTAGTGAGGCTCAGGTCTTGCGTGAATTGGGTCGAGTTGGTCTGGGGAGACTTGACTGGAGGAGGCGACCTCAAAGAATCGGGAAACAAATGATCGATTAGAACCGCCGTCCCGATATCAATAGATCACATGTATCATATCATTTCCAGCCTACTACATGCCGTCGATGTAGCCTTCGGACAACTTGTAGCTATTAATTCTGCATTGAAGAGCTCTGTAATGTCAATCTTCGTGTACCAATCTTCAAAACTTGATAATAACGAGCTTAAGCTTGCGTCTTGGAAAGCGCGTCCCGATGTTTCCCCAAATCACGGCGGGCCTCTTATTTGAGGATTTTTTCGATGATCTTCCGATGTTGTTTGAAATCAATGGTGAAGATCAGGATGCTATTTAAGGTACACCACATGTCCCATGAGCTCAGTGGCAGTTCGTAAGAACACGCTGCGGTGGGCTGAGACGCGAGCTAAGGCACTGTGACGCTGCGACTTGAGTGAGCAACTCGTTTGCTGATATACTTGGTGGAAGGACGGACATGGATGTGTCATGGACTGCCAAGAGTACAAGTAGCACGTAGTACGATGTCAGGTCGCACGTCGTTCCACGTTATCGGAACCTCTTGCGCAGGAAACCAAGAACATAGCTCATCTGAATATGAGCGAGCCGCAAAAGTTGGAGCCAAGTAATTCGACATGAGCTAACGACTGTCTCTTGTGCCAGAGGTCAGCATGCATCATGCATGAAGGTACAGAAGCATCACCATATGGCGGCGAAAATTACGCACTTGAACGAGAATGGGTCGACTCCCTGACAGAGGTCCGATGAACTGCCTTGCACGCACGAGGCCTTCGATTCGTGGCTGCCAACAGAGACCTCGGATCAGCCAATACTCAAGGACACTGTGACGACATGTATGAGTACGGCGATATGCACTGTTGAGTTGAGGATGAGGACGGAACCACTCACATAATGATGTGCGATAGCCGCGTATGCATGCCACTGTTTGCGCCACAATGACACTGTTCGACGAGTCCGTCTCCTTCATCCTACAAAATTTCCCGGAAGTCGCCCTAAGTCCCGGGACTCTTCGCGGAGCTGCTCGAGAGCTCAGTGTCGGCACCGCAGTGACATTGCCCGCATTCATCGCTCGGCACAGGAAAAGATGCCTCCGCGGAACCCTCACACGAGCGAAGATGACACCAACCACGCGATGCTTCACGATCCAATCGATGCAACCAATGAAATCAGCGTGTCTTCTGAACCACGAATAACTCCACGCGCATGCTCATATCATGGCTTCTGAAGACTGTCCCTCCTCTTTATCCGAAATAGTCCAACGGATAGCTGAGGAAGTCGCATTGCTCCTGCTCCGCAAAAGGACCCATGAAACCGTCCCACTGCAGCGTCCGCAGAGGCGCGCTTGTCAATGTTTGCGTCGTGACAGGCTCCCAGGTGCTCTGCTCCGCGAGCCGTGCCAGCGTGCCGTTGTAACAGCGCGCGGTAAGGTAGCCTGAATCGGGGTTCGGGTTGTACGTGCGTGCGGACGTGGTCCAGATGTCGAGCGTCCGCTGCATGAACGGCAGATCTTGGTCATCGCGGTATGGCAATGTAGTCGGCAAGGTCCCGAAGACGTAGTAGAGTTCACCTGCGTGACACCTGGGATGCATAACTGATGCCAAAGATCATTTGATGTGTATCTCACGCAGCGAATGCTGACGTACTTAAAGTATTCCATGGACGGATCGCCATATGGGTACTCGGCCGTGATTGGCGCGTGGCAAACGGGATAGTTTGGTTCGAATTCAGGCGTCTGATAACTCCGATTGAACTGATAGAACCACACGCTCTGGAACAGGTCATGCTGTATCGCAGAACGTGGCTTGCTCGAGGCAGCGGAACTCGACGTCTGTTGCGACGCGTGCTGTAACATTGAAAATATTGTACGTCGCGTTCGGTCCAGTCGGCACCTCGAAGAGCATATCATTCACAACGGTGGTCGGGAGATCCTGCGCAAGTAAAGCCGATGTCAAATTGGTGGTGGTCTGGATAGCTATCGTTAGCATGCGTCAAGCAGTGGAAGCAGCTCGACGTACCGGATAACCAATAAATGCTGCGCCATCGTCACGCATATGTCCCATCATCGCATGGACATTAGCGACGGTCCCTGATCCGTTAAGTGGCAGCTCAGTGTGCGTGACGTACGTGCCCTCAACTACTATGAATCTACAACATTCATCTGTGAGTATTCCACAGCCTTCCAGGAACCCAACTTGACGTACCGAGCTACGTTGCTCAGACTAACGAGGTCGTACGCATCATAGGCTCTGAGGGACTCCAATGCATTGTCGGTAGTGCAGCCGGTCTCTTCCAGGATCCCATACACAACTTCGCTCACTTCCTCAGAGATGGTGTAGTACAGAGAATGCCTCGTAGCATAATCGGAACCAGCAAGGTTGCTCATCGAAACTACCGCTGCATACTTGCCAATAGCAGGCGGTGATGCTAGCAGCGCGAGGACAGAGGCTGCGCCTGCCGATTGGCCAAAGATGGTGATGCGATCCGGGTCGCCACCGAACGCGGTGATGTACTCCCTCACCCTATCGAGCGCTGCGACCTGGTCCGCGATGCCAAAGTTGCCATTCGTCACCCCGTCGTCGAGAGCAAGGAAATCGAGGATGGATAGACGGTAAATGATGGTCACGAGCACGACGTCGCCGCGGGCTGCCATGTTGCTCCCCGCGTACATCGGGTCGGATCCGGTGCCACCGATGAACGCCCCTCCATGGATCCAGAACATGACGGGCTTCAAGCTCTCCGCTGATGCGTTGACCCGTCAAGTGGGATATACGGAGTCCAGATGTTGAGGAAGAGACAGTCCTCACTGCCGGAAGGAACTCCAGCCTGAACGCACTCCGATCCAAAGGCCGTTGCGTTTAACGTCTTTGACCCTGTATATGCCGTTGGATAGGTGAATCGCTCCGGATGATCGGCATAAGGTATGCCCTCAAAGCGGAATGAGAGCTGATCACGGTATCTGTGATTGTCAAGGCGAGTTAGAACTTGCTTTGAGTTGTAGGGCTTTCACTCACCCAATGACCGTCAGGTCATCTGCGTATACGATGATAGAGTTGTTAGCAGCGGCAGAGGCGCCATATGCTGCACTTTGACTGCAGAGTATCGGGTGTTTTGAGTCGCAAGAAACTGTGGACACGAGCCCCAAGCTGTCCACAGCTTGGCAGGTCTCTCCAGCAGATTCAACCCAGTACAGCTGCTCTTCGCCATTATACCTGGTATTGCAGCAAGGGCACGAGCTCGGTCGCAAAGAAGGCGTCTTTGATAGGCAGCAAAGTTTCGGCCAGACCGGCGCACGCTGTCACTGCGTCTGACTGAGACATTGGCGAGAGAAGCAGAACGCTCCTGTGCTCTGAAGCAGTGTACACTGGAAGCATCTGAGTTAGCATTGCTTGACACTGTTAGCTCATGCACTTACCATCGACATCATCGTAATAGAGAAGAGTGATACTACTGTTGATCGAGGAGGGCGACGGGATAGTGAAAGGTGCCGCCAAAGGAAGCGTCGCCAAACAGCCCAGTGCGAACGCGAGGAAACCCATTGTCGTCTCTATTGTGGCTCCACGAAGTATCGTGCCGGCCAGTCAGAAATTACTCCTGTCATGCGTCTACAGTAGTGTTATATAACTCGACGTGGGAATCCATGCCGGCCTAGCTATCCCCGTCCTGGGTTTCACATCAGTGATCCGTACTCGGGGCCCCACGTGCAAAAGATTGCCCGACATGCCGACCTTAAGGAGGACTTGAGCAAGAGCGTCCGTTACCCAAGCCCGACACTCGCGCGATCTGCGTAGTTTCACTACTAAATTCCTTGCAGACCGTGGGGATTCGCGGGGAAGCTCACCTCATGACGGGAGCCAGTGGAATTCATCGAGTCCTAAATGGCTTTATTTTTTGCGCAGGCACGCAAGAGAAGGCCATCACATATACCATGATGCAGTGCTCTGTTGGAAGTAGAGTATCCTTAGTGCGTGCAACTTCGATAGTCGTCATCGTCTGCTACTCGGAGAATATCGATTTCGTACCTAAGTGTTGCATATAGGTGTAGCGTGGTCTCCATGGGTCTTGTGAGGAATCATAAAGCTTATGCACGTCGGCTATTGAATATTGAATATTGAGTACTGAGTACTGAGTACTGCGCATCTTTGGAGGCTTTAGCCAGGACCTTTCTCTCTCGGACGAGTTGAACGTGGCATAAGAACGGTTACGCTTTCGCTGTCGATGACAGCACGCACGACAAGAGCCCATAACGTCCAAAGGGTCATGATCAACTAGAGTCTATGATTGCAACAACGATACAGGTTTGGAACTATTCAGCAGAATTGGAAGCCATGAGCGAACAAGAGTCCGATTCGTGCTAGAGTCCCATGACAGATACCCTCTATTGCTACAATTGTGGTGATCAGATGATGGTGATGAGAGACAAATAGCATACATGTGAAGTGAATAGCGGTGAGCATATGTATAACAATAAACTCCACCAGGTTCCAAGCCGAACGATACTATGAACTAGGTAGGGTAGTCACGGTTAGTATGCCCGCGCCTTACCCTTGTCCTTCGCCGACAATCGCCCGGACCTCCTCGCGCCAGTTATGGCCACATCAGCAGCCTCATTGGTAGGCGAATGGCCTTGGACGGCCTGAGAGCGACTCGAACGTGAGCGAGATGCAGCCGGAGCATTCGCGCTGCCGCGGCTGTCAGCCGGCACAGGGGGAGGTGGCATGGATATATCAGCCTTGCGAGTCCGCGATGAAGGCTTGGATGCGGGACGAGGGCGGTTGGTGCGAGATCCCGACGCGGCTGGCGCATTTCGCAACTGGCTCGCCGGAGCAGTGGTGCGCGACGTCCGCGCACGTTTCGCTGGCGGTTCCAAAGGACCATCAGAGCCGTCGTCGTCTGAAGCTCCGCGCTTGGTGCCGCGAGAGCTCGATGCGCGAGTAAACTGTGGAGCAGGTATTTTTGTTCGACGTTTCGCTGGACGTTCGTCGGTTTCATCAAAGCTGTTATCGTCCACGCTCGCATGGGCACTGCGCTTCCGCTGACGAGTGCGCGTAGCAATGGCGTCCGGATCAGGCGCGGGCTCATGGCTCGTCTCCTCGTGCAGAATCACCTTCCCGTGACTGTGACCTGGTAGTTGGTCGCCCGCTCTGTCCTTCGTTGGCCAATCTTTGTGCGCCATAGTATTGATGAGCAGACTGATCATCGCTTCGTGTGTCTCCAAGTTGCGCGCCAGATCCCGCTGTTCGACAATTGTGTTAGCCTTTATCCTCTTCTGGGCTGCTTCGTTCTGAGCAATAAGGTCGCTTTGTGTGGCCACCCGCCTCCATTTGGCCTGAAGGTTTGCAGCTACTTGAACCTTCTGAGCCTGATCGCCATCATTCTCAGGGGCGAGGGATGGTGCTGGATGTGATGCTTTTGCAGCGGCACGCCTCAGATAGTTCGGCGGATTGAGTTTGCCGTCAGCATCCGCGACAACGTAACGCGCCTTGAACCAGTCCAGCAGCGTAGATAGAATGCCATTTAGCGGATGCTCGTTTGAAAGTGCATCTACGTCAACTTGAGTACCAGTGGGAAGCTTGGCAGGGAGAAAATAAATCTTCTGAGCCAACCACTTAAGTTGGCCGCTGGTAACAGTGAGGTACTTGTGTGTTGGACACCAATAATCATTGTTAGAAAACACCGCCAGATCGAAGAGGCCAGACATCAATTCAGGGAGATCAGAGCAGGTGTTGTGGAGATATCGGAGCGCGTTATAAAGCAGGACATAGTAGAAGGCCTCCAGCTCGTCAGCGACCTCAACGGCTTTAGCCGGTTGGAGGAGGACCATGGCGGATTGAAATTGCCATGTACCCTGAGATCAGTAGGATGAGACAGTCGTATACGCCACCGAAGGAATAAATTACTTACCGTACGGTTAATCTGCCTCTGCCGTTCCACGGCCGGGTCAGTTGCCACGAGCTTTGAAAATTCCCAGTCGCAGAGCAGACCCTGGGTCTCATCTTCGTTTCCTGGATCCAAGACGATGACGATATTGTTGGAGCTGACGTCTCGATGAATACGAGACGCTTTCTCGAAAGCCTGCGAATGAGCTGAAGCAGGAGCTTTAGTGTATGAGATAGAGCATCCGAAGCAATCACATCACCTATCAGGGCATCACATGTTGCAGATACCAGTTCCACACCGCTCCTAAAATGTTCCAGGCGCATTCCGACCTCGTTCTCAACGAGCCGATAGTGTGTATACTTCCTGATAGGAATCTGGGGACCGGCGTGATTGGCGCTGTCGTCCTGCTCTTCCGTGACGTGCTGTTGGCCTGAAGTTGAAGGCTGAGCTGCTTCCTGTTCTGTCGTCGCCGACGAATTCACGTTCTCCTCCGCTATAGAGTTTCCGACATGTGCGGCATCATGTGCATGCAGCGACGAACCCGGTCGCGCTTGTTGCTACAACGGACGTTACTATCGGCGCATAACGTTAGTGTTTACAACGCACCTCTCCCATCGAGGTCTGAACAGCAACTGATGTGCTCCCTCCGTTCTCCTCACCCTGCTCGCTGCTGCTAGATTTTCCAGCAACTTCTTGTTGCTCGTCGCTTTGCGGAAATTCATTGTCAATGCTCTTTCGAAAGGTGCATCAGAGGATGGAAAGCAGTCACACGGATAGACGTACTGTGACTTGACGCGACGAGCTTGCTTCAGCTACCTGGTTATACGCCTGATTCTGCTTCGCACCGCGCTGGGAAATTTTCGAATTGCGCTGAGCCTTTCTTGAGGCAGGCCGCCCTGGCCGCCCCTTCGTCTCGGCTTTCTTCGTGTTATCCACGTTGAGTGCATCCTCGCGCATGTCTTCAAGATATTTTTGTGCAAGGGTGGATTGCGCCACGAGCTCATCTCCGACTTCGTGCAGGACATCCCCGTGACAGAGAACGCTGGGGATGTTGACGACGCCCTCCTTCTCGAGCTCTATGATGATGGTCCCTTCTTTCTCCATCCCGAGGAGGTCGATGCGCCACGTATCCTTCAGCCAGCAGAACTTCCTCTCTACAGCCTCGTATGCCACGAAGCCCTTCGTGCCACGGCCAAACACTCCCCATGATCTGAAATGAGGCTTGCCAACCAGGAAGGGTCGGATATAGCCTTCCACCTTCAATCTCCAGCGGGGAGCGTCGTCAGCCAACGACTCAATGAAGTAGTCCTTCACATATTGCGCCGTGAGCTGGCAATCGGTCACAGCGTTGTCCATCAGCTCGTAGTCCGCGGAGCCCGGCTCGACTAGCTCAGCAGTAGTGTCGTAGCCTTGCTGTGCAGGACTCATGCCAGCGAATGAGATGAGGAAATCGGCAAGCAGCTCGGCTTTCGTAATGTAATTGAAGCCCTTCGTCACGATCACACCGGATCGGTCCCAACGCATGATGTAGGCGGTGCGACCACAAATGAGGATGGAATAGAGATGGGTCCGGTGTTGGGTCTCGAAGACTCTCGCGGCGTACGTGATGAGCTGTGCCCACGTGTCCGAACGTTTCAACTTATTGGCCGCCAGCTCGTTGTCTTTGAATGGATCAGCGGCGCCATCTCTCTTGAATTCGACCCACAGCGCTTGATCACCCCAGTGTGGCGCGCCGTCTGTCGGGGCCACCTCCTTGAACATCGCCACGTCGACTCTCTGCTTCGTGTCGTCGTCCTTGTCGCCCTTGTCCGCGGGCGATGTGAACTTGTATCCCGGACAGAGCTTGTTGTCTGCTACCACGTCAATCTGCACAAATGTGTCAACAGTTATCAAAAACAGATGAATGAGTGACTAACGAATGCTTGATACATCTGCCTCTCTCGCCAACTCTGTTCGACTGTCGCGTCACCGGCCTGCTGAGGAAGAAAAGGGCGTGTGAGCCGCGACAATGGATGAACATGTGGCGCCACGTACTCTAGGAGGATATACCTTCTTGAACATGTCTCGGCGGACTGGCTTCCTGCCAGAGCCATTTGGCGGCTTCTTCGAGCTCGACGTTATGTCGAAGATTTCGCGAAACTCCTTCCCGTCCTTGAAACACAATTTGCCCTCAGAGTCCATCTTGTAGTCCAACCGTATCTTCTGTATAGGCTGCTGCTTGTTCACTCTGAATGGGTAGGATCCAGTGACCTTTTTGGCTATCGGTGAAGTCGATGAGATGAGGCTTGCCATGAGAGACGCAAGGGAAAGAAAAAAAAGAGCGCTGCTTACCTCGACGCGGTCGGCTCGTCTTAAAACGTCCACTGGAGGTACGAAGGAGAGACCAGCCACGATCCACCTCCGACGAATTCCGACTCAGACCCTTACTTCAGCTGCAATTTTATTGTATCGGATGGCAATCAGCGACTAGTGGCACGCTACTACGGCAGAAAGAACAGGAAGCGGGAGACGAAGTTGTTTGGGAGGATTTGTGTTTGTGGGCGCGCAGGGCATCGCGGAGTGAAACGCCACACGCTCGCGTCCACGTGGACACAAACGCGGTCACGTGCCTAGCTTTGGCGATCCATCGTTGCCAGCGCCACCGTTGTACGCCCATCAAATCGATGACTTTCTTGTCAGCGGGTTACTTCATTTTTCATTACTTAAGTGCACACGTATGAACGCGAGGGTGTGAGACTATCTATCCCGCTGCGGGCGATTGCGCCACTCCGACAGCCGTTCAAAGTCCGCCGCCTTTCGGGTGAATGCCACCACCCTTATCTTGTACCCTGAGATCTGGACAAACTCTCGGCGCAAGATAAATGCGCCTTCAGCGTGCGTCGCGCTACCAGTTCTTACATTCCTCATAGTCGGGTTGGGGAAAGCATACCCATTCAACTAGCCATTCTGAGACATTCCGCGGATATCAAGATCTGACACACCTCGAGAATCACATCAACATGGTCATTGGTCAAAGCCACACCGAAGCGAGGATTCAGGCAGCAAGCGACGAAAACTTATCTTCCGGCAGGAGATCCGTGCTGCGGTACAACTTGCGTGCACGAGGGCGCACGCTGCCGTCCGATGAATCCCTGAACAAGGGATGCGGGACGACACGGCACTGACAGCCGTTCGTCATGTTCAGATACGTGCATCAAAAGAAAGGAAAAAAAATTGTGAGATGCACAGCCCAGACATGCCATGGAACGTGTCAATTCAATGCATTTGCATTCATAGAAGCAATTCATCTATATGAAGCTCTCGCAGTCATTGCTGACACATCGTCATGCAGCATCTCTGAGACTGATTAAATGAGATGACAACCCACCACAGCAATCTATGGCTACATTACAATTCCTTGTCCAGAAGACGGCGAGGGCGTGTCTGCGATGTCTAAGTCGAATATGTAGTTCGGATGCTGCCAATGATGACCATCTTCCGGTGAACAGTCACGGTTGGTCCGTGGAGGACATAATCAGTGTTGTATTCTCGCAATGTACCATTAGTTCAGATTATATGCCGTGGTACCTGGATTGTCATTTGGAACACATAATCTATCATTTTCCTGAGACGGCACATCAAGCGAGACTCAGAACCGTTGCGGCATGCTGAAACATGAGATCTTGAGAGGCCACTGACTTGGCAAGTGATGGCATCCATGCATCATGTCACACACCACGTGAATCGTGACGAACGCGCTCCTGCGAGGCGCCCATGTCCGCATTGCCCGTGAGATTGACTGCAGACTCTGGTTCCTCCAGATAAACTTCGATGTCGTCTGCCGTTTCACCTGAGAATCGGGCACACACACATAATCTCTGGTTTCTGTCAATATTGAGCTGGGCATGTACTGCTGGACTGGCATATATTGCGTCCCAATTACCCACGTTCGACTCTTCCTCACGCACACTGCTGGACTCCTCCGGCTCCTGGTGGACGTACCGCCTTGCGGAACCACTGCTACGATGGGATTCGTTTCACTTCTCTCACATCGCGCAACATGGATATGTGTACGAGTATGAGTGGGCGTTCTTGCCTGGCACGCCGCTGGTGATGCGAGCTTGCGCTAACCTGCTCCGTCTGCTCAGAGTAGGCAGCTCGAGCGGCAGTGACACGGTCAATCTGGAGCAAGTCTTGCTTGGTGGATCCTTGGCGGCCTGCTTGAGCGGGAGTGTGACTACGATGTATCGTCTGACTTTACACCACATGCGCTCACCAACGCTCGCATTCCTCGCTGCTCTGCTGTCTCTGCTTCCCAGCAGCCCGGCGACTCTGCGCCTGGCAGGATATACCGAGCCTTTCTTCACATATCTGACATATAAAGGCGAGCTTCCGTGATGTTGATGGCAGCCCTTCGCTTGTTGAACTAGTCGTAGGCATGCTGTATTGTGCCAGGTCCCAATGGTTCTTCGCCGCTCTCTTCTTTGCTCTCGCTGGCTCGTTCCGTTCTAATGGCATAATGTTGAGCGGGTTCATTATTTGGGGCATGCTCGTCGAACCGTTTCTCTCTTATCAGAAGGTGATCGTTTCTCGTTTCCGCTTCTCACCGAACTCTAATCAGTCTCAAATCATAGATCACAAGCAGGAGGATCCTGTACACAACCATATTAACAGCATTGATCTTCCTGCCCTTCGTTTCTCATCAATATGCCGCATACCGCGCGTTTTGTAAACGAGACACCGTATCGGCCGAATGGTGTTTCCGCGTGCCGCCGTTGATCTACAGCTACGTCCAAGCAGAATACTGGAATGTCGGTTTCCTCCGATATTGGACCTTCCAGCAGCTCCCGAACTTCCTCATTTCGGCTCCGGTTCTATTGTTGCTCCTCTCCTTCTCAGCATATTACATGAGACATGCCCTCATCCCCCGCCTGCTTAACCTTCTCCATCCCAAGAATTCGCACACAGAAGACGGATCAATTGCACACCCACAAGCAGAGTCCCCTTTCCTCTCACCCTCGCTCGCACCGCACGCCATCCACGCACTACTACTCACGCTCCTGCTGCTTTTTGCGGCGCACACGCAAATCATCCTGCGACTGGCCGCCTCTATGCCTTTTACGTATTGGGCGGCAGCATGGCTGATCGTCGAGCATCCGAAATGGGGGAAGGCCTGGGTGGCCTGGAGCGTCATCTGGGGGACGATCTCCGTCGTGTTATGGGCGACATTCTTGCCGCCTGCGTAGATCCTCCATATCAATATACTGGAACCTGCTGGATCTGACCACGAGACCTTTCGGTTCGCTCAAAACCTGCATCGAAGGCAGTCGGGTGCGTACGATCAACGCAATGATATTAAATGTACAGCTGAAACCACGAGCAGATCATCAAGAGCGTTCTGAAAGAGATAGTATGATGCAGAGAGATTAGTATGTGCTAAGGTATGAACGAGTCAGGAGAGCGTAGATAGCGTTACAGAGCGAGACAGCCTAGATGTACAGGTGGTAGCATTTCCAAAGCATGCAGAGGCTGACGGACGTGAGTAAACACGAGGATCAAGATCGAGACGATAGCGGACAGCAACTAACGCTTCGTAGGGATGGGAGCGGGAGTGCCGTCGGGTTCGTCGCTAAGCTCGCCTTCTTCCTTCTCTTCCTTAGTGGAAGTCTCAGGAATGGGCGAAGGTGCAGGCTCTGCGGGAACAGCCTCGACATCCATCTTGTCTTCCTTGTCAGCTTCCTTCTCTTCTTCGTCCTTCTTTGCCTCCTCCACTTGAGGATTGTCGATAGGCGTTAAAGGCACGGTATCATTGTCATCCTTGTCATCCTCGTCTGTCTTGTCTGTGGTCAGAACATTGTCCTCGGGCTCTGCCTCCTCTTTCTTCTCCCCATCCCCATTCTCGTTCTCGTTCCCGTTGCTGGCACGATCAGAACCGCTTCCATTGCTCGCGTCCTGGCGTGCCTTCGAGCTACGCGTATTCCGCGTGTTGGCGATGGACACAGACACCGAAGTGCCCGTAGACGTGCTCGCACTCGAGTTACGGCGTTTATTCGCAGGCGTAGAGCGAGGCTTCCGCGTTCGCGAGCGCTTAGGTTCAGGCAAAGTGTCCGCAGCAGCGTCCTCGGCCTCTCCACTATCCGGAGCAGGGGTCGCATCCTCGACAGGATCCTCAACAGTGGCCGCGACAGCAGCGCTCACGAGAGGCGATCCGACGAGAGGAGTCGTGTTGCCCGTGCCGCGCGGGTTCCGGGTCCGCTTCGCAGCAGGTGGGAAGACGCCGTCTGCGTCATCGGTCTCTGCCTTCCTCTTGCGTTTGGTGCCAGTCGTGCCTGCAGCACGCCTTTTACGCGGGCTGCTTGTGCGCTTCTCGGCGGAGCCCTCTCGGACGCTGGACGGCGCGGATGTGGGCGACGCGAACGACGCATCGTCGAGATCGACCGCCTCGTGGTCGCGATCGCGCACCTTCGCGGCGGGGCGGCGTGCGCGCGATGATGAGCGGCGGCTGGTGTCCTGTAGCTCGTCGGTGCCATCGTCGACATTGACGCGATTGGGTAGGCCGAACTGCGCGGGATCGAGCTCGGGCAGGGAGAGCGCGAGGGGGCCAAGGGGGTGGTAGAGGGGCAGCGGAGGACCCTTTCGGGACCGGCCTCGGCCCGGGGCGTTCGTGCTGTTGGGTATCAGGGATTTAGCGCCGCCGGGATCGCGAGAGCTCTCGCGCGTGGTGGCTGAAGAGGGCTTCTTGGGCGCGTGTGAACGCACTGACACGCGACGTGAGCATCGCTTTGCGCGCCCGAAATGACTTTGGAAGAGGACTTACGCTGTGTTTGGGTGACTTGCTCTGCGAAAGAGGTCACTGAGGGTGACCTGTATGTTTGGATTGGCTTGCGTCGGATGGCTGAGGTCGCCATGGTGGAGGTGGGGGTATGCGGGTGTAAGGGCGGAGGAGTGCTTAATATACCAGGAGGCCGAGCGACGACTATGGCGTCGAGATATGGTTCAATAGAGGTAATATATGCGCCCGTGAATGTCAGATACGTCAAAGGGATGATGGTTGCTGGTCTGCGTTGCTCAACTGGGACCGTGGCTGAACGACCTGCAGGATATTAGGGCCACAGCCCACGACTCAAGCTCCACAGGTCAAGGCACGGTTTGAATAAAGTGGTCTGTTCGACGTAGCCGTTGTCAACAAGCTGAGACACACAGACGTGCCATCAACGCGAATGTCCTTACCCTTCCACCGGTGAGAGGTCTGCTCAACACACAGCAGTGCGTCAGAACCGCGTCAGCGGTACTCGGAATACCCATAACGTGCGAGAGAACTCACGTATGCGTGCGCCCTAGAACTTGTATACCCAAACAGCGACGATGCGACAGCCAGCAGGCTGGAGACGAGAGCGTGTCGAAGGAAGTGCAGTCGGACAGGACTCTCGGGTCATGCTGTTGATCGCGTCGACCACGTGGTTATCTAATCTCCCCGCTCACCCGAGATCGCATCTGCCAGATTGCCTCGCCACGGGGCTGGAACACCCGCCGTCTACCGTCCGTACCTGCTTTCTTCCCTGCAATGTCCTTTGCTTCTCCTCATTCTGATATAGAATAGCTTCTTGCGACATGCGAAGAGCAGGCCGGAGGATCAGGCGATGCTGAAAAAGTCTCATCGGTAGCTATGCCGCGAAATATGAAAGCCATGGCTGATCAAATCGGACGGATGTTCCAATACATCTCTGACGGTTTGTTTCCCTCGTCATATGTTCATCGGGGATACTCAATACCTCTAGCAGGAGCATACGTGTTCTCGATCTTACTCAGATGACATAGAATTTTCCGTTATCGCGGCGACACTTCCTCGGTATGTAAGTACCCTGTGGGAGCGCGAACATAACCCCTGGTCTAGCCTGGAACGCCGCTGATTGTACATGTGCAGCTGGCCAACAGCTGGTCAGCGGTCTGCGCGCGATCGGCAGGCGCAACGTGCCAATAGGCTCGGTAGCTCGGTATAAATACATCCTTGCTTCTCCAGCCCCGACTCCCGCATTATCTGCTCTACAACTCTTCTTCATGGCTCCTCCCAGAGTTTGGTTCAGTGAGTAGCTTGAATTGTTGTGGGAGAACTGATGCTGATCGACTATTATGCCCGAAGTCACTGGAGCGTCCTCGGGGTTCGGAAGGCACCTCACCGAGCTCGTCCTCCAGCACGGCGACATCGCCATTGCCACGCTCCGTACGCCCTCCGCACTTGCCGACCTCGCCACGTACTACTCGCCCAACAAACTGCTCGTCCTCCGACTCGACGTGACCAAGCCGCACGAGATCTCAGATGCGTTCGCGCGCGCATGCTCGGCGTTCGGTCGCGTGGACGTCGTGTTCAACAACGCGGGGTACGGCGTGATGAGCGAGGTGGAGGGCGCGCCGGACGATACTGTCCGCGCGATGTTTGAGGTGAACTTTTGGGGTGCTGTGAATGTGAGCAGGGAGGCGGTTAGGATCTTCCGAGAGGTGAATGCGCCTCCGGGTGGGAGGCTCCTCCAGGTATCTTCGGCAGGAGGCATACAGGGCTTCTCTGCGCTGGGTTTCTACTCTGCAAGCAAGTTTGGTAGGCTCCGATAAGTCTCGATCGAGGAGGATGTATCTCACTTCGCATCCGCTGGTCCGCAGCTATCGAGGGCATCAGTGAGGCGCTCGCTGCCGAACTAAGACCTGAGTGGAACATCAAAGTGAGCTCTCGCATGCATCTCTTCCTGATCTTGCTGATATCACTCTAGGTTAGCATCTTCGAGCTCGGCGCCTTCCGCACGAACGCCGGCAAGAATATGGTGCGCACCGCGCCGCACCCCGCATACATTGATCCGGAGAAGCGGCTCGCGATTGCACGCGCATACCTGCAGGTGAACCCGCCTATGCCGAGTGATACGAGCAAGGGCACACGGGCCATTTATGCGCTCGCGGCAATGGCGGAACCGCCGCTGCACGTTCCGCTAGGGAAGGACGCCGTAAAGGTGGTAAAGGCCAAAGCAGAGACGTTGGCGCAGTGTGCGGAGGATTGTGCGCCGTGGTCAGAGAGGCTGGAGTTGGCTCCTGGGGAGGGGGCACGGTTGTGATCTACGATGTGTGTCTTTCTTGGGTTGATATAACGGATCTATTTCTGTTTTATTGGATTATTCATCTCCGGCAGTTAGCTGGGCGTGAGACGTTAGGGTCATTGCAGACAGCTGTTCAAATCACCCCTGGGATTTGATCTGCAGAAGAAGTTGATGCTAATTTGTCTGATGAGCGGTTGACGATGACGTCCTCTACATCTCCGGCGGCAATATGTTATGGGGCATAGATATACTTCCTCGACAGATCGAGCCTAGTTCAACCCTCAGTGGTTATCCTACACCTCTCATAGCTAATGACGCTCATCGCTTATGCTTGCTTGACAGGTAACGGTATACTCATACAGGGGCAGTTCTTCACGATACACTGCACCGACATACTAACAATACAGCCAAATTTACAACTTTTTCACGGTTCACTTGGAACACGAATCCACGATTAGTTACATTGTAGAGCATGCCTTTCAAAGTGCGCCGTGCTCTTTCAGGTACTCCTCAGCATGCTTCTTCGCAGCCTCGGATACACGTGGGTCTATTTGGAACATGTCATGAGCACTTCCAATAAGAGATGCCTATATGATGAACACTTACTATGCAAAGCAGCCTTGTACCCGGCAATGACACGCCTTTGATGCTCATCCTCCGGCACGCCAGGGTTCTCAACAGAGTACCCCGCTGCCTCGAGGACTTCCTTGGCATGTTTCTTCGCCTCTGTGGACGTGCGGTCACCTGCACACGAATGGTCAGCAACCGACGGAGCGAACGCTTGTCATGCGCGACGTACTGCGCAGAGTCGCCTTGTATCCGCCGAGCACACGGTTATCGTGGCCGCCGCTCTGTTCCTTTGCTGAGTGCCCGTCAGCGCCGTCAAACCCAGCACTAGTGCCACGCTGCTCACCTTCACTCGACATGGTAGATCGGTGGTGTGTTAGCTTGCGCGATGACAAAAGCCGAGTGGTCTGGATGTGGTTGGTGGATAACTTGCGGAGGGAACTGAAATGCATGGCGCTCCTGTTTTTATACGGCGGTAGATTTATATAGCTGTTAAAGAGTGACGTCGGCGTAGCACAGGGTCAGGAGGGAGCCACAATAGAGCCCAGTCCTTTCGAGACGCGCCTAAGTCACGCGTTAGGTCACGAGACCGTGTTGCCAAGGTTCCTTCTCGTGAACGTCGAAGGCTGTTGCAAGCACCGCAGCGCTCGAGCAAGGACTTTTGCCAATATCTGTGTGAGGGGTGCTCCATTCACGTTGCGGATGGGAGGCGAAAGTCAGTAGTGCCATAACGTTGAGCAAGTTGAACGGATCAAACGCACTAGAACGTGCTAGCATTCAATCGAGCACAGGACATTTCATCGTTTTCGAAGACACCACCACGTATCAAACTTTGAAATATTTGCATTCCGAGAATCCATGGCGCTCTTCGAACGGGGTGCTCTATCAGTGAAATACAAGCCTGGTCACGATCGTCGGTCAGAAACGTTCCCAACACCACTTATCAAGCTACCACTCACGTCCTACCGTAATGCTCCTACTGCCCTTCCAGCCCATGCAACACGTCCTCCAGCCCACTCCTCACCTCCTCCAGCCTTGCACCCTGCTTCTCCACCTCTTCCCGTCCAAGCAGCCGCATCACCGCCCGTGCCTCCCTTACGAACTCGTACGACCGCTCCACTGATTCATAGACGGTGCCTTCTTCCAGCGAAGCAGCAGACTGGTTTGATGTTATTGGCGGAGGCAAAGCGGAAGAGAGATCGCAGTCGGCTGCGCGGAGGAGCGCAAGGTCCCGGAGCGTGTCGCTCAAAGGTAGCGGGTTGGGCTTTGCCTTGGACGACATTCAGCTTGCTTCAGCGAGCTGCGACTCAGCCTTGTTGATCAGATGCAGAAAACTGATGTCGGCAATGAGTCTAATGTCTGCTGCAGCCCGCCAGCTCGTGGCGTTGTGAACTTGAAACCATGTCGCTGACTGGATCCCGCCACACAAGCGTGACATAACTATAATTGTCACCTATGTCACATTTCTGTCACAGTTCCCGCTTAGCGCCTGACTCGGACGAGGCACCACGACGCATCCTTGCCACAGAAACATCGCATTAGCTTCGTATGAAGGCTACGAGCTGTTTCTCGCCGAAGACTCCGTGGGATAGTCCTTCAAATGACTGCGAATGCAATTCTCATCTTTGGGGCGATCAGAATGCTTTGAGCGTGCTCTTGGGAAGACGATGGAACGCGCCGTCTGAGTCGGCTCACTATACATTTCTTTGCTGCATCTCTCACACAGAGAAGAGGTTGTATGGGCGACCGTGCTCATCTTTGCTCCCGGTGCATTGCTCCTCACTCTACGTTGATCTGTGGCCAACGTGAAACCTTACATTGTCCCGAAGACATCCTACCTTGTGTCTGTAACTCGTCAAGCTGGTCAGAATGCCATGACCATTCTGGAGTCAGTCCCTTTCTCGGGGTGCGTCTGTTATGATGCGTTTCAACTTTTTAACCAAAGGTGAATATAGCCGGTTGATTCTTGTTGGATCAATATCACTCCTGCAGCTTCCATTCATTGCTTGGCGGGCTTCTTGAGGCTATCTTGCAATATTACCACGAACGTCGGCTTCGCGTCTTTGTCTTCTACTGATAGGACGTCCCGCTTAGCTTCGTGTCCGCACTCAGGCGACGCAGTAGTAGCGGCAGTACTATAATCTTCGCGCCCCCAACCGTCTCGCCATGCAAGTTTCACCTACCCTAGGCGACACCTCTAATTCAGCGGTCGAGACCGACCTTCTCCCCGCTCTGATTGACTACGGTGGTCCAATCATCCGCGGCAACGCGCGGAAGTGACCTCATTCTGCTTAGGCAGTCGCAGTCCACGAAGCGAGGCAGCGTTTCAGTATCGAATCTCGCGTCGCGCGTCAGATCCAGGCGAATCTGCGGGTGCCCAGTAGCCCACGCACGGTTGCGTTCATTAGCGTTGGTTGCGATGGCGGGAAGTTGAGGTAGAAAAGCCTAGCTTGATGGATGCTTGAGCATGTCCGTGCCAGCTAGAGCCTAGAAGACCGACGTCTTGCCTCATGATTTCGGCCAGTCGTTATCTGGGATTCAATCAATAGTGACCGAGTCCGCACCGTCAAGCATGTCTGGGATGCGACTGGGGTATGTGCTCCATGGTCCGCTCACGGATTCTTAGTCATCTCTGAGCGCAATTGAGGTCCTCGCGATAAGATGTTTCGCTAGTTTGCCTCTAACGAGCCTTCACTAGCCATATCTTCCGTAACATCGTACCTTACTCTCGCATGATGTTCGCTCACTGGCCGAAGATTCCACGCTGCCCGGTGGTCGGTGTGGCCTGTGTCGTGTGGAATGTTCCCGCGCAAAGTAGGGTGAGGATCGCTCGGGCCTAGTTGGGAGCCGGAAAGGGTCGCGTGCCTGTGATCTTCTGGATCGTTTACACGCGGTCGATCATATTGCTTCCGCGGATAGCAATTGAACCGGATCGAACCACTACCACACTCTGCCCCCGACACCCGACACGCTCGCACCAGTTGGCCTGCTTCCCCTCTTATATCCATCATGGTTCAGATCTGTCTGGCCTCCTCTCCTCTTCTTGTTTGGACCTGTCCCTCCCCTTCCCCGCTGCAAGTTCACAGCGCCGTGAAGCAATATGGTGCACGCCGCTGAGCTCGAAGATGCGCTTACCACTAACGTTAATTATTTTTGTCGTGTAGCGCGCTCCTGAGTTCCTGCCTATCGAGTTCATCATCGTGGGTGGAGGTGTGGGAGGTCTAACTGCCTCGATCGCGCTCAGTCGGCTCGGCCACCGGGTGACGGTGCTGGATGAGAATAACGATTGGGATCAGGTCCGTGCTGCTGGTAATTTCGTAATAAACTCTGTGGTGACCTCTTTCAGACACAAGGCGCGGGAGGCTGTCGGCTCGCGCCCAACGTCACGAAGATTTACTACCGCTGGGGGATGGAGGAGAAACTCAAGAAAATCGGCGTCGTCTCGCAATACATCCAATTTGCAGATTGTGAGTTACCGTGTTGAATTCAGGCGTCTTCGCTGACAATCACATCAGATGAGACTGGACGTTTGGGCGCGAACGGAGAGTGGGTGGAGGACTTCCAGATCGAGTCGGGAGGAGAGTTTCTATCACTGCATGTGCGCCTTTGCTCACTATATGCGCTGAATATTCGCGTTTATCGTTCGACAGTATGCGGACTTCCGCAAACTGCTTTATGACACATGCGTGGAACTGGGTGTCAAGGTCCGTGGCGGCGCAAAGGTCACACAGTACCACGTCCGGCCAGAGCGGCCTTCCGTCACGCTGGCGTCGGGAGAAGAGGTGCATGGAGACGTGCTGATCGCGGCGGACGGGAGGATGTCACTCTCGCGGCAGCTCATGCTGGGCGACCGGAATTATGAGAAGCTGCAGAACGTTATGGTATTCAAGTGAGCTCTCCGAGCCGACTATATGCGCCTTGATCTGATGGAAGTCGCGCAGTGCCGTCGTTCCCATGACCAAAATGGCAGAAGACCCCGACCTCGACGGATTCCTCCACGAGAAGGTAAGCGCCTGTCGTTCTTGCTTTGTCTCCAAAGCTCATTGCGCGCTAGCAGGAAGGCACCGTTTTTAGCTGGTTCGGCGAGGACCGCGGCGCGCTGGGGTTCCCGACCGTACGTATATGCGCATGCTCTTGCGAGGCTGACGCGAGTGGTCATTGAAGGCTGCACAGGGCCGGAACGAATTCTGCCTCCACACGTTCGCACCGTCCGACTGGGGCGAGCCGGATACAATGCTCGAGGTGGGCCGCGCGGAGCTGGTCAAGTCGGTGCAGAATGCGGAGCCGCGGTATGTTTGCGTTGTATTCATATGATGGCTCGGTTGAGTGGCTAATATTCGTCTGTCAGTCTGCGAAAGTTGGCGGAGCTGGCGAGTACGGTCATCGCTATTCCCGTGGTAGAAAGACCCCATATAGACGAATGGCTACACCCCGACGGCTCCCTGCTCGTCATCGGTGAAGCGGCACACCCACTAACAGTACGTTCCCTCCCCCCCTCTTTCCTACCTCCCTTGCCCTACCCCACCACACTCACCATACACCGGCGCCAGACAGGCTCCCTCTACGCGATCACGCTCGCCGTCGAGGACGCAATGATGCTCGGCCGACTCTTCCACCACCTGCACCGGCGCGATCAGATCGGCAACTTCCTCACGGCCCTCGCGGAAAAGCGTCAGGCGCGCGTGCGCACCGTCGAGATCACGCAGCGCGTGAACCCGCTCTCGATAGCCCTCCCCCCCGGCGTCGATCAGGCGCGGTACCTTAAGGCGGCAGTGGAGAACATGACTGCGGCGGATGCGGTTTCGCTCACGCAGGACGTGCGTGCTCCGTATACAGAACTTGTCGTTGGTTTGGTACTGATGGGGTGACGGTGTAGGCGATCAGGGTGCTCTTCGCATACGACCCCGAGGATGAAGCGGACGACTGGTGGGTCCAATGGGGCCTCCTGCAAGAGCGCCACGCACGCCTCCTCCCGCTCTCCCCAGGCATCTCCGTCGACGTCGAGAAGAAAAACTCCTAGCGTCGCCTCTTCCCTCTCCACCGCCACCGACTGAGGATATAGGACAACACTGGATTGGGACTATCGCCCACTACCTATATGGAGGATTATCGATTATCGCCGATGCGCCGTATGTATGCGCCCGCGTCGTGCCGCTGACTATTACCGTATTTATGTACTTGACACTACGATATACCGCTTTCGCCTGCTGCTTAGTCTAGAATGCACACGCGTATGCCTTCCGCCCCGAACCCGAGCCCGAGGACGGAGCTGAAACCGCAGAAGAGCAGGGAAGAGCACGCCAAGTGCGCTGTCTTCGCCTCGAGGGCCAGGGACGAACGTCCCATGATAGGTGATCTGCAAGATGCACCCTCGAATTCAAGGCACCGCACCGCGCTACAATCTATAGCGTCTCGTTTCGACATCTTCCGAGATCTGGCGCTTGCCCAGTGCAAACGCAAATCGTATGCGAGATCACCAGCGAGTTCGGTCTGGTAGGATTAGGCGCAGAAAGTGCTCGGGCGGATGGGCATAATGGGACGCTAACCGCGCATTGACGGATATCACTGTCACCCGCTTATAGAGTACTTGACTGTATGTGGCTTGGTCCCTCGACAATACTGATGTTCCCCATGGCGAAAGAAAAACTTTTGAGTTCCTAGCATGACATGACATGCAATGCACAGACCGATAGAGCTCCCCACGACAGCAACTAGAGAATACATAGCGGAGTGCCCCAGAAGAACATACGAAACCGGTGATGGGCAAGCAAGCACTGAAACCTAAGGCGAGGTGCTGTTAGGAGAACCCAGTCGTTTCCAACCCTCCTGCGAAGGGACACTTGACTGGCCAGCTGCGGCGTTCATGCCCACCATGCGCTCAACGACTGCCTGTTCAATTAGAACACCGGTACACGTCAGACATGAATGCTGCTTATTTTGATTTGAAATAACAAAACTCACTTGTGCCTGATCCCAGTCCATCGTCTCATCGTCATCCTCCTCCTCCTCCTCCAGCTTCTTCTCCTCGGCACCTGCTCCCAGCCCCCACCCACCATCAACACGCTCCGGGTCTGGACTCCTGCACAGACATCAATCCTTATCAGCTCAGGCCTATACTTCCATCATCACCACGACGCACCTCAACGACTCCAAAAACTCCTTATCGCGCTCCCTCAAATGGCTGAAATGAGCAAAGTTAACGAACTGCGCCTGTATCCTCGGCGTCTCTCCGCCCTCGTCGTTCACATGCTCCTCGCCATTCTGCCCGTTTTGCACTGAGCTCCGCTGCCGTTCAGGCCTCTGTGCGATCCACCCGCGGCGGTCGCGCGGCTTGCCTGCAGAGAGGAAGGGCGGCGCGCGGTTCGTGCGTTGCATGTTGCGCTCGAGCTGAGTCAGTGGCGCGCGCACTATGTGCAAAAGGTGCTGCACGGCGGCTTCGCCTGGTGAAACTTGCGGTGGTGAGGCTGTGAGTGAGAAGGAGATCGGGCGGTGGGAGCGTTGAGAAACGAGCACAAGCAACCTATAAATGACAGGCGCCGTTGAGACGAGTGTTCATGGGAGATCGTGGAGGAAATAGAAGACATACATCTGCTGCAGCCGAGGCTGCTGTGAGATCAGGCTCTCTGGGATGGTGTCCTCCATAGATGCATTTAGCCGCGCATACATGCGAGGGAATGCGGATAGGATGACACGATCGCGGAACGATTGAAGTGCAATAGTGCGCACGTCGATCTGAGGGGCGGACTGGAGTAGCGACGACATCGATCCTTTGCTATTTGTCCCTGAAATTGGAGAATTGTTTGGCTTGTGGCCCTTTGGCATGCGATAGAGGGAAGAGAGAAGCGGGTCAGTCTGCAACGGCAGCAGAACCTATGCGTTAACTGCTCAGTGTGGCGTCACTAAGTGAACGATCGGCGAACGTACCCCTTCCACATAGGGCAAGACTTGATCCCAGAAGAAACCCCAGAGCTCAACTACTCTTCCTACCAGCTTTTCGTCCTCGATATCGTTCAGCTTCGCATTCAGAGTCACCATGCCTGACGAAATGAGGTCGGACGCGTCCTTCTCAAGCATACTGAGGGCCTTGGCAGGCGATTGAGAGACAGTCGCCTGAATGTGGCGCTTGACGAGCTGGTTTAAGTCCTCGCTGCACCGAGCTGTAGCATGATGCATGTAGAACAGAAGATGTTGTCAACTCACATGGGAATTCGCAATGGTTCACCGTTGAAAAGGGGCAGGACATGGACATGCAGTTGCTTCCATGGATCATTAGACGAGCTGGTCGCAATGTTGGGTGTGCTCGAGGGTGCGATCGTGTGGCTGCTCGCGTTCTGCGACGCGCCAGTCAATGCAGGCGGCAGAGTGGGCAGGTGCGAGTGCGCAAGACTGCCGAGGCGGTGCATCTCGCGGGAGACAAGTTTCGAGTCGTACGTGCGCGATGACGAAATCTACAATGAAGCACGGACCGAATGGCACGGCGAGAAGACGGGCGGAAGAACTTAGCGAACACAATCTCATAATGTGATCACACGAGGAACACCTTCTCAGCCTGTCGCCGCTTCTCATCTGATGCTCCGGCAACAAACTGGGAAGGCTGTCAGCCAAGGAAAGATGGACATACCTTGGTGGGCGAGATGTGTCCCTTGTATTGACCTGACGCCATGCTAGGGGCGGGAGAGGCCGCAGAGTCGCGCGGAACGGTCAACGCAGAGTCAGCTCGAGAGTGCGAGCGCACTTGAAGCGGACTGGGAGGCAGCCGAGACGAAGCTAATGATCCTGAGGCAGAAGGCAACAGCTTCTCGGGGAGGAATCCGAGTCTTTTGGATGGATGAGGATCAGCGCCCACATGGCCAGCGCTATTGTCTTGATTGTTCGTACCGCCTTGCAGCGGACTCGACCTGGGCGTGGAGTCGCCCTGGCTCGAGGACCTGCGCCTTTCTGGCTTCCGCATGAACGTGCCGCTGTCCTGCGAGGACCGTCGTGAATGGTAGTGGTGACCTAGAGTCATCGTCGTTGCTAGTGCTCCTTGTTACCGTAGACGGCTCATTGACGTCGAGTTCCGCGTTCCGCGCGACGGAACAGATAGCGAAGAGAGACGATGTTCACGAAAGGAGTGGTCGTCCAGCAACGGCCAGCACGTAACAAAGGAGAAAGCGCTGGCTTTCCTCGGGATTTGTCTGCGGAATTTTCTCGTCGTCTAGTAGTTATCCATCAAAAATATTCTACGAATATTCCGCCCGCTCTCTCTTGCGAATGTACGGCATCTCCGTTCTTCGCTCAATCTCAGCTGCAACAGCAAGTTCGATATTGCAGCAAACTCGCAGGACATTCACGGTACTCGCACTTGAATCCTCTGCAGATGACACCTGTGCAGCGGTAGTCACCTCGAATCGCGAGATCCTCTCTAATGTGGTCGTGAGGCAAGACAATTTGTGAGTGGCGCTGCAGGCTTCTTAAACTGACAGACCGGCTGAGCCTCTCGTTCACAGGAACGAACTGTACGGAGGGATACATCCCTACGTCGCCATTCAGGCGCACCAGCATAATTTGGTGAGTCTCGCACGGTTTCCTAAAACACACCGTTCCTCATACGCTCTGCAGCCCGGTGCTGTGCGCAGAGCCCTGCAAGAGGCCAATATGTCCGTGACCGACGTCGACGGTATCGCATACACCCGCGGACCAGGCATCGGCGGCTGCCTCAGTGTCTGCTCAAATGCATCAAAAACCCTCGCTGCGGCGCTGAACAAGCCTCTAGTCGGCGTGCACCACATGGTCTGTCCCTCTGTCTCCTCATCTTCCATGCGCAACACACACGAATCTGACATATCTAGCAAGCACACGCTCTCACGCCGTTCCTAACCACACCCACCGATAAACTACCACAATACCCCTTCCTCACGTTGCTAGTTTCAGGCGGGCATACTCTCCTCCTGCTCGCGACCTCTCCGCGCACCTTCCGCACACTCGCAACGGCGCTTGACGAAAGTGTCGGGCGCGCGTTTGACAAGATCGCACGCATGCTTGCGCTTCCACGGTCACAGCTCGGACTTGGAGCGGCACTGGAACAGTTCGTCTTAGCGGGACCGCCTACGGGAGGAGAGGTGGTCGATCCTGACATCCCGCGTATCCCCCTGCCGATGCATGGCCGCCTGTCGTTCTCGTATACAGGCTTGCACTCGACTGTCGAGCGTTTCTTGTTTTCGCGCAATGGCGTGATCAATGAGTCGACCAGGTATGCGCTCGCCGAATCATTCCAAAAGGCTGCTGTCGGCCAGCTGGAGGAAAAGCTCCTACTCGGGCTGCAACTCTGTCAGCGGAGGGGAATTAATATTCGTGACGTTGTCGTCAGCGGTGGAGTGGCTAGTAATTTATACCTGAGGAAAAGGTATGACGACTGATTCACGGTAGACGCTGGCATTCTCTAAATCATTGGCGATCAGGTTACGCGCGTGCCTCGACAATGCAAACCCCGACGCACCTATCGCTCTTCTTTTCCCTCCACCAGCACTATGCACCGGTATATCAAGTTAGTTCTCCTCCGGCCACGATTCGATCTAACGCATATAATTTAACAGACAATGCGGTGATGATCGCCTGGGCGTCCATGCATCGCTTCCTCGCAGGCGATACTGACGCGTACAGTGATGAGCTTCGCTCCAAGTGGAATATTGAAGAATTGGACCCTTCAGGGCCAATCATTAGCGCCGAGGACAGTTCAAGCATGTCATTTAATACAACGATCGACGGTGCCACTCCTGCAATTATGGCCACATGAATCAAGTGCGTTCGTTATATTGGTACCTGATTACTCTAATGACACGAAGAATGTTACTAGGAATATTATTGAGCGCACACTGGTAGACAGGAACACATATATACGGGACGACATGCCCCACCCAGTAATCAGCATCAAGATCGATCACGACAGACACGTCTGGCAAGAATGCGCCATGGCTGAGTGTGCTCCCTTGAGAAGACGAGGGCTCTGCCGAAGAGTTGTAATGACGCCTCTTCGCCGCTGGCTCCGGGAATTTCTGTGATGTAAAATCTTTGGGGGCACTTTCTTGTGGTGTTATGGCTGCCCCATTGATCGCGGACTCAATGAGAGAAGCAAGAGAGGAAACGGTGCCAACGCGGGTCCGCTATCTGGTGACAATAATACAGGAAGCTGACTGCTGGAAAAAGCCTGTTGGAGCAAAGGCAACTGTCAGTCATTGCGAGCAATAGATTGTCATGGTTGGCCTCACCGTCTTGCGCGGTTCAGCTGAGTTTTGCTGCCTCGCTAGAATTCTTTCTCGGTCCTATTATCACCCCGGCGGTTCGCGTTCTCTCCTATCTTGAAGATGCAGCTTCTGGTGGCGCACCGCTCATGAAATCCGGGGGCGGTTTCTTCGGAGGTTTGTTCCTCTGCAGCTCAGGTTCTCCCTCTTTTGCCGTGAAGATGTGTTGGTACTATATGTTGGCATCAATTCCAATGCGATAGGCTCGCTTTCATGACGCGTTTTTCCCCCCTCAAAGCCATCGACAATTGCGAGACGGGCCAAGGGACGCGACTGTCAAAGGTCTGCAGAAAAATATGTGTGTTCAAGTCGCCCGTAAATATTCTCTCGAGTCACCCTCCATAATCCTTGTACGCCTATGGCGCATTAACGGGCGTGGTTTTGGTGCAAGAAGTCCGAACGAGCGAGTGGTAAATGCGAGCTTGGTCCTCCGCGTCAAGCGCGAGCTTCACATGACTATAAGTGAGGACCGTGACAGGTTCTGACGAACGCGTGCCGTATGGGGTCATGAATATGTGGTCTACATTGTACAGGTCTATCTGATTGTGATTGTATCAAAACGAGATCTAGTGTTTCAAGTGTAAGGTGAAAATTACTCTACTCTTTGTGAGCTGTCGTCATCATCGTCTAGCGGAGTGTTTGACCCGCGTTCGAAGAGGAAAGAGATTGTACCTCCTGGGACCTCGTCGACAGTCAGGTCAGGGACAGTCATGATGTTCTCAAGATCAACTGCCTCGAGCAACGCCTCTACCCGGGACTGCGGAATTGCCGACGATTCTCTCTTCTCCTTGGGCCGAGAGTATAGCAAGTCGCTGAGAATCCCGTCACGAATAATCTCTTGAGCATTTGGCTTGAGGCAATTGATATGCGTCCATTCACCGAGCGCAGCTAGTTGCGCCTTCTTCTGCTTCATGTACTGCCCGTTTACATTAGTTTGAGCTCGCAGACCCGGTCATGGACCACCCACCGCCCGATCAAGTCTCTCTATCTGTTCCGGTTTTACTTGAGATGCACTGATGAAGCTCATTGGCTTCTCATCATCTTCTTCATCTTCATCTTCAGCCAGCTGTTCAGCTAGATCAGCATCCAAAGGCCTGGACATTCCCTCGGACAATTCACAGGGACACTCCAGTAGATCATGGGTATGGCAGGGCGTATGAGGATAGATGGTGAAGATATCACGCAGCTGCACAGGCACTGTGTGAGCAGCGCTTTCATGAATAAGGCCATGATAACTGACATCTTTGCGTGTAAACGAATCCGACTTTGAATCAGAAGTTCCCTATTGCTGACAATGAGTATGTTCCGATAAGAGCAGACGCGGGGGCTCATACATTGCCCATCAAAGCTGCGTAGTCATATCAATGGCTTGCTCACGATCGAGATAACGGTGATACTCACAAGCGCTTAAGCCTAACTTCGTCACTTGCCGCTGATATATTTTCTCTGTTGTCCAATGCGCTGTCAGATGTTCTGCAATGAGCCGCTCAGATGATGTCTCACCATCAATTGCACCAGCTGTCAGGAAGCGATAGATGAACACAGGGCGCTTCTGCCCATCGCTACGGAGTCGATGTTTAGGCTTTTGAACCTTCGCAAGCGTGAAACTTACCGATGGATACGCGCCATGGATTGCAGATCATGGCTGAACAACTTTCTCAGTCACTTAATCGGGAAAATGCAAGCGTGCATACCTTGGATTCCAATCGGAATCGATGAGACAGAGCCTCGATGCCCCTATGAGGTTAAGCCCTACTCCCCCCGCTTTGGAGCTTAGTAAGAAGAGGACTATGATGGAATTAGGTATGTAATATACAGAACTTTGGAAAGCACGCACATCGTTTCGCTTGCGAGGCCTTATTAAACTCGTTGACGTATTCTTGTCTCTTCTGGGCTGGTGTTTGCCTAAAGGGTGCCAAATGCATCACTTTCATGCTGATGTTGTAGACGGTGAATACTCACCCATCCAACCGGTGATACGTATATCTCTTCTTCTGGCAAAACGCCTCGACGATATTGAGTGTGGAGGTATAGTGTGACACGATGATGCATTTCTCTTCCGTTTGCTGTGACACTAGTCAGCGTCAACGCGACAATAGGATGGCCCGAACTCACCTCACGCAGAGCTCCGAGCAAGTTAGCCAAAGCGGTGAGTTTCCCTGACGAACGTTCAATTAGACACAATATCATCCATGCATTGCACCGACTTACCGCTCAGCGACACGTCATCCACTCTGGCTCGTTCGGGCAATAGCATGACAGCTTCCTCGATCGCATTCTTCTTGATGATATCGCTGCCCTGGTCGGCTCTGCTCTTTGCCTGGTCAAGTGTCGCTTTAAGCAAGATCGGGCTATTGCTGATCTTGGTTAGTATGTTGATAAGAGCCAGGGATTCGGCCGTCGAATTTCGGACAAGATTGTCAAGCTTGTCTGCGGAGAGGATTTTGTTGAAGATTGAGAGCTGCAGCTTGGTAGGGGTGACGAAAACGACATATTCGTCTAGTGCAACGTGAATGAGTACTAGTTAATTAGTTACGTGCAACGATAGAATACATACACTTGGGCGGAAGGTACTTCTTCAGGATGGTTGCGTCTCTTCTTAGCACGAAACTACGAGCGATAGTCGAGAGCTGCCGCACGAACATTTTCAGCAATAGATGAGGCCATTGGTTTCGAGGGTGCATACTTGTGCCGACCGAGCCTCGCCGAGCTCCGTTTCTTTGGCTGAACAACCGGGCGCTCGGCTCTTCAAAATTGGAACTTCGTATACCCTCCGGAATGTATTATAATCGTCTAAGGAAATTGAAACGTCACTTGTGAGAACGGTCATTTATAGCTCGACCAACACACCGAGAAGACCCGGGTTGCAGAAATCAGCCTAACGGCATGGTCTGTATTAGTGCCTCTCGGCTTCAGAATAGGCTGCCCTCACCATCGCGTGGAATTCTCCCAAATCATTCTGGATTGGTGTGCCGGAAAGAATGATGCGTCGAGGCGTCCGGAGCGCTTCGAACATGGTGGAGGTCTTGTTATTGGCTGACTTGAGCCGGTGACCTAGACCGATGATGTAAATCAGGATACGAATGCATTGCAGTCGCTTACCGCACCTTCATCACAAATTATCAAACCGATGGGCGGACTAGTGCGCAGGATCCGACATCAGCTGCAATCAATTTTCACTGTTGTCCGATACTTACTTGCAGTATGCTAAATCCTTGCTATAGTAGCGCAAACTTAGCTACCATGTCTCGTCGCGGTGCGGTTACTACACTTACATAACCGTCCGGAGACGCTCGTAGCCGATAACCAAGACCTGATGGGCCCTTCTGTAGATCACGGGATTCCGGGCGTCAGTGAAGTCGTGAAAGACAAGCGCTTTGATCTCACGAGTTCATGAAATGTTTGATGTTGCCCTTGCCCTTGTCCCCAACAAAAATGCCTACCCGATCCTTGCCGAGCCTGGCTCCGCTCAGTATCCGCAAAAGTAGTAAATTCTACCGACTGACCATTTGTGAAATTCACTCTTCCAGTTCTATCCATTCAGTAGATTAGACTTCCCGAATATATGCTACGGAAGGCTAGCGTGTTCGACTTACGTTGATCAACGTGACTGGACAGGCTATCAGAATCTTGCCCACGACTGGTCCTGCACCCGTGTACGGATTCTGTTCTGTTCGAACAGAAGCTCTCTCGCATCAATGGTATAATATAGACGCTGACGGAAGCCGTACTGAGTAGTGTCCAACAGAGCGCTATGGTCTAGAACTTTCTTAGCTGAGCGCGACGAGGAACTGGAGAATATTCACCTGCAATGTTTTACCCATACCCCTGAAGCGGATGGCAAATTATCAGCAGATGCTGACGAAGAGGACTCAAATAACGGGCATACATTTCGTCTGCCAAGATGCATCCATTGCCTTCATGCTTCCGCAGGCCCATGACACACTCGTACATGAATTTGACACCTCGGATGACAGATGAGAAAGATGCACAGCTCCCATGACAATGTTAGAAAGGTACCTTCTATCTGGTGCGGCCTTGCCCGCCGTGCGACAATGGGGTCGATCACGACATCCACCACGGGAAGATTCCTAGGCGGAAACGAGCGAACGAGCGACGATAAGCTAATGTCGATATGGAAAGGCAGTTCGGATCGGAGTACCGTCTGTTATGCTTGGCAATGTGCTCCTTTGTAGGGGCTTTCATGACAACCGCCCCTTCGGCACTAGGATCGTGCCTGATAGAATACGAGGGAACATATTAGAAGGCAGAAATGTGAATGAACTGGTGGCTTACAGTGGGCCTTTCGGCTTCGGCTTCGGCTTCGGTGAAGGATTGCCGTAAAATGAGGACGGAGGTACGAACTTATGGAGGCTAGCATTGAGGTTCATATCTGTTGCGTGTTCTGCTTTCTCACTTCCTGCGTGAGCTTTTAAAAGGAATGGTGAACGGGCTTCGGATACGAGAGGAATCTCCAATTCGACATCCGAAGTCGGCTCAACGGAGGATCCTACAATGGCTGGAAGCTCGGATTCCGCAGCTTTGCGGTCTAGTTCTACCTCCCGACCGCCGATGAATGTCGAGTAGCCGCTATATAGAGGAAGCCCATCCCACTTCTTCGTACCGATTCTACGAATACTCAGGTTAGTATTCTGCCCTTAGCGTACAGCGATTGATCGAACATCACGCCCGTATCCGAAAACAAAATTAGCTTTTCTTCTCGGAGAGTTACCCACGCATCACCATCCCATGTCTTGTGCTTCTTCTGCTGCGGTTTTCGCCTATATGCGCGTTCAATAGCGCTCAAAGGCTTTTATCCCATCAGACTTACCAGTTCGCGGCCCATGACAGAGTCTGCACCCTCTCTTTATTACTTGGTTTGTCACCCTTTGAGACCAAATCTACCGGTTCCAATTGAATAGGTTGCCTGTTCGGTGCTGCTGCAGTAGAAGGGGGCTTGAATGTGTTAATGATCTTCGGTCTAAGCGGAGCAAAGGGCTTGGCCGCAGACGAGCTAGAGTCTGTGGCAGCGGCAGAGGAACGGCCTCCGTTTCCAAAGCATCGTCCGGCAAGAAAGTCTTCACGTTCAACATAGCGATCAATCTCCAGCTCTTTATTTCCCACTGTGAAGTTGGCGCCTTCGACGATCTTGTGGACACCCTCGATCCCATGGGGCTTTCCAGACACTAGGCTATACGGGGGTAAGCAAAAATAAAGCAGGATGAGACGTTACATCGCGTACATTCTGCCGTCGCTCTCATACAATGTGCACGTGTTTCCCCGTATAACCAGTACAGCATCGCCATCCCATGTCTTGTGCTTCTTATATTGCGGGTTTCTCCTGCAATCAAAGCGTTAGACCAACTCTAGACAGTGACGGACTAATGACGTACCACAGCACCATCCAACGTTTCTCTCCCGCAAGATCGTCCCCCGCTCTGCCATTATTCGAGACGGAAGATCCTCCTTCCAACGCCTGCCGCTTGCGAGCTGCTGTGTCCTGCTCATGTGCATCTGACTTTCTTTTCTGCACGCTGTTGAGGTGAGGATTCTGGAAAGCGGGCATTATGGGCGACGAAGATGGTAGCACAGAGCAAGACGCGTTAGTGGCGGGAGCGTGGCCGACGCGCGCCGAGATGGACACGGTCACGTGCTCGTGTCTGTGGCTATCAATTCCGAGCTTTCAATGTCTCGCTCGCTGCAGCTCTTGCCTGGCTAAGTCAGCTTGCATGTGTTCGGATGCTCAACCACTGTGAAAATTGGTTTGACTCGCGTATAAAAAGACTATGCAGGCCAACCCAAGAACGAAGGCTGCTGACTGTGCATGGCTTCACCGGCAAGATCGGCTCGAAGCCACCGAAATCTTAGTTGAGAACGTTGTGGTGATAATTGCGCAATAGTTTTCGAAATTTATACTAATCCACTTGTTTGATCATGATATTCTTAGGCTACACCATACCGTACACAAGCCTGCCATCGATGACTGTGGCAACAACCCGGGCATCCAGAATGTTCTCGGGAGGGATAGTCATGATATCCTGCGATAGGATGACATAGTCCGCACGCTTTCCCGCGGTTACGGAGCCAAGGATTCCATCTGTAAATGAGGCATATGCTGGATCGATCGTCATGCCTGCCATAGGGAGACTCCTTCAGTCTTTTGCTTGTGTGACGCAGCGGAAATAACACACCTCTCAGCGCCTCCTCTCGCGTCATCCGCTGTTCGGGGAACCTATAAGGAATAGAAATTGATATCTTGAGTATGGGAGCAATGCAGCAATATGATTGGGGGTACTCACCAACCTCCTGGGCCATGGGGAGACCTGCCATCCTTTGACAGTCTTGTGACGGCTGCGTAGAACCCCGCGAGCGGGTTAATCTCCTCCACGGGACTGTCAGAACCCAAAGTGATGCGGGCACCATGATCGAGGATGCTGCGGAAAGCGTAAAGGCCCTTGACACGCTCTGGGCCCTATGCAATGAGTCAGCCCTCGGAATTGAAACGTATGAGAAGGGGCTCACCAGTCGTTCTTCGCCGAACCACATGTCGCTGATACTGCATTGCAAATGCGTCAGTGTAATGAATGTGTTGTCGCTCGTAAGACAGCCCGACTGACGCGTGTGTGGGTTGAATGCTCGCGATAACTAGAGATGAAACGTCATGAAATGCCCTGTGATCTCCGCTTGGGAAAAAATCACCTCCAAGGTCACCAAAGCGGGCCATATCAGCTTCTGCTAGTATCTGCGCATGTTCAAGGCGAGGTCGAAGAGCAGTCACGTTGGCATGCTTCAGAGCCTCCTCGAACGCATCCAAAACCATGCCATTCGCACGGTCGCCGATTGCATGGACATTCTGAGAAGATCAGCGAATACGATCAAGCCGGCGAACATGCTCACGCACCACTTGCCAACCGTCGCGCATGAACCTTGGTATCACCGTCTTCAACACCTCTGGTTCTATGCGCATCAGTCCTCGACTGTCAGGATTGTCCGCATAGGGTGCGTAGAGCTGGATGAACAATGAGAAAATAGCGCATTACACAACGCATGAATGCGTACAGCTGCCCCTCCAGAGCGGAGGGCACCTAATAAGAGTTATATTTCCAATTGCGATGATCCAGGCAAGAAGACCTCACCATCCGCGAATATCTTGACACTACGCGCCCACAACCTGTTATCGCCGGCACCGAGTACTTTGACAGCATTATCTCCCCAATATTCCGCGCTCTCGTCAAAATATGTCATTCCATAGATGCGGATCTGACGAGGAAGATCTGATCAATCAATTATGCTTCTAGCGTCTCAGACCACATACGGGCAGTCTTCCCTCGTCGGCCTGCCTGGGGACGTGCGTCAATGACACAAGGCTACTGATACTGCAAGTCGGCTTACCGGCGAAAGAAGTTCAACGACATAGGATCGAAGCCTGCATCATGAATGGTTGTCAAGCCGTGAGAGAGCGCATCCCGAACAGTCGCCGCGAATCGCTTCTCCAGCGCTTTGTACGTTGGGATCGGTCGTTTGACCAGTTCCTGCGCGTTATCCAAAAACACACCTGTCATCGATCGTCAATACAATTGCCTTCTTTATCAAGTGAGTGCTTAATTACCGAGTGCTCTTCCGGACGAATTGCGAATGATTGCGCCGCCTTCCACCTCATCTGGTAACGGCTCCATCGATTGCAGGACAAGCGAGGAGACCCAGAGGGCATGTCCGTCTTTGCTCTGGAGCACGATAGGCCGTCCTGCTACAACCGGGTCTGCTTCGAGGTGTTCCTGTTGAGCATCAATCGTCGAGTTCGGTGAGAGGAGAACTAACAGCTACAAAAAGACGCATACGGACAAAGCTTGGCCAATCGTCACGTTCCCAGTTTGTGTGGTCCCAACCCCAGCCCTCCACGAACTTCGTCTTGTCATGCTTGAGATCTGGGTCGGACAGTATGTATTCTCGGACGCGCCGCACAGTCTCTGTGAGTCCATTAGTCCAGGGTCTGGACACTTATTATGATATACCAACCCTCAACAGTGCGTGCATCCTCCATTGGCATTTGCTTCATCGCTCCGTACTCAAGAATATGGGCATGAGAATCTATGCCACACTCGTCAGCCGCAGTGTTTATTCGCAGGTTACCACTCCGCCTCGGACATACCGCTCAACCCCGGCAGTACAACCTGGCCAGGTTTAATGTATCGGATCTCAAGTTGGCGTGGCAAGGCGTTATCCGAACGTTTTGACTGGCGAGTTGCCTCAGACCATCGCCGCCGGACGTCGTCTGAGGCGCACACAATATTAGCACATCTTATCGCTAAATACGGGGGAAAACGTACCTAGAGACCCTGTATCCACAAAATGTGACCGATGGACAACGAGACACTGTACTCGAGTATTGGTGTCATCCGCAGTATATATATAGGCTCCGCTCGGGGAGCATACAGCGTAAGATCCAGGTAGATCGTCTGATGATGGACGCTGGACGAAGAAGTACAGTGAAAGCGCTACAGAGACGATAAGAAGGCATAGTCGACTAGTACGGGACACGCCGAACAGATGCCGGGTGGCGGGTGCAGCACCGCTGAAGGGAGGCTCTGGAGTTTTCTTCTCTTCAGAGGGCGTACGTCTGCGGAGAATTTGATTACAATCGCAGAGAGGGGGCATCTTTGGATGTCAAACTGCTGCAGAAACTTGTGTGGGGAGCCCTATAAGTAGTACCCAGCCGTGGCGTGTCATGAGAAGACCACCTCTCGGCATGACAAGAGAACCTGGTAACAGACAAGACAAGGTGAGACACCTCTAGTAGATCTCGAAGCACATGCTTACCTCTGAAACGCAGATATTGGCAATCTCATCTCTGACCATTCCAGCGAAGGAGTCCATGCAGCCGACAAGCGCACGCTCAGACTTGACCCGGGCGTCTCTTAGTAGGCGCTTGTGCGGCCATCAGTATTAGCTGGCGCCCAACGGCCCTACTTGCGTTCTTCCACCTTCCTGGCTTGCGGCGTCATCTGTTCTTCGCAGAATAATTAGCCTGTCACCTCCATGGGTCTTGATCCCACGACCGTCGTTGTCCATGAGGCGAATAGCCGCCAGTGGAAGTTTCCTGTGGCCGGACCCTGACCGCCTCCGTCCAAGTGCGATCCCAGTAACGCGCAAGGTTGATCCACAGCCGGAAATCTGTGCCTCAGATGATTTTCCTGGATGCATATGGTAGAAGTGATCCTCGGAGCTTTCAGGACCTCGATGTCGAACAGACGGAGCCATTGAATGCGACCACAAATCTCATCCGCCCTGCCAGAGTTGCCACAGAGTTGCCTTGTAGGGACCGTCGGGAGTTCCCGAAACAGTATCTCAGATCCATTAGCTTGCAGTTACATTTGACTTATATTAAATATATATTTACGATAACCCGACGCTGCCGTTGAGCCACGTCGGCAACTCTATCATGACATGCATTCTCTCATGCATAGCTCAAGCGTCATCTCCTAGTACTCAGCCTACACATTGACAAAAAGGCTCTAAACTACTGCATTGAAGGTCCATAGTTGCCATGCCTATTCACGACGTTGTGAGGCAGAGGTTGCAGCCTCTCACATCGGCCGTGACCTCGAACAGGATTCTGCTCTATGGTGTACTCAGCGCGTTCGCATTACTGGGGACCATCGCAAATGCCTGCAGGAGCTACAGCAACTTCTATTCCGTGGCTATATATCTATCCCGAAGCAGTCGCAGTGTATTGGTATGCATTATTGGGGTTTACTCGCCCGAGCAATCTGTGACCTTGCCTCCTTCCAGGTCCTCGCGAATTTCGGATTTCTGGTTGCTCTAGCGTGCGGTCGCATTACGCAGCAGTTGTTCTTTGGGCCGTTGCAACCCCGTGAAATCGAGGTGTGTAGCTGCATGCGGTTATATGCGGCATCCGCTGAAGCTAGCTGCAGCGACTATACGATCAAACATGGATATTCGTCACCGAATCTCTTCTGGCGTTCACAATTTTCAGAGATGATTTCGACATCCCGTTCGTGCTCATGTTCGGACTCTTGCTGTTTGTGAAATGTTTCCATTGGCTGTTGGCAGACCGTGTGGAGACAGTACGCGTTCTGTTAATACGTGTTTACGTGCTCATCCTGACTTGAAGCCGGCATGTAGATGGATCAGACGACATACCCTGGTCCCCCTTTCACCTTCCATGTGCGGATGAATCTGCTTTTTGGCCTTCTATGGACGCTCGACATCGTGATGTTCGCAATTGCGGTGGAAAACACGCTGAACAATGGAATTAGTGGAATGGTCCTTTTTGCGAGTGAGGTACGTGGGATCTCCAAGGGTCTGCATTCGAGTGACTAATCTAAGATTTCGCTACAGTATGCCATCCTACTGGCGAGCGCCCTGAACTCAATGGCAAGATACGTGTTGTCTGTCATCGATTATCGAAGAGCGCGCACACGAGGTGGCGAGAATGCGCCGCCCATGGAGAACAAGAGCATGTACGTCTTCTACATCGAGCTAGTGACAGGTGCGCCCATCGGAAGCGACCGTCTATACTAGATTGATCCCGCTGCAGATTTTCTCAAGTTGACGACGTACCTCACTTTCTTCATGCTCATCCTAACCTTCTATGGTCTGCCGCTCAATATCATCCGTGACGTCTATCTTACCGCGCGCTCGTTCATCACTCGATTGCGCGCACTCATTCGGTACCACAATGCTACCCGAGACATGGACCGTCGCTATCCGAACGCAACAGAAGCCGAGCTGTCAGACATGTCCGACCGGACTTGCATCATTTGCCGAGAGGAGATGGTCTCGCGAAACCCTCAGCCACAAGCCGGCGATGCAGCTGCCGAAGCACAGGCGCCTATCCAGGATGGACCAAACATGACACCGAAAAAGTTGCCTTGTGGACATATTTTCCATTTCCAATGCCTCCGTTCGTGGTTGGAACGGCAACAGAGCTGTCCCACATGGTGAGCGAAATTAGTATCTGATCAAATGTATCATGATAATAACACCGCGGACAGCCGCCGCACTGTTCTAGAAACGGACGCTGCGAACCAGCCAGCGGGACAAGGTCGCGCAGAAGGTGGCCGTCCTGCACCAGCACAGCCAGGCGCAGCACTACAAGGCCAGCAACCAGGGCAGCAGCGTGCAAACCCCATGGCTTGGCTTGGTCGTTTCCTTGGTCTCCCTGCGCAGCAGCCAGCTGTGCAAGGCCAGAATATACATGGACAGTTTGCGCCAGCTGGCAATCTCCCTCAGCATCCTGCGCCAAACTTTGCATGGGGAGGAGGCCAGGCTGCGCCACCGGCGTATTTCTATCCAGGACAGTACGTTGCTCAAGCACAACAGCCTCAGCAATTGCTGGAGCCACCGGTGTTTCAAGGGTTCTATGGTCCAGGTGGAGTCTGGCAACCATGGGGCATGGACCCGCAATGGTTTGCTCGACAGCCCCAGCAGCGAGGCGAAATCCCCACGCGGCCATCTTCACCACAAAGCTCTGTTCTTGACTCCAACTCTCAGAGTTCCGCCCGATCAGTTCATGCCGAAACCTCTGCCGCTCCAATACGAACGCAAGAGACCTCCACGGACCAGGCGCAATTACCAAGGGAGGCAGCTGCCCAAGCCGCGTTACGGAGGATGGGCCCCTCGCGGTCCGGGATGGGTCCGAATAGCGACTCGACCGCATCGACAAGCAGCAGCACTGACACAACATCGTCGCTCGCATCAACAGTGCCTTTTGCCAACAGCGAGACCAGCTCATCACAAAGTAGTGCAAGACCTGCGATCCCCTCGTTAATCCCTCTGTATGACTTCTCAACTCAGGGGGGACGCCCACCTGCATTCAACCACTCTGCGCGTCAGTTTTTCAGGCCCGAGCAGCCACAATCACAAACTGCTTCGAGCTCAAGCTACGTATCGACGCAATCGCGTTCAACTCAACCGCCTCCAGCGCGATACCGCACTTCGGGAACGAGCGCCGCTCGCACACCCTTGACGCAATTACCCCCAACTCTGACAGATGAGCAGCTTGCGCGATTGGACAGGCTTACGCGGGATGCCATCGATGAGCGTCTTCGCGTACTCGAGGGTGTCTCGGGCGCAGTCTATCGCTGTATCGAGGAATTGACACGCGTGCGAAGTGTCCTGCCGGCGTCTTCTGGTGTCTCATCAACGCATGGGCAGGAGCCGGAACGCCCAGCTACGCAGACGTCCGCGGAGACGCGGTCGGCCCCTGTGGCAGGCACCTCATCGAGTACGCAAGATGATCCGGCGAGGGATGTTGGCGAAAGCGGGGCATTGTCTGCCCAATCGTCACCTGAGGATGTCAACACTCATGATGTACCAGTATCTGATGGCTAGGATACAAGGAACGGAGTTTCCTTTCATTTGTTTCCCCCATTTTGTCGTTTGGCGCTTTGTTTATGGAACACATCGGCATCAGCGCTATTTGCGTCCCTGTGGTTCGTCAGTCGGGCTGCCACAGGAGCTTGTAGTAATTGTAATTAGATGTAGCAGGAACTGATTGTATCATCGTTGCTAAACTCCTCGCAACACCTATGACGCCTCGGCCAGCAGAGCTTCGGCTCTGCTTCGCACAAGATCCGTGTCGACAAGCGATCGATCCACCTTGGAATAGAACGTCTTGAATAGCATGCCTGCGGCTCTTTTCTTGTTGGGTTCGCTCGTAAGCTGAGGTTGTTCTGCAATGATTTCTCGGATAAAGCGGTCTATTTCCGCCTCTGACAGCAGTGCCGGGAGAAACACCTCTAGGAGTTCTGCTTCTTGCTTCTCTTTTTGCGCTAAATCAGTGCGGTTGGCCTTTTCAAATTCAGCAGCAGAGTCAGCCTGTCGGTTGAAGCGAATTGTGCATGTCGGTCAGAAGAGCTTGACAAGTGACATAAAGGGACTTGCCCGTCGGCGGACGGCTTTCCGGAGAATGGCCAAGATAGATGAAGAAGAGACGGCTCCGTCAGATCCTGGCGCTTTGTCTGCCGCGTAGACCTCGGCGAGAACAGACTGTAGGAAACAGTGTCATTATACCATAATCAGCATCATGAAAGATAACTGCATGCCGTATACTGACGCGAATAGTCGTTGACTTTACGGTGTCCTTACTCTGCCGATGTGTCCCCAATCAATTGCTGTTATTCGCTGAACTGGTGTGAACTACCTTCATAGCATCCTTTACTTCACTCATAAGTTGCTTTCGCACGTCTATTTCACGTTCAGCACGGTGTAGTATGCTCGAGTCGAACAGCCACATACCTATAGTAGAATGGGTCGCTGTGACAGAGATTCGGCGAATATTTTGTCTGCTCAGACTAGCGAGAACATTAAAGTTGTAACATTTTCTGACTCCAAGGCCTAGCATTGCTGTGTGTCCGACTCGGCTTGTAGGATTTCGGGGTAATCAGCCTGGGGATCCAAGTACTGTCCAGGGATCGAAGTGGCTGCAAATTCTACAAATTCTAAAGCGCCCACTGGGCGCTTGACGCTTGGGTATCGGTCACGTGATAGATGCGCATACGCCCACGCGTCTGTTTCAGACTTAGTTACGGCACGCTAGTACGATGGTCCACATTAGCCGCCACACAAAACGCGACGCTCAATGTGTTCTCCGAATTTCTCACCAATATCTTGCCATGAAATTGAGGCACATTACGCAAGGTGAACGTTCTAACCGCAAGGATTTCTGCTGACATTGTCGGAATCAGGGTTGCGAATTTTGCTATGGTCCCACTCAATAATTTAGGCAAGTTCCGCTCAGCTAGTTGTTTGCCACTTCATTATTTTGGACGCTGGCTACCTGAATGAAGCGAATATGAAAATCATGGGTCAATGTATGCAACCTGTCGCATCCAAGCCGATCACGCTGCTTACGGTATGCTTCTCCTGTTTGGGCCGGACGAGTCATTGTTACTGACATCAGCATAACAGAAGAATCAAGCCATACGCTGCTCTAGATAGCAGAGCGCTTGATTTTATGGCTGACGGACAACATGCTACTTTGTCATGTGGGACTTGAAACACAAGCGGCGCCTGATGCTCAGCTGTGCGTGGTACATTACCACCGGGAGAGCAATGAATGAATAAAGATCTGTTGAATAGGCGATGGTGAAACTGACCTTCGAGAATTACACCTTCTCGAGACATCCGCATGAGACCGTTAACATACATACCATGGATTTAGGTGGGCTCAGAAACCTGTCAACTAACGCTTTGAGCTGATATACCGTATTTGGCCTGGCCTACAACAACTATCGCAATAGATCGTGATATCTGTAAACTAATGTCCGACTCCGTCGTTAAAAGCCATTTAGGACAGTGCGATGGCGGAATTCTCCGTTCTGTTGGAACTTGCATTGGCGTTTCAGCTGGGGTTGGCCTGCTCTCGCTGAGGTTTCAGGTTTATGGTCCGCAAGCTATCTTTTGTGAGTCGAACCTGACTCTCTGATGGTTTCTGATGCACGTAGACGAATACGGATCTCCCCGTTTTCGTAGCGCTTGTGTCTGAATGCAAGCGGGCAGTCCTGTCACCCATCACTCATGGGCCTTACGTGCTGTGGCCGCCTAAATGCCCCTAGAAAATTCTGGCTTGTTGCACCCGTAGGGTATTCTCATATGAAATTCGCGACCCGCCCGAACAAAGTAAGTTTAGCGACGCCGCGGTTGACGGATCGCTCAGTTGATCGCGCTCTTTTTCCACCTTCCCGGTGAAAGTTGACTCGCTAAAGACTCTGTTTAAACGCGCGCTATGAATCCATGCGAGCAATATATCCTAATCAATTGTCTAGGAGGCGCTGATTGAAACAAACCCCCTGCAAATTTGCAGGCTGCGATCATTGGTAGGTTCTCCTCTCTGGCTTACGGAAAGAGCCATTGATAGACCGCCGCTCGTACGAGGACTCCCTTCCGGGGCTCGTCGTTTCTTTATCAGTGTTCCACCGTTCTCACTACTTGTTGCAATTAGGAATATCGCCAATCGGAGCCTTCCCCTGAAGGAGCTCGCCTGTCTGCAAGGGTTGTCCTATACGCAATGGAGAGCTCCTTGCTCGGAGATACCGCAAATGGCAAGCACTTGCCGTTGCAATGGTCATGCTCGCCAAAGGATGGAGCCGCGTGCTTTAGCTACTCAGGATCTACGAGTGCATCAAAAATGTAGGGTAAAATATAAGTCTGCTGATCGCACGTTTAAGGCCTGAAAGCATTGGGATTGCTAGTTTCTACAGTCACTTCTTCCGCTCTTCGACGACCGGTTGTATCCGTCCTTGACCAGACTTGGAGGTTTTACTAGACTTGTTCAAGGCCTACAGAAGCTATCAGAAAGAGTCTACGTAGAAAGTGATCAAAGAAGCCGCTCGGTACCGATGCAATGGCCTGGACCACTGCCCTGGCGCCACGCGAAGCTGACCTAACATTGGCTGATGCAACAACTTTCGAAGAGGCAAGAGGCGCACATATTTCACATGGCGCTCACTGAGCGTTGTGATGCCTTCATGCTACGTGTCATCCGCCGGACGCATAGGAACGTTTTTGGTCACTTGGGTCTTTGGCTCTTGTATACGGGACTGAGATCAGAATCCGGATGATCCAGAGGTGTGTAGATCTTCGACGTCGACAGAAGGCTCTCTATCGGCATTCGCCCGCCATTGATCAGAACAAATGGGACCACATCTTTGGTGCGAGCTCGGCGTTGCCACCCGGACCGCCCTTTATGAGGGATAGTCTCGGGTACATTGAACGTAAGTCGTGCCATGTCCATGTCTCGGGAGCACTTGCACAAGTGTTAACATCGATTCCCGGCTTGCTCACCTTCAACCTGTCAGCTGTACATCTTCACAGTAACAGTATTGAAGATGATACTGCGGCTCTTCGTGAGCAACTCGTTACTCACGAAAGGTGTATTGGAGTCCTGGACTGAAGACTGCGTCGATACTATGAGGGCCTTCGAGGAATGTCAAGCACGGTCAATCCGCTCCGATGGCCACGAGATACTCATGTCTGAGATATCTACTGTCATGGTTTTCTGGGCAGCTTCCACTAGGAGGCAGGCCGCGACTCCGAGTCGGATACACGGGTTCACCGTGCCTAGTATGCATCCTGAAGGCGCCATCCTCGTACGAGACATCTGAAAAGGTCCAAGCAGCCAGTATCAATACAATGCACTTTCGATGAGGTCCCGAGTGGCCTTTGCCCACGTCAAGCAAACGTGGCGCTGACCGTGTTGGCTAAGTTAAGGGAGTCAACGCCTTTCCACAGACCGCTACCGCTGTGACTATCATGCTTCCCACTGCTACTGTTATTGTCCCAGGACTCGACTTTCGAGCAAAACCCGCTGGAAAGCTGTACTTGGAACGGCGACGGACAACTCAGAACTCAACGACACGGCCTATGATCACATCCTGGACAGCGTTCTGCAGTTCGGTGCACTCACCGCCGACAACAGCATAAAATGGGTGCGCATTGCAGTTGATCACAAGCGACCTGACTTGCTGACATCCAGTTGGCAGGAATATTCGGAGCCTGAGCCGTTTGTATTCAATTTCACCGGAGGTGACCAGATCTCAGAACTGGCTCACGCAAACGGCATGCTCTTGAGAGGTAATAATCTTCGTTATTTTGTGAGGAGACTTGCATCAAGCTCATGCGAATTCGCTCAGGGCACAACTGTGAACCGCTTTTCTACGTTAACTTGTCACTACAGGGGACAAGTGTGAGTCCTGCGCGCGTTTCAGGTGTCACTCGCAGGCGCTAACTGCTCTTTTTTAAGCTGTATGTGTTTTACCTGCGCGTTCTCAAGGTTTGGGACTAAGTTCGTATTCACCCTTGAATAGATGCCTGGGACGTCGTCAACGGTTAGTGAATTGCTGCATGAAACTTCACATAGTCTAAATCCCATCTAAGATGCGTATTGTAGAGCCATTCAACGACAATGGGACGTATAGTGAAGATGTGATCTACAACTTGCCTGGGACAAGCTACATTTCCGCTTGCTCTGAGAGCAGTTCGGGCAGCAGACCCGTTTGCGAAGCTCTACATCAACGAGTATAACACAGAGTACACAGGTACGATGATGTCGATTCATGAGAATCTCGCGACGGTAGTCTCATGGACTTCACACCAGGGGCCAAAATCGACGGCCCTGCTTAATCTGGTGAAAAAGCTTCAGGCAGACAACGTCCCGATCGATGCCGTCTGCTTTCAATGCCACTTCACCCTCGGCGAGGTTCCCACCGATCTTATCCAAATCCAGCAGTACGCCGCGCTCGGGATCAGATTTGCCTGGGTATCTGTATGGAGCTTCCGGCGACGGCCGAGATGTTTGAGCAGCAGAAGACTGATTACAACACCGTCGTCTCGGCATGCATGTCTGTCCCCGCCTGCGTAGGCGTCTCGGTGTGGGACTTCACTGACAAGATGCGCCACCTTTTAATCACCGATGAAGAATTGTTCTGAATGCGAGCCCTCCAGTAGTCATGGGTCTCGTTGACGTTCTTTGGTTGGGGCGATGCATCGCCGTGAGACGCCGTTCGTGTATTCTCTTCTGCGAAGCTTGACGAATTCTAACAAGCATGAGCAGAACCCGGTCAGGAAGCCTGCCTATGACGGCATTGTGACAGCTTTGGAGGACAGAACACTCTACTAGGTTCATCCCCGTCCAGGTCGATAACTCGTTACGGGATGGACTTACGGATCGGTCGCAAATCCAAGAGAATATTCGGCGGCGATGTGGCAGCACCTGTACCTTGATTGAACTATGCCAAAGCAGAAGACGGCGTCCGCTATACTCTCCGCATTTGATGTCAAACAAACTCTCCCTTCGATGCCATGGTTGGCGTTTCAAGGTGCAATAATGAAGATGTGAGAGTACACGAGGAGACGACGGGCAAGATATAGTACAACCGATTAGTAGGGAATATCCAAAGCATCGCGAGATGACCGCGCCATCGACCCAACGTTCGCATGGGATGTCCTGCACACCAATTATTTCCGGGTCTGAGTAGCGCCTGTTATGCAGAGGGCCGACAGTCCATGCTCGGTCGTCAGAGTACCAACCGATTATGGTGGAGGCACCGCATTCTGCACCACCGCCTTCAAGCGTCGTGTCAGACTATCTTCGTCGCCATGCGCGCTGTCACCATGATGTTTCTTGTCCAGACTGTCGTGCCTCCCCTGTGCGGGCTCCCATTGAGGAGGTATTGGCGAGTCATCAGACTTTGTGACTGTCGCTGGCTTCTGCTCCTCGCCGTCCCTCTGGATCCCCATCTCACCAGGCCCAACAGAGTCGACAGTTTCGATCAGGATGGCTATCCGTGTCCAGCGCCTGTAGCGCGTATACTATATGTTGTCCTCTCCACATGAGCAGACCGCAGCAATAACAGATATCAATGTAGCTGACCTTGCCCATCCCAGCCTTTGCATTGCCCCCTTCCCACTTGTTATCCGCATATACCCAGCCATCCACATCCGTAAAGATCTCTCCATCCTTTCTTTCTTCATTCTCACCTTCATCTTTCTCTTTCTCCTTCTCTCTGCTGCGCTCTGGGCTACCGCTCATGCTGACACTGCCCTCTCGAATCTTCCCTGCAGCTTTCAGCATCCTAGCAGCACTCGCCGATGCCGTTCCCGGAGCTTCGTCCTTCGGAAGCGGCTTCTCCACCCGGGCTGCTGCCTCGCCCTCGCGGTGTAGCCCAACGCGCCACTCCGGCTCTGCCCACTTCCACCGGGCAATGCGCTTCACACGCGCGCCGTCAGGCCCGGGCATGTAGATTGTTGTAGATGCAGGGAGTGCAAAGGTTGCGGGAGGCGCGACTGGCTGTAGGGACGCAGAGCACCATGACGGTCGCTCGTTTGGCAGAAGAGCGGCAGTCCAGTCAAGCCCCACCCACCAGCGCTGGTTTTCATATATGGTGAACAGGAATCGCACGATTTCTGCTGGCTGATGAGAGTCGGACGTGGGGGTGGCGGTCGCCGAGACGGTCGCATTCGTCGGACTACTGGAGGAAACGGCTTGGGGTGCGAAAGGCTGTCCACATAGGTATGCCCATAACCGGTAGATAGCCCAGCGAATGTATGCGCTGCGCCAAAGAGCACGTCGCACGAGCGCCGCCCAACGGGCGCGCCAGGTGAGCACAATCGTTCCGAGGACAGCAAGCAACACACGCAGCCGTACGAGGCGGGTTAGTACCAGATATGGAACGTAAAGGAGTCCGAATATGCGCAAGAGCACGAGTGCGGGCAACGATTGAGATGGGACTTGTGGCGGTGTAAGAATAGCAGGCAGGAGGGAATGTATGATCGTCAAGTCGCTGATTGCCTGCTGCAGATTTTCTTCTGTCATGACGTGAAGTTCAGACTCAGGTTTTGGTCTTCTCTTTGCGATGAGTAGAGTCAGGAGGATCGCGAAGGGGAGCATATACCTTCCCGACTCAAGTCAGTGAACAGAACAGATGCAGACCTGCATACCACATACCTGAGGCCAGGCTCTGCCAGCAAGCATATCGCCCACAACGCAGCAATGGCAATCCAGCTGTCCTCCCATGATGATTTCCAACTCAATACAAGCGCAAGACGACGGATCCTCGCAATATAGGGTGCTAGGCCAACTAGAGCTGTGATGAGGGGTGATGGAAGGGTGTTGAGGAACTCGACTAGAGAGGGCTGGCTGCTGTTCTCAGTTGAGGTCGACATCGTGTGGCTGTTTGAGGTGGATGTGACGGTACCGACAGCATCTGTGGATGCTCCGTCGCCGCACGCGACAAGGAAGGGGATAGATCATCCGCATGCGGCCGGACGCTCTTCTCCAATAAGCGAAGACGGCCGTCTGAACTTTGCGCTATGAAGTTTCTACAATCCAATTCCCTGCTTGCATGAAACGTTGTAGTTCGGGCGTCGGATTCAATCGTGTCGGACGATAAGTGGACGATCGATATGAGACCATAGTCGGACCACCTTTGAGAGTCCATATTTCCTTCGAAGCCAGCTTTCTCCACACCCCCACCCATTCTCTTCACCGCACCTCGTCCGAAATGTCCAAGGCCGACGCGAAAGCACAGAAGAAGCAGAAGTTTGAGGCCGTCTTCCCGGTCTTGCGGGATGAGCTGATAGCCTACATAACCAACCAGGGCATGCCCGAGGATGCAATTCATTGGTTCCACAAGGTACGACGTTTCAATTGCGCAGCTTAAATCGATTCTCACACTGCCATGTAGAACCTGGATTACAATGTCCCGGGTGGCAAGCTCAACCGTGGTCTTTCTGTCGTGGACACCGTCGAAATACTCAAAGGTGGGGCGCTCTCTGACGATGAGTACTTCAAGGCTGCGACGCTCGGCTGGTGCGTCGAGCTGGTACGTTGCCGCCATTGACGCTCTTGTGAGCGACTCGCTGAGCTTTTGTGACAGCTACAAGCCTTTTTCCTGGTCTCGGACGACATGATGGACCAGTCGGTAACGCGCCGCGGGCAGCCGTGCTACTATCGACTCGAAAGCGTCGACCTGATCGCCATCAACGACTCGTTCATGCTCGAGGGGAGCATCTACCACCTCCTCAAGACTCATTTCCGCGCCGAGCCGTACTATGTCTATCTCCTCGATCTCTTCCACGAGGTGTGTGGCGCAGCCTGACTGACTGTATGCGTGGTACTGAACTTTTCCTAGATAACATTCAAGACGGAGATTGGCCAGTTGATTGACCTAATCACGGCCCCCGAGGACCACGTCGACCTGGGCAAGTTCTCGTTGAACAAGTGCGTTGCACCCACATCGCCTCTGTGACAGTGCCACTCACGTCTCCCCTCCCGCAGACACCAGCTGATCGTCATTTACAAGACGGCGTACTACTCGTTCTACCTGCCTGTCGCCCTCGCGATGTACATGTGCGGCATCCCGCATGCGTCCGGGTCGTCGGATCCCTATGAGCTCGCGCGCTCGATCCTGATCCCGCTCGGCGAGTACTTCCAGGTTCAAGACGACTTCCTCGACTACGGGGGCACGCCGGAGCAGATTGGCAAGATCGGCACGGACATCATTGATAACAAGTGTTCGTGGTGCATCAACACGGCGCTCGCTCGCGCGACGCCCGAGCAGCGTGCGGTGCTAGATGAGAACTACGGCCGCAAAGACCCGGCAGCTGAGGCGCGCGTCAAGGCGATCTATGAGGAAGTTGGTGTCAGAAAGATCTATGAGGAGTATGAAGAGGGATCTTACAAGCGCGTCATGAGTCTCATCGAGACAATTCCGGAGAACCCGCTGGAGCCAGAGGGAGGTATTGCGCTGAAGAGGGAGGTATTCAAGAGCTTCTTGAATAAGATTTACAAGAGGCAAAAGTGAGTTCAGTGGGCCTGAAAGGATCTTCAATTGTATTTTACAGGATTGCTGCTGCATCTCTTGATAGATTGTATACCTGGATCTTCCCTACATGCATGTTAGGATAAGCTGATGTTTCCAATGCTGACAATATCACGGTGGGTTCGAAAGCAGGCTCCTTCACAGCCGACTTCGAGAGTCACTGTAACTTTGCCAAAAGGCTTGGAAAAGGCCCATTTTCCACCTTCCCTGGGCAGTAATCCGTGCCCAACTGCCTTTTTTGACTCACAACACTATATGCTGTCGCACCAGGGGAAATTCAATGAAGATCCACACATTTCCATATGTTTCGCACCGCAGGAATCGGTACTTTCTTTGCAGTGAACGGCGCCTGAGTCATCCAACCGTGCCACAATGAGCTTCCACACCATTTTATTCCGAACGCAACTGATCGTTGGCACCTGCACCCAACAACCATGCCAACTTATACAGATGGAATGCAACGATATCGACATTTCGGCTACAGAGAACCACCTTCGAAGGCAATTGCAATGCCATCAAATGCAGGCTTCGGTTCGTAGTTCTGTAAAAAGGTGGTTACTAATCGTTCACACGAATAGAAAAAATGATGTACAGAGTCGTATGGGCACGCAGCTCCATAGCCCGAGAAGGTGTCGGGAATCCAAGAGTACTATCAACAATCGTAAGCATCTGAGGCTCCCACCACACAGCAGAACCCATACCTTGTCAGTCCAGTCCCACACTGTAACGCCCTTGCAAGCTGAGACCTGCATGCAAGCATTGACAACGGTGTAGTAGTCGCTCTTCTGCTGCTCAAGCAAGGCCGCCGTCTCTGGCAGCTCCATGCGGATGTCCAGCTCGGTGATGGCGAACTCAAGACCGAGGTCGGCATACGCCTGGAAGTTCTCGACGAGCGTCGTCGGGACCTCACCGACGATGAAGTGGGATTCCATTCCGACGCCGTCGATGGGTACGTCGTCTGCCTGAAGCTGCTTGATGAGGGTCTGCAAGGCCGTCGACTTGGTACCTGCGAAAAGAAACCCCGCAACGGATGCTCAATGTCGCTTGCCAGGCATAGCATATCAGTAAGTCGGTCGATGCTGACCTGTGTACTCAATGTTGTAGTCGTTGATGTAGAGCTTCGCGTTGGGGTCGGCCTCGCGGGCAGACGTCAAAGCAATCGAGATGTAGCTGTCGCCGAGGGTGTCGTAGAACACGTCCTCGCGCATCGAACCATCATCGTTCAGAGGCTCTGGGTTTCAAATTAGCATGTCGCCGTAGCCATAGAATGATCATGGATACTGACCGTTGATAACGTCCCATGCGTCTACACAGAATTAGTCATCGAGTTCGAGAAACGCGACGATCGGACCAAAGAATGACGTACACCTGAAGGAGAGTAGTGGTGTGAACAACTCATTTGTCTTCTGTTGGCAGGGTGATGGAAACACTCACACTTGTCCCTTGTAATGTCCGACCAAGGTCGAGACGTGCGTTTGGATGACCGCGGTCAGGCCGGTGGCGTTGTAGTCGTTGTCCGTGACCCAGTCTGGGAGCTGCTCGTACCACACGCAGTTGTGCCCTTATGCGCGACAATCAATGTCAAGCAGCGATGACGCCGGCGCATGCAAATCACCTCGAAGGTACATGCCATATTGCTTCGCAAGGGCGGCAATGGTATCGCCATCGGTGAATGTGAACGTGCCAGCCTCCGGCTCTGTCGCATCCTACGATGGCCAGGCAATGCCAGCAAAAAAGTCAATAATCGGCTGAATAACACATAGATCGAAGAACAAACCCATTTCATGCTGTTCTCCGGAGTGAGCTGCCCAAAGTGCTCATAGTTCTCCATGATGCCCGTGTACGTCGTGTCATCAAGCTCATTGACATCAGTAGCAGTTCCAAAGTAAAGCTTTCCAGCATTGGTAGCCAGATAGTTCAGCCCTTGCACATTCGACGTCGCGGTTGGCAGAGCAGTGGACGCTGTAGTAGTGGCCTGAGGCACCGCAGCCACGAAGTGCGATGACAAGAGTGCTGCGAGGACGAAAGAAACTAGCGAAGACTGCATCATGCGATAATGAAACGAGACTGCTTGCGGGGTTGCTGGGTAGTAGAAGGCCATGAGCATGTCTTAAATACCTCGAGTATGTCGCCCCGAATTAAAACAGCATTTACCCAATTGGCTCGGTGATGCTGTTGCCGACCGTGCAGGGTGACCGTGCATGAGGCGCACATGCAGAGAGCCCGAACGATGGACGCAGATCATCCGCCTGTATGACCATGCGTGCAGAAGGGGTAGGCCATTCCATAAAATGCTTCCGGAGCTAGGAAGACGCGTCTATGGACAGTGTCTATGGCCCTTTGCAAATCCGGACGTCGTGTTGCCGACCGGTCAGAAGCTTTGTCAAGCGAGAACACGTCGTCTTCAAGTTTCTGCCAGCCTCACTCGTCAATTGAGTCTCGGTGGCGATCGTTGGTGGAAACTGTTGCGAGCAGAGTGCCATCTCAATATAGCATCGACGTACACCTGTACCTATCGATTTCCATGCCGATACGTTCACCGACACTAATGCGGACTCGGTCACATTAGCTCGTCCACCGACAATTCCGAATATACAAATACCTTCACGAAGCCTTGTGAGTTCTTGAGTATATAGTATTATCACGCTTCTGGTCCAGGGCGAAGGCTTTGTCACGAGCTAATTCGATTTGAGATGCAATTGACGGGTGAGCATAAGGGAATGACGGTAGCACAAGCTCGGGGAAACTGAACAGGACGTGAGAAGGGGGTATGATCTGCATACTGACCCTCTTTGTTCAGACCTCGGAAATATGTACCCGCCCTGATGGTCATAGTCGATGTGATCCGTCGGTCGCATTCTGATGGCGAAGAGTTAATGGAAACTGCACGGCCATGCATCAGCTGAGCAGTGCGGCTTCCCCGACTGGTCTCGATGTCTGTCAGATGCTTGTGGGATGGGAAAGGCTGGGCATTGTTATGAGAGCCTCGACGGTGTCAGGTATGGGAAGTGGACAACAGCATCGCACATACTTTTGGGCTTTAAGCTTCAACAAAAAAGCTCATGCTGCCCACGGTGAAATTTAATATAGCAAGAGTAGACATAATCAGCTGGGACTGGACACGTCAGGCAGTCGGTTGTATCGCTCGTGCTCGGATTCTGTTCAAATGTCCTGAAGGCATACATCAAGACATACAAGAACGACCATTATGGAGACGCGTGTTAGATCGTTCCATTCTCGAACGCAATTGCGATCCCGTCAAACGCAGGCTTTCTCACGAAGTCCTAGACAGAGGGACGTTAGGGAGCTTGAACGCACATTGCGAAAGTGGAGACTCACCGCACTCCACGGGGTTGCCTCGCCATAGCCCGGAAAAGCCGAAGGAATCCACGAGTACTGAAGAAAGTTGGTCAGTGAAACATCGCGAACGACGGATGAGCGGACGATTACTTTGTCTGTCCAATCCCAAACTGTCACACCGACGCACTGCGAGACAGCCACGCAGGCTGACACGACAGTGTAGAAGTCTTGCTTCTGCTGCTCTAGCAACTCTGCGGTGGCTGGAAGTTCCATCCGTATATCGAGCTCCGTAACTGCGAATTCCAGGCCAAGTGCAGCGTATGCTTGGAAGTTCTCCACAAGGGTCGTGGGCACCTCACCGACGATGAAGTGGGACTCGAAGCCAACACCGTCGATGGGCACGCCATCTGCTTGTAGCTGCTTTATAAGGTTCTGCAGCGCGGTCGATTTCACGCCTGCGCAAACTGGTCAGCTGGGTCGCAGGTGGAAAGCCTCGTTCTGATACTGACCAACATACTCTGTGTTGTAATCGTTGATGTAAAGTTTGGCATTCGGGTCCGCCTCTCTTGCAGCTTGAAGCGCAATGGTAATATAGCTTTCTCCAAGGGTGTCATAAAAGACGTCCTCGCGGAATGTACCATTGTCGTTCAAGGGTTCTGCGCCAATCAGTCAGTTAGGTCGGGACAATGTGTGACAAAAGTACCATTTATGACGTCCCAAGCATCTATGTATGGGAACCAACAGATAATTGATTAGTATTATGTTTGTGTCGACATTTTGCATAGAAGTGACATACAGCTGAAAGCGGGCATTGTCAGACTAGCTACCAATCGCACTGACATTGATGATTACTCACACTTGACCCGCGAAATGGCCTACTAAGGTTCCAGTGTGATTGGCCACAACGTACGCAAGTTCAGGTGCGGTGTAGTTGTTCGCGGTCACCCAGTCGGGAAGCTCATCGTACCAGACACAGTTATGTCCTGAAGATTTGTGAGCGAGAAGTGCACATCCTCGCCAAATGCGTGCATCCAGACCTCGTAGGTACATGCCATTCGAATGCGCCAGGTTTGCAATAGTCTCAGCTTCCTCGAACGTCCAAACGCCTGGCTCTGGCTCGGTGTATTCCTGTAAAGCATGGCTTCGTCTCATGGTCATGACGGCTTATGATATGTGGCACTAACCCACTTCATTTCGTTTCCAGGAGTGATTTGGCCGAAATGCAGATAGTTCTCCATGATAGTTGTGTATGTCGTATCGTTCAGCTCGTCCACATCTGTAGCAGTTCCAAAGTACAGCTTTCCGGCATTCCTTGCGAGATAGTTCAACCCAGGTACCACTGCAGTAGCCGTCGGCAGAGCAGAACTAGTCGCCGTCGCCGTCTGCGGTAACGCGACCGCGCCTTGGAGGGAGGCAAATGCAGCCACAGCAGCAAGACGCGCGAGTTTCCCCATGATGAACATCTGAATCGCGGCGTTGGAATCAGATGGCATGCAATTGAAAGATGCTCACTTTTATACCTGGCTGCGCAGCACAGCGGGAGACCCTGACGGTGACTCTCTCATTGGCTATGGGTAGCCTACAAAACGTCTTACAAGCGAGCTCTGACGGTCCGTAGATGAGGGCACCAACAACGTGCTCGCGGGGCATCGTTACCGTTTCTCATCATGCTTCAATAATTCGCCGTGCCTTCGTGACCAAAGTCAGTGATTATTTCCACCAGCAGTGCTAACAATAGCACTCGAGTATTCTCAGACTGTAGTTCCCATGATCAACGACTTCGGTAAACCCGATGACGATGGATGGAAATATCGTCGGCGGACGTCGGTTGAAGTCCACGTACAGAAAGCATGCGGTTAATTGTGATCCATCCAAGGGAATCAGCGGACATTCTGAGAGCATTTTTGGGGAGAGCTGAGACTGACAATGTGCCATTGACTTGTAGAACCAAGGGGACGGGAGTTACCTCGGCACGACAACGCGGGACCGAGGACTAACGTTGGTCACGAGTGTCCGTCTCGCTGGGAACGGCCGAGGAAAGTCCCCAGCAATGCAGGGAGATTCTCCGGAAGAACGCCTATTTCAGAGGGCTGTTCAGTTCGTCTTTAGCGATGGACTGCGTGTCAAGCTTACTTCTCTGGGATTGCGAAGCTGCGAGCGGAATGAGCGAGTCAGCAATAGTGGCCCATCAGCAGACCCGTCGGTAGAGATATGTCCGTGCGGGACTGCACCCTCATGACATGCTAGCCAGCGGACGTCTCACGAAGTAGGTCGCGTTCCCACATACGAAATTGTACATCCTCACATGCCATATACTAGACAGAGTACGCGTTCGCTGGTCCCTGGCCAATGAGCAACAATGCCGTTGTCCTCGACGACACTCACATTTATTCTAATCTAATCCAGTTCATCGTCATCAAAGATCGCAGTCTTGGGGATGCCGTCTTCGCGCACGACGCCCCTGTACATTCCCGAACAGTTGAGGGGCATTGCCACTGTTATAAGATGGGTCAGTGCATTTATGCTGCAAGTTGGGATTGATTACCGACATACCGTTGCCTCGATTGTCCAGAGCGACGACACCACCCACCCCTCCATCACGACGTAGCTCTTCCACGCAGTGCTTCGCTGCCTTCTCAAGCGGCTCGTGCAGATACTTCATGCGACGTCCGATTGTGGAGGCTGTAGCGAGGCGAATGAAGTACTACTCAGAGAGCGTCAGCATCGCTAAACATAGTCATATGCGCTGCTGCAACCTACATCGCCGTCCCCGGTTCCGCTGACACCTACCGCGATCTTCGACCCTTTACCTGTAGCCTTCATCCAAGCCTTCCTGATCCAGCCCTCGACGTGCCACTCTTCCGCCCAGAAGCCTGCACCCATGTGCGGTGTGTCGCCGACGCGCCCTTCCAGCTTATTCGTACGACCGCCAGTCGAGGTGCAGGCAGCAATGCAGCCACGCTCGTCGAGAGCGACAGCGCCGACAGTACCAGTTGGAAGCTGATCCAGCAGTTCCTTTGGTACTTCCTCCTGATCATGTCCATCCTTCTCGCCAGGGAATGGCAATGGCTCCTCCGGCAAACCCAAGCCTCTCCTGTGCTCTCTCCAGCGCTGCTCTGTCCAGAAGTAGCTTGGATCAACCAGTTCAATACCAAGTACTTCGCCGAGCGCTTCTGCAGGGCTGCCAGATAGCATGGTGTGCGCAGCCGTCTCGGGGGACAAGTACAGTGCACGGGCAAGGTGTGAAGGATTGCGTGCTCGCGTCATTAGGGTAATGCCCATACCACGTCGAGTGGCCGGGACAGAAGGGTGCGTTGACGGTGGAACAGAAATCATGACGGAAGCTTCCAGCTCATTCTGAGTACAGATAATGGGTTATATGCGAATCGACCAATGAGTAAGAAGTCAGGACAGTGACTCACTTTACCGGCAACGTTGAACACGGCACCCTTGCCAGCATTGAACAGAGGACAGTCTTTCGGGGTCCATTAGGTCAAAGACGATGAATGCTATAGTCAAGGGGGGTTTTACTCACCCTCCATCGAAGATACCGCGGCAACAACCGCGTCCAACGCCTCTCCTCCAGAGCTGAGAACCTCATAGCCGGCCACTAAGGCCTTACTGAGCGCAGCCTTGTATTGAGCACGTAGCTCGGGGGTCGAGTGGCTTTTGTCCATGGTCCCTGCACCGCCATGAATCACGAGCGTGTAGCTCGCCTGTGCACGAGTAGCACGTCTCGTCGGCAGCAGAGGCAGTCGCTCATCCGAGGATGCATGCTCAGGTGCCATGATGGACGTCTGAGACAACTGAGGTGCCGATAATGGGGGCGATAGCTGCTATGAGTACCCTTCCGAAGCTCGAGTGCCTGCCCAGAGTTCTAGTAATGCCGACAACGCAGATAAGGAGTCCGGCATGTGCATGTGCGATTCCGTTCGGTATAGTAAAGCGTCACGGGCGACAAGCGAGTACCGAGTCTCTACCAACTAGCCGCTGGCGAGATGCATGTCTTCTCTGCTTTCGACGACGAGAGGAGCAAGGATAAACTACACGACTTTTGACTTGCAAAAAGGGAAGCACTCAGAGAGCGGGAATGAGACTATAGTGCACGTGATCGTGAAGTCCATCAATGATCAAATACAATTAAAAAAATACAGTCACTGACATAGCAAGATCATCATACAAATAGAACAGTATTTGCTACATAGCCATTCAACACAGCAGTTTGGCTCACGAAGTGGTTTCCTGGTTTTATGGTGCGGCCCCACCGCCGTGTCGTCCCATGACCGCTACGTATACCACAGTCTCAGATGTAAGAGGAGCGCGAGGATTGCAATCATTGTTGTCATCAGGGTCGACTTTGTCCACAACCTCGTAAGAATCTGAGACCGGATCGCTATTGATTGACATGCCGGCTTGCCGTATTCGCGCGTTCGCAACTCTGAGGTTCAGTATCAGGCGCGAGCCCTGTGGTGGCCAAGCGACGTCAGTCATAATCGGATAATTTGGTACCTCGGCGTCCACGTACAGCAGATCCTAGCACAGCGAGTAGCCACCTGAAGGAATTGTGTCAGTAAGCCGAATGTGCAAGTGAGGTCGTGGTCACGTACGGGAATCCCAGCACCGCTAACGCCCTGGGTCCCGTTGCAAATAGGACAGTATTGTTAATCATCACCGCTGTAATTATCCAGGTAGAGGCGTGAGCGGCGCTCCTGTAGTCATTTGCAACTAGGTAGGACAGTACATACCGATAATTACTGAGAAAGCCAATATGCCATCACGAAACATGACATTCAATAAAGCAGCATTTTGCCACCCTTCTCGCCTTACATATACATATCTGGATACAGTCAGGATGAAGAGCAGGCATTCATAAAAGATAGCGGTAACACTACACAACCGTTTAAGTGCCATGACTTTCCCAATAAAATTAATGACACACCAGTAAATGATCATTTCTATGGGAATTGACGCACCAAGGCACATCGGACTCGTCATGATGCGCGGTACGCTGAGTCCGAGGGTGGTCATCATGATCAGTGCCTCAGCAACAAAGGGTGCAACCATGAGCCGTTTGATCTTCTCATTTCCGGCATACATTGCATGCACTTCCGGCAAACAGCATGAGCGGAACAGCTAGGAGGACGTATAAAAGACTGGTCACGCACGACGCATTACCACCATCAGTTGAACCGCAAGTTCGAGGACCAGGGCGGATACACCTTCCACAACTATCCACTGCCTGCATGTCATGCCCCACACATTCCTCAGGCTGCGCAATCAGAGAAGGACTCAGGCGTACTGGTCATTGAAGAACTCACATGAGGACGACGAGAGAGGAGTAACGAGTCAGAAAATAAAGCATCTTCGGCAGTGCCCATGGTTTTCTACACCGTATTTCAGCTCGCGTGGAAAATATTACGACATGAGATGAGCGCACAGCCATATGTGGTTCACCTACGTCAAATGTGACTGCATGAGACGTGCAACTGATCGAAATGCGGCAGCTTCACTCACCTCATCGTCTGTGGTAAGGCAAATATCCCAGACAAGAAAACACAAGGCAGCGACTGATATTTGCGCAAAAGCCACATTAGTCCACGCCACAGCTTTGTAGGCAAGCTCCATACCTGCACTGCGGCTCGCCCCCTGCGACTGAAAGTGTTCGACGAAGTTTGCTTCATCCGAAGCATAACTGTCCATGTTTGACGAGTGTGGGTGTAAAGGAGACGGTGGTGGCAGGCATAAAGGGGTGGAGCAGGAGGCCTGTGCACAAGAGATATCATGATAAAAAGAAGTAAGGCCCAAACTGCGCTACTATTCCGGGCTGCTGATACATGTTTCAATTGAATAGAGTGCGCTATGACGGTCAGGCGCCTCAACTCAGAGTACTCGGACATTCAAAATCTTGTGACGCCATCCGATCGTACGATATTCTATAGGACACCTTCGGAGATCGTCCCCTCTGTGATAGACAGCTGTCCAACTCATATGCAACTCTCCGCTAAACGACATGGTAACGAAATCGCTCACCCGGTGGCAATGCAGTCGAGTACTTCACGCGACACTCAAGGGATCAATGCAGCGCTCCAGGTGCATCTCATCAGCACGAGTGCGGAGCCGACGATATCACATTTGATTGGTGCAGCACTGCCTGCTGTGACCTTGAAGTGCCGCACTTCTACGGTCGTTTCGAGCATGCCTGGGCGGATGATCTCAGGTCACACGCTATCTTACCATCATTGCCCTCGGAGGTTTGAGTTGTGCGGATGTGAAGGAAGCTCCCTGCTTAGTTCTAATCAATCAGCCACTGTAGTAAGCAACGAACAGGGGCGCCAGCAGGAACTATGAATATTCTCAACTGCAGTTAGCCGCAGTCATTCCGCGACCAACATACGTTGTCTCTTGTTCCGGTGAACGCTATTGGCACAGACCAGTTCCACGAATACACTCACATTGGCCCGCCTTCCGATTCTTCGCTCTACAGGAGCATACCGTCGTCGAAAGCGATCACCCTGGCGTTGCTGTGATGAAATCCTCTGTTGAAGTGTACTATATATAGATGCCTCCAGCAGCGAGTTAGGTCACTTTGCCGGAGTGGTTAACGGGATCGCCTGCTAATACAGCTGTAAGCGGTTGGGCTTTGCCCGCGTGTGTTCGAATCGCACAGGTGACGCTTTTTTGTTCCGATTTACTCTCCGATGCGGACTTCTACCACGTGGACTGCTTCCATCTGTGTGCCCTCATCGCGCTTAGAGTCCACGACGATGAGTGCGAACAAGTACGCCAATCTTCCTGATATCGTTGGTTTGTCTCTCATGGACACTTCCACACTGCCTGATGTGTCTCGTTTGTCTCCTCTCGCCTAGGATACAACAGCTCCCGATATCTATGAGACGGAAGATGTCTTCCCCATTCTTCATGACAATGTATGATCTCACTCTCCTGGCTGCAACGGCTGTTGCTCATGATAAAGGCCCATTAGAAAGGTGAATCAAGCGATGAGGAGCAGAGCCAGGCAGCGCGTCCCCATCAGCGAGGGAAGAATGAACCATCTGGGAAAGATGAGCTTGACTCTACGACGGTGAGCCCCGAGGAGGCGACTAAGAAGTTCAAGAAAGCAGAGCGAAGTACGCGTCATCTCTCTCGAATGCATCTAAATCTAACGCTGTTTTGATCCTCTTTGAATCAGGGCATCATCGGCCACGAATACAGTACGTCTACCCCCCGTCGCCGACATCGGACGAGTCCGCTATATCATCTCCTGCCGCAACGCCAGTAATGTCTCTCTCTCAACGACTGCGCCTATTACAGGCTGAGCTGGCTGTCCTTGAGACCGAGCTCGCGGACCCATCAAACCCGCTGCTGCAGAAAGAGCGAGAAGGGGGCCATGATCCAGGCGAGTTGATCAGAGGAATGGTGGACGTGAAGAGCAGACTGGAGAAGATCAGTAAGGTGAAAGAAGGCAGGGGAAAGCTGGTCAGCACGGTCTTGGGTGAGGATGGAGTGCAGAATGGAGAAGGCCCTGGGAGGGCGGAGCGGGAGGATCGAGCGGATGGTAAAGGAAAACCTAAGACCACGATTAGGATTGATGCATCCGTGGGCGAGATATCGAAGACGCCCGACGTCAAAGATATTGCCGAGATGGACCGTCGCGTGGGCGAATTGGAGAGGCTAGTTGGTTCATCCAGCACCGCTCTGGACGAGGTGATTTCAACGCTATCTGTCAAAGTCAGCGCTGATGAACACTCTTCTGCATAGCTTACACCAATGCCGCCACCTTTGCTGCCAACAGTGACGCGTCTAAATGCCCAATTAACACTGCTCACGCAACCCCGCCACGTCGACTCAATATCTCGCCGTCTGAAATTGCTTCTTTCCGACCTTGAGCGAGTCGCGAGTGCCAACGCCCATCAGCATGGCGCACAGCGCCGTCAACAGTCGTCACATCACTCGCCCAATCCTGCGTCCCCGCACGCTAGCCCTGCATCCGGGCCCGTGTTTGCGATGCCTCCCGCTGTGTATGACCAGCTGACGCCCGTTCTGACACGCCTTGCACCGCTGTTGCCACATATACCACATATACTGATACGTCTACGGACGTTATATGCACTGCATACGTCTGCAGCGTCGTTTCAGACAACGCTGGAAGGCCTAGAAGAGGAACAGCGGAAAGTGCACAGCGCACTGGAGGAGCTGGAGCGTGCAGTCAGCGGCGTGGAGAGCAGCATGAAGGAGAATGAAGACGTGATCAAGCGTAATGTCAAAGAACTCGATGAGAGGGTGGAGGAATTGGGGAGGAGAGTGGAGGAGCTGAAGGTTGCTCAGGAGTGAGAATGCCATAGAGTGGGCCAAACCACGGATACCCGCGATTGACACAGTTACGTTTCCCCGAATACCCTTCTGTGTTTCATGATACTGCATTCTTTGGCCAGTCGACCGCAATAGTACCTCAATCCTTGTCCCTCTAAATGGCGGGGCCTCAATACAATCCGTGGGAGTGGATTGTAGGACAGCGTCTCGCGGAAGCGTCATTGATCCCTTAGCAGGTGGTGCGCTGCTGAGACGCAATCTGCATGTTGAGGGCGTCATTCCCACAGTGAAACAAGTCAACATTTCCAATGCTGTCAGCTTCAGACATTGTCCTAGCTGTCTACTTGGATACCGGAAGGACCAAAGGCCAACTACCTGGTCAATGCCGATACTGAGGGTGTACTATCGGCGTGTCCAAGGATTTCTTTCGCTCGGCTCGTTACTCCAACGTACACGCGGCTCCGGAAGGTGAGTCACTTTGGCTACGCCGAGTCGGAGAAGGTCGTATCTCTGGTCCGAGTCGACGAGGCACTGCTATATGGGCGACGTGGTTTCATCACTGGTAATTGCCACGCATGCTACAGTGGCGAACCGTGCACTGCACTTACTTACTTCCTATTACCGCAGGCCGACAGAGGTGAGTAGCATACTTTCTATTCTCATCATACGCTCACTGACATGATTGGTCCTTGATGTCGGTGCGTCAGTGCTACCGTGTGTAAAAGGATTCATTGATTGCCCACAGCATGATAGATCCGGGTCAAGCACAGCAAAAATCGAGATCACGGAGCTTGCGGCCTTTGCAGCGCTGAGTACGTCGATGTGCGCTCGCGCAGCCACATGCTGAATAACGCCGCTCCTCCAGGGTAGACAAGTCAGTGATAAAACAAAATAGAGCTGTATTATGCCACGACGTTCCTGAGGCGGTGTGGGCGTGCCGCTACGGTACGCTTGACTCGACGCGGTCACATGATCGAGTAATTACCTGTATTGGCAAGTCTCGAGTTCGAGTCAGCGCCCGAGCAGTGTGAGACTTCGCTCTGATGGTATTAGGGACAAGGACAGGTTCCTCTGCTCCGGTGCTCTTTGCATATCTCTCGCATATGGCTGAAACACTTTTTTGGATGCAGCGCAGGGCCCTCTGCATGTTTCACCTCAGTCCGCGCCTGGACGCCATCCAAGTGTGGCACCGTACGCAGCCAAGTACTGCGCCCAGTAGCACAAGCTTGGGCTCCTAGCCATCAAGTCAGCTTCTGGACGATGTGCTCATGCTCATAGAAGGGGATGGACGGCGTGATTGAAGGTACGTGCCGATTGACGGTGTCCTCAATGCTGCGCGGACTCACTCATTTGATGGAGCCATACGCCGCGTCCGCCCATGACAGCTGTTCTCCCGGCATACCACCATAACAGAGTTTGATACGCCGTACATGCCGGTGGTTGCAGCGCCGTACATCGGGGCCGCCGAATGCCTGTATCTCGGATTGTCGTGCTGTGCATTGGTTGACTCAGAGCGTAGAGGAGTTGTCATGTATCCTAGGATTGTCCCCTGCTCTGCATATAAAATCCATGCATGGTCCGCCTTTGTCTGCAGAATCTCACTTTCCTACCCTCATTGAGAAGACATGGGCGAGTCAAATCGTAAGTAGCAGATGACCGACCAGCACGAACAGCATGGCTTACATTTGGCGCTTTGCTTCATTACAGACTGGCGAATGAAATTAAACAATTACCTCCAGGCGAACGGAGGCAACCATATACTGTCGTGGGATATCTCCCAGAGCGGCCCTCTGCATCGCCCTGTGTGGGCAGCAGTAGCTTACAGTGAGTCATCCCTGCTTCGCATTCGCCACAATACGTACTCAGGAGCGTCTGTTTGTCAGTTCGAGGCGTCGAGTACGGCAGAAGCACCGGCTCTAGCCAAGACGCTGTCAAGGAGGAGGCCGCGCGACAAACGCTAGCGGCGCTGCAGCACGACAGAGGCATGAGAGGATGATTCCATGCGTCCCGTGAGTCATTTGCGACAATCCATCGCAGCAGTTTGACTGACGCTTCCACAGGCGTCTTTCGTATGCTGTCACTTTGCTATTGCTATTGTTATCGTTATATTCTGCCTCACTCCGCCATCGTCACCCAAGGACACTCTGGATAAATTATTCTGCTATGGATTCATCCCCGCATGAGCATCGGACTTTGTCTTGTAGATGCTATATCCATCGTAACTCTATTATGTATGCCCTCAACTCGCTGTCTCATTTTCAACTAGCATCGTATTGCTTGAATAATATATTCTAACTTTCTTGGAGCTCCTTCCACGCATGCTTGAGCACCTAGGCCCGTGATCAAGCTCATTCCCTGTAAGATAATGAGCTTCCTATCATTGCTTCTCATATGAACAGCGCAGCAGATGATTATAATATTGACGTTTCTACCATGCTTCTCCCGAGGCGCGTTGCTGTCGATCACTGCTGTGCCGCTGCAGACAGTGACCGCAGCTTGCATTAAAGCATTCTCAAATGACGACAGTGCGATCGGCGCAGCTGCTTGTAGGTCCTTGACGCTTCAACTGACACCGTGCCGGCGTTTCAGCGAAGCATCACCACTGCTGCGCAGTCACGGCGCATGCATTGTCGCGTCACCGCGTGATTAGATATCTAGACGTCCTGCTGTGTTATCTTGGTAGTAAGTCAGCAGCATGCGGAATATGCCAAGGAGGTACGTAGGCCTGGGTAGACTGCTGCGAATGTTCCGTCATTACCACAACTGAATCGCTGCTTTGTCTGGCGTTCGATGACTTCATCAGGGTGGGAGCCGATGCGTGGCAATAATATCAAGTGAAGTTTAAATAGTCCACCCACATCACCTACGACAGAGTCGACACCTCCGATGATGAGGGCCCAACCTATCGGCTACTGGAGCCAGATGGATTGCGTCCCCATTAGCCGGAAGCATGATGAACGACGACTCACTGTTTATCAATCGCATATACACGTCGGGATGGTATCAAGCCTTCACTTTATTTCAATAGAACCTGAAGTTGATCGAAAGGGACCACATATCGACTCACATTGCAAACAGTAATGGCATCAATCGATCGTTGGCGGAGACCTATATGACTCGCTTCAGATTAGCATCCTGAATCGTTATTCCGGTGAGCAGCAAATCCAAGTACAAGAGTGATCACCGTCGTTGGTACTAAGTCACTGACATCTGGGGGGGTCGTGCCATGAAGGTGAGCGCCGAGCGCCACATGAAGCGCCCTGTTGAAGACCCTTCTTGCCGGCTGCTTCGAGTCCGCGGACTCGAGACTTGGTCTTCGAGTCCACAGGTAGTAGGCTTGAAACATGCTGTGAGCTCTTATTGCTGGGTCGACAAGCGCGACCTGCTGACCGCGCAATCTGCGCAGGACATACGTGCGCGATTAATGCCTCTTGACGATCTTCCACGGACATGCAGCGCGCCAGCTGGACATGCGAACTAACTAGGGTGCTAAGGCGATGAACGGTAATGCCTAGACTTCGACGACGCGGGTTGCTGAATGCCACAAATTGTCGAAGGCCTTCCGGAAAAACGCCACTATTATCCCATGAGGCTAGGCTGGAGGTGCGCGCGGGAGGGTAGCACATCTCGCCTGTAGAACCCGACTTGTTGATGGCGTATAGAAGACTGCCATCCGTGGTTAGGGCGGCCGTTGTCTTAACGTTTGCGGAGAAGCTGATATTGTCATGCGTTTTCACCGCGTTCGTGCATGATGCGACGCTTGCATCCATCCAGGTATTCTCCCGCGCTGGTTCCGTGGCCAGAGCAAACACGATTTCACGGCAGGCTCTCCGATCTAGACGGACACGGCGACACGCCTTCAAATCACCCTCCCTAACCGACCGAAGCACAGTGCTCATTTGAAAAATTGATCGGTTGATCGCAGCAGCCCTGGAAGACGCCGTTTGTGGCCGGCAACAATCAGCGGTAAGGAATCGAAGCATGATGCTACGCAGCGATGCATGAGGACTCCAGGCTTCCTTCTCATGCAACGCGCGTTTCGAAGACCGCATGACCCGACTCCGGTCGCGCCCATGGATGATGGCAAGCGGCTGATGTAACCACACGGAAGCGGGGGAGAATATAAGCCGGCAACATGAGAGTGGTCTCCATAGCCGACATTGCTCACCGCCCGACTTGCTTCCTCTCAACTCATTCTCGTCATCATGCGCTTCATCACTGTTCTTGCACTTCTTCTGGCGACCCTCGCTGGCGTCACTGTTGCCGCCCCGACCGGTGGCTGCTTGCCATCTGAACCTGCTTGCGGACATGCCGACAAACGTTCCCCAGTGCCTGAGCTCGAAGCTTGAACGTGTTCTATATGCAGTGTGGCTCAGTCGGAGATATGTGTTGTGAGTTGCCCGATTTAACGCAGCTTGATTCTGTACAATGATTCTGACTATTTTTCACCAACACTCTAGATGGGGCGAGTGGCTGCAAGCTCTTCATCGAAAGTCTTATGGTAGATGTTGCTGAACGGGGTTCGTTCCGTGGGATATTGTGGAGTAATCATAGTGGAAATGTTGGTTCCAGAGAGTTTGGCCGTGCATTGGAGAAGGGGTGATCGGTGGCACTCAGGCTCGGCATGGAGGACTGAGCACTAATATACGCGAATGATTATACGTTGACTGATTCCTGTATGTTGGATGGTGCCTGCACGTCCAGAAGAGATCCACACTCTCCATTAATACGTGCTGTCGGTGGTGGCGAAGACTAAGTCAAGTAGCAAGGAGTTTCTTCAACATTGTGCATTGGGAGGGTTTTGGATACATTCTGAGATTGGTACGGTACGATGACCGTTCGTCAGATACACGAAATGATATACATAGACCACAAACAAACAGTGCCAATGAAATGCAGGAAATCCGTTAGCTATTCAATATCTCCTCGCGCTAGGATCTAGGGGCCCCAATGGACCATACGCATGCATGTTGGTTGCTCGAGACCGCCAATCGCCTCTACTGGTAGCGCCCATGACGAGAGGAGGCGTCGATGGAGCGATTGGAGGGCAGGCATGATTGTAACATAGGTATCCCGGAGATGTTGATCCAAGGGGGGTGTATCCACGAGGGTCGTGCGGTGGTGCTCTGACGTCCGATAGCTGGAACTTTGGGATCTGAGTAGCGACGCGCGAATGTGGCGGCGAAGGCCTATCATCAAAGCCTACATCAAGCATCGCCTTCAAATCGGCCCCTGCAACAGACTCGGCACTCGAAAATGTATGTTGTATGAGGCCCACAGGAGGCGGCGGAAATGCTGCACTATGTTCATTGTAGCCGCCGATCTGGGGACCCCACTGGTCATCGTCCGAAGAAGCGATGGAATTACTATCGGAACTGTAGTAGCTGCTAAGTTCCGTCCGCATTGCGAATGGCCCGTTGGCATTGACGTAGCTTCCTTGCAGACGCTCGAGGTCCCGAAGGCGCCGTTCAGCGCGTCGCAGCTTACGAAGACGTGAGCGCTCCCAGTCTTCCCAACGGCGCAGCGGTACCGACATGCCGGCCGTCGATGAGTTAAGCCCGTCGTGTCCCCTTCCCTTGGCTTCGCCTTCTACTTTTCTGTTACGAAATTTGAGTCGAGTAACGAAAACCTAGACTAAGAGTTGTATGCGAACCTTGTCTCTCCCCATGAGAAGTCATCAAAGTGCCAGAATGCATAGACTGGTAAGATGAGGTTCCAAATAGGCAGAGCAATCAAGTAGATCAACATCCAGAAGACGTACACCATTTTTCTGGTCGTCAACATGATTAGCAGGCCAGGTAACCCGAGGATCGCAACAAGAAGAATCAGAGGAATGGCTTCTTCGAAGCTCCTAGGGGGATCCATTGCCATACTGATGATTAGAATGTACGTCAAGACGATCGCAATCGGCAGCACAACTGTCCCCAGAAGATCCATGAACACGGCAAACTGCGAACTGAAGCAGAAAGTCCCGCATGTGTTCCGCACCAATACGAGCTCCATCAAATTGTGGATGGTCGAGTTGATCCACCGTCGACGCTGCGACAACAGCACAGAAAACGTGTCCGGAACGATCGTGCGGCACCGAGCTTGCGGGAGGAAGATCATCTTGCGATTGGGGAACGTGCGATAGAGGATCGTCGTCAAGAAGCGATCCTCGCCAAGCAGGAGGAGATTCTTCTGATGCAACGTCGTGACGACGCTCTGACTGTACTGTTGTACGATCTCTGGCTTCGTAATGAGCGGTACCCAGTCATCGCCTGTGGCGCGGCGAGCCTTGAGCCGAAACATGGAGAAGCATCCTGGAAGGCATGAAACCCCGCCAAAGACTGACTCGAACGCCTTGGCGAGATGATGCGAGATGAAATATTCGAAGACCTGGATGGCAGTCACCCAAGATTGGCGCTTGTTCGCTATGCGCGTCTCCCCGCACACGCCCATGATCATATTGTCGTGATGCATGCAATTCACCAGATAGGAGAGGGAGTCGGGGTAGACCTTCGTATCAGCATCGACCTACGCGAGGTCGGTCAGTATGGGGCGCGTTTGTGCCAGTATGCTTCACCTACCATCAAACAGACCTCGAAGAAATCGGGAGTTACGCCCATGAGGATGTGGATCTTCCGAAACAAGTCAAAGTCAAGAGGAGTCATCCGGTCATTATAGGTGACTCGAGAGAAGAAGTTCATCAATATCAGCTGGCTGTCGCGCTTGCCTCGATTGCCCGGCTTCTTCTCTGTCGCGATCTCTGCTTCGGTTCCGCACTTCACAACGATGACTGTTGGCGTCCGGCGTCCAGCGACAACTACCGGGGCTTGTAAGGTCGGGATCGTTGAAATTCTTTTTGAAAACTTACTATAATGGCCTGCGTACACAAATGCTCTATTTTCCGCTTTCGCCCCGGCTCCAACCGCAATGTAGCTCATAGGTGTCGGGTTGCCAAACCTTAGGTCCGGCTCCAACAGACCAACGCAGATATCAGGAGTGCTTCGCTTCTCGCCCGCACCGGTGATCATACCATCAGCGACAATGAACAGAAGTTTGCGCGAGTCAGCATATGTAGTCCTAGAGATAGCATCAAGTGTAGTGCGAAGAGACTCTTCTCCTTCCGAGTAGCAAGTGACCAGACATACAGCAAAGAGCTCCGCGCCTATCTCCGCCAAGGACATGACCGGCGCAACAGGACCTTCGGTTGAGTTCACAAGGGTAGAAGTAGAGGATGTCAATGAGCGAGGTGTCAAGCCAGACTTGGGGAGCTTCTTCGGGCCTACTCGGCCAGCCCAAGGCGCAGTACCGTTCTTGTTCCTAATAGATATGTTCGCGCCATCGGGCATGACTGCGTGGCTGATTGCAGATTTGTTCAGGTCCGTGCTATCGGGCGGACTGCAGAGACGCTCAGAGACAAACCAAGAGAACACACAAGCCATGGCAAAGCGAATGAGTACAAGTCCCAATATAACAACCAGACCAGCATAGAGCACCAAATTAGAGAGCAGACAACCCGGAGAGATCTTGTCGATATTGCCTGCATAGTAACGCTGCATGAGGCATGGTATTGCCGAACGGATATCCGCACGAAAGGAGAAGAGCCGTGTTCCGTCCCGTCCGCTGTTCCCGGGGCCATACAAGACAGTCCGAAGGGCACTATCGACCGCATCGTCTTCAAGTGCATCTGGGTGGCGAGCGATATACGCGTTCATATTGAGCACAGCGCCATCGATCACGAGATAGTTGTCTAACGCCGCAACGTCGTCCCAATCGTAGCCGACAATGTAACTTGTATTTACAAGTCCGAGAGAGTCAAACGTCATGCTTGTGTTGAGCGCATCGAGGGGGCAAGACGCATTATGCGTACATACAACGTCTGCCGCTGCATGAAAAGGGATCCCTACGCATGCGGGATAGTCGGACGCGTCTCGCTTGAAGTACGTGGTGATGTCCTGCCCAGGATACTTCAGAAGTTCCGTGAAGTTGACGCCAAACATGACGGCAGGAGTCAGGCTAGTGAGATTCATCATCCAACCTCGCACACCGAGCGTGTCCGCAACAGAGCCGATGCGCACATAGCGACCAGAGTTGATTTGATCGCTGGATGGGCACAAGACCTTCTGGAATCCAACGGTAATAAAGCCTATAACACCACACAAGCAGAGGATAATGAAGCAAAGAGCCATCTTCTCACGCCAGGCCTGGATAGTGTGCTTATCGTGAAGGCCACCTACAGAACGCAGAAGAGCGGCAGGAGCCCAGAAGGTGACGAGCCGCGAGAAGATGCGCCAGGAATCGAGTGCCTCATCCTCATCTTCAATCCTCGAACCTGACGGAAGATGAGCGGACCTGGGATTGATGAGCGGAACGGGAGCGACGCTTCGCTCTGGACGAGTGAGAGTCTTCGCGCGACGGAGGGTTGCAGACGTCAGAGTTGTGGTTTTGAGGGGTCGCGTGTCCACATCATTCAAGCGCACTCTTGTTGCCATTTATAAGGAGCGTGGGTGAGGAACGAGTGTGGTTGTAGAGCTCGACGCCGATGAGAGCGAGCAAGGTGTGGAAGTTGGACACCAACGAACTGGAACGATAAGCGGAGGCTCAAATAGTAATGACAAGCCTTTTCGGAGATTGAACAAGTGACAACGGCACCTTCATTGCGGCCTTTGCGGCCGTTGAATCAGGATCAGATCTGCAGATCCGCCCTGTTGGCAGAACCGTTGCCGCTCTCACAGTGCAAGCCAACAAAGATCCAAGCGACGTGGCCGTGTCGACCGTCGGTGCTATAGACGACATTTTATTGTGCCAAAATGTCGTCTACGACCGTCGAGACCCGGCTTGCGAACGAACTGGTGATTCCAACGGTCCAGCAATCTAAGGTTCGCATGCAGAAGACGCCTTACGGCCGCTCTATGAGCGTGAAACTCGGTGAAGTCTCGCAGGTATCGCTGTTGCTCAACGTGCATGGGAACATTACACTTAACTAGCGTGGCCCATATAGCTCATCAAACTAGCTTCCCAGCATCATGCAAGCGAGTACAACCGGCTCAAGTTTGGTCCCAGAGGTGGGTCTAATGTGGCCTGTGCGAGAGCTTCCCAATTTAGAACGATAATCTTAGGATCTCCCTTGATATATGTTCCATTTTCATTTCAGATGCCTGGCCGGGTCAAGGAACTCCAAGCACGCCAGGCAGAGTGTGTGGAGCAAAGAGTTTGGTGGCCATGTAATCGGGCTGCAGTCCGAAACGCTTCCACGATTAAAATCGCCTCTGAGCCTATGCAACCGATACTCAGCCGCCCATCATACGCTATAGACTTGCCACAAGAACTTAATGCTGCCATGTCTGTGTCTTTGCTTCCGCTGGATGGCCTTGACGACTCGGCTCCGCAATGCGACGTTCCCATCAAAACCTCGGATTCACACCCTATAAAGTACGATCTTCATCTGCCGTTTTGTTCGAAAGTATCTAGAGACTTTATTTCTTACGAATGTTTTGTAGCGTGTCTCCCATCATCCCTTTAGAGCTCCTCCGCATTATTTCTTCACATCTCATCCAGACAGAGGGATCTCCAGTGATCTTCGATCTTCCCTCATCGCATTATTTAGATCGTGTCACAGCTTATTCGCCCGATCTTCCTCCTGGTATTGTTCCGTGGCCTTCTAACCATGCGACGCCGGTCATTGTTACACCGCCGCGTATTACTACGGTGTCGCCCGATACCCAGCATCACTCCACGCAACCATGCGCTCCTCAATGCGCCGTGACGCGACCTCCGAAATTCGCTCATTTTCTTTGGTCAAACCCACTCGTTCGTCGAGTCGTCAACCCTATCGCCGCCATCCACGCAAATCGTCCGGTCATCAATCCCCCCTCGGTTCCTACCAATTCAGACTGCACTCAAAAGCACGGCGCTGACGGCCAATACGATGCTCCTAACCTCGCACAATGCCTTACTATATCGCTCAGCATTAGCGAGAGCTTTGAGAAGGCCGTGGGAGATGGCCTTTGTAGATCATTGTCTTCGCCATCATTACCCACCTACAACGCATCACAGCCGGCAATCCCTAGGACTACATTCTCGGTCATCAACGATGTGTATGTGCCACTTTCCATGCATGGCATAGATCCTGACAGTTCGCAGCTCTCCTGCCATCGCTGTGTCTCATTCCTTAACCTCACAGCTTGAGTCGGCGGCACCACAGCGCTTTTCCAAAAGCCAATTTCAATCTTCCGGGACGGTCACTCTGGGTAACTTATTCCTGTCCTCTTGCCCTGGAAAGAAGGGTAGGTATTCTTCCTACGCATACAGTCTGCTGTGCGCCTCACTGACGAAATCTTGGGTTAATTAGTGAGACTGAATGGACCGGTCAAAGGTCGTTGTGGTGTGTGCAGAGATCTGCGCAAGGACCTATGTCGGATCAAGGAGCTCGGGGTCGCTTGCATTGTTTGGTGAGACCCATTGTGCGTATGTGCAATATTCGGTAACTGATCAGGTTGCACATGCAGCTGTCTAGACGACGACGAGCTTCAACTTCTAGGCGTTACATGGGCAGACTATTCTCGGACAGCACATGAAATGGGCATTGACATTCTACGGTAAGCTTGTAGTCCCTCCGCCTGTTGCATCATGTTAAATACATGCCTTGCGAAGTATTCCGACCCCAGAAGGTCTCGCTCCAGCACCTCTGGACAAATTTGACGAACAGCTCGGCATGCTCATCGAAAACTACACGCTTCGAGGCTTGCCCATGCTCGTGCATTGTCGTGGTGGCGTCGGACGTGCTGGTCTTGTCGCATGCTGTTGGATGCTGAAGCTGGGGCTTTGCGGCTGGATAGAGACTGCACCTGCGCTCGCCTGCCCTATCACCGACGGCAATCACAATCCGAAGATTGGACAAGGTACGACGCCTATTAGGCGGGATACCATGCAAATGGTGGAGCGCGTGATCACAGTCGTGCGCCGCCAAAGAAGCCCAAAAGCTGTCGAGACATACGAGCAGGTACAATTCCTCACCGACTTCGTGGAACTCCTGAGGGCAAAGTCGAAACTCGCCAATACAGTCAGCGTGGCGGACGCACTGGAAGGACGCATCAATTAAACAGGGACTCAAGATGATTTCAGTTCGCGGATACATATACCAGAGCATCGTGCTCGCGCAGACTCCATGGTTCCGGATTTGACGTATTGACTTCCATTATACCCATCATCTCACGTTGAGATTGACTGTATATACCTTGCACATGTCTCGGTCTCGTTCCGTCTTAGTATGCTGTGCCATAGCTTCAATGGAGTAGGATTTTCCTGCAAAGTCATTTCCTTGCATAACGTGCGATTTGACGAGTGAAAAGTTCTTTCCGACATCGGTGGGCTTTCAGCTCGTGCCTGCTGAACGAAGTCACCTCATGAGCCGGGCTCAGCCGCCTCACTGCTACTAGTATACGACATCCATGCAACATTATCTGGTGCATCCTAAGCCACAAAGCAAGTGAGGCCAAGCGATCAAAGTGAACCAAAAGTGCTCGTGAACTCCCGCAAGTCTCAGCGACCCCCCAGCAAGGCCGGTACGGCCGCCGTAAGTCAACAAAGCCAGCAATGTAGGCGAGCAATACTGTAAGTAACTTTATATTGCCACACTCTGGACGCCACAGACAAACAAGCGCCCGTCGCTGTCGCTTGGAACCCTACGATAACGTTCTATCTTCTGTTTTGTTCCTAGCGGTAGTTGAAGCCGTCAGTTCGCTGGAAATTGCCTTTGAAATCACATCGGCAAATCGCAACACTCAAAAACAACGTGCTGAAGCTCCAGCTCTGAGAGGTGTAATGTCTTCCTTCGTCAAAGGCAAGCTCAAAGCGGCCCGCGAAGCTCTGGCCAAAAGGGACTATGAGAAAGCCAAAGACGCATCCTTTGAGGTTCTGGAGTATGAGCCCGAGAACTACAACGCGTATGTCCTCAAGAAAACATGAGTATCTTGATCGCTCACATAACTTTGTGATGCGCAGAAATGTCTTCCTTGGCCTAGCCCTGTTGAATCTGAAACAGATTGACGAAAGCGAGCAAGTAACGTAATCCCAGATTTGGTATGTGTGTGGTCGAGTAACATCCGCATGTACTATAGGCGTATCGGAAGGCAATCAAAATCAGTCCTGATCAGCCTCTAGCTTTGCAGGTAAATCCGTGTTCAAAGAGAATGGTCTGAATGATGTAACTGAGACCATGCAGGGACTTACGAAACTTTACGAAGAAGCACAGAAGTGGAATGAATATGTGGACGCACTTGAACATTTGGCTCAGACATTCGCGAAAGCGTACGTTGCAAGGCTGGCAGCCTTATATATCCTCACTGACCGTACTGTAGGGACGATGCAGCAAAGTGTGCCGAGACAATTCAGAAACTCATCGAGTTCCGGCGGAAGCCTGGCCATTATACTCGAGTACAGGTAAGACGTCAAGTCTATGCTTGCTCGAGACATGCTCATTCCGTGTGCAGCTTGCACAAACATTGTCTCTCTTACTTCCCGACTCGCCGTTCTACTCCGTCTTGTCCTCGCTGCCTCCTCCGGACCCTACAAACCCTACAGCCAGCGCCACTCATCTCACGCAGGAGGCCATGCAGAGCAGTCTTCCAGTGCTAGAAGAGATTGTCTCGCTTTACGAGCAAGAGGAGAAAGAAATCGTCGAAAAAGAGGTGTCAAAACGTAGGACGCGTCTCGGTGCTGGTTCACCAGAGCAGATCCGGAGGGAAGTCACACTGGAGGTCTTGGGATCCTCACAGGTGCGATTTCTTCTTATGACGTGCACATGACATGACACCTAAGCGGCGATGTCGCCCACTAGTTGCCAAAGCTGTACAATGATATTTTGAACCACCCGAACACATCGGACGAGTTGCGACGTGCGACTGAGTCGAAGCTGCTTCGCCATAAACAGCGATATCTATACGGTCTACCTGCCACCGGAGAGTTGGCAGCGCAAAAAGCATCTGTCGCTGCGGAAGTGGAAGAGCTCGTGAACGGCATGGTCCTGCTGGAGGTCCGAGACGAGCTCGCGTGGACACTGTTCATCGAAGGAAAGGATGCAGAGACCACTGGTACGCATGACATCCCCGCAATATTTGCTCGTTCTAAAACGCTGAGTAGAGCAGTACGATTTCGACACACTCTGTCGATACATTCGACTCTTCCCTGATGCTGCTTTGGCGAAACTTGTCGCGGCTTATTTTAAGTATATGAACATCTCGCTCTCGGAGGCTGAGGATGAAGAGATGCCGCATGACAGGCCAGTGAATGAAGATGAAGACTATGTTAACAACATAATCGTACGCTGCAAAATTCTCACTCAGCTTCCTGACTTTCACTCACCTCACCGAATCGTTAGGATGCATTCAATGCCCTTCCAGACTCTCTTCTTGCACATAGGATCATGGTACAGGTCTATCAAATCGAGGATGACTTGGAGGATGCTATCAAAGTTGCCAGCAAAGGGCTCCAGTTGGTCAAGACAGCTGAAGAAAATACCGGAAGACCATTGACATTGTTAGCTTCAGTTTATTGTATACAGACGAGCCGTCACTAATGCATTTTCAGAGTCAGGAAGGCGTTCAACGTCGCACTAGCAACATCGTTGGTGCATTATTTCCCTCCGAAACACCACTCTCGTGCACTCGGTATCATTATCGACATCCTCGGTCAAGATCCAGACAACGTGCCATGCCTATTGGGCCGTGGTTACATACTTCAGCACAGTGGCAAATGGTCTGAAGCGGGGGAGCTATTCGCCAAAGTGGCGCAACTTCTTCCGGACGATCTGGACCAAGGTATTCGTGCGAGAGAAGAACACGCCTGGTGCCAAGTACATTGTCGCCATGACGAGGACGCTGCGGCGGAATTGCGAGACATCATAGCTACCGTGGACACGTTTGACGGCAGGGACACGGACAAGGCGCGTTGTTGGTGGAGGCTGGGCAAGTGCTATTGGCAAATGGGCAGTCAGTAGATCCCGCTTCTATCATATCCCGACTATGCTCATGAGCGTCTCAGATGACCACCGTGAAGAGGCTTATCGTTGCTTTATAACTTCCCTGAAGCGATCGCCGACATTCGCTCCCGCATTCACCTCACTTGGTATCTACTATTCAGATTTCCTGTCACCTCCGGATCCCAACCGGGCGTCAAAGTGTTTCCAGAAAGCGTTCGAACTCGATCCGCGCGAGGCAGAGGCAGCTCGCAGGCTTGCTGAAGGCTTTGCCGAGGAACAGGAATGGGACCTGGTTGAAATCGTGGCTAGGCGTACTATTGATGGAGAGGGTGGCTGGGAAGGCGGAACCGCTATGGCTAGGTACTTGCCCGTCAACGCTTGGGCTTGGAAGGCTGTCGGCGTGGTAGAGTTGGTGGGTGATTCATATGTGGCACCAGCGCAAGATTCTCATGTTATCTCTACAGAGTCGTCATAATAATCCTCCAGCCATTCAAGCATTCCAGATTGCGCTGAGAACAGATTCGGATGACCAGCTACTATGGCTGCGATTAGGAGAAGCATACAGCAAGGCCGGTCGGTTTGCAGCCGCAGTCAAGGCGCTAGAGCGTGCGCGAGAATTGGATCCGGATGACTGGATATGTTCCTACTTTATTGGAGACGTGCAGCGGCAGACTGGCGAATACACGGAAGCTATCAAGGCGTTCAAGTCAATCCTTACGAACCATCCGTCCGAGATCGGCGTGCTTCTTTCCCTTGGTCAGACATATCTCGACCTCGGGCGCGCAGAGGTTGCCACTGCTTACCTTGCGAGAGCAGAGTCGTCGTTCGTTTCTGCTATTCGCGTGATGCTTCAATTTGTGGAAATCAGCTCTGGATTTCGGCGTGTCGCTTGGAAGACTGCTGCTGATGCTGTGCGCAGCCTCTCTCAACTCCGGTCGTTCTCAGACGAGGACAATGTCCGCTCTGTCCTCGCTGATATGGCGCCACTGCTCTCGGGTCATCCTGGCACGAGCATTTCTGATATTATTCCATCCGCCTTTACATTAGACTCCTCGTCCGATCTATCTCTCGCGGCGTTAGAGCTTGCTGTGGCGGCATACGACTACCGCATCACTCTAGACTCTCTCGATGACCGAGCTAGTGGGAACGCACATTACGATCTGGGCGCGTCATTGTTTTCCTACTCTCGCAGAACCACAGACGGTAGTAGGCGGGAGCGTATACTGCAAGAATCCATTCGGCATATTAAGGAGGCCTTGCGTACGGAGCCTGGCAATGATGACTACTGGAACGCTTTGGCGAATGCGACCTTCGAGTCCCAACCAAAGATTGCTCAGCACGCTTTCATCCGTGCTCTCGAGATCGACTCGAAGGTGTGTCATAGTTCGAATCGTATTTAGCTCAAAGATCTTACCGTTGGCCGATAGAATACTGCAACTTGGGCGAACCTCGGCCTGTTCTATCTACACCATGGCGACACAGAGCTCGCCAACGAGTCATTCTTCAAAGCCCAGACGTTGGATCCTGACTACGCGTTAGCCTGGGTCGGACAAGGGTTGGTCGCGACCGTCAACGGGCATACGCCGGAGGCGAGGGCATTGTTCGAGCATGCAGTTGGTCTGACAGCACCGGTTGTGAGTAGCCTGTTCCTTGACGCAAACTTATCGCACTGACATCTGTCTTTGCAGCCGGATGCTGATGTCGAATTCTCCAAACGTCTGTTTGATAGAGTGAACTCATCCTCCGAGTCACGTCTGCCTGCGACAGACGCCTTGTTCCCTGCGTTTTTCGTTTTGGATAGGTTCTGCAGGGAACGACCGCAGGATGCTTCTGCATTACACCTGTTCGGCCTCATCTGCGAGAGGGTCGGGCACTTACAGCTTGGCGGAGAAATGCTCGCACGTGCCATCTCGCTGCTCGAGGCGGCTTACGAGGAGAGCGAAGATCCCGTCATCGAGAGACGATTCACTATCGCTCATACGAACCTGGCTCGCCTCCGTCTCTCCTTACGAGACTATGAAGGCGCTTTGGAGTCGCTTCACATCGTGATGGGACTGCTTTCAGAGGAGCCTGAGGATCATACGTCGAGAATATTGCTCACTCATGCGCAATGCGTCTCTGGATTGGCCCAATTTAAGCTAGGCCAGCTGGCAGAAGCTGTGGGCTTGTTTCAAGCCGCTCTCCATGCAGCAATAGAGGATTTCACGCTGCGCGGACATGTCATCATATTGCTCGCGCAAACTCTATGGGCTGTCGGAAGTCACGATGGTCGAGAGTCAGCTAAAACTCAGCTGTTGCAAAGGTGTGAGCCCTTCCTGTCGGTCAGTCGCCGCAGCTAACAACCCTGAGATACAGCATCGAGTCTGATCCTGAGAATCTCATGGCCATCAACATCTTAGCCGGGATGGGGATCTTGACTGATGATGATAGCCTTGTGGATGCTGCCTCGTCAGAGATCTTAGGCTTACCGCTGGACGAGCGCCTCAGTCGGGACCCGGGCAGGGACGTAACATATCTGCTCATTCAGCATCACCTTGCTCAAGTATGTCCTCATCCTATGCATCTCAGCTTACGAAGGGAACTGACAGCCGCCTCAGGGCGACATCACACAAGCATTATCTGTTGCTCAAAGAGCTGTGGTGGCGGAACCGTCACAACCGGAGATTAGGCAGAACCTGGCCTCCTTAGATCTTCGTCAAGGAAGAAGCGACAGCGCGCTCGCCATGATCGTAGGCTCATCTTCGACGCGCGAAGACAATCTCGCACGGCTCCGTGAATCTCTCCATCTGGAGGCGATCGCGCGATCGCTCGCTAAGAGCGACCGTGAGACCAAGACAGAGGCGCAGAAGATCGCCCAGCGTGCGGTTATGCTAATCCCATGGGAGCAACGAAACTGGCAGGCTCTCGCGTTCGTGCGAACTCAGTGTGAATAGTGAAGTGCGGTGCGTATTTCTAAGTGGCATTATAAATTAGTCGACAATACGAGTTCACTTGTTGAGACTGCAATCATTACCCCCTAATCTGTATAGTAAGGGACTCAACTCGGTGTAGACATCCCTAACATAACGACGCATGCAATGAGACAGTCGCTCAGAACTTGCCCGCACCACTACTAGCGACGAGCAGCACGCGACAGAGAAGCGCTTGCTGTTCATCGACGCCGTCAACGTTCTTCAGCCACCACTGCAGCCGCGACTGCCACACGCTGGGAGCAAGACCCTCCGTAACTCTACTTTCGGGGACGGACATCTCTCAGTCAGTGGAGTTCATGAAGCACCAATGAGATCAATGCACGCACATTCCTCGCTCTTCCAGAGCCTCACGCAACTCCTCCTGCGACAACATTGAGCCTGAAGCCTCGCGCTTCAACAAGGCGTCATCGTCGGCGATCATCGCCAGATGCTTCTGTAGTCGACGGAAAAGCAGGGCGCTGGGGCCGACTGTCGATAACGACAGGAGACTGCGAGATTGTTAGCAACTAAATACTCAGGAAACAGACATGCCTACCCATTGACGGCAGTGAGGGCCGCGCTGTCAAGCAATGCATTGACAGGAGCGCCAGGATTGGCGATCAGACGCTGACGGAGCTGCTCATAAAGGGGCCTTTGGACGATTGCGTACGAAGCCTGCTTCTGACGCTTCTTCGTGACGATGCGCTCCCTTTGGGAAGGGAGCAAACATGTAGAAGGGAGGACGGATGGAGCATAGAGCACAACCAGCGGAATAATCTCCTCGATAACAATGATCAAGAAAAGGAATGGAACCAACCTAAGGGCTATCAGTTTGTGCGTGCAATCATTGTACTTAGGAAATACTCACTTCATGGTGTCTCTGTGACTCGTTCTAATAAACCTGAGCTCCCATCTTGAAACGGGAGCACCACCAGCCAACGCCCTCTGTTCGATCAAGCGTGCACGAGAGAGATTGTGCCAGATCAATTTGATACCCCTCCAGTAGAATTTCTGAGATTATAGTCCTAGTTGAGGGAAACATGAAAGTGGCTGAGAAGAGTACACGCACGAAAAGCTCCTTTGCCTGATGCCAAAGTGACCCAGCCCAAGATGCACCCGCGGGAGGAGGCGCCAGAATCCCGTGCTGCGATGCATCTACCAAATCGTGCTTGGTTGCTTCGACTATAGACTCTTTCTTTGAAGATGAAGGTTCAGAAGCGACATTTGGTGACGAGGCCGTGGAAGGCTTGGGAGATGTAGGAGGTTGTGGTGTAAGCTTCGCAGGCTTCACAGGACCAGGCCTCAGTTCCACCTTATGCTTCCTCAGCGGCAATACTGCTGCTGGCGGAGGAGGCTGTGGTTTGCTTTCGCTCGCATTCGTCGTCTCGGGAGGTGTAGAGGTAGAGAGCGAGCGAGTGCCGAAGTGGGAAGCGGTGAACGCGCTCGATGCCTTCAGGGAAAGCGCATCTGGAGCAACTGCGACGAAGAAGCTGGCATGGCGCAGCCTGCGACGTAGAATGGGCGAACTCCGTGGATATCTCGTGAGGGCGAGACTAAAGCGGAGGAACGTGACGATTAGCGGACCCTTGGTTTAGACGCAATCCGCCGAAAAGTACCTTTCTACGAAGCCATTTCGTCCCAACGAAGACAGCATGCACGCTGGATTGCAGGATTGCGAGCCTGGGCAGAAACGACGGCGAGAGAAAGAAAGAGAGAACGTCGAGGACCTCTGCGGAAACCAGTCAGCCACCAAGTTGAAGTGGAAGGTGCAAAAGCTGCACGCGTGTCGGGTCGGCAGCTTCATTGTCCGCCACATCTTTCAGCGTACTCCCACAATCTCCAAAGCCTAGAACACAATTGGCTGCAATTCAAGCTCATAAAGCGATAACGTAGTTCTACTTCTTCTCCTGTGTACCAATCCGAGCCTCTCTGTTTCATGACGATGGGCAGTATCGTGACTGCTGCTTCGGATACTGCGTCCGCGCTCCGCGAGAACGTGCATCTATCTCAACTTAACCAAGACAAGGTGCCTGTGCTATATCCTCGAGGAACACCTTCTGGCAAGGCCGAGGAGGAATATATCGCATCCCTGACTATCCAAGCGAACGCGGCTGCTAAATCACTTGCATGTGGGAGCATTTTGGCTGGGCAATCGAGCGAGGCGGACGAGTACGGTGACGTTGCATTCTGGCTCGGAGAAGGCGACTACGGGGTGGGACATGAGTCTCAGGTGCTGGAAGCCCTGCGTCTGGAAGGCCAGCTGAATGCTGAGACGAAGGTATCGTTTCGATGGCACTTTATTGCGATTGCGTTGACCGTCTCTATCCTGCACGCTGGGGCAAATGCAGGTTATCCACATGGACCTATCCTCGGAGACACAGTTGCCATCTACTCTACGTCTTCCGTCGCTGACTGAGGAGACCAAGGCGTTGATCGAGTTGCTCTCGCAGTTGCGGGACGTCCATTGTTTCCGTATCGAGAATATGTCAGGAAGTAATGGACTTGTTGCATACGTTCTACTCGGACAGCGAGGCCACGGGTGGGTTGGTCTTCTGGGCATCGGAGTGTGGACGTAGTGAGCGCACCTCGCATTCACCTCAATCAATTAATTGCAATTGTGCCAGACAAATGCCAGGCTGTTATTGATAGATGTATACACAAATATTTCTTTCATCAATTGCAGCCTCCAGCCCGCCCACCAGCGCCCGTCCTACGCTCCTAATCTCCTGAGGAGAGCGCAGCTACCAAACGTTCATGGAAGTGCTGATACTGCGCCCGGATATGATAGGAGATGCTTTGTCACTCCGGCGTAGATTGGGGTTCTCCGTGAAACCAAGGCAGGTCATACGTACTGAGCTGCTGCGTCAAAGTCGCATCGCCGAGCAAAGGTAAGCCGGCCAATAATCTCGGTACGCTCGCTGATAAAGCGAGCTGCGCGACAAGGCACGCATACGTCAGCATGTGCTGCACACAATTGGAGATAGTTAACGGCTTCGGAATTGCCCTCATGCGGGCATTGCGCCCGAATCAATGTTCTGGATGAGGTATAGTAGATGGTGGCGGCCATCGGGATGAGGGCGCAGATGTATGGGAGATCTTGCGCTCCGCGAAGGCGGGCTAGAAGGCTGTATGACGCATGAAGTCGGTGAATGAAACGCGCCGCAGGCATTAAAGCGGCAGGTAGACAGTCTACTGTCAGCGGAGATCAATGTAGTCAGAGCGACTAAGATGTCAGCGCTGCAAGCAGGTCGGGTGCCACGGCTGCCAGCCTGGAGTCGTCCCATCGGATGCCTTGTCCGACCACACGCGGGCGACGGCAGGAATAGGGGCTTCAGCGGAGAGGATCCGCTCGCAATAGGTACATCGCTGCGTAAACACATGTTGGTACGAACATAGTAGTTCCTGGAAGAGACGGATTAGAATTTTTTAAGGATGCCGGCACACGACGGGACGTACAAGCACAACGCGCACGGAGATCTGTGGCTGAGAGAGGATCATCTTCGTGACCTGCTGGGAGAGCTTTTGGAAGACGATAAAGTCAGAGTGAGAGTGTGGCGGTTTCTGGTCGGGGGCGTAATTAGCAAACGGCCGCAATGTATGAATCAGGGAAAACGACGTGCTTGTTCCCTTGGTGCGAATGCAGTCGCGTTCTGCACGATAAGGACCGAGTCGTCCTTCGAATCCAGCGTCAAGAAGACCGTGGCAATGTCACGAATGGTGAATCGGACAAGGATGGGGCAAACAAGCGGGCGATGTCGGTCTGCAGCTACTATTTGCAGCCTGATTTTGGGATTTGTCTTGTTGAACTCTCGGACGAAATCTATGAGCTCTGAAATATTCACAGGTGGCACGGAGTCATGTGCAGGCGAGAAGAGTGACGTTCGTTGCGGTTGAGGGTTGTTGTATGACCGCGGAGACTCAGGCGTAGATTGCCGTCTTAGACGAGAATGATCAGGATGCTTGGAGACATCTAGTGCAACATCTGTGCATTACTCACTTGCGCTTCCTAATCACTCGTGGCCGGTGCAAGTCGAGGTCGCTCTTATCCTTCTTCTCGCTATCCCGCGCATGCACCAAGGCCTCCTGAACCTTCTCTGAACGCACAGTCTCTGCAAAGTCTTTTACATCCTGGATATCCTGCCGCAGCGACGGCTCAGGATGTGGATGCAGCACCGGATGGAGGCTCGGTGACAGCGAGATGTTCGTAGACTTGGGCTGCCGGACGAGATGAGCAGGTATTTTGCGCAGAGCTTGTAGTCGCGCGTTCATCTCATTCAATATTTGTAGTTTGGCCTGAAGAGTGAGGAGTTCCGGAGAGCTCTGCGTCGTATCCGCCATAAGTACTTCTGTGCGTCCGCTCTGCGTAAGCACTATTGCAAGATTGGATGCTAACGAGTGGGGATCGCGAGTGTTTGAAAATGATTGATGAGCACGAGAGCCGCCACACAATTTAGGACACGAATGAACGTCTTCAAGGATGGATGGCCGTCGCTTTCCGTGACATGCCTGTGACACACGCGCGCAATGTGACGTTTGTGACGCACGCGCCAGGAAATTCGTGGCCGCGTCTTTTTTGCAAGACCACATTGTACCACTTCGCTCTGTGTAACACGGAAATTTACAGCAGCTCTCATTTGATGATTCAGTATGGCCTGACATGCTGGTGCTGCATCGTATCCGTCCAGAATTGCGGGGGATATGGAATACTTGCGAGACGCGCCAGCGGCACGGACGAGAAAATTGATGCAGAGTAGACGTCGACTTCCGAGCTTTACTACTGTGCGACACACGTCAGAAGGTTTTTCAGCTATTCTGTCACGTTCAATATGCTGAACAGGTCACAGGTCATAGCGCGATGATGGCGTTCACCAAATAGGTAAATGCAGCTCCGTCTTCAAATTGGAGCAGCGTAATGGTGTAGCGACGAACAACTAGGGTGACCGAGCCGTCATGCACCGAACTGTATTATGTTAATGGCAAGTTTACGCGAAGGAGGATGCACCAGGGCATGCTAGCTGAATGGTGACCTTTGTCTTTTCAGCCGACGAACGCGTGCTCGCATGGAATCCCTCACTCACGAATTCATCTGGCAGGGTACCCGTGCTTCATCAACTGAGAGTGGTCAATTAGCAGTCCAGAATTGACTGGATGTTTTTAATGTGGTCATTCATGTGATGAGAGCGCTCCTTGGCATTATATATAGCGTGAGGTGATCGGCTCGTTCTCTGGACTCTCTGCCAATTACAGCACAGCCTTGTTGCTGACGACAATGCCGATAGCTCAAGCTGCCATGCCATGGACGTTTTTTTTTTCAACCGTCATCGTTCGACGCGTTCCCTCTCACTATTTTCCACCTCCCCTGATCAGGAGGACGGAGCTAATACTGATCACCGTTGTTCTCATAGACCTCGCCCGCGATAGGCAACTTGGTCGATTGGTTGCGGTACCCGTTACGCGAGTGGCACCGTCGCCACTCAATCGTTCATACGCGTTTTATCCCGACGACCCGCGTTCCGAAGTACAAGATCGGCAAAAGCATCGTTCTCGAAGGAGACCGGCAACACCACGGGAATCCTGGCCCGAGTTCCATCCAATAATGCTGACACTTTGTAGGTCCACCTCTGCAATTTCGATGGAAACATAACATCCGGCCGATTGCTAATTAATTTCGCCGGCGAGCATTTAACAATTTAACAAGACCTGCTCAATGGACGGGTAGGCGAATCATGGGCTCAGTCATGAGGCGCGGACAAACATAGTCAGGACCGCCCCTTTCAAGAGACAGATATGCTTGGGGGAAGGGGTGAGATGATCTGGGATCTGCATCGGATCAAGGCACCCCACTCCGACTGCAGCTGTTTGCGATCCGAACCAACGCATCAAACACGAGGCTATCGCGCGCCTGAGCCTACCAACGGAAGCTGAAGCTGGTCCTACCAGCATCACAATTGCATGCAGTATTGGAGTTGGCTGGCCAGCTTGAGCGACGGTCAATCGAGATGAGTTGTGTGTCAAGGGTAGGCTCGAGCCCCCTATCTGTGATCGATTTGGGCGGTCAAGATGAAAACCGCTAAGGGCGTAACGGCTGACAATCTCGATCAACCAAGCGCTGAAGTTCCCGTGATTTGCCACTCGGCTAGCAAGACACTCTTTAGAGGCTGGTCGCGTCGGGCGGGACGCCACTGGACGCATCACATCGATACCCGCCTCGTCTTCCACCCTCCCTCCACGCTGGTCCCCCTTTAATACAGTGCCCCTCCTTTGTGCCTTCGACCCTCCCACCATAGTGCCACTGCTCGGAACTGCCAGAAGCCGCGCGCACATTACGGTCTGATCTCATAGAAATCGCGTCATCATGCAACCGGTTTGCTAAATCCACTCCTTTATCTGTTCGCAGGCTGACGCAGCCTCTTCCACGCAGAACCAACACATGTTCGCTCCGACAACGACTACCCCGCGTCTTCCGACTTGCGTGTCAATCAGCCAACACTTTCATTCAACACAAAGACAAGGGGACTATCTCTATGCCAATCACACACAACTGACCTTAAACGAGCGTCAACAATCACCGGCCTCTGTGCGCCCTGCAGGTCCGTCTGCACACATTCTCCTCGGTCTGTGCCGTCTTTAACCAAATATGCATCGCTATCCAATAGCTCCACGTTACCCTCCACGAGATGACACCCGCTATATCGACTCCCCTCAAGGTACTCTTCGAATTTATGGGTATGAGCCGCATGAAGGAGTACCAGGAACCGTTCTCACCGTGACCCTCGACTTCCTGTCGGTAGCACGGATTCCAACTCAGCTTAGGCTCGTCCTCGGCAGGGCGGCTCTTCCGACGACGGTCGAAAAGGTAGCAGGTGGCCAGCATACCTTCCAGCTTCAGGCTACCGTCCCAGATGATGCCCGTGTCATTTTACCGCCGACTGTCTCACTGCATGCGCAGACATTGGATACTCACAATACTGTGTTGGATAGTGTGGCGTTTGGTAATTTCACTTGCATCAACCTCGGTAAGTTCTATAAGCCACGCTTCTTACCCGACCCACGACTGAGCACAGATTGCAGCACCGAGTAACCGCCACATGAGGCCATACCCGGATACGCACGATAGCATTCTTGGACTGCCGATGTCCCCTGATGCGCCCCGCTCGCCGAACCGCAAGGCACGGTATTCCACGCAATCCTCGCCTTCGCGGTCCTCCCTTCCACACCGCCATACGCATCATGCTCGTGTTCATGCCCCATCCGCGCGGCCAGTGGCATCGTTCATCTCGTACGCAAGCCCATGTGGCGACGAGAGACTACACGGAATGGCCGCCAACCTGGAGCTGCTGACACCTCTCGAAAGCATGAGTAAAGACTGGGATGAGGACGAGTACACCGCCTGCCGTCGGCTTGTGCGATTCCAGAAAGAGAGGGAAGGAAACACGATAAAGGTCTCCTGCACAGTCATCAAGCAACACGAGTACATCGAAGGCGGCATGGTCATCTCGTGCATCTACCGGCGGGAGACAAACTCGTGCTATGTGACTTCTGTCGACGTCATTTTCCTACTTGAGCGTCTGGTAGACAACCAATTCGACGTCGAGACCAAGAACAGAATACGAAGGAACTTGGAGCGCTTTCATCCGCAAACGGTGTCAAAAAACAGGGCGAGCACAAGCGAGTTCTTTTCGCTCATCATGAACTTGCCGGCGCCGAAGCCGCGAAACATCGAAAAGGACTTGAAAGTATTTGAGTGGAAGGTGCTGTCTGAGGCACTGCACAAGATGGTTTCGCGATTAGTGAGGCATTCGTTCTTTTTGTGTCACTCGACTTTTTTGACGGGAGATTCATCAGACGCTTCCTTACATACCCGCACAAGCTGAGCCTATCCCCACACTCCAACCACGTATCTCGCCAAGTCCATCTTTGCTGTTGGGTCAAGATGCCAAACTCAGTCCCTCTTTGTCCTGTACCTCAAGCGAGTTCTCCCCGGCATCCATTCCCGCTATACCCTCGCTCGAATATCCGGCCTCTCCGTATAACCATTCCGTTGGATCGCCGTCGTCGTTTGTATCCCAGATGGAATACACTCCGCCGTCCTTGGCCTCGGACGGTAGTCCTGCGGTTGAAGAATCCGCCGTCTTCGGGTCGGCTGTATCGACACCGATTATTGCAACGCCGCCATCATCTGACCCGTCTGGCGTGCCATACTTCACGCTTGCGCACGATGGGCATGCAAACGCACACTCCGCCCAGTTCCCGCAGTACATGCCCTTTCAGATATCAGAGTACTGGCAATCATCCTGCGTTGCCCCGGGATTCACCAGTGGTGGTGAGCAACCCTCACACGACAGCAAGTCTGTCGGTAGGGCTTATAACTACGTGGATGCGTACCCCTCAACGTTCTAGAAACACCTGTCATCCAACCAGTTCAGGATATTGCCTTCCACTGAAAGTCTGTGTCCGCTGGCATCTCGCTTTTGCGGATCCGTTGCATTATATATGTGGACTTAAGCGTATGTTGCTATCATTATTTGACTATCTCACCGTAAGCATCTTACAAAGTGGTGTTGTTGCGTTAGCGTTACCTTATCTGCCTATTTTCCTATTGGACATGTAGTTCAAATCAAAGAAACTTGACGTCTGCAATCGTCGCCATTAGACTTATCTGTACATTACAGCGCTCTTTTCATTGTTATCCGACCACGAACTCTGCACACACTTCTGTGACCAAAATCCGTCTCATCCAACTGATTCATCCACCGGACGATGTAAACGTTGCTGCTTGCGGCGCAGCTCTGCACGCTCGACTTCTTTCCTATGCATATTCAATCACTACTCAAAAGAGGTTCAAAGTAAATGCGTACGATAAAGATAACTACGGTGCACAACAATTACGATAGCTGCTGCAGTTTACACAGGTCCAACCAAGAGCTAGACAACCGAGAATATCGACAGCATAGATGGATACGCAGATGACGTAGACCAAGGGTGAAGAATTATGAGATATACTGTATCCACTACATGTCCCGTCGCGCGAAGTTCAGGCTGGAGAATTTAGATAGACGTCCCCTAATAGACCCGATACTGCCTATATTTGATCCCGTCACTGATGCTGCGCCTGAGAGTGTCGTGATGAGCGTTCCATTGTTCAGATACGAATCTCTCGGAGATTCTTCCGAAATACTGTCACTGCCAACATCTCCAGGCCCAGCTGATACACCATTAAATCCGTGTCGAGCCAAGTGTGCCAGATGTCTTTGCAGTGGTGTCTGTTTGGATGACATTTCCGCAGATTGGCCGATATCTGGGTTTGAGCTGTTGGACAGTGGAGAGAGAGCCGGGGAAATGGCCGCATGCACTTGGACGGGCACAAGTCCAAGTTGAGGCCGCCTGTTAATGAACGAATACCTGAGTCAGTTCCCGAACATGTGAGGTATAACATCACACTGACATTTGACGTTGAGATTGAGCCAATGGCCGCGACGCCGACGGAGAAGGTGTCAGCAGATCGCGCGATGACCGACCAGAGTCCATTGCCAATCGTTGAATCTCCTCTTGGAAATTCTTGCGGAAGAATTTCTCGAGTGTTCCGTGGAAGGACATCATCTCTGGAGGACACAGTTGTCCATGCAGTCGTAGACAGCTATCAATGACGCGGGCCTGACGAAGCCAATCGTTCAGATTGACCCGACGCAAACCAGGGGGGACAATTCACCTGATCATCAATGACATTACGCAAATTCTCTATTTCTTCTGCCCTATCAGGATGTTTTGAGATATACTCTTCGTTCAAGTATGCCTGTCGGAATGCCCCAATGCCACTACCCGCTGGCGCGTCGACGGCGGCGTTGAGGTTCATAGCTAGAGCATTGGTTGGAACAGCCTGCGATGTCTTGGCGAGAATAGAGTATCTCAAGTTCAGTCCGGTCAACTCGCGCGTTTTTTCTTCCACCTCTTGAATGGCACTTTGTACAGGTGAGATTTGTACCATTTGCGTGTCAACCACTTCAGAACGACGGAGAACGGTGGGAAATGCCTCCTCAGTGGTGAGATACGTTTTCTCAATCCATACCTCTTCCGAACCGTCAGGCGAGATTCTTGTCACTGGCCTTGAGTAGCTGAATAGCTTAATCGCACTGCGAATAATGTTTAGAGGGGACACTTTCAAGGATTATACTGATTATTTTCTCCATACCTGTGCTCGTAATATGCCCGGATTTGAGGGGACACGTCTGGATTAGTGAAGATGGGCAAATCGCGTTCGGGCTCGGGAGTGACAGCAGTGCATTGGATGTACTGGTCGGTCCCGAAGCGAATATCAACTGGTGGATCCCCCATGGGCTTTAGAAGCTGGACACCGGGATGCTTGTTCAGCATTCGTTCGCAGAAAGCACCAAATTTTTCCCATTCATATCCGCGATACTGCCAGACAGTAAGTCATCTGCCTACATCTGTACGCATTGGAGTGAGACACGCACTATGAACTGTTTGTTGCGGATAGCGGCAGGGAAGCTGCCATAGAAAGCCACTCTGAAGTAATCGGAATAATAGCGCTGGTCGGTGACGATACGTTCCAGTAGGGCAGCTTTATGACGCAGAATCTCTGCAAGCCGAGCGCTGGCGAAGAATTAGTCGTTTAAAGATCGATGGACAGAGGAACGCGTACTAGTTGAACGTCACCTCGGCATGCTGCACTGCCAATTCCTTGCAGATCTCGATGGCGCTCTCCCACGCTTTACCCTTACCTAGTACTACAATCAGCTTGGTCAAGAAATCGCATATTACACTCAATCACTTGCCAAGATAATCCAGGATCAACAGGTACAATGTTTCCTTTCGGTGGAAATGTGACTGCTGCGGAAGACCAAGGTCTTCCATAGGTGGGGCGAAGCTGTTAAGATCCCAGTCATGTAGGTCTGCATGGAGCTTCAAAGTGAGGGCAGCTTCCACATAGTTCTGGGCTTGGAGATGCATCTGCGGTGACATGACTTGAGCCCCTGTGTTTGCGTGATCCACGGCAGGACTTACATTGACCAGCTGATGCACATATTTGATGTATATCTCATCTCGGCCGATCCGCCGGATGAAGTTCATCAGACGAAGCTATAACAAAGACATATCAGCAACGCCACAATACGCATCTGAAGCGCATACCGTTGCAATCACTCGATCATCTGCGAACTCTTCTCCTTCAGGAAGTGCACGAACACTGAGCAAGAGATCCAAAAACATATTGACCTCTTGCAAGAAGGTATCGACAAGGGCACGTAATTGCTCATCTACGTCTGATTCCTCAAAGAGACGACGAAGGTATCCAATGAAGAATGCACGGGAGATATCATCGCCTTTGCTGTCGGACATGAACAAGGTATCCAACTTGCTGACCAGTTCATGCTCGATGTGGTTGAAATTGCCTGAGACGTGATACTCGGAGATGATCATACAGTAGAGGATATGTACTGCATTGAACTGCAGCTGATCGTGGTGGCTCAGACACAGGTTCACAACGTGACCGACTAATGGATTGAGCGCAGCTTCGTAGTTCTAGTTCACATCTGAGCACATTTCCTTGATTTGAACGAAGAAACGTACCTCGTGCACCTTCATCGTGCCTCCATTCGCTAGTTCTTCAGACCATCCAAGGGCATCCCACATCCGTAATAGGAGAGCTGCTCCTTCTCCTCGTATGTCTCCAGCAAGACGCCAAACCGTCCGACGTTTCTACATATCACCTGAGTTCAGGTTTCGGGTTTCGAGAGTAATACTCACCTGCGGGATGAATTCCTCTATGACCAAATGTTCGGACGAAAGCAACTTAAGAACGACATAAAACGCCTCTCGCCAAATATTTGAGTTGAACTCGCGTCGCGATTCTTGGTTGGGAATGAATTCGCGTTCCATCAAGTTTACGATCGGATCCATCAGCTTGAGCAACATCCTGTGAGCGAGGATGTTGACGTTCAGCCAGTTGGACGGGAATGCATCATTGTTCAGAATGGAAGCAGCAACTTTGAACGTTTGCATGAGCATCGCCGCGAAATTATCACTGCCTTCAATATCCAGGAAGGACTGGAAGAAACTGATCAGGTGCTTCTTCGGCGCTGCAAGTATTAAGGATAGCAGTACAATGGCCGTCTCGCCCAAGCCCGGGTTGAAGTCGGGTCTGGAGTCGAAGGAGCCTGAAACTGCGGAAGCACTCTTTGAAAGCTGAGCGGCCAATGCAAATGGGTATGACTCTGGAAATGTGATAGGGTATGTGGATGAGACCGGGCTTGACGAACGATTGCGCTCGATTGCTCTCTGGGAAGCGGGGTGCTTGAACTCCGAGTATGAATTGAGTAGTCTGCGCGCGGGGGAGGGAGAAGGTGGTCAGGCGTGCAAAGACGATTTGGAATGAGCGACTCACTTGGGGAACAAATGCAGGAGAAATTCGATGTTATCTTGCTCAGCCTTGAGCAGATTGCGGTCGGCCACAATGGCGGGGTTCACGAGACTTTGCAGACATTTATCCAGCATGATCGCTATTACGCTCACAGACAATCTGATACTCTCTAGCCAAGCAACGCGCGCAGCATCTCGAGCGCTCTCGGAATCTCCAGGTTGCGTCTGAGCGTACTCGTCAAAGCGACCGAAGTGTGGTTGTAACCAGTCGGCGACACTCTCGATCAGCAATGTGCGAGAATGCAAGTCATCGAAGAGGAATCCCTTGACTATCTGCAGGTGCATCACTAGCTTCCATATGACGAGCTTCCCCTTGGTAGTCTTAATAGAGTTCGCAAAGGTCGCGGCAATATTGACAAGCTCTTCATGGCTAAACACCTTGTCCAACTCCTGCAGGATTGAAGTAAAGTGTTGTAACGCTATCGTCTGCGTCCCAATGATGGAGGCAGGTGTCGTCGTGGACATCATGCTATTGACTTCTGCTAGATAGGACCGTAGTTCCCGCTTGAACGTCGCTTCTAGGTGATCAGCAGTCGCTCCGCCACCCATTCCAAGCTTCTTGGCCTTCTGTAACTCCCGCGATCTGACAATGAACTTGACGATGTAGTGCCAGACCTTGAGGCTCGATCGCAGCGCTGAAGCAGTCTCACTGGCTGTTGGGTTTTGCAGGAGACGGTTCATGGAAGAAATAATATGGGAAGCTGCGGCGGCACATCTGAAGTGCTCCGCGATGTATACGTCGAGAACAGGCTGAAAATTGCTAAATCGACGATCTTGGATGATCCCAAGCACCACTACCAAAGCGCTAAAAACTAGATCATCCATCTCTCCCTCTTCATTGTTGTTGGATGCCAGGATGGCGAATAGCGAGTCAAAGATGTCGCGCAGGAACTTCACAATCTCAACCTCGCCCACGAAGGTGAACTTGGTCAGGACAGTCTTGAGAACTTCCTTGTCCGCGAGCTTCTCCCAGTTGAGCAAACTAAGCAGCACCGAATTCTGCGTGAACTTTGTAGAGCACAGCGAAGTGCGTAGGATAAGACAGTCCCGCATTGGTGGAGCCAGCTTTTGCAGTTCGACAGGTACATAGACCTGTTCGGGTCGCTGGTTTGCAGGCAGCCACGGCGTTGCAGCGAGGTACAGATCAGTGTCAACTTGAGTGAGTTTCTCGGCATTATAGAGGACCAAGGTGTGTTCACCATCCTCAAGGAACGCTCGTCCGTCAGGAAAGAGAGGCAGAAACGCGAATGCAAAGGGCCGTTCTTGCATCTCAGAGTTTCTGCTGCTGGAACGTTCCCTCGTGCTGCGGTGGCGGAAGGTGAAGAAGAGGTGCCATTGGTGTGAACCCTCGAACGGCAATTCCAACTTGATGAGTTCGTTAAACGTGGGCTGGTTCGTGCGTTGGAATACCATCGAGTTGAATTGCGTTACTTCGGGCTCGCCGCTACAATACGAGATGACGCGCTCGATCGTCCTCCCGTGCTGGTTCTTGACCTCGACCGTCACTTGCACATTGCCGCCGATGCTACCAGCTTGGCCCCAAGGAAAGTTCGTGATGCTACGGCGCGCCATCATCGTTTGTGATGGCGAGAAGTCTCCACTCCACAGCTTGACATACAGCTCGTTACGGACGTCCCCCGGGAAGACGACATCAGGAAATCCCAGGCGCAGACTGAGCGGTATGTCCTGCAGAAGCGACGTGTTCTCCCGAACGACTGTCTCCGCGGATCCATAGAATAACTTGATGGAGACTGCCATCGTATCCGCGCTGATTGACAATCAGACGCCACGGTCATGACAGTCTCAGAAACAGCACGCACCTGCCTGACTTCTCATACTCCTTTGTGTTGCCGTTGATGATGTCCACATGGAGCATGGAGAACGTAGACTCATTCTTCGGGGTATAGATTGGCATATAATGCTCGCGTGTTGAAGACACCTGGGTTTGTTCAGCTGCCATGGTGGCGAGTTGGGTAAGCTCAAGGATGGCGCAGCCAAAGGGTCTCCTGAAGTGCGCAGTTGTGTCAGTATTGGAGTTGCCAATTACCTCACTGGCCGCAGCTGCGTGCCCGTATATGTGACCGCTCCCATTATTACTGGTTCCAATGGAGGCTTCAGATGCTCTCCTTCCATTCTCGCGAATTGACCCCGCATTGCCCTTTTTCATAGACCCATTCCTTACTATCTTGCACACGAGAAAGACAGGTTCTTGAGCATCGGACTGCAATACGTCTGTAAAGAGAGTGCGGATACGTGCAGAAGGATCACGGGCCAGAACCCCGTTGTGGTTAAGGATAGCACAGAATTCCTCTGAGATGAAGCGCGCTTGCGTTTTGTTGAACAGCGAGAAAAATAGCTCCGCAGTTTCGCCGGGTGAGCAGGGGGACGCAATAAATGCGCGAAGGTCAAGAAAGATGTTATAGAATTTCGCCTTCGCAGGCTGAGGGGTGCTTGGGGACCCGAACACGCCCATCATCCTGGACTGGATTCTACTGCGTGAGTACTCCAGAAAGGTGTTATGCACTTGCGAAGCGGCAGATGCGGAGTAGTCCATGGAGGAGCCGAGTTGACGCGACTTGTACGGATGGGTCGGAGGAGAAACGTCGACATACGCAAGGGAGACTTGCAGAGCATACATGCGAATAGCGCTCATCCAGCTGCGAGGATCGATCTCTCCTTCGACATCGACAGTGGCGAGACCTCCTCCGGTGGGGTGCCGGACGATTACATCGAGCCCTTGGACAAGGTTCCCGCTCACCAGCCGCCACACACATTCGCATCTGAGATTGGCCGTCTCCTCCGAGCTCAGCGTCTGAGCGAGCAGCTGCCGGCGACCAAGATGCAGAGCCTCAATGTGTTCGCGCACAATCTGAAATAGCTGATAGTCACGCCGGGCGAGGTACTGGAACATGAGTGTGTGCCACTCGCGTAGCGCAGAAGCGATCTCGTCAATGATGGGCTGGTCGGCTCCCGACGCGGTGTCGTCGCCGGATTTCAGCGAGAACCGTGGTGGAAACGGCTTCATGAGCTGCGACTCGGTCGGCGATGCCGAGCGCAGGCTGGCAGGGTATACGGGCACGCGGGCGCGTGCTGAGTTCGCCTGGTCGGGCGGTGGAGGCAGCTTGAACGACTTGCGCGAGACGGTGTCCTTGAACGAGATTCCATCTTTCAGCGAAAGTCCGTCGTCTTCTCTAGGCGTTGCAAATCCGCCAAGGACCTTCTCCTTCCACACGGAATTGACGTCAGACTGATGAGCAGGCAACCCCGCCCTCCATTCGTTCGCAACCTCTGCCAGATGTCCTTCCTCGTCCGATAGCCGCTCCCTGACGAAGATATGGGAGGCGGGAAAGGTACCAATGAATACTTGTTGCTGCTCGCCGGCCAGGGCTGCTGCCTTCTGCGTGGAGCATGATGGATCCGAGACCAGCGCCCAGTTGACTTGGGGTCGGCGAGATGTGCTCACGACGTATCTGGGCATCTCTGTGAGCGGTCACTACTGTGTACAAATAGGACATGGGACGCACCCGCGATACCAGATGCCCTCGACCTCTTTATCCTTCGGAGTGTACTGCTCAAAAGCATATACGCTATCTCCCACCTCCAAAGAGACCACATCTCTGTGCACGAGATGTTCGTCGCCGGAAGCGTCGGTCGTGCTTGTGAACGTCGATGCCCGAGTACGGCTGGACAGCTTCGTGTCCCGGCGGTTGGGTGAGAGTGGGTGGACCGCATAACCATATAATATGAGCGGCAAGGGCTCCCAGACACCTCTCCGTTGGTTCGGAACGACTGGGTTACCAGCGTTGCCCGCCATCGAAAGCACACTTTCGCCGAGGTTGCCTGTTACCAATTGACGCCTCGCAACACTCGCACGTAGTGACCAGCTTTGACTACTGTGCCCACCCCTTTGTAGATGGAACGACCGTCGCAGTGAAAATCGTGAGGGGCGGGATATCGCAGACTGCCACGGGGTATACGAGGTGGTTTGGGTATAAGCTAGGACACGTGCGTCTACGCTCAGCATCAGTTGTCCATGGCAAAATATCATTGCAACATCTCGTGTTTAAGAAACATTGCTACGACATTTACATGATTGCTCTATCGTCTTGCGCTCGCTGATGAGCAGGTTTATGGTGAAGAGCGCCGGAATCGACTACCGTCAGCGAAGACCTGCCATCCACTCCTGAATATTGTGCGCTCAGATATCCGGATTATGACCACTGTGTCCAATTCCAAAGCAATTATAAGCTCTATGCCAGCGGTCTGACGTTGGAAGAGGGGCAATTGTTGACCGCGACGCCCACATCGCATCGTGGAGCGAACCACCTAGCGACGTGTCCTGCTAAGCCTGCTAAGGTCTCTGCTCGTTAGATCAACATCTTTCCACCCATCAGGCTTCCCAGCTCCCACACATCTGTTTCATCTGCATCCAGGGAGCAATCGCCGGTGAGGGAGATGGCCTCAGTTCGGAGCGGCGGGTATGCCGTTCAAGTTCCGATACGCTACCCGGGCTCGCTGAGTCTGTTGATAAGCAAGCGGAGAGTATGAGCCATGGAATCTCTGCCGTCCAGGATTCGAGAATATGATGAGGCGCTCTGGACAAAACTTGTTTAACGGGATGCTTGCATTCATTCACGACGAGATGAGCCGAGTGATTCGGCTTGAACAACAGCAGAAGCAGTCTTTGCAGCAAAGCAGTCCAGTTGACCAGTAGAGTCCGAGGTCGGGCCCATCCACCGCTATTGAGTACGCAGAACGATGAAACTTTCAAGTCCAAAGTAGATCGAAGTTTGGAGAGAGCAGGTCGTCGGGCTGAACAGGGCTGAACACACCAATTTGTAAGCACGTGACCGTGTTGGGATCTTGAGCTCAGCGCAGGCTGAGGCGGCCTACATTTCTTGTTCTCACCGCCATCCGCGATGAGCAGCCTGTCTGAACATGTTGACCGTCTCTCTCTGCTAGCCAAGTCAATTCGCTCAAGCGCCACCAACATCTCTCGAGAAACAACCGGCCCCTTCACAGAGGCCGTCCTCCACACACCCCTCGGCGACCTGATCCGTGACGTTGACCCTGCCGAGCTTGGTTTATTCACGCTGGTGTCTCCTGCCAAACCAGCCGACCCAGAGGTTCCTGCTCCATCCTACAGTGAGATTGCGCGCGCGGAGTTTCATGGCGCGACGCCGCTGAAGAAGCCACCGGCTCCGCGCAAGGGAAGGCATGATCCTCAGGGACGGCCAGGAGAGCACGATCCGGAGGTATATGCGCGGGCAGCGATCAAGTATCTCGATCGTTAGTAAGTAGGCTATGCATATCACGGTCTGCGGGTTTTCATGGAAAAACTACAGTCGTTCGATTAGGCCCATGCCTCGAGCTTCAGACCAAGCCATCAGGATCATGGAGCAGCTCGGGGTAGTACGCTCGCACGTTCGCCAGCTCAGTGAGCAATTAAAGCAAGTGAGTGACATGTTCGTGGCCTTCCGTACTTGCATCAACTAAGTGAAGCACTCGGCCGCAGGTCCTCCTCAGCCTCCCGCGTCTCCCAAGTCTGTTGTGCGGGAAGAAGAACAGCGCGTGCAGGCTGCTCAAGAGCAGCTCGCTGAGCTGAGAAAGCGGGTATGCCAATTTCCTCAATGTGTCGCGTTTAATTCATTCTCAGAGCCTCATGTAGAAAGAGGTTCTGTTAAAGCAAAAGGCATCTGGCAGGATACCGCGTCCGAAGGTGAAGCCCAGACCTCAGACCCCTCCGCCGCCACCAGTCGATGAACAGGAGGACACATTCTGGAACACGCCAGCGGCTTCTGCGCGCACGCTGCATTTCGCGGGAGACTCGTTATTGGATGAGCATGTCGATCTCGCAGACGTCTCCGTGACCTCATTCGCTACACCAATTGCTCCTCGGATTGGGGGGAAGTTCACGCCAAAACCTAGTTCAACACCGAAACCCAAATTAAGCCCCGAAGACGAATTAGACATGCGGCGAGAGCTCAGCCTCGACGACGACTCTCCAGTGTCAGAGATCGTGACACAGAGCGAAGAACCAGTGCCTGAGGATGATGCAGGGGGATTTGACCGGACAGTCATGCTCTCCAAGTCGACACCGCCACAAACGGAAGCATCAGAGCCCGACGTCACGATTACTGCCAAGTCGGAGCCCGCAACGCCGACCCCGCCATTATTAGAAGCTGTCGCAACACCCGGTCCTCACCGCCACAAGATCAAGGTGACCACTGAGCTAGAACAGATTGCTGTACGTGATGTCTACTATATTCCATTGCCTCGCTTAAGTTGTCGCAGGCGAAGATATGGGCGACGATTGGCGAGGTCATAATGCCGGGAAGTTCATTCGATGTCTCGGGGGAAGGTGGTAGCAAGCCACCTCATGCAAAGGAGACGATGTACGTTTGTTCCGGTTTGGTATATGGGTCCATCTGACTCAATACATCGTCCTCAGTGCACATCTGCAGACACTGTCGACGAAGACACCGTCTCCGTCCTCACCGTCAACTGCTAGCCTCTCTTCCTTTTCATTCTCCGCTACAATACCCGCCTCCTCTGCGAATCTATCCCAACCAACGGCCCAGCAGGTTCTTACAGCGCACATGCTGCTTGTGCTGCTCTCCTCGCCACCGTCTTACGCGATGCCGTTGGGCAAGCTGAAGGAATCGCTGAACGCGAAGACAGAGGAGATTGGGATTTCTGCGAGTGCAGTGGGTGGGAGTGGGGCGACGAGACCGATATACGGATGTGTGGCAAAGAGGCTGCTCAAGATCGAGCGGGGAGGTGGGGAGCAGGTAGTGAAGTTTGATATCTGAGTAGATCGTACTTGCTCTTGTGATATGACATTTTACCTTACATCTGCGTTAAGATAGATACATGCATACATTCCTCGTAATTATCGGCGCAACGCTATATGATAGATACACCACTGCTCCCTACGATCGGTGGCCCTTGCTAATTTAGGACGTTGATCAATGGGCGTCTATTATACGCACCTACGCCGCGTCCAAACTGCGGCTTGACTCTCCTTGCGCGTACCACTTCTCCTTTCGTCCATCATCATGGCAAGTAAATGGTCTTTCTGTAGAATTATGACCTCGCTGTTAACCGAATACTACTGTAGTTGATTTTTTCTGTCTTCAAAACGCTCACGGATCAGCGGGTGACAGTCGAGCTGAAGAACGACCTCTCAATCACTGGTGTGCTTAAATCCGTCGACCAGTAAGTGCCGGCTCGATTTGCTCCGTTTACTCGCAATTCATCCAGCAACCCGATGCTCAAGGCGTCTGCTCGTCCCTTGTTAGATTCCTGAACATCCGTCTCGACTCGATCAAGGTCCTCGATGAAGCAAGACATCCGCACATGGTTTGTTTATCGCCGGCTGTATTGAAAAGGGTGGTTGTGATGGGTGCTTTTTCAGATGGCAGTGAAGAATTGCTTCATCCGTGGCTCGGTAGTGCGTTATGTGCAACTGCCGGCCGAACACGTTGACACGCAGCTGCTGGAGGACGCAACGCGACGAGGTACGTTGTACACACTCATCCAACATGCCACTCTGCTCAGAATCACTTCGCTTTCGCAGAGGCTGCCAGTCAAGCCAAACGGTGAACTCTCTGGGTAGGACAAGGCTACGACTGTTGCGAGGTGCTATGCACTTTTCTGACCGTGTATCATTCTCAAAGCATCCACTGTGAGTGATGCATTTGCATTTGGTAGACACATCCAGCCATCCAATTCCGGTTTGCCACTGGAGCAGATGGAAAAATCAAATTTGCCGGAAAGGTGAGGGGTGGGCTGTAACACTGCAGATACAGCTGTCTCTATATACAACGGCAATATACGAACGTTACTGATACATATTATGACAAATGCGTGAGCTGTTGGAGAGCTGGCGATGCTGGGCCAGGCATAAGGTCTTGGAATTTTAAGTTGATCAGCGACGTGAACAAGCAGCTCAATATCCCGGGTCGTCTGCGTCTGTGGTACGCTCGGGCGCTGGTGGCCATTCGCCAAAATCCTCCCAAGGAACTCTCATGCTCGTGCCCGGTTGTAAGTTTCTCTTCCATTCTTGCGAGCCTCTCCAACGCTTCTTCCCAAGCTTTGGGGTAAGCGGCTCGGTCTTTTTGCCAGGGTAAGGTCGTGTTCGGGTGCTAAGATCCTCTATTTTCGCGAGCATCTCCCGCACCTCACCGCTGCGTAAGGGGTTTTCCTCCTGCCACATAGTTCGCTCGCCGACATCCTGCCTGATCATCTCCGCCAATGCGCGCGTGCGATTGTCTAGCCTTACGACGTTCACCCACATCTCCTCCAGCGCATCGCACACGCCACGGAGGTCACGGAAACACCTCCAGCGCGTCTCAATGAGCTCGTTGTACGCAGGAGTGGTGCATCCGAATACGAACGAGGGAATGGATAGATGTCGTGCATGATCGAAGATCGACAGCGCCAGGTGTGGGTCGGCATACCTTTCGCGGAACGTCTTCATGAGGAGCGCGATCAGATAGGGATAGGATGGCGGCTGCAGCTGCAGCTGCACGGGCTTTCCTGAGGACTTTGGATCCTCAAGAGCACGTCGCGCCTCTTCTTCGTACCGCTTCGATTCGCCAAATACCTCGCGCATCGCCCAGTCTAACAGTTGCTGATCGGAATTGCACAGCTCCATCTGCTCCTTCTTTCTGTCTAGTTCTTCGTCGGCCTCGTTCGGCCACCTGAGCGTTTTTGACTGGCTATGCAGCTTCCCAAAGATATCAGTCGTCTCCCTGATTCCCGTGCGGCCAACACCGACTGCGGCAGAAAGTGTGTGCGGTTTCTTGCCCGGCGTTTGCATGTTCTGTTCCGCAACCGCACTGAAGATCATGTTGAACATTTCATCGAATGCACTGATCTCCCGGGCAGTCATGGTTTGCTGATGAGGTTCTCGACCAGAGGCACCTTGGGGGGGAGGCCGTCCGCGGGAGGAGGAAGGGAGGAGGAGAGGTACGTCCTTGATGCTATCGAAAACATGATCCCAAGAGGATGCGGCAGGGGAGAATATGGACTCATCATCGCTGTGTTTGCCATTAGCACTTGTTGAATACACATCAGCTGTTTGTCCCATACCGTGTTGATTGTGTTACTGACGAGGGAGTCGGAGTCTTCGTAGAGTAGGTCGGCGCACGCATGCGGCAATTTGTCTGCCCGCCTAAGACAACCTCACAGCTCTGACGCCGAACGATGGACGTGTGGGCGGGTTTTAGACATCGTGCTCCAAGCATGGCGATGCACTGCAACAAAGGATGACTTTTAGACTTGGAACGGGGTGCAGTGGGAGGCAAGGATGAAGCTCTCTGGCGCCTAATGGGCGCTCCCTATGGACTTCAACTAGACGCTGATCATCACGCACTGACATGTCCAATATTCTGCCTCTGTCAAAACTTTATCGACTTTTTTCGTCGTGGTAAACATTGGCGGCTCGCAAATAGCTTATGTCCCTACTATCCGCATAGGTTGGGTGGTCAGAAATGACCGGCGCGCAGGCGATTAAAGCACTTATACTTCTAGGATGCAGAACGGGCCCTGTTCTAGTTCTATCTAAGTTGAGTCACTTTGCTGACCATTCAAGCCGACCACATTGTTCGCTTGTCTTCTGCGACGAGGATTAGATTCCTGAAAGGCCAGAGCGGATCACTGCGACAGGGTCGCTCAACTTGTTCATCGCACATTGCTTTCCGTCTACCGAAGGCGTGAATCGGACTGAGCAGGACTTTAGGAGCTAGTAAATGATTAACACACTTGTTGCCGATCGTAATCTCAGCACTGTGACGTTGAAAGCTTCTGCTTGGTGAGGTACGTGCTTGTGCAGCCCGTATCTGCCACAGCGCCTGAATTGAGTGTTTCAAACAGCCAGCTTTCTTTCAGGAAGCGCACGCGCGATCGATTCACTGCGACGAGAAGTGGTGAAGCATAAGTCAAATGAAGTGAAAATATGATACTCTCGGTAGAGCATCAAAACCGTGATCTTTAAGCGGTCTTCTGAGAAAGGCTCGACGTTGCTGGGTTGCCTTGGCCGCTGGACTGGGTCGCTGGATACTACCGGCCTTGACGTCCAGCTAGCTGGCACTTCTGCAAACAGGACTTTCAACGTCGGACATGTCAACTGTTGCCTTCTAATATCCTGTGGACTTGTTCTCTTCATCGTCATTGTGTACTTCAAGGTATGTATATCCTCATTACTATACCTCGTTCTGCTCGGACTCGCACGCCATTGCTCCATCATTTTCCTCGTCGTGTATGCATTTTGTCAGCTAAGTAGGTATCTGAGAAGTGGGGAAGCATGCGATGGCAAGGTTCAACAGCGGTAATATCGCGAATCTACTGTGTTTTCTCATCATTAACGCGAGCAGGTGGGTATACGTATCAAATTATGTCCTATCCTATATCAATGAGGAAAGAGAAGCCGGAGCATTGCAAAGCAACGTGGAAACGATTGTGGTATGTAGGTCATGCTAAACCCAAGATACAACAAGGAATACGATGAATGTGACAGCAAGCAGCTGACGTTGGGTATGGTGAGGTCCGAAAGGCTACACAAACAAATTAGTAGTTACGGCGGCGGGGATGTGAGGATACCGGCGGCATTGTAGATGCCGCTATAGCGCCTTGTCCGTGAGTGGGTATGTAATCGGGATCTATGGCATCGCATTGCAGATGGAGCAAAAGATTGTGAACGAAGGTGTGCTCGTATCTGCGAAGAAAGATTGAGTAAGTAACTCGACTAGTCGATTTGATCACGCACTGAGCATTGGTGAAAACCACCGCGATAGAATCAGAGGTACAGCGGAGAAGGTTGGGGGCCATGACGAGAGCCAGGTTAGGCGACGTCATCTTCGTGACAGCCTGAACTTTCTCTTCCAAGAAGAGCTGCAGAAAGCTGGTCACGAAGAGGACAACTCGTCGATTGATCGTAGGAAGCCTGTGCACGATTTGCACGCAGGCAGCGGGATCTCTTGCACTAGCAATGCAGTCGTAGTACATTTCATCGGGTATCAGAGGATCGCACAGCTCTCGCAGCCATAGCTTTATTAGAGAAGCCAGAACGTGGGGATCTTCGACGCCATCTAGGCTATAGTAGCCTTTGTCGATTCGCAGCTTGAGATCGGAGACCGTATCACCATCACCCGGTACTCGGAAGATCCCTTCGGTCTTAGTCCCTCCTAGAGCTAGGATCCCGTCGGCAAGGAATGGAAGGATGATCGGAACTTTCATATGCGGATAGGTGCGTTCCTGCAGTCTGAAGATCGTGTCCAGAGTTTCGCCAAAGATGGACGGATGGAACGCAGCATCCTGAATATGACAGAACACCTTCAATATGTACAGGGCCACAGAGATAGTACGACATTGCTTACGGATGCCGTCTCAATCTCTGCTACTGTAGGTGCTTTGCCCCTCGGTCCTTTCCTCGATATATATGCAAGCCTTCGGAGGCAATACTTCGCCATGACATCCACACGGCCCTCTTGTTGTTTCGTAGCCTGGTGCAGAAAGGATCGCACGAAAGGTTCGAAATCCTTCGACGGAGGAAAAGTGATAAGGAGTACACAGAGTAATTGCCAGCCTCTGAAGATGCTTTCACTGCGGACGATCAATGACCATGCTCCACCAACAAGTCGAAGGAACGGAGTACGCACGGGTTCGGGTTATTTGTCAATTGCTTCATAACTTGGCAGTACACCTCGTCTCTCAGCTCCCCGTGTGCAAGACCTTCACTGAGCAGCCAGCGTTCCTCCTCCAGTAACACAGAGGAAGCATTAGAGACCAGCGATGTTGTCGAATGATTGATAGATGCTACCATGGATATGTGGTTCTCCGTACCCATGCGAACACCCGTGGACCGATCACGATCTTTGTCTCCCATGATATGCTGGATGACCTTGAATATCTTCAGCGCGTTCTTGTGCAATGCCTTGTTGAGCACGAGGAGAGGAGAGCCTAAAGAAGCCTAGCCACGCAAATGAGACGAAGCGTTCGTGTGCCAGAGCGCCGCTTGGACCGACCTTTTGCCACGCCAAGAGCTGTGCGACCGGGATCTTGCGCTTGAACAGAAAGCCAGTCCGATGCGTAGCAAAATATTGCCTTGCGAATTGAGATTCCGCGAACTGCTGGATGTCCGAAGACAGCTCCTCAGGCAATACATGGTGCTTGCTATACTTCAAAATGACAGTCAGACCATCCTTGCTCCATCCGCAGCGAAGGATTTGTAAGGAGGACAATATCTATTGCACGTACCCGGTACTCAACGAGCTGGCCATCCCTCCAGTTCCCTTCCGGTACAGATCAATGGGTAGACGGTTCATCTTGGGATTCAGGTTTAAGGTGGCTTCTGCTCATCGGCAACAGGTAATGCGAAAGATAACATATCGTCAATGAGATGCTTCAAGGAGGCAAATAAATGCGCAAGTCTACCTGCGTTATAAATTGGACTGCTGATCACCTTTCCATTCAGAGAGACTGGATCAGGGATCGAGATGCTACGCTCGTTGAGGGCAGGGGAGCGCGGTATAGGTTTTTGAAAAGAGGGTGGGATACTAGCGATGTCCTTCTTGTTGCACTTAGTAGTCACCGGAGACGCTGGTGCGGTGACAGATCTGTTCATACTTGGGCTCACATTCACTCGTAATCTAGTCGGGTTTTCTAACGAATTATTAGGGAAATCTCCCGCACATCCACCCTCCGAAGAGTGCCTCTGGTTCTGAGAAGACACGCAAGGCTTTGGATCGGACAGAGCAATCAATTCCAAAGCCGCAGTCAAGCTCTGCGGTTCCGGAGACCGGTATGACAGGAATTGGGGAGGCTTCGAGTGCGGACGACTATAGGCGGCTTCGCCTGCATTCGCGGTTGATTCGGGAGGGTGAGCCTTCTCTTTCCCCTTCGAATAGCGCTCACTGAGTGAAGCGGTAGACATCGATGTTCGTGCGGACGACGGATGCTCAGACGATGCATCTGACGTATATGGGGAGCCAGGAATGGGCGCCAGTGGGTGACCTCGAGGATATGAGAGAGGACTGCCATTTGCATTTGGATCTGCGAGAAGATGCTCGCTGGTAGAAGTGGATCTTTGGCTAGTTTGTTGTTTCTGTCCTGATACGGAACGAGATTGAGGGTTCTTTGCAGGGGATGCACGTGGAGAGGTTGGCGAACGGCGCTTTTCCATATCATTCCCGGCGTCATGATGGCGCAGCGGCGAGTCTTTCTCATTCGAATACGAACGGGATCGATGATATGATGACCTCTGGAGAGTCGTAGGGCCAGATTGAGCTGCTTCATTTCGCGACTTGTGACGAAGAGATAGCCGACGGCCGAGAGCAGTATTCTAGGTAAGATTAATTTCCATCATATCATCGCGCATAGCAGGACTCACCTGGAGGACGCCTAATGGTATAACGAAGGCTTGAGGTCGCTCCCATTGCGTTTCTTCGGTCTTGGTGTGGTAGTAGTATGGTAGACCGCTTGTCTCGTCGATCATCTCCCACCACTCTCCATCCGGATTGGGGGGCAACCTGCGAACAGCAAGTCTATAGCCCGCCACAAGTGACGCAGCCGCTCAACGTACAGGAAGTTACCAACTGGAGGATCCCAGCTAACTTCGCCGGTGGCTGGACAGGCATAGAATGACACCTGGGTCTACATGCCGAATGTGATCGACATCAACTCTGATCTCTCAACGTAATGCCACACGCACCTGCGGATCGACCAGAGTTACCCAGAAGTTCGCTCCCCAGCCGTCACTTCCGCTTGACGCTGAGCTCGACAAAGACCGGTTGGCCGTTGAAGCACTTGAGGACAGCACTCCATCTAACTGCACTTCGGGTGCAGATGACTGGTCCCTTCGATGATCGTCTTTCTCCCTGCCAACAAGGATTGATGAATCCAAAGAACGCGGTTTGGCATCAAATTCGGGTGTTTGATTCTCATTTGATGCCGTAACCGTAGACATTGTCAAGGTTGACGCAGTACAGCGGATATCTGAGTCTGAGTGCTAAGCCACGAGAGAGATATTCGGGTGAACCAGGAGTTGTATGGAGTGCTTGCCTCCTAGAACATGGGAGAAAGAAATATTAAGGAATGTGGTCGCCGAAGAATGAATGAAGGTCCTATTACGGATTTGAGAACGTCCAATTGTGGCCTTCAAGAATAGATAATAGTAATACTTATGTATATTATACAAAATTAAATGTCACAGTGGTCTCATAGCTCAGTGGTTAGAGCATACGATTGCAGCTTTCATTTGCTTGCTATCGTGTGGTCGCGTGTTCGAACCACGCTGAGACTTCCCTTTTTGGTCTTCATCCTCCTTCTGTCGTAGGAAAGCGGTTTACGCGTTCAACGGAGAAGTCGAAGTAGTCAAGTTAGCTTTAGTGTGAACATCGCTAGAGCCAGAGCTTGCAGGCGGGCGCGTTAATAGCGACGAGCGCTTCCAAGCCGATGTCTCTCGGTAGCCTTCATGGCTAGATTCTGCATCTACTGGGTTGAGATTCTCCGGTCATGATCTCGAGGTTGTTTCGAGTATGTGGTCATCAAAGGCACCTCGTCTATGTTGAACCTCCCTGGTGGGTTGGCAAGAGAATCTGCAGTGGCACGTCTTCTCTCGGAGCTGACAGAAATTACATCACGTACTACTCTCGACAGCGTGCGCTCATGAAACCAAGAGAATTCATCATTTGCATTAAGAATGACAGGAACATCCCGCGATCCCGCTGTGTCACAGCGAGCAGAGTTCCGTAAGGGCGCGAAAGCTGTGTAGGTCGTGACACCGCTTACCAGCAGCGGGTCTTCCTACACTTCATTCACTCAATGTGTGCTGGTGGCACGATGACGTCCCAAATAGCCACCATCGCTGTCATGCTTAGCGTAACTATTATGAACTTACTGTTCATATGTGGACGTTTGTACGCGAACGAGAACACGGTCATCTCCTTCCGTCCGAGCTACGGTGAGCTTTTTGCTACTCTCTGCTTTGCACTTGTTCATTTAGGTTTTTATACAGCTTATAAGGCCCACGATTATCCCATGACACTACCTCCCTCCACCCCCGGTCTTCCAGCAGTCTTTCTACCCGTAGAGGAATCAGTGCATTACCCTCTGCTTGGGGATGCATCCGACGACGCGTGGTACGCGCTCACCAACTGGACTAACGGCTTCGTCGTCCTCGGACCGGAGGAACGGCTGTTCGCTATAACGATGTTCCACGAGCTACACTGTCTCCGAATACTCAACTTGGCGTATGGAGATCCAAGGAGGCCAGCGAAAGTCACATCTCGCACTGTTTGGACTATCTGCGGCAAATGGTGCTCTGCTCGGCTGACGTGACATTGGAGGCGGGAGATTTCACAGAGCGCGGTTTCGAGACGGAGCGGCGAGGCTCAACTCACTCATGTAAAGATTGGACTTCGATATACGATACCATGCAGAGGCTGTCGTCTGATTGACTTGAAGGATGCGAAAGGATTGTTTTCGACGTAGCTCCAAACCTTCATCGACGATCATGATAGTATATTTATATTTGCAGATCATCTACGGAGGCGCAAAGATTCGGGGGACTGTAATTCTGATTATAAAAGGTCTGCAGCGAACTTGTATGACATAGAGGTTTCCAATTGTGCTACCATGAACTGACGCCGCACACGTCCTCTAGTCACCCTCCTGTCGCCTTCAGATGATCCTCGTAGTTTTCCATCGTCGCATTGTATACAGCCGTCCAATCATGGCATACATGGATAACCTCCCACCTCGTCGATCCATCCCTCTTAAGCTCCGCGATAGGCTCCAAGTTGTCATTCGCCCTACACGAAACCATCTGGCGGAGGTAATTCATGCAATGATGGTCCAGCGCACTCGGAGTCTCCGCATACGACGCCCGGTTTGCGAGGCGGACGGCAAGAGAAGCTCTGATGATGTCCAGACAGCGCAGTTGGTGGAACATGGAGATACTGAAGATGCGCTGTTCGGGTCCCAGGTAGAGCAGGCCCCGATTTTCAGGGAGAGTGCTGTTCCATGCGGCGATGCCGTGTGGGGTGTCGAGGGCATAATGGTGGCTGGTGGCTGCGAGTGTCATGTGCACAGGGTCGTATGAAGCTATGTCCCATGTCGGTGGATAGTCTGCGCCTTCATAAGCTAATGGCAGAATGCAAGGTCAGTTTATGAAGATCGTGAGATGCGGTGCACTCGCACTATATTCGTTACGCGTAGACCGTGCTTGAGGCTCTCTTGCCCAGGACGGGGAGTACGCGACTGTCACTATGGGCACTGCTAATGCAGAGATTGCAGAGAAGAAGGCAAAGAAGAGCCAGAATTCCGTGCGATTCTGAAGACACGATGCTTTCGCGAGGGTATGCACCATGGCTCTGGGTTCAAAGGCCTGTCTTTGCAAATAGAGAAATCTTACTCGTAGCACAAGCACAAGGGGCTGGTTGGCTCGCAGTGAGTCTGAATACAAATAGCATGCGAGCGGGTATCAGTACAGCTGTACGTTCCGACATGAGATGTACGGTCAATTGCACGTTGCGGAGCGTTGGGCGCAGAATATGTTGCAGATTCCTGTTACAGACAGTCATGTCTCCAAGTTAGTATCTGGCGACCATCACATGCGGTTGATGCTGGCGGAGCCTGTGTGCATGTTGACAATTGCGGTCTCTGTAACTGGTCAATGACTTTGCATCTCAAGGGTCATTGGATATGGTGCACAAAATAGCGTTACAACGTGTCTGCTGTACCTGCACCACGAAAAGCAGGACGATCAAGAGATGGTTAAATCTAATACTGATACGTTACATACCTTCCTCTCGCACTTCATCCGTTCGTGATTCTCTGAGTCACCTCACGGGAACAATCCCCAGACAACTCTGTAGAATCCCAGCTCCGATTCGTACGCCTTCTTGATCGTCTCCGCCTTCCTCCATCCATGTCCCTCTCCTGGGAAGGTAATGGACTCAACCGTCCCGCCCTGTTTCATGATGGCTACCACAATGGCCTGCGCCTGCTCGGGCGGGACTACGTTGTCGGCTAACCCCTGAAGAACCTATACACATGTATCCGTCAGTGGTACTGAATCCCACGCTGAGGGTACTGATATCTACTCACGAGCAGCGGCGTCTTGATGCTACTCGCCAGATTGACTGGCGAACGCGAATCGTACAATTGAGGATTATCGTTCCAGGTTCCTCCGACCAGCTCGTCGATATAGCGCGACTCGAACTTGTGCGTGTGCTGTGCGAGGGTCGTGAGGTCGGCAATCCCATACTGAGAAGTTGCCGCAGTGTAGGCATCAGGATGAGAGCAGATCGTCATGAGCGCGTCATATCCGCCAGAGGACTCGCCTCTGATTGCGGTGCGCTTGGGATCGACAAGCAACCGCGGGGCGGAGGAGATCTGCTTTATGGCGCTGACGATGTCCTTCACGTCGAGTACACCCCACTGGCCCAAGAGCCGGTTGCTGAAGTTCATCAGCAGGTTTGGCAAAGATAGACATTTTTCATGATGAATGCTTACACGTATGCACGGCCGTATCCAGAGCTTCCACTGTAGTTCACGTCCATCCTGCGAGAAGTAAAGGTCGTTATGCGTGACTGTGTGTAACAAGAGTAGCATTCAAGTCTCACCAAGCGAACCCACGACTAGTAAAATATTGGACCAGCCACTGCAAGGACTGGTAGGCTATTCCCGTGGGACCACCGTGCGCATCCACCACACAAGGAGGACGTTCATCCTCCGGGCCCGTGTAATCCACATTCGTCGGGGGATAATATATCACATACAATGCCTCTCCGGCGTCGTTCTCAAGAGTGATAGGCTGTGCATACGAGATCGAAGCCTTCACATCATCGGGTATCTCGGTGCTGTTCTTTAATTCCTTGTAGGACAGCTCTGGTTGCTCATCTGAGCCTTCCAAGGTGCAAAGAATGACGTTTGCGGAGTTGTCGCGTTTCTGTCCCAGGAAGACCGCGCGGTTGTCACCTGCACGTTTGAACGTCGTGATGTTGACGTAAGGGCAGTCAAGGCAGTTTGCCGTCCCGCGCGCGACGTCCACGACGTAGATCACGCTCCTTCCCTCTCTCATAGAAATGAAGAGGGACTTCTTCGCTTCCAGGTCCATCGCAGCACCGAAATTCCAGCTGAGCGTCCACTTGCCCACACCGAAGTCATCTTTGATCGGTTTAGACAGGATCGGGCCCGCCTTGTGAGACGAGACAGAATACATCCATGGATTAATGAAGCCGGACTCGTCGCTGGTGAAGAGTACGACATCATTAGACGCCCAGCAAGCGAAAGTCGCGCTGACTGTGCTAGCCTTCCCTGCTACGTAGGTCGCGTTGCTTACGCTCAAGCTGGTTTCGTCCGCTGAGACAGTCACGTCTCCAACGTAGAGCTGAGATCCGTCAAACGGCATGTCAGGGAAGTTCCACTGCACCCAGGCGATGTGGGCACCATCGGGGGAGAACGTCGGGGAGGCATAGAAGTCCGCATCAGACACGATCGTGGATACAGTCCTGGTGTTGGCATTGATAAGACAGACGTTGTTGATGACATTCGAAGGTTCAGGATCCTTGTGATCTTCCAGAACAGCCACAATGAGGTGGTTCTGCTTCGGGTGCACAGAGAAGTTGGCGTATCGGACGACATTGTTTGAGTCTGGTCAACATCGTTCAGCACAGATATCGCTGCGCACTGCTCATTCAGTGTGTCACCTGGGGTGATCGACTCAGGTTGGCCGCCTTCCGTCGTCTTGTATACCCTGCCATCGGTGTAATTTGAGAAATACAAAGTACCATTGAATGCCACCGCAGGCGCTCCGCCATACTACGTGGACATGAGCCAGCATCGATGAGGGATTCGTGGACACATTACCTCATATATACCATCCCGAGCATCCCATGGCTTGCCGAGGACGTCGATCCCTTCCTCGCTCGCAATTATAGTATCGCGCCCGTTTTCATCTGGCCGACCCTCAGTGTGGTAGATTTTGGAGGTTACAGGATCGACAAAGACATCATCGGATATCTTCGCATCGCCCTAGTAGATACGGTCAAAGTCACTGAGAGTCAACCACGGCGTGCAACTCACCGCCTGCAAAATCAGATCGATGGAGACGGGAGAATCCCAAGTACCATACGGTTTCACAGTCTTCATTGTGAATGCGCAGTATCCAAGATGTCGATCAAGATAGGCGGTAGTATGAGATGCGCAATAGTACGCGCTTGTGCCTTGGATTTATACTACCGAGCACCCAAGGGCATGTGCGCGCACATTCGCCGCTACCTGTGTCACTCATGCTAAAGCCTAAAGGATGGCACCATACATGTCGGCCAAAAACAGTTATTATCGTCCACGAGACGCGCCTCAATTCGATGCTGTTGCACGACTAATCACCGTCGCAGGGATTGCTCCGCTTCTTCCATTGCGCCTGCTGGGCGGTAATGTCACATTCGCTGCAAGGCTTGCCGAATTAACCTTACGGGCGTTCAAGCAAAGTTATGAATGTAGGCAGAGAAGCTCGGGTCAAGTGATTCGACTAGAGAACTGTGGGCTTTTGAAAAAAAAAACTTGAGCTTCCGTGGTGAAGTAGCTGAGCGACAAGCCGGCTTTTGGTTGAAAATCGTTGAAACGATATCATCGTGTTGCCTCCCACACAACATGTAGGCGTTCTCCAGGAGCATGTCTCCAAAGTAATTGCCTGCGAGACTGATATGTTCTCTGACAATTCCGGAGGTGGGGATGGGCTCTTCCGCCTGCGCTTTCAGCTCCGAGAAGTGAGGTCTTGTACGTTCGAGAACGCACACGACGGGTTTGTCGGGTGTGTCCTGCTCCTGGCCTGGAAATGTGACTAGTCTCGTAATCAGACGGTATATGGGGGTGTTTCGCAGGGTACTAGTAGTGCCACCATAGCCACCAGCTACAGCGGAGTACAGATCGGAGCGCCAAAAAAACGTGCAGTTGTAAGATGCGGCGTATACCATTAATGCTCTCACGATCGTCTCTTCGCAGCTCTTCGCCTTGTGTTTCAATCTCGCCGATGGATGGTGGTATGCAAACAATGCTCACCGTGTTGCGCACCGTAGCAATATTTCCTCACCGGCCAATCTCAGATACAACGAGCGTACGAAAAGAAAGTTTAATGGTGACGTGGACTGTGTTGCTAACACTATAGAACAACTGCTGTATTTCCGGCAATTCTGAACCACTCAGGCATTTCAGACGTAGTATCATCTCCAATTGTGCACGACACGCATGTGCATATGCGTGTGGAAACGGCATCGGTTTGACCGCTTACCTCCATCACTGGCAGCGCACAAGGCGCTCTGGAGTCTGGACAGCAATTGGGCGGGGGGTGTTGGGCTGTGGCCTCCGGTAAACAGCTTGACGTATCATATCTGATACGGCTGTTCTGTTTGAAGGCGAGACAGATGGCCTTAGCCGCAATCTCCAATACCTCTGTTGTTCGTAAGCCCACATCTGAACCTTACCTCTGCGTTCATGCCCGGTCAATCAGGCATTATACAACGCGATGAGCGATGGGCATCCTTAAAGCGCCTCCGAGAACTGTTCTTTTTGCATTGACCATTGTCACCGACGTTGATACTTTTACAATGTCGAACGCGTCAGCTGCAAGCATATTGGCTCAGGAAGAAATGGATCTCTTACAGCAATTGCGAGGACGACGATACTTTCCGAAATGTTCAACTGACAACTTTGCGATCACTGTCACAGAAACACCAACAACTACTGTCGTCTCGCAGCTACCGGTACGTCCCCGGGTCGGACCATTCTGAGCAATCGAACTCGACTTACAGACCGGACATGTTCAGCCCTCATCTTCTTTGAGTACATTGTGACTTTCTCCGAAGAGGTTCACGTCATCTGGGGAGCCAGGTTCACCGCTGTCACGGTTATTTTCGCCCTCAACCTCTATACGCTGATACTTGGTACAAGGCGTCAGTTTGGCGCTGAATGTCATCGGGTGGCATACTCCACTGGTAAGTCACATGTCGTGTCGTGCTGCAAGTGACACGAGCACTCACGATCTACGCGCACACAGAGGTCAGTGGCGACGACCGCATTGTATGTTCAGCGCGGTTGATAGGTTGCCGCAGCTGGGAAGCTGTCAACGTATTGGCGAATGTGGCGATTATTGTTCTCGAAGCTGTAACGGCAAGTCAGAGATTGTTTGACCTCAAGTTTCATGAAGAGATTGATTGATAAATTGTTAGGCTTTTTCCGCGTTCCGCACATATGCTATCAGCGGACACCAGATCGTCCCTGCATTGCTAGTCTTGCTACTGGGGCTAATGCTGGTCGGCGTCAACCTCGTGAGTATATATGTTCTCCGCCATCGTATATCTTTTGAGCACCTCTGGGCAGTTTTTAATCACAGGAATGCCACATGCATTCGTGACTGACGCAGGCAGCTATCCACTTTGTACCTATAACCCCCGCGAGTACTATAAGCCCAGCAAGGACGTCGCGACAGAGAAGCAAGTGCCATGTCCACTTCTCCGCCGTCGGCGCACCTAGTACTGATCTTCCTTTGCATAGACGTGAGTTTGAAGACCGATGAGTTGTTAGTCTGACACGCACGATTCCCGCAGTCGTCCTCGCCGCGTGCATCTGCGCGGCTGTATCCGGCCTGATCGTGGTCCTTGTCACTTGGCTCGAAACGTTCGGACTCATCATAGAAGTGCGGAAGTCACGCTTGAGACTCTTAACCGTAACTTGCAGCATCGTCGCGATCGATCCTCTTAACCTAAGAGGATCGATCACGACGATGCTGATGAGAGACGGTGAATATGTGTTGCTCTGTTTGTACATGCGATGCCTTACAAGCAGCTAATTCAAGGCTCGCTCCACTTCATGTACGTCGGACTCTGTCACAGTGCCTTGTCATGACTCTGTTCTTCCACCGCTCGTGAGGGCCCTATTACTTCTCAAAACCCTTGAAGTGCAAGCAGAGTCCCGTAGCCTCCGTCACAAGTTTCGTGATACCGTAAGCGACCTCGGCTCATACTCACTTCAGCTCATCTCATGCTTACGGAGTCAACCAGAATCTCATCAATCCCGGTATCGCGCTTCATCCTCAATCTACGCCAGGTATCTCTCGGCAATGTGGGCTTGAATACGATTTCTCACAGCACCCTGAACACGCCGGACTTTACCTCTCCGGCACCTTGTGAGTACCTTGCGTATGAGAATTTAGCCTACGTCGGTCTCATCGGTTCGACAGATTCTCGAATCCAGGAGCAAACCGAACAACCGTCTCCTCGTGAGATTCGACGTAATCTCGACAACATTCATAACAAGCTCTCCATTTTCTGGGATGCGTGGAATGTCGTAGATGCTGCATGCGGGGATCTAAAAGTAGATCTCGAACAAGCGCAAAGTACCATTGTACGTAGGCCTGGTCTGTTCTTCCGCCACCTCGTGCTGACGAATTCTTTCCTTCTTCAGACCCTTCCAACTCCGTACGAAGCCCATCTTCAGTCTGCGCGATCGGTCTACGGCGTCTTGATCGAATGCATGCGTGCATATGCACAGAACAGGTTGCCGATATTCGATACCTGAGTGTACGAATTCACCCGCCTGTTGTTATCAAAGCATGTTTTGCCCAGCTGTCCTGTATCGTGTTGTTGTGAGTGTCCGTTTCGTTATCATAGATGTCGCTTGCCATGCGTTCGTGCCCCGCTGTTGCTTAGCCTGACGTGGATTGAGCCCCGTCAATGTGAATATGTATGTACTGCTGCCCATACCGGTGCGAGTGTCAATTCGATTGCCATTTTGCGCTTTTTCGGCATATGCTGCGGCGTCGGGCATGCTGCGCTGAGGTGCTTCGACTTCTAATCGCACGGCGTCTCAAATTATATAAATCGGAACGCGATACGAAGGCGCTCCTCATTGCTCTGCCTTGCTCTCATCATGGGCGCAGCTCAAAGCATCGCGTATCGGCAACGTCCAGCACAAAATAATGCTTCAGACCTAACACCCCTGGATGAATTCTCCACACTTGCCGAAAGACACGAGCGGATCAACATGCTGTTTAACTCCATCTCCCGAGAGCTCAACACCGCGGAGCATGTTGGTTGCGATCATCCCCTCTACGAAGAATGGGACATTTTGCAGAGTGTCTGTGAACATTGATATACAGTCGGAAACATTGATTTATATTATTTGTTCTGAATGCACCAGAGACATACTCAACTCTTTCACGGCTCGGTGCAAAACGCTGGTTTCAGCGCGGAATGCCTCAAAGGTCGTTTTCACGTATGGCTGGCGTGCACGGCAGATAACTGACAATTGATCAGCTCTTGAAAGCAACATCGTAATATGGCAATATTCCTCTAGTACGCCTGACTTAGTCAACATGACGGACATGGTCGATTTCAAACAGGTACGTGGTCATCTTGACAGATTCGTCTACACTGCAAACATTAATGCAACGCACGAATTTAGCAACTCGAAGGACACGCGTTCAAAGCACATGGTATAGCCGTGAGGTTCGAAGAGCTAGGTGAATCATCAAGCAATTCAAATCGCATATACCAGGCTTCTGGACCGGACTCCGGGCAAGGTGAGCTGCATCTTTATGACTAGTATCTTCATCGTTTAGAGCCGTCGGTCTATAACAGCTCTGCCAACGATGTGAGTTTCTCCGTTTGTTCGTCTCCGTTTGTTCGTGATTTAACAACCTAGCAACTTGTTGCATTTCAGGCGTTGGATAAATTGCTTGATATTTTGCTCGGCGTGATAGAATGGATGACTTCGCGTGTTTTTGAAATGCTTGGAACCGGGTGTGAGGTCGCATCACATTCTCTTATAGGTCGTCACCTGATTTTACATTATTGCAGGCTGCGGTGCTGGTGGGTACAGGGATATCAGCAAGCACCCCAAAATTACAAGGCGCACGGTTATGATAGATCGAGAAAAGCTCGATAGCATGGAGGGCCTACTGTCAAAGACCGTGAAAACGTGGAAAGCTCTGGACATGAGGTACGCACATTTACTGGGCGCTTTGGCTGCAGCCTGTTCGGTGGTCGTGAGTGCAAGTCATCTCGCTCTTGTACGAGGCTTATAAATTTGCATGCTGCAGAAAGACTCCGAAGTTTGCGATGTTTACCTCGAGGCTGCAAGATTATCGTGCATGATTTTGTATGAATGCATGTCCACTTACAATGCAGAATGAACTTCGGGAGCGACTGAGTTGACTCATGTGTATATCCTTTTCCTGACGTTTTACGTCGTTCAATTCAATGTCTTCTTGTGCGTCAAAACGTGTAGTAACACAATGTCAGTCCAACAGCTGCGGCGAGGTATTATGGGGTGACACTCGAAAGCGCTTGTGAAAGAGCCACGACGGGTGCACTGCTGAGCATCTGCTCAACGAATCCACACCAGGGTACTTCTGATATCATTTTGAAGGCTCTCAATCACAGGCCCCTAAAGGATCTTACATGTATTAAGAAGAGCGGCGGACGCCGTGCATCGGTATGATCGGTATGCCCGGCGGCCTCCACGCGGGCTTCCCCATATGGCTAGCGGCCTGCCATAAGAGGCAGCTCTCGGTGGTGTAGTTAATCACGTGCCGTGAAAGTGAGGTATGACGTAGATGGTGGGATGACGTTAGCGCCAAGCAGAACCGGCAACAGTGTACGTCTCGAGCAACTCCGACACGCCCCGACCCTTACTCGACACCCCTGATAAACGTTTGGCTACGTTGCGGTCGATGTCTGCCATGTCGAGCATCAAAAAAGTCATCCACCGCGCCCGCAACTCCATCTCGTCAGGACACTGCTCGTCGCCCGTACGGGAGCTGGACGACGATGCCCACAACCGGCACGCGTCCAACGGCCACGCGCACGTCGATGACACCAACGCCGACTGCCCCACTGCCGCACAACGCCAGCAGGCCCACGAGCCCGACAAACCGCATCATACCCAGCGTCCCTCGACAGAGATGAGGCGGCGCCGCATGTCTTTCACCGAGCAAAAGGTGGAGAGGCACATGGAGCGCAAGGAAATTGATAAGCGCGAGGCGGCAGAGCGAAAGGAGAGACAGAAACACGCGCATGATGAGGATCCGCTACGAGATAATTACGGGGATCTGCCAATGAACATGTCCCAGAACCTGAGCGGTGACTGGTCGCACATTATTTTTATGTTTGAGCTTGATCCCCGACTATATGCGCTCGAAAGTCGATCATTACTGGTCCGTCCTGTGGAGACGCATCTCGGACTCATGCCATTGGTAGAGATGACTGGAAATTGACTGTACAGACGTTGCCGCTTCACCACGAACGTGTAGGGTATACCTTCTGCGATACGCCCTTGATTTTTCTGAACCTTGTCTATTACGCTGGACACCAAGGCTGATATATGATGTTCCCAGAGACGCGTCTCAGTTCCCTTATCGCTGTCAATGACATGGAGCAAGGCACGCATGTCACCTTTCGCGCCCGCGTACACCATATAAGACCACTAGGTCCGCCCCCTAGCGTCACTCAAACCTCACTTACACTCACCGCCTCTTCCAGGTTCGAAGATTGTCTTCATCATCTTTCGCTCCCAATTAAGCACACTCCAGGGTGTGCTCGCAGAGGAAGAGTACAAGGTCTCGCAGAACATGATCCACTGGGCTGAAGGTCTCAATCGCGAGACTGTCGTCCTTGTCGAGGGTATGGTGCAGAACCCGCCTGAGGACCAGTCGGAGGTGAAGAGCGCACGAGTGAAGAGCAGAGAAGTCAAGGTGGAGAAAGTGGGTATACTATTCAGATATGCCTTGCTCGAAGTGTGTTCGTGAGATCTGATTTTTGATCATTCGTAGCTATATGTAGTTGCTGGGCCAACTTCCCCTCCACCGTTCCAGGTGGAGGACGTCTCAAGAGCCGAGAAGGTATATCATCAGGTGCACGACACTTGAAAAGCTTTACGCCTGCCGAGACGTTGACCACCCGCATGCACAGGAAGACGCGCACTTCTCGCGGGTGAATCAGAAGACGCGACTCTTGAATCGGGTGCTGGACCTTCGGGTACGTCTGTTCTTCCCTTGAAGTCTAATGTTGCAACGCTACTAATGCGCAACTTCATAGTCTCCGACCAATCAGGCTATCTTCCGCATCCGCGCGGGCGTGGGCACACTTTTTCGGGAGTACCTTCTTGAGAGGAATTTCTTGGAGATTCAAAGTAGCAAGTTCCAGAAGACCAGCACGGAGTCAGGGGCAGCGGTGTTCAAGGTGGACTATTTCAGACGGCCGGCATTCCTCGCGCAAAGTCCACAGCTCGCGAAGCAGATGTGCATCGCGGGTGATATGGAGAGGGTTTTTGAAATAGGACCTGGTGAGTGTCCTTCCGTTCGAGCATTTGTGGAAACGCAATCCCGATGTTGCCAGTTCGAGAACCTGCGACATGGTGGCAATACAGTGGTTTTGGGGTTGGAATGAGCATAGAAGGCTGACTATTGCGCAGTGTTCAGGGCAGAGAACTCGAATACCCATCGACACTTGACTGAGTTTACGGGTCTGGACCTGGAGATGCAGTTTGAGAGCCATTATCATGAGGTGCTGGACACGATTGACGAGCTGCTCAAGTATATTATCAAGGGAGTCCAGAAGCGGTATCGGGAGGAGGTGCGTAGCTGAGTCTCCATTTCTGCATGTGCGCAAGGTGCGAATCACGTACGCCTGTATGCGTAGATCGAGACGGTGAAGCTGCAGTTCCCGCACGATGATCTGGTGATCCTAGATGAGACGCCGCGGCTCAGATTCGCAGATGGCATCCGAATGCTCAAGGAGTCGGGGTGGAAGGAGGAGGACGGCTCTGAGCCGAGCGAGTGGGCCGACCTGAGTACCAAGGCGGAGCAGCGCCTGGGTGTGCTCATGAAAGCTAAGTATGGGGCGGACTACTACATCTTAGGTGAATAGTCTGTTCCAAAGGTGACGGTCGTTGATTCGAATAGACCCGCATAGACAAATTCCCGCTGGAGGTACGGCCGTTCTATACGATGCCGGATCCGCAGGACCACGTGAGTGCTGCTCATTGTTGGAGTCTCCCAGTTGTGCTCATTGAATTGAATGGGGTGCACAGCGGCTATCTAACTCGTTTGACATCTTCCTACGGGGAGAGGAGATTCTATCAGGCGGGCAGAGGATACACGTCGCACCGATGCTCGAGGAACGGATGCGTGCCGTGGGGATCGATCCCGACTCGATGAAGGACTACGTTGATGGATTCAGGTGGGGTTGTCCGCCGGTAAGTGCGTGTGTCGTCATAGCTTTATTCGCGCAGTGCTAAAAATAGAGTTTCTGATGAAATAAGCACGGGGGCGGTGGAATCGGCCTCGAGCGCGTGGTCATGCTATTCCTTAAGTTAGGGGATATTAGGTATGCGAGCTTGTTTCCGAGGGACCCGCGCAGCTTTCCGGCGAACGGCCAAGACCTAGCGGAGGCTTCGATGAGCGCGGCAACACATATGATTCTGCATGGACCGGAAGCTACGACGTTTAAAGAGGGATACCCCCATGGAGACATGCCCCTGCTTCAGGATGTGAGTGGTATGCGGAACGTTGTTAGGTGGTGTGCTGATAAGTTGGGTCGATGCGGCAGCTCATCGCCAAGTACGGCGACTCGACGAACACATCGTGGATCGACCCCGCGTGGACAGTGTGGCGTGATCCGGCGACTGGTGCGGCGGTTGGGTACATTCCACAAAACGAGTTCGCGGTGGCGTTCGGGAACCCGCTGTGCGAGCACAAGCAGATGGGACGGGTGGTTCAGGCGTACGTGAAGTACGTCGAAGAGAAAAACCTGAAGCCGGTATGGTGCTGCATCGATAAGGAGTGCGAACGGATAGTGGCGGAGGATATGGGGTGGAGCGCGATCATTGCGGTCGCGGAGGAAAGGCTGAATCCGATTGAGGTGGATCCTGCGGCGAATGATAAGACGGTGCGAAGGAAGATACATAAGGCGGAGAGGGATGGGGTCAAGATCGTGGAGGTGGAGGGGGGTATGGACCCGAAGACAAGAGAGAAGCTGGAGGAGAGGTGTAAGGAGTGGGCGGAGAACAGGAAGGGGACGCAGATCCACCTGACGGGCGTGCGGCCGTTTGACGATATGAAGCACAGGAAGTACTTCTATGCGGTGGACAAGGACGGGAAGGTGAGCAGAGGCCCGATTTGAGATGTGACCGTTCGCTGAATTCACTGTATCAGCCGTGCGCGATGGTGGTGCTTGCGCAGCTGGCACCGACGCACGGGTTCCAGATCAAGTGGTCGCTCGAGTTTCCGGGGGCGCCTCTGGGCGCAATCGAGTACATTTTGACACACGTGATCAAGAAGCTGGGGGACGCGGGGTTGCGGAGCGCGACGTTCGGGGCAGGTGCGACGGAGCGGCTGCAGCGGGTGGATAATTTGGGCGGGTTCAGGGTGCGGACGCTGGAGAAGACGTATAATGGGATCGCGTCGACGTTCCATCTTTCAGGGAAAGGGGACTTTAGGGCGAAGTTTGGGATTCATCAGGAGCCGGTGAGTGCTTGAATGTCACAATGGGCGTGAATGGTGCTCATGAGATGGGTGTGGTAGATGTTCATTTGTTATCCAAAGGGCGGGCTGGGCATGAAGGGCATCGAGGCTATCATGGCTGCTCTGCAGATGCCGAAATGAACATGGGAACGGACCTTTACCTCTGCACAAGAACAAAGAAGTGAACAGTATATCCGAGTCTCAAGCTGTTACGGTATTCTTGCATGCTTTTGTATCCCTTCTGGCTTATAGTGCTTACCGTGTGCGACTTCCCTGTTGGATATGTGGGATGGCACGTCATGAACGCTTGTCTGTTTGTCGGTGATTCTTTCTAGTCCGAGCTGGTGCTTGGTATACCTACTATACCATACTGTACAGTGGTGATGTTATATGATTACTATCGTGCGAAGAGGGGAGCCGTGAGGGGGGGGACCTGCTGTCTGGTAGGTATGAGTCGTTTGTTCCGGTGTTTGGAACAAGACCAACGATTGAGGAAGATACGCTAATAGTCATAGATGATCGAATAACAATTATCAAGCTGGTGTTCATGTATCATCAGTTGGATAGTTTCGGTCGAAGGCAAGTACTAGCAGCGAGACAGCCCAGGTTCGAACTGCCCAAGACAGAGTTCGCCAATTGCAAGACAAGCACTGTGCACTGGACCCAAACATATTCGGTAGACTCGGGAATGTCAGCTGGACTCCACTCTCTGGTCTTGAAATGGCAGGAGAGTTTTCATTTCTGGTTTGAAGTTTCGTCGTTGCGTTCTGCGCCACTCGATGGTCACGTAACGCGGAGGGACGCCGTGAGTGACACGGGACGCGGCCGTGACTGTCACACTTGCGGGTCGCCTCCGTCTGCGGCGAGCATAACCATAGCAGGAGCAACCCCTTCGTCGCAACGCTGTTCGCGCACACATGCTGGCTTTTCTCTTCTGACCAACTCAAGTTCCTCTACAACCAACAACCTCTCTCCATCTGTCCTCCTACTTTCGCTCTGCCCACCCCACGCCCCAACAGTGCTCCCGCTACAGATCACGCTTCAAAGTCTGTCGCTCAGACATTCTCCACCCATCCACTTCCGCTCGAAGAATCGAGTGCGTCGGACTTGATGAAGATGCTGCCTTCCGAGCTCGAGCAAAGGGACACTCGCCCACGGTGCGTCTCTGCCCGTCCCAATCATATCATTATACATGCTGACCGCGACCTCATTGTATACAGCGCACGTGAGGTCAGTAACCTTTGTTCTCAGTCTAACTCAACAAACTGATGTGACATATAGCTCAAGCATATTGAAGGGATGATCAAGGCAGCTGAGACTGCTGCGGTTCAAGCTGAGTGGCGTGACTGGAATGCCGACGTCGCGATCAATCGTCTTCCTCCCGAAGTGCTCCGGGAGATATTCGTGACGACCTGCACCATCAAGCTATTTGAATACGAATCTGCACGCACTGTTTATGAATGCATCGACATAATGACTGTATGGAACCCAACTTGGATTGAAAAGGACAGAGCAGTCAGTCTCATGCTCGTCTGCCATCATTGGAAAGAGATCGCCTTGGGGATCCGGGAGCTCTGGAATTGCATTGAAACAGTCCGGGGTAATAGAGATCACGTCTTGCTGGAGAGGTCCGGCCGAGGCCCGCTCAAGGTGCTGGTTCGCGGCAAATCTTGTGCTGTTGCGCATGCTCTCCAAAACGTGGAGCATTCATCCCGAATCCAAGAGTTATACTGGAAACGGCCCTTAGCATGTGAAGACCTTCGAATGCCAGCACCCTCGCTGAAGTCTCTTGCACTGCAAGAAGACCGGGGTGACAGTGTGCCAGACGGATCCCTCAAGTCCTTCGACAACCGCACCCCGTGTCTGGAGCGCCTGTCACTGTCATGGTTGGGTTGGCTGCCCAGCAATGCGTTCGCCAAGCTGACATTCTTGGCTCTCGACACGTGCGTATTGCCTAAAGCTCCCATCAAATTACGCTGCTTGCTTGCTGGAACACCGAACCTGGTCGATCTCATCCTGCAAAATGTATCCGACTACCCGCACATTCGAGTGGAAACTGAGCCTGCGGACATGAAGCCTGTGTCGCTCGCTCGGTTGCGCCGGTTGCTGATCGAGTATATGTGGGCCGATGATATCGACTATGTCTTCCGCGACGCTCAGCTAAATGAAGACGTGTCTGTCTCGATCAAACGTAAAAGAAAGGGCGATGATGAGCAACGACTTCTAGATGTGGTATCCACTTGGTCGTTGGATGCCCTGAAGCAACCCAAAGAACTGCATTTCCAGCCGCGCATCGCCATCGTCACTGGAGCCTCTTCTGGTTTCCGTTTCGAAGTCGAAGACGACATGACCCTCGAGGATTGGACCGCATTCAACTGGCCACAGGCTCTTTCCCTTTCCAGCATCTCTCACCTGTGCACGTTTGAGCGGGATGCATGCAGGCCGCCCGATCTTGAATGTGTCTGCAACCTTCTTAGGCAGATGACCGCACTTGAGACATTGTCCGTCAAGATTGCGAGCCTGACGAAGATCGTCGATGCACTCACACTCTTCCAAGACCCAACCGACCCGCCTCTCTGTCCCGCACTGACGACGCTACGTATCGCCATCCAAAAAGATAGTGATTGTGACATAATTCTGGATTCGATCCTCCCGCGTCGCGCGCAGCTTGGCATCAAGCACCTTTATATCGGGTTAATCGATTCTCAGAATGAACGCTGGAGACGTCGTCAAGCTGTGAAAGACCAACTGTATGGCAAATTCGAGTCGGTGAATTTCGAGACGCTGTTGCACGATAAGGCATACAACATTACTTTGCCGCTGGTTTGTGTTGAGGAGGCGCATGCTTTGTGGCCGTCCTGGCTTTAGGTGTTGTGTGGACGAGAGATTGACGTGGATTGCAGTGAGACCAAATGTATGCTCATGTCTGGGTTCTCGTCTCGGTTGCTCATCGCTCATCATCGTTATTCTGACGCTCACAGAGCGGGGATGTATTAGAGGAGAAACAAATGTATATTGTGCTATAGCAGATGTCCACCTTTCTGAATGCGAAGCCTTGGACTGAGATGTGGTGAATGTCATGACTACATCCTAACCCTCCACATTGACATGCATTCAGCCACTGTCCATGCATGATGCCGCCTAGCCTAAAGCGCACGGCCGGGACTCTAGCGAGATTAGCTCGCGACGACGAGGTGCGCACCGTACCTTTCTCGCTTTCCGCTAGCCGGTCTCGCCTTCACGCCACTCCCCGTAGAACTGAGCCCACACCCTCTGGACTCGTGCGGTCACTAGACGCGCCCGTGCTGGAACTTATGCATCGCATGTCCGATTTTGAGCCCTATCAACTGACATCTTCAGCATGTTTCTGTCAGAATCCATCCATCATATATATCGAACACTCGTTCTCCTGTAGCACACCACGCAGACACGAATGCGCCGGCTCCTTCAAGATTTCTTCTGCTGGAACTTCCAGCGCCGCCGCCCTTTCTATCACCACCTTCGCTCACCTGAAGCGTGCAGCAGCCCTTGCGGTTTGTCAACGCACCATCACCAGGCACGCACCGCATCCACGCCTTTACAAATATCGCTGACAGGATCAGATCGATTCTTGCAGAAGTGAATTCGACCTTCTCCGGATAAGATACGACGGTCAACTCTGCGAGACGCATTTTGTCGGGACATGTACATGCAGTCTTGCCTGACTGTCCCCATCATAACGGGCATCAACCCATTCCGAAAAGCGCATGATCGCCCCCGTGATGGAGGGAAGTCATCCCGACGTAGTATGTTCCACACGCGCGAATTCCGCCTCAGGAAACCAATCGCATGGACGTACCGTCTGTAAGTCACCGTACCAATGAATCTCGCTCGTTGCTGATGCCGTTCTTCGAGCAGATGCGCATCAGAGACCTGCCCTGCCTGTTGAGTTACGCGCGCTTGAGCTCTGCCCAAGCTCTGACGGGGACATCAAGCTCGTTGACGACCCTCGCATGATAAGCGCTGCGCACAACACTCGTTCGCTACTCACTTCATGGACATAACAATGGGACCAGCCCTTGCTCATGGCCTCTCCTCACGTCACCAGTGACAGGTGGCCAGGCCTTCTGTATGGAGCAGAGGTATATTGAAAAGGATCGGGGTGGAGGCTGAGGGATACGATAGAGCGGAGAGAATGGAATTAATAGACAGAATTGGGTCATATGAATCGGCGCGTGCTGCATATCGCCCATGCGCTGGTGGCGAAACCTCGAGCTGTCGAGCGGTCGCGAGAGTGCCAGTCACCGTGTGCCCGCAACGGATGGCACAGATAGTGGTTTGAGCTAGTTGACCGCCCGATGCTGAACGCTTACGACCAGTGAAGCTTTCAAAATAACAAAGAAATTCACCAGTGAGATGCACTCTTCGCCGCATAGCAATACTGGTCGCCATTCTGCTCGCTACTAACCGACTCGATGGTTGGCTCGTGGTGGTTTACGTGATTTACGTGAGTAGTATGGCGAGACGGCAGGGTCGCAGTGCGGCGCTCTCATAACGGGCTTGCCACGGACGCACAGACGGGCGTAGTCGTGTATTGGAGTTGAACGTTGAGCGAGTGCATCATGCGAGCGGAGGATGTTTAGAATCAGAGCGAGGGAGAGGAATGAGCGCCACAGATCTCCAGCGCTCGGCGACAACGCCACATTCTCCCCCTTGCCTGCTCCAGGCTCCCACTGCAGTGCCCCTTCAACTCTCCTCGCAGAACACTGCCGTCGCGAACTCAACTTCATCGACAATGTCACGTCAGAAACGTGGTAAGAAGGTACCTTCGCTCGAAGAATTGAGTGCGTCGGACTTGATGAAGATGCGGTCTTCCAAGCTCGAGCAAAGGGACACTCGCCAACGGTGCGTTCCCGCCCATCCCGATCATATCATTATACATACTGACCGCGACCTCATTGTATACAGCGCACGTGAGGTCAGTAACCTTTGTTCCCAGTCTAACTCAACAAACTGATGTGACATATAGCTCAAGCATATTGAAGGGATGATCAGGGCAGCTGAGACTGCTGCGGTTCAAGCTGAGCGGCGTGACTGGAATGCCGACGTCGCGATCAATCGTCTTCCTCCCGAAGTGCTCCGGGAGATATTCGTAACGACTTGCACCGTCAAGCTAGATGAATACATATATAAATACTATGGATGCGACGACTTCATGACCGTATGGGGCCCAACTTGGATTGAAAAGGGCAGAGCAGTCAGTCTCATGTTCGTCTGCCATCATTGGAAAGAGATCGCCTTGGGGATCCGGGAGCTCTGGAACGGCATTGAAACATATTGGGGACATAAAGATCTCACCTTGCTGGATAGGTCCGGCCAAGGCCCTCTCAAGGTGCTGGCTTGCCGCGAATTCGAACCCCCTTATGCTGTTGCTCCCGCTCTCCAAATTGTGGCGCATTCATCCCGAATCCAAGAGTTCTACTGGATAACATCCCAGAACCCAGAATATCTTCGAGAATATCTTCGAATGCCAGCGCCCTCGCTGAGATTTCTTGCGTTGCAAGGTGACTGGGGTGCTACGCCAGATGGATCACTCACACTCTTCGACAACCACACTCCGTGTCTGGAGCGCCTGTCACTTTCATGTCACTGTTGGCTGCCCAGCAATGCGTTCGCCAAACTCACATTCTTGGTCCTCGACAGATGCTTGTCATCCAACGCTTACATCAAATTACGCAGCTTGCTTGGTGGAACACCGAACCTAGTCGATCTCATCCTGCGCGGTGTGATTGACAGCAGCTACGAGCGATACGTCGGAGCAGAAACCGAGCCTGCGCACATGAAGCCTGTGTCGCTCGCTCGGTTGCGCCGGTTGCTGATCGAGTGTATGAGGGCCGGTGCCATCGATTATGTCTTCCGGGACGCTCGCCTAAACGAAGACCTGTCCGTCTCGATCAAAGATATGATAAGGAGCGATGGGCAGCGATTTTTGGAAGTGGTATCTGGTTGGTCCTTGAATGCTATGAAGCAACCCAAACAACTGCATTTCCAGCCGCACGTCGCCATCGTCGCTGGAGCCTCTTCTGGTCTTCGTTTTGAGGACTGGAACTGCACGACCCTCCAAGATTGGACCGCATTCAACTGGCCACAGGCCCTTTCCCTTTCCAGCATCTCTCACCTGTGCACATTTGACCGGTATGCACGCAGGCCGCCCGGTCTTGAACGTGTCCGCAACCTTCTTAGGCAGATGACTGCACTCGAGACACTGTCCGTCGACATTGAGGTCCTGACGAAGATCGTCGATGCACTCACACTTTTCCGAGACCCAACCGACCCGCCTCTCTGTCGCGCACTGACGACGCTACGTATCGCCATCCGGAAAGATAGTGATTGTGACATAATCCTGGATTCGATCCTCCCGCGTCGTGCGCAGCTTGGCATCAAGCACCTTTATGTCGGGCTGATCGATCATCAGAGTGATTATTGCTGGAGGCCTCGTCAAGCTGTGAAGGACCAACTGCATGGCAATTTCGAGTCGGTGAATTTCGAGACGCTGGTGTGTGATAAGGCATACAACATTACTTTGCCGCCGGTTTGTGTTGAGGAGGCGCATGCTTTGTGGCCGTCCTGGCTTTAGGTGTTGTGTGGACGAGAGATTGACGTGGATTGCAGTGAGACCACATGTATGCTCATGTCTGGGTTCTCGTCTCGGTTGCTCATCGCTCATCACCATTTATTCTGACGCTCACAGAGCGGGCATGTATTAGAGGAGAAAAAAGTATATTGTGCTACAGCAGATGCCCACCTTTATGACATGCATTCAGCCGCTGTCCACGTATGATGCCGCCCAGCCTAAAGCGCACGGCCGGCGCCCTCAGAGCGAGATTAGCTCGCGACGACGAGGTGCGCACCGTACCTTTCTCGCTTTCCGCTAGCCGGTCTCGCCTTCACGCCACTCCCCGTAGAACTGAGCCCACACCCTCTGGACTCGTGCGGTCGCTAGACGCGCCCGTGCTGGACCGTATGCATCGCGTGTCCAATTTTGAGCCCTATCAACTGATATCTTCAGCATGTTTCCTTCAGAACCCATCCATCATATATATCGGGCACTCGTTCTCCTGTAGCACGAATGCGCCGGCTCCTCCAAGACTTCTTCCGCTGAAACTTCCGGTCTCGCCGCCCTTTCTATCACCACCTTCGCTCACCTGAAGCGTGCGGCAGCCCTTGTGGTTCGTCAACGCACCACCGCTAGGCATCGCGCCTACATCTGTGCGAATATCGCTGACAGGTTCGAAAGGTTCTCGCACAAACGACCCCGGCCTTTTCTGGATCAGTGACGACGGTTGACTTTGCGAGACGCATGCTCATCTGGATGTGCGCATGCAGTCCTGCCGGTCGACGGGTTTCGTCCATCCCAAGATGGCATGTCGCGTTCTGCGCCACTCGATGGTCACCGGGTATTGTTCTCTTCACTGATTCTATGTTCAGTCGTATGGCAGATGTTGGGCTTGGACATGCTTCCACCGCATGCGCGTGCCAGTGTATTTAAGGTGCCATTCCCCGCCTTCAGTGTTGCGACTCCTCCCCTCCCCTCTCTCCTATGTCTCTGTGCACTAATGGTCAAAGAACCTACCGTCCAGTACCGATGGCTGAGGATTTGTGTCTTTGACTCTTTGCTCTCCTGGTTCTACATGAGATCTTGCTTCGTAGCTATTCAGCTTCTTGGGAACAAACTCTGTCGATCAGTCTGCGCCATTTAAGTTGGCGGCCGCTCAGCGCTCAGCGCGAAGGCCTCAAGCTCAAAGGTGGAGCTCAAGTTCTCCCGCGCAAAGTACTTTACGGTTTTAAATGAGAGACCGCGGCGGTGGCCATGCAACGCAATCGGCTGTTTCCGATCAATTAACGCGCGTTTCCCACATTCTTTGGTCTCGGTTGCAATTCTTCCCTTACCCGTGAGGACAAGGTACATAGTTCTCTGCAGTTCGGTTCTTGCCAAGGACAACCGCTTGGATGGGCAGCTTCCATGCATATTGCATGGATGTGTCATGTGGCGCGGAGAAGTATCAACCGGTTGCCATCGGGTGCTTCTTTACTCGAAATCCGTAACGCGTATCAGTCGTCCCCCCCAGGAACTTTTCGCTTCCGCCCGCCAGAGGCTTCATCCACAGTACGCTGCGCTCAGTGTCATCATACCATCTCCTTCTTGCACATGGCTTATGCGCTTCCCAGCCGATGTTCACGCGGTCTATTTGGGTCAAACGCCTTTGCACTGGGTGACACATGCGGCTTTCCTGGTCTCGATCAACGCCTTGTAATAAACGGCCTTCTCCCGGTGATTTGCCGCCGTTGCACGCGATGCATACATATATCGTATGATATCTTCGAGCCTCATCAAAGGGCATCCTCTTTGCCCGCTGCTGCTTGATCAAGCTGAGCGCGACAATGCTCGCTGTGGGCGTTTTGGTGCTCATGGCTCTCCCGCTCGCGCTGGGGAAGCCGACGGCGGGATCTATGCACGTTTTGGGGCGGCGGGACAGCCCTCCTGCTGGATACACACTTGTGGGCGCAGCATCGCCCGGTCTGATGCTCGATCTGCGAATCGCGCTCGCGCAGAGCGATCCTCTTGGTCTGGAGGAAGCTCTATATGATGTCAGCACACCTTCGAGTGAGCATTACGGGCAGTATCTAAGCAAAGAGGAGGTGCGTCGTGCGCTGTCATATGGTGTACTGGCCACTGAGCGCTTCTGTTAACAGGCTGCAAACTTCGTGGCACCGACCTCGGAGACGCTCGCGGCTGTGAACGCGTGGCTGGCGCAGAACGACGTCGACGCGAAAACGCTGACCCCAGCTGGCGACTGGCTCGGGATATCCGTGCCTGTCAGCAGGGCGAACGAGCTGCTTGATGCTGAGTTTAATGTCTACGCGGACGAGACGAGCGGGAAGCAGGCTGTCCGAACGCTGTCGTATGCCGTGCCTCAAGAGCTGCAGGGGCATGTCACCGTCGTGTACCCGACCACTACGTATGCGGGCATCTTGGAACATTGGAACGATTGGCTGATCGTATTGTGTCGTGGTGATCGTCTAGGTTTCCCTCGAGGAATACGCGACGGCCTGTGATCCATTCCGAGTCGGTGTCGGCGGTCTCCGCACGGTCTCGCAGGGCAGATACATCAGACGTCGACCCATCATGCGCCAGCACGATCACCCCGTCCTGCTTGCAATCCATTTACGGCATTCCCTCCACTCCAGCCACACAACAGTCGAACCAGCTTGCAGTCGCTGGGTACGACGACCAATGGGCGAACAGGGATGATCTCGAGGTAAATGTTATTCATGTAATCGTCTGCTTATGCCTGTATGCCCAATCTGAGATCCGCACTCTCAGACATTCCTGAAGACGTACCGCCCGGACATGTCAGACCTCACCACCTTCAAGCTGCAGACCCTTGACGGCGGAACGAACAACCAGACCGAAGCGGATGCTGGCGTCGAAGCTGTGCGTCAATGGTACCATCCATTGATCAGTCTCAGCATTATACTGACGTCAACTGATGCGTGCAGAACCTCGATATACAATACACGGTTGGTGTCGCGACCGACGTTCCGGTGGTTTTCATCTCTGCGGGACTAGACAACCACGACGGCGCTCTGGAGGGCTTCCTCGACATGACCGAGTTGCTGCTGAACGAGGACTCGCCGCCGCGAGTGTGGACGACGAGCTATGGGCCGAATGAGTACGACGTCCCAATCGAGCTTGCATAGTGAGTGTCTTGGCTTATGCGTCTGTGTGGCTATGAGCGCCTCTGAATGCTGAATGGCTCTCGTCGCAGCAATCTGTGCTATGCGTATGCTCAGCTGGGCGCCAGGGGAGTTTCTATCCTCTTCGCGTCTGGTGACGGCGGTGTGTCAGGTACCCAGTCGAGTACGTGCACAGACTTTGTGGTTCCCTTCCCGGATGGCTGTCCATTGTAAGTACGACTTCTACGTCTTCTGCTGCCGCAAGATTCACATCTTCTCGCGCAGCATGACCAACGTCGGCTCGACGACAGGCTACGCCCCCGAAATCGCCGCATGGTTCTCCGCAGGCGGGTTCTCCAACTACTGGACGCGCCCCTTGTACCAAGAAGCAGCCGTCTCCTCCTATCTCGCCTACCTCGGCGACACGTACGTGGGGCTGTACAACGCGTCTGGGCGCGCGTTCCCCGACGTCGCGACGCAGGGCGTCAACTTCTCTGTCGTGATCGACCAGGAGTTTTATATGGTGGACGGGACGAGCTGCTCGAGCCCGACGTTCGCGTCTGTGATCGCGCTGCTGAATGACGAGCTGGCTGCGGAGGGGAACCCGCCTCTGGGGTTTTTGAACCCGTGGTTGTATGGGTTTGCGGAGTGGGCGTTCAATGATATCACGATTGGGAATAACCCCGGGTGCGGTACGCCTGGGTTCAACGCTACTATCGGATGGGACCCGGTATGATGCTCTCTGTGTTCCTTGATGTGCTTGTTGCTGATGTGCGATGCGTCGTAGGTCACCGGATGGGGGTCGCCGAATTACACCAAGATGAGGCTTGCAGCAGGGCTCGCTAGCTGATCGCTGTGGCGGTTCTGTGGCTAATTCGATTCTGGGAAACGCAGCGTTGATCTGGGTGTTGGGACTTATCAATATGGATAGACATAACGAAATTAATTAATGGATTTGACATGCCATCCGGCTTTTAACTCTCTATATATGCATATGTGCGTGCGATAGATCTCGACAGCAGAGGCCAAACCACTGCTGGGAGTTGCCTTGTAAGGAAGGCAGATTGCCAAAAGTGTACATAATGACGCCTGGCGCGTGACGTCATCCGCATGTCCTGCACCGCATATTGCAATCAAATTCGACAATAGAAAGTGTATAAACTGTGAGTATCGAGCTGTATCTGATTTCAGTGGCCTTTGCTTTCACTGGGTCACTACCACTAAAGAGCAAGTACAATGCTGTCAAGCTACATAGAGGGTAGTTCTGATGGCCTGCTCATATTAAAGCCTCAACCCCAGATTCACAACATGCACGACGTCTACAAATCTCAAGCCGCTGAGACTTTCACAACATAGCCATATGTGCCCTGTTGCCGTACCTCACACAGCAAAGAAAGAAACTCAGTCTATGAAAAGCTGTTTCAATCTCACTGGTCCAAGGCGATCATCGATCTATCGAATCCACATCGAGTGAGCTCACCACTCGTACGTGGGTTTGCTACCCACACACATTGCTTGCGTTAAGCCGCACTGTACGAGCGGTGATCCGCTCGCGAGGTGCAAGTGGTGATGGTGGCTGACGCTGGCATAGACTCCAGTCGGAGGCAAGACGGCAGCATGGAATTAGCATGTAGTAAGAACGTCTATTGCTCTTCGTAATGCTCAGCGATCGTGGTTATGATGACGGCCTTCATCACCGTTTTCCCGCCCATGGTGACGTACGATCTCATCTGCATCCACAGGATGGAACTTCACCCTCACTTCCGTCACCTCTCTTCGCGCCTTCTTCAGTGCGTCCGTGATCGTCCGTTCCAGCTCGCTCGTCTCCTCCACGTTGAGCGTCCGCGGCACGTCTGCAGTGAGGTCGACGAACATCCGCGCCCCGGACCGCATCGCGCGGAGGTCGCGGATCCCGAGCAGGCTCTCGCTGCGATTCGCGACCTGTGTTTGTAATGACGTGGGCGCAGGCGAAGTGGATATATTTGCTGTTGGTTGGCTAGGGAGGAGAGGCGTGAGGGCGTCCATCAGGATGGTCCTTGTCTGAGAGGACACGCTCCCATCCGTGAGCTGGTGCAGAGCATTCATCAAGACCCCCCGGGTTTGCCTGATGATCAAAATCGACACCATGATGCCTGAACGACCGCCTCTCAATTATCGGGTCTCAGTTGAAGAAGAACGCGCCTACCTCCGATCGGGTCAAGCGGCAGATGCGGGAACCACCACGTCCCCAGGATCGCGACAAGTGCAACCGCACTCGAGTACGCATCGCTCCGATGGTGGATGGCGTTCGCAAACAGCACCGGGCTGTGTTCCTCGTTCGCCACTCGCTTCGTCACCCGATACAGCCACTCCTTCCCGACGACACTCGCCGCAGCGAACCACGCCGCGTTCGGGTCGAGCGCGTGTGCATGTTCATGCGCGTGCGCGATTGGTATATGATGCGATGCCTGTGCAACCGTTGCGAGCATGTCGGCGACAGTGCCTGACGGTAGGTCGATTGCTGTCTGCGACAGCGCATCCATGAGCAGCGCGAACGAGTGGATCCCGATCCCGAGTGCCCCCCCAGTGAGCATGAGCGAGACTGCTGTCGTGCCGAGCACCTCGAACTTGCCGTATCCGTACGGGTAGCGTTCTGATGGCGGCTTGCGCGAGACCCTCCACGTAAGGAGCGTCACCAAATCTCCGAGAAGGTCTGTACGCCAATGTAAGTTGGGATGAGCACACTATAGTCGTTGTGAGGACGCACCACTCGCAGAGTGACCTGCATCGGCGAGCAGCGACGCCGAGTTCATGTACCAGCCTGCGAGGCCCTTCGACGCCGTGAGCCCAATGTTCGAAAAGAGGCCGATGATGGTGATTCTGCTTCCCCGGTCGCCTGCGTCCGTCCCGTACATCCTCCAGTCAGTCTTCCATGCAGCGAGCGCGCGGCGAGACGTACAGTGTCCACATACCTGTGCCTTTCTTCAACGCTTCGACGATCTGCTCCGCGTCATGCCCGGCCCCCTCCTCGCCTGGTCCGTGCGTGTGTGTCATCGCGCCGAATATCGAGTGCGAGTGCGAGTGGGTATGTGAGTGTTCATGGCCGTGTTCGTGAGGGTCTTCCTTATGGTGATCGTGCAGGTCCTCGGTCGGCTTGCGGGGGTCCTTCCCCTTCGCCTCGCTCGAATATGGTCGTCGCGCACCAAGAGTGCTCATCGGTATGGCCTGGGATGCGTGCTGCTGCACAGGCACAAGGAACGGAGACACTGATATACGTGTAGGAAACTCTATCAAATTGAAACACGTATGAGAGCAGAGCGCCGTGAACGTCCGACGCTGATCCTGTGCCTGTCCTGTTCTCCGCGTCCGTGTGCACCGAGATGTGGTCAGGTGGTTTTGATTGACTCTGCTCGGCCCTGCGCCGATGTGGGAGGTGTGGGGAGCGCGAGCTGACCGACTGAGCTGCAACATCTGGATTAAAGCCGCCTTGTAACCGTCTTGGCACGTCGGTGGCGGGCTCTGAGAACGATGACTGCCGAAACCGCTCTATTTGCTGAAAATCGCCGTCCTCGGTGGTGAGACGATGCTGGAACTCAGAGACAGCGGGTGAGGATGTCGTGGTCGGGGACAGCGTTTACATGCAGACGCTCGGTTCCGTCATCCGCGACGTGCAATTCGCTCGCTTTCGCTCGTAAATGTTGTGTATATGACTGAGCGGGTCATCATCAGTCGATGAGGAAGACCAGGCGTCCGGTGACGAATGGGAAATACAAATAAACTAAGGCGTTACGGGACATCGTCGGCGGCCGCGACTACTGTACATCTCTTCTTACTTCGGATACAACCCCTCCAACAGCTTCACCACCTGCGGATACGTCGGATCATCCCTGCTGCCCACAGCGAGCTCCGCAATCTTGGGCACGTCGGTCTTGGGGACTTTGTATTCTTCCAGGTTGGACTGCAGTCCCAGATTCTTCACCAGTCTACGTGCACCTAGTCAGCATTCTCTGGGTGTTCCGGCTTTGATGAACGCACCTGTCAATGAGGCTCGACAGTTTGAGCACGTCGCCATTTTACGAGCCTGTGGGCTGCTCGCGAAGATGGAAAAGAACGCCAGAGAGCCACTCCTTGTCCTCCTCAGAGGCGATCTGGGCTTTCAGCGCAACCGTCGGCGCCAGAGTCAGGCACTGGATGGTGAAAGTCAGTATAATCAGCGGACGGCTCATGAAAGACGATCTAAGCACGTACAGACGTGATCCCATGAGGAATGTTGTACGTCGCGCCCAACTTGTGTCCAAGAGTATGAGACAGAAGACCAGCACCACTACAGTCACTCATTGAATCTCATTCTATGGCTTTATTTGTAAGCGGTTTACCTGTACTTCTCCGGTTTGAGAGGCCAGAGACTCATCCACGATGCAATCTGGAGCCTCTGCCTGACATCAATCGCCTCTGGGTTGGCCTTTGATTCCGGAAGATACTTGAAGAGATCAGCGAGGGCGGCATAGCAGAGGTGCTTGATGGGCGGAGGGACAAACGGTCTGTACAGATTCTCTGAGTGGAGACTAAGGCTCAGCAAATGCCGCTATCAGGTGTCAACATGATACGCACCGACTGCATGGTCTACTGCACGCATTCCTGTGGATAGCCTGGGACAAGGAAGCAATGAATGGGAACATCGTTGGATTAGCTCATGACGAGTCTCACCAAAGCCATTCAGGCGTCGCGAGTGTCAATTCAGCGTCAAGGATAATTCCCGCAGGAGCTAGCTGCGGGTTCGCCACGAGGACTTTGCTGCCCTCCTCGTTGGTGTATCCTGCGCCTTCCTGTTGAAATGAAGTCAGCATACTATGTCCAAATTCAATGAAGGTGCGACCAACAGTATACTCCGCAGCACTGAGCGTCGTCGGAATGGCGATCTGTTTCAAGAACTCTCCGCCGGTCTTCTGCTGGTGGAAGTACAAGATTGCTTTTGATGCGTCAATTGGCGAGCCTCCTCCGACGGAGATGATGATATCTGCGCCCACGTCTTCGAACACTTTCAACCCCTTATGAATATCCGCAACTGGCGAGTGCTGTCGTATCTCATGAAAAGTGCCACCATACGCTTGGCGCTCCTTGAGAACGGCTTCCACCCTCTTGACGACATCCGTCTAAAAGAATGGAGCCAATCAGTACAATGTTGAGGGTGGTTGAACCTGCATGCACCTTCTCGTACAAACTTTTCCCTGTTACAATCAGCGCTTTGGTCCCTCCAACAATGTGCAACAGTTTAGGCAGCGCGGTCTTGAGCGAACCTGAGCCATAGTAAACCCCCTTCAATGTTTCCGTCCAGGCATATGAACCTTTCAGCGAGGAAGACTCAAACTTTGTGTTCTCGAGGCCGGACATGGTGCTGAAATGCTGTTGATGAGGTTAAACGTTGAAACGTTGATATTTAGCACTTGCTTGCATCGATCAACGTCATATGTGCCCGGGCCTGAAGGATTTCTTGCTCTACTCCACGGGGTCTCGTCTTCTTATCAAAATGTTTAGCCGACATCGCGGCTTCCATGCTGTGTCGAGGGATAGCTGACTCTGCTGGATACCCATTGATTGCTCTTCATATTGAGTGTTTTGCTTGCGTAAGTCGATATGCAGAACAATATCCTGTCAAGCTGTTATGATCATCTCGAAGACACACTCTTAAAGTAGTACCACGGTTTAAATTGCAGCCGTGCCAAAGAACTCGGAGTTTGCAATCGTGTCCAGCCTCCCTGGTGTACGTAACCGTGTCAACAAAAATCGAAAGCCAAACAAAGATGGCAATGGAATCGACTAATCTCGCTATAATACGTGTGATGCATGATGGGAGAATTGCAACATTGATGCGTCGATGATCGCAAACCTGCCAACTCGGCTCATTATCCCGCTCCATGAAACACGTCCTGGTGGCCACATAGCCTCCGCAAGCCTCGACGACGCTCACTGTGAACCACGCGAGGTTGCGCCTCAAAGTCTCTGCCTATGGTTGCATGATTCGAATTTGTATGAGACGTGCGGTAGTCAAGTCTTGGAATCGAGGTTTCAAGCTATCACTAAAAGACATTCTCATAATATAATAAAATTCAGCGCCGCAATCGTCAATCTTCGTCACTACATCCGTGTGACCCATGAGTCGGATCAATATGACATCTGCCGAGGACCCTGAACCACAACGACAAAAGAACATGACAAATAAACGAAACACTCGCTGTAAGCTCTCTGATATGGACTTCCAACTGCTGGCGATCCCGTAGCGTATTCATCGAACGCGCTGAATTGGCCGCTCTCAAATTCAAGGGCCTGTGATCTCAATCTTGGTTCAACGGTCGCCTATCGCACACGCACGAAGTCGAATTAGACAATTGTATTTTGCAATTCATTCGAGACTGTTGGCCAGTGCCTGGCAACCTCCTTTTCATGTCTCCTGCAGCGCAAGAAGAGGGATCGGAAAGGTCAGAAGAGGAGCTGCAAGGCGGAGATGGTGCATCTGGAAGCGCAGCAACCCAGAGCATCAAAAGAACTTCACGAGGTGAGCTTTCGCGGTGTCGGCGGAACCTCGAACGGTCCCTGGCCAATTTGAATTTCTGCATACAGCCTGTGATAGATGCCGCAGATCAAAGAGCAAGTGCGAACCCGCACTCAATGGCGGAGAGCAATGCAGAAGTTGTCAAGCTGCAGGTGCAGGTATTAAAACCGCATATACGCGTCCATGGCGACCGCTGAATGAAGCGTTTCTCTTGCAGAGTGCACGTTCTCAGGTTAGCTAGCCCATTGCGCAATAGATACATAGCAGAAGCGAAACCCTTCTACTAGGTCCAATTTTCAGGCGCGGGCCGCCGAAGGGGTACATCCAGGCATTAGAACGCCGGCTTCACCAAATGGAGAGCGTGCTGGCAGCGATCATGAGCTCCAAAGATCCTCGTACGAAGGGGATCGTCGCTGATCTCAAAAGAGATTCTCTCGCGCGGAGTATCCTGGACGGCGTTGACTCCGGGCCGTTCGTAGGTTATCAGTTCGCTCGGTGTTTAAAGTTGTTACTCAAGTGAGGCGTTCCTTAGGGGCCCAGTGGAAGGTCACAGCGATCGGTAGACCCTACGCAGGACAATTTCTTCGCTTCAATCGTCAGTGTGGCTCAGCAGAAACAAGTGAGCGACCGTTCACGGCGGCAGTCCCGCGTCACGCGCGAGAGTGTCACTCAGAAAGGTGCATGCTGCTAACTCCGCAGTTGACTATATGCTCATCACACGCTCAGATCCAACTGCTCTGGCTCGACCTACACTTGAATGGCAGGATCGCCTGTCACAGTCTCTTGCACACTGGTCCGGGCAGCAGCAAGAGGCAAACACGGCTAATGCCTCCCGTTCACTGGATACTGCACCACAAGCACACCCTCCTGACAATGCGAGGCGCCCCACGAACGATGGCAGGGAACGGGCTAAACGCAAGCGGCGTTTAGCACCGGCATCGAATGTACCTGATCCAGAGTGGAACGACTTACATCCTATGGACGGTAAGCAGCGACAACAGCGGCGATGTGGATCGAGTCGATAATATGTGTTAGATACTGACAAGGATGAGTTGGATGACTGTGCGGACGCATTCGGCAACCTATCAATAGATGAGAACAAGGAGGTAAAAGGCTGAGTTTTGAGTCATTGATTCGTGGCAACTAAGATATTGCTATAGGTCAGATACCACGGAAACTCTTCTGGGCTCATTTTTCTAGCTAGGGACAAACGATGGGATGCCCGCAACGTCGGTGGGATCTGGAACTTCCCAATGTCGAAGTTATGGCCAGGTGGTCTCCCAACCGAGAGCACAAACGCTAATGATAGACGCGGCGATGCCGACATCCGACTGCCTTCTTACAGCGTCCAAGATGAGCTGGTGGAAATGTACTTCACATATATCAATTCGGCGTTCCCCGTGATTGACAAGGAGGCATTCGTGGAGCAGTATGAAGCGAAGTTGGCCGCTCATTGTCTATCGCATTCATCCCACTGACTCATCACGCGGTCAGCAAGCGAGGATATCAACACGAGAGCAGCAACTCGAGGATTGACGAAAGCTTGCTACCATTAAAGCCCGAACGCATGCAGAAGCTGTCAGAATTGCTGCTGTTTGCTATGTTTGCGTTTGCTCAACAGCCTGAGGACCCGAAGCTCGCCGCACAGTATGCGATAAGTGCACGCAAGGTACTTGGTGAGTTCCGAATGTCATGCTGTTCTTGGTTAGTGAGGATCCGCTCATGTTCACCAAATGCGTAGACAAGATGTACCAAGAGAGCCGGACGTCGACCGTACAGGCACTGATCTTGCTTGGTGTGCGGGAGCTTGGTATAGGTGGGTGTCGAATAAATACAAACGCTTTGACATTTACCTTTCGGATCCAGGAAGTCTTGAAGAAGGATGGCTACACGTAGGTGAGTTTGGGACAGAACTTTGGCTTAGTAGACATGATAGATTTTGCGTTTTAACTATGCACGATGATCGATGCAAAGACAGACGTGATCGCTAACAGCGTGATATATGCTAAAAATCGTGAAGGGTTAGGAGAATTCACTCTGGCGTGCCTTTGCATCGATCACAGTGCATAGCTGGCTAGTGCGTGTACTGTGAATGGGACGTTGCTTGTGGCTCGAGAGTGCATGTGAAATTAATGGTTGTTGACCGACACACTGAAACCCATTTTTACACGAACAGGGATGGCTGTTAGGATGGTATGTTTCAAGTGGATTACGTGTATGACCCGTGAAACTCAGCACGGCACTTTCGCAAGGCCTATGACCTAGGACTTAACCGTAATTCCGAGAAGTGGCAAAACCACGGAGAAGAGCTATTCACGGCCAAGGAGAACAGCATCCGGAGACGCATCTGGTGGGCATGCTGTCTGGCTGATAGGTGAGACGAGTAATCCATGAGTGGACGTTAACGCACGCTCATCGTGGTGTTGGGTCAGGTATTCAGCGCAGACTCTTGGTATGTGTGCCTTCAATGCAATCGCTGCCTTGCTGAAATTAAGTGCCATAAGGGCGACCGATGGCTATCCATGAAGGTGACTTCTCCACGCCTCTACCGGAGGTTAGTGAGGTGCGCATGATATTGCTTGCACGAGGGGGGGGGGGGGGAACTAAAACAATTCATGGTTCCAGCGTGACGCAGAAGAACAGTGGATTGCTTTACATACCAACAGCTCTGGTCACGCGATCCCTCCCGCGCCTGCCAGGTCATCTAGCTTTTTCCGTGAAACTGCATCCCTGTGTGCGTCGTGATCTTCCTCTGGAAGATCACTCTTGCTGACTCAATTGTCCGCAATTGCGTGCAGCGGTCATCCACGAACAAGTGATAGAGAAGATATATCCTGTCACGCGTGTCTCCACATTGCCACGGCGTCAGATTATGGAAGAACTCCACACGCGCTTGATGAACTGGTCTATCAACCTACCGGAGCCGCTGAAATTCTCATCCACCAGTAAGAAGCCTTGTCCGGCACCGCACATTCTGACGCTACATTGTCAATACTGGGCTGTCATGCTTTATCTCCACAGACCATTGTGAGTGCAACCATGTCGATCTTTTCATAATTTCATTACTTACCTGCTTCTGTGGAAGCATACCGAAGAATTTCGAGTATGTAGCAGCAATTTTCATGAGCAAAAAAAGCTGATAGACATGTTCAAGCTTGAGCACGTCGCCCAGGCCGTCATCAAATCATGCCGACGCTATCCCTTGGAAATCACTTGATTATTGTCAAAGTGCTGCTTCTCATATTGCCACTTTCGGTAAACAGATTCTCCGAGGCCGACATCCTCGATAAAATGCTGATACAAGATATGTAGCCACGTTTTACCATCAAAATTATGACTTGAAGTGGGGATCGCCCTTCTTCACGACGTATTTGCAAAGTGCAGGGTACGTGAATTATGTATGAATTGAAGATCGGTACTGAGATGTCTCCAGAATCATGCACATAATTACGCGTGAGCCGTCCTATCATACAGAACAGAACATGGATAATTCCTGAGCGCATCGCCTGTGGATATGCAGTGAAGCATCGACATTCAGAGCCTCGAGCCATGCTGGGCCTACGAGATTGCATCGCTGCATGTGACCATATGAGAGTATGTTTCGCAGCTTATGTAGTGACGCCGTTTAATCTGGGAGATTTCTTCCAGGGTGTGTGGCCTATGGCGGCTCGAGTGGGGGATTTGCTCCGCGGTGCCAGCGTTCACTTTAATTTGGATTTGGGTACCTCTGTCGGCCCCTCTCGGAAGCGACCCGCTGAGAACATGCCTGATACGGAACGCATGTCTCAATCACATCAACAAGACTATCAAGCACTGGTCGTACCCACTGTGCCCCCAGCTACATCCGACGTCCGTCACTCGTATGCGACTCCGCAGACCAACAATCAGTCTCGAGACAGCGTGCAAGATCTCCACGCCAGCCTTCTCGCAGATTTCTTTGATCCGGGCATTCCTTTTCCGACACCTGCGGCCCCCATTATGCCTAGCTACGATTGGTGGCCTGCAGTATCGGCCTCTGAGAACGTCCCTTGGACTCAAAACCAAGAGGAGTACAATCCCTACCTGGCGATTCCTTCCCAGTCTTTCACGTTCGGTCAACAGCATCTGTCGCCGGACTTTCTGCACGGAATTAGGGACCCTGTCCTGCATTTCCCATCTGCTTTCCTTCCTCGATAGAAACCCCAGTGGTCTGTAACTGTGCATCATCTATTATGACGACTCATACACTAGATCAAGCTGCCTCATGTCTTCGTTTCTCCACGATCGTGCCTGAATCCCCATTTCTTCTCATCGAGTTTCTCGAGCCTGTACTGACGCATGCAAACTCAATAGCGGCAGTTCACGCACCCGACCCGCAGTATCTCACCGGAAACCTGCCAGCGTAGTTGGGTGGGATCGTTCCCAACGTTAATATTCTCACGGAAATGCGGGTATGCTACCGCTGACTGGCTCATCACTATCCGATTGGACAATGCAAGCGATTGCCGGCTCGTTTTATCCTCCTTGGTCATCTTTTGAGAAAACCTTACTCATGACTTACTCAGTGCCGGCATTTCGCGTCGATCTGTTCAGACGGCTCCTGACACTGTGTCTTTACTTTGCAGATCTCAAATTGACCCTCCATGCCTTTTCAGTGCGCGAGAGCACATGAATTAATATACAGTGCCTGATGCATACCGGGGTGCCATGACAGTGCATTTCACACTGACTAAAAGTAGGACGCACGCCAGCCCAGCTGGTGTCACTCGCTTGAACCGGAGACGTAGATCAGAGCACCCACGGCGCCCGTCCGACTCGAGTCCCGTGTGCGTATCGAATGGAGGAATGGCTTTTCCCGAGGTCCCTCCGCTACTTAGAAGAACGCAGGGCAACGGAGAAGTTCAGTTCTTGGAACCCTAGCTCACGCCTGCTTTGAGAACTCCACAATGTTCCAACGCCTCCTCTCAGCGTCGAGTCGCTTCATTCGCTCGTTTGGCACATCCTCGGCTCGAGGTTCTGAGTCTGGCCTGCCAAAATTCAACTCAGCGCCATCGTTCAAGCTGACGCAAAGTCCCAATCCTGGATGGAAGTGGGGAGAAGGTCTTTCACCGGAGTCCAGTGAAATGGCCAAGCAATGGAAGGAAGACGAGAAGCTGGGCTGGAAGAGCTACACGCTGAAGGAGACGCACGGCAAGTGAGTGCTAAGGCTCACCTTCGAGGCTGGATTCACCTGATGTTGAGGTAATAGGGACGTGTACTTCCTGCTTACAAGCTCAATAATCCCTCGCCCAATCGCCTTTATCTCTTCGTTATCAGCGGATGGCGTTCCAAACCTTGCACCCATGAGGTACGATCCAGGGCAGTTCGGGTGTTCTGCAGATCATTGATCACCGCTTCTTCCGAACAGCTACTTCTCCCTGGTATGACGCTTGATCGTCCTTCCGGAACAGGAAGTTGACGTCCGCTTTCATAGCTTGCTCATGATCCTCCGATGGTCGGCGTGTCGTTCGCGATCTTCCAGGGGATCGGCAAGAACACGCGAGACAACATACTTGCTACCAAGACCTTCACGGTTAATATCATCAGCGAGCCTTTCCTTGACGCGGCGAATGCTTGCTCGATTGATGCTCCTCCGGAGGTAGACGAATGGCTAGTCAGCGGGCTCACACCAGTACCGAGTGTACGTCAATATCATCCTATTTCGCCTCCCTCATTGGCTGATGGTAACATCTCGCTATCAAGACGCTGATCAAGCCTGCACGAGTAAAAGAAAGCGCCATCAGTTTCGAATGCGAGGTGAGAATAGGGTTATCCCCAAACTGCAGATCTGCTTACCGATCCTTTTGTAGCTCTTCCACTCGCATGATCTCTACTCGAATTACGGCCCTGAGATGACCAACACGTTCATCATGGGAAGCATCAAACTGATGCACGTTCGCAACGCCGTCCTGTCCTCAGACGGCGTAAACGTCGACCCCGCAAAGCTGCGGCCAATGTCGCGTCTCGGGATGTTCACATACGCTCGTCTTGGTGACGGTATCGACATTCCAATCCCGATGTGGGCGCAGAAGAAGGAGGAGGTAACGGAGGTGTTGCAGGCGAAAAGCAAGCTCTAGAGTGCGTCGAGCGCATTATACCATTACACAGTGTTTCAGTCGTTAGGCTCGAGCGTCCATTGTCTTGATAGTATGTTATTTCAGTCCGTCTATCCGTCAATGCTACCTTTTCGATGGTTACAGATCTCAATGCCGCGACTTGATTGATCTCGTGAGAGCATCTTTTTGTCTCTCGTTCCAACTTCTTCGCAACCGGCGATTTGCGACTTATGCGATCCACCAGCGCCTGTGATTTGACGCAGCTGGACGACTGTAGGAGAGATTATGCATGTCCCAAAACGCCTGGAAAATGCAGCATTTGTTTTGCAGGAAAGCGGTGTGTTCACGAACATATGGAGAGCTTGCGGAAGTGAGACTGATGTGGCCGCAGCACATTACTACGCGATCACGTGGCCGTGTTCCAACGCGTCGAATTCGCAACATGAGCCGTCATGAAGGAGAAAATCATTGGGAAGTACTTAAGAAGGCGCAACAAGGGATCTGAAGGGATAATTAACATGTTACATGCGAGACGTACAGATGGTGCAGTCATTAAACATAAGAGAGAGGACATATTACTTCCACATAGGACAGAACTTTAACGAACGCGGATGTATCTTAACAAGCGTAGTGAGTCCGAGGGTGACAGCAGATGATATACAAGACGATAGCAGTAACTCAAAGCTGAAAAAGAGGGGGGTCTAGAAAATCTTGAATCAGCCAGAGCGATGCAGACAGATGAACTAAACGTACGGGTACAGCGAGAGGGCTCCACGACGACATCCGTCTATGATATAGTGCCGTTGGTTCGGTCATGATCGCTTCTATCAGTCTGCAAATACGCCAGCACTGGCGCGATCATGCTGTTGTGGCGACAGACAATCTCCAGATCGCGTCCGCTCCACAGCCGTTGCTGATGCGATTGACTAGATGCTTCGCGCTGGAGTTGATCGTCGTCACTGCGGAAGTCGGGACTATCACTCAGATCGTGCTCAAGCTTGCCGGGCCCGTGGCGATGGTACACTTGACTCCGAGACTTTGACCGGACATGAGGGCCGTTGCCTCGCCGCCTATTACCCGAGACCCCGGAACCATTGGGGGGAGCGAACAGAGCCCTGGTGCTCGAGATGCTCGCATGAGCTCCGTGTCGCGATGATGATGCACCGACGAGACGTGCAAATGCCTGATCCACCGGTGATAACGGTGTAGGGTAATCATCCTCCTCGGGCTGGATGAGAGTCTCCTCCAAGACTTTGAACGCAAGATTCTCATGGGCTAGTCGTTCCTTGGCCGATGATCCTGACGCGCTGCCCGGAGATGGTTGCAAAGACGCGATGTCGATTTGTTGTCTCAGCGAGACAGTCCACTGGTGTCGGATCAAAGGATCGTCAACGCTGAACATATACCGTCGCTTCATTCCAGTGTGGTTGAGGAACGCGACCTGGAAGGTGTTCCGCATGAAGGCTCGTTCGACTACTAAAGGATTGCCGAAAGGAAGTCCAGAGTAGAGGAGTGCGTTTGGTCCCGAACGCCACATAATGATAGATTTCGAGCCTAATGAAGTACCAATCACACGGAAGGACGCCTCGGAAGACTTAGAGAAGTTGAGCACAGGCGGATCAAACACCAAGTCCTGACCAAAGAGCTGGATGGTCAAGTGCGAATCTGGATGAGGTATGCGCATGACGATCGGCTCCGACTGCACACGATATGTCAGGCGGGAGGGGAGGGGACGTTTGATGGTGATCGGAATGTCAGGAGGGTCGGTGGCGGAGGTGGGTCCGCGAGCTTGTGACAGCCGTTCACGACGGATTGATGCATATATCTTGTCTAACAGGTCATCGGAGACAAGACTTCTTGGGTCAAACCGTCTGAAGCTAGTGATGAAGTCCTGAGAGATAATGTTTCGCTTGGGATAACCCGTCATCCCGGGCTCGTCCGCAATGCTGCCATGCATGACCTCGTTGAGCTGCACAATGGCACGCACAATCCGTATGGCAAGGTCTCTGTCATAGGCAACGATCCCCGCATTGGCTTCATACCAACGGCTGGCAAACGAGTCTAAGAGGTATTCAAGTGCCCCCACCTTTGCCGGGATGCATATGGACTGCAAATAGACTCGGAATGCCTTGTCAACCCTCACGCCCGTAAGTCCGAAGCTATCCACGTATGCCTTCATGACGACCTTGGACGACCGTCGCGCTAGATACTCCCCTAACCTCATCCTATCTAGGTCCAGTGTCCTAAAGAGCAACTGACCCAAAGCGATGTGGTCATCCCTGCTGCATGTCGTCTTGCTAAAGAGAGCGGTGATAGCATGTTCGGGATCTTTGGCAAATTGATGCACGAAGCTGCGGATCACTGGATGCTTTGTCGGATTCGCGTTCACTGGCACCTTGCCGCGAGATTCATCGCGATCGCTGCTGAGCCGGAGCTGACGAAGTTGACACACACTCTTCACAATGAATTTCCTATCCAAAGGGCTAGGTTTCATGGTTTCCAAAAGCGCGTCCGAGTCTTGCACGATGGGCTTGGCAATCACCAGAATGTCATCGAAGAGGAACAAGAATCGATCTTTCACCGTGTTTGCATTTGCAACTTGTAGTACAGGCGATGAGAGAATCAATTTCCTTGGCGGTTCATCGATCGTGTTAGGCCACGGCGAGCTTTTCGATCCTCTCCCGAGAATCTCATCGAGACGTTCCAACACAATCACGCTTTGTGACGCTTCATTGCTTGGTAGTTCCGGGGATCGGTGAGAAGATGAGATCGACGCGGAATATGACTCCGACGTCGAATGATTGGTGTATTCCTCCAAAGATGACTGTGGGTCGGGAGTTGTGGATGACAGCAGTTCGGGCGGTGAGCTATAGGAGTTGGAAAAGTCTAGCATGGAAGGAGGCGATATTACACCATTTGTCCGGGTTAGTACATCGACCTCCGCTCTGACGGGGAGAACTGGCTCTGGAACAGTATCCAATCTTGCCAACACCTCTGTTCGCACTTGGACACCGGTCAATTTCCTCTCCTCTGCGGTCGCAGTGTTGACGCCAACCGTCGCGCTGCTAGGAGCACTGCTCGGGGTACGCGCCGTTTCCGGACTGGGCTCCTCCCACTCCGTAGCGAGCTCCATCTCTTTCCGACCTAGCAACAGGTCTGAAAGAGATGGCTTCTTGTTGCCCATCTGCGGACGGGACTCCGCACTAGGAGAAGTTGATGCTCCGGGAATCTGGACCGGCGATGTATGGGTTGGGAACAACTTCCTTTTCGCATTTAGCCACTTCTTCACTCCCTCACGATTCATGGGCAGCTTCAGGGATCCCGTAGTGCTCGCATCAGAAGCCGTCGGGTGCATGCTGAATTGGTCTCCTTGCGAGTTCGATGACGATACCGCCGTTATGGGAGGCGGAGAAGTCACCGTGTTGAATTTCGGCAAAAGGCGGCTGTCTGATGCCTGGTGAGACAGCTTGCGCTCTCTATTAGCTTCAACACCCCGTGTGGCTGTATTGGATGAGCCTGAGCTCGACGTGGCTTCTGTGCCCATCCCGCCAGCAGACGCGATATCGGGATTCGATGTCGACTGCGACAGGCCCCTTGCGCGGTTGCGTTGCTCCTCCAACTCCTTGATGCCTGGGAAAGGGAACAACTTGGAATTTGACTCGAAATTGTACTGCACCGCCAAATCGTTCGGAGTGGCAGGTGATACCCCAGAGTGGGTCGACGCTGCCATAGGCAGAGAGACAATAGACGTCGATGCAGAGGGCACCTGTATCTCGTGGCTCTGGTCTCCTTTCTCCTTTGTGAGACTCGTACGACTCTCCCGGCTGACGCTCGAGTCCGTATTGTTCCTTCTGTCCCGGATGCCAGTGCTGTTCGCGCGAGATCTCCGGCCATTCACCGAGCCGCTCCTGCTGAGCGAGAACGTGTTCTTGACCTTCTCCCATGTGCTCGTGGACTCCGCGGCCCGCTTCATGGTCGAGTCTGTCAGGGTGGCCCGCTGGTCCTCCCACTCGGGGAAGTCCGTGTTGGATGGGGACCGATCTGACTGGCTCGGCACCACCGACAAGCGAGTCGGATATGTGATCGGAGATGTTGGCCTACCAGCTGGAGCATCCCTGGCTGCAGACGTGAGCGGAATGATAGGAGATATGGGCGAGGGAGGGCCGTTCGCGAGGGTAGGCTCTGGCGATGTTTCGAGCTCTACAACCAGATCCGGTCGTGGTGGAGGATGAGGAGATGTACGAGGATAGCTTCGATTTGAATGGCGATCGGAGTTTTCAGCGGAGGGACGCTCATCACCACCCTCGACCTCTGGTTCCGGCTCCCGAACATCGTCCTCGATATCGTCGTCCTCATCATCGTCGACAGGCATTCGTCGGACGGGTACTGTAGCGTTCGTCAGTATATGTGGTCGCGTCGGATTACAAGTTGGACTACGCACAGGAATCAGCCACCCAGCTTTTCTCGTTTTCACGGTCACGCTCATGGGCCAACCGCGACCTACTCCTCGCCTCTTGATAAACCACCTGTTCTTCGTCCTCGTCCAGATATTGCTTCTCCCTCAAAGGCGTGGCGAATGGGCTCGCAGGAAACGCGTCTCGAGAGGATAATCCAGTATTGCGCGAGAGGTAAACCGGGACAGTGGTTGCAGACGTCGCAGACTCAGTGGGACTGCTGCTGGTCGCAGCGTCTGCAGCAAGTGGAAGTCGCACATTGGGAAGCTGCGTAAAGCCGCGACCAGGCGTGGGTGGTTGCGGAAGAGGACGCCGAGGTGAGAGGTGTTGAGGGACATCGTCCTCATCCTCAACAACCACTCCTCGATGAAGGGTGGGTTTCTCATAAGTATAAGCTGCATTCCCGTTGGCTTTCGCAAGCGGTGACACGCGCCCAGCATCTCCATTAGTCGCCCGAGGAGAAGATGGAAGACGGGGTGGTTCAGGTGGATTGTATAACGGCGGTGGCTGTGGCAAAGGCGTGGATGGTACATTGGGAGTCGTGGGTGCAGTCGAAGCCGGCTCCCGCTCTTCACGGTCATCAACCACCGTCGACGCACGCGATGAGCGTCTTGATCTGCGCCGTCTACGCTTAGGTGGTATTGTCGGCGCTGCAACCTCCTCCCCTCCACTGGTCTGGTCGCCGTCGGCTAGGTTGATCCTGTTCCCTAGCCGATGCAACATCAGCCGGCGTGCAGCTATCCGCTCACCTCCGGCAACTGTGTTGTTTCGCTGCAGCCGTGCACCGCCCGGAGGCGGTGTAGGAGACGGCGAGATGAAGGACATGTCCACGGGCTCCCGCCCGCCCGTGAGCTTCGACATCGCCATCGCTCGAGCTGCACCGGCGCTATTTGACCGGTATAACCCCATCCGTGCGATGCCATGTTGGATATCATCTAGTGTAGGCAGTGGAGTCGATGATGTCCCCGGGTAGAAGAAAGGCGAGGCAAGAAACCGGGAAGGGGGAAGAGCAAATGCTGACGGTATCGGAACAGGCGATATGAGGGGAGGAGAAGGTGGAGGATCTTCGCCAGGGGCCGAAGTATAGTTTTCATCCGCCGAGGATTCGTTGGTATGACTTGCCGAGCTGAAATGCGAGGGTGCCTTCGTTGATGCCTTGCCCTTCATGTCTCTGGAACCCCTCGACCGTGTCCGCGATCGTGAGCGTCGTTTTGCACGCACAGGGGTGGATTCCGCCGCTGGAGCCTCTGGCGGTGGTGCACCGACCTCTTCTCGCTTCACCTCTTCCTTTGGTGCTTCGGTCCCGGGGCCTTGGTCCACCTTTTCCTCGTGCTGCGCCTGCTTCCCGTCCGAATCCTGAGAGTCCTGAGCGCTCTCTTCATCTATTCCACGATCGTGCTCTACTCGTTCTCCCTCGCTGACTGCTTCGACGTGCATCGGGGGCCGTCTTCCATCCTTCATGCGCGGAAGAGAGGCGGCGCGTTTCAATTTCGCGATGGCGGTCGCTCGCTGCTCGGCGACAGATGACGGCTCCATGATCCTGCCGGGGCTAGCGATGATGATGGTAGTTGTAGACTTCGGACTCTGTAAGAATAGCTTGACCGGCTTGCGTGGCGGACTGAATTGGAGTTGAATACAAGAACGGGCAACTTTTCGTCCACCAGGATCTGCAGAGCAGATGAGAACGATGAACGAACAGCTCGCGGGGCTCTAACACAGAGCGAGACAGGCAGAAGCTCACCGAGGCGGGAGACATAAAGACTAGGTCGCGTAAAGGGAGAAAGAAAGAGCAGACAGATTTCTGGCCCGGATCGGAGAGAACAGCAGCAGCCCACAAATGGAATATAGCTCCAATTTAGACTTCAACGTTTCTGTTTGTTTCTCACCGCCTCGTGCCCACCTCACCATTTTCATCTAGTGTTCTTTTTCACCCTGTTCAGTCTCCGAGTCTGGATGCAAATCCGTGTATGAACTACTACGCTGTGCTCCCAAATTAAAAATAAGCGTGTGGAATCAATAAATAAAGACGATCTTGCAGCCACACGCTGCTCCTTCTACACCAGGTTCGCTGAGATTGCAGCGCAGAGACCCCGCCTATCCAACTGACAACTGTCGCTATAGCATGTCACCTTGGCAGTGCCTTTTCTCGATTGTATTCATCGCCACGTTGTGGCTCGCGTCCCCCAGATCTGATTTCAGTATAGTGCTCCGCCGGCTCGCCAGTCCATGGAACACAGCTGATCCTTCTGGCAGCCTGTCATTCTGACTCTGCCATCAGCTCGTCCAATGCGATGGGCAGCCGGTTTGCGGATATGGAACGGCATTCATGGCATTTTCGGGAGATGCACTTGTCGCTTGCGAAGTACTCTATTGAACGGCAAGCCCCGCATACAATAGGTGAGTTTTGATACGGGGTTTCATTGTCTTCTGCTCGCGGCCCAGGAATCATAACGTGATCTCGGGATTCAAGATTTAGGCAGGGTATCGCATGACCCGCCATTTACCGGTGAAGGGAAATAGCATGCCTATGAGAAGTACTCGTCCAACTTGCACCGGCGTCGATCAACCACTCGACTCTGTCACAAAGCACACACAATCAGCGATTATCGGTGTTATAATCCGCTCATCCTCGCACATCAATACCCAGACACAGGCTGTACCTTGCAATCGATCGTCTGGTCGACTCTCATTTCGTCCATGAGATATATTCTTACAGGGTCGTGGCCACCTTCTGGAAAACGCGAACATGCTATCGTTTCCACACTTCATCCCACGTACGCCTTCTCCCTGTTCCTGACGACTGGTACATCTCTCTACGACTATGATCTCCATGTTTCATTACGGTGCGTGCAACAATAACACGTCGTGCTCTTGATTACGATCCTATTATTTCTGGGCAGATGTAGAACCCATGCCAACACACACAATCAGCCTATCTAACGTCTTATGTCCCGAGCATGAGACACGTTCCTCTCGGAGCATATCGCTCTCATGAAAATTATCCTGATCGGAACTTGCGCCCGCAGGCAAGCCTGAGGACGCTCGATCATGTTGCAGACGTACAAACGCTCCTGCCAACGCACGGTCCCCCTCGGTCCGGGCTGCCTCATTGCACGATGAGAATCCACCTTCACAGCGACGCCATTCATTGACCCAAGATTGCCATTCAAACGCAAAGATTGGATGCCGTCGAGCACGCGCTTCATAGGCCCATGACTCGCCTCGCCCACCTTCTTCCGCACGCACCCAGTCAAGCGGCGGAATTTGCGGTATTCTCGCGAGCGAAACGCGCTGTCAAATGGTCTGTTAAAGTCATGGGACACAACAGCACGCGGTGTCAAAGTCCTACAGCCGGCGCTCGGCATCCGCGAAGCGTGCAACACACCTGGCGCCGTACGCGAGTCTCCTACAGCTCTGGCGCATGTATCACAATGAGGCGGGTGAAGAGTGCGTGCCGCGCCTCTAGACCGATGATGGAATGTCGCGCTTACGCTCTCCGTGCCTCATCTGCTGACTGCAATCATCCAAACTCACGGCATCTTCACTCACTAGGGCATTTCCTTCTCATGATCGGCAACCCTTTGCAGTATTTACGCCGCACCAGCGGTGGCTCCCAAGACACCGCGAAGTGAAGGCACCTCTTCTAGCTTGGTTGGAAGTCAGAAGAAACGGCGAACACGCTCGGTCTGTTCGGCATGAGCACGTCTGTATACGAGCGCCGCGCCCGTTGCACGCAGCCAGGGTCCGAAGCTGTTTTGGATCACCGCTATCAATGTGCCTGGCTTCACGAACCTGTCGGTGACAAATTATGAATGCGTACCACGGTGATAACGTTGCTGGCTCCATGTGAGAAATGAAGAACAATCTGGTGGCCATGGTGTGGCCAAAAGTCATCCGCGAAGGGTATGATGCTGTAATGTAGGAAATACAAATGTAGTCGCAGGGAGACGTGCTACATAAGTTTGTCCTTGAGGGAGACATGCTACGCAGTCGATGTCGTAGAAGCCCGAGGTTCCGCTTGAGACTCAGACGACGCCTACGATGTAGTCGCGGTCGTCTGCGCGCCCACTGGCGAGTCGCCCGCAGGCGGGGCGAGCTCCTCCTCCTCATCGTCGTCATCGCTCATGATATCTGCATGACGCACAATGGGGATAACCTCAGTCAGATTTATCTTGGCCGCCTTCCACGCAACAGAAGCACTCGCCTTCGCCGTACGTCTCCGGATGCTCCCTGAAGCAATTTTGCATCATCTTGAACTTCTCCACGCAGTCTATGCCCTTGGGCTCCTTGTCCGAGAAGACAAAGCACGAGAAGGCCTCACGGAACTGCATCCCGCACGGCCCGTACGCCATCCCGCCGAGGCACGGGCAGTCCCAGTTGATCTCGCCTGTAACGGGATTGAACGCGCCGCCACCGCCCTCTTCCTCCTCCTCCTCCTCCGCCATTGTGGGACCGGATGTGGGCTCTACTATGGATTCTTCTAGGGTTGCTTCATGCGCGGCTGATGGAGGATGCGAATCTATCAGGGTTTCGGGAGTGGACTGCTTTACTAGCGGGACCTGTTTTGATGCTGCGAGCGGGAGTTGATAAACCAAACATTTTATAAGAAGGAGAGACACCGCTCACAGGAAGCAACGGAGTCCAATGCGATTTTGTCACCGTACAGCGCCTTCCAGCTCACATATGAAGCAACGACCGCTGAGCCTGCAAGGACGGCACCGACGCGGCTAGGACGTGCGACTGCCGTTGAACGCGGCGACGATGTGTGGAGACAACGGCGAAGTGATACCTTTGGAAGTGTCCTGAACATCTTTAAGAGGCACCGTGGGCCCTAGATGGCTGCACTGGCGAGAGTAGGAAAGCCAGAGGAAAGTGATCGGTCGGTGGCGGAAAGAAACGCGAGTGCGTCCGGCAAGCGTTCGGCGACTTTCTTGCTGCGCTGACGAATGCCCGGGTCTGTGTGCGGTGACTAAAACGCGGGATCCTATTGAGCAGACTAGTACAACCGTTTATACGCTTGTTACATGATTTCAAGAGCTACATTCAAGGTCATACATACAGAGACTTTAAAGAACTAATCTGAATCGATGGATGGAGGAAACATCTTCTTTTCCGCCTCACGATCCCCTGCTACCTCCACTTTGTGGCCCACACCAGCAGGTACACATCCTTCACCCAACGCTGCCTCCAATGCAATCTTGGCCACGAATCCACTGCAGTGCATCGGCAGCACGTATGCCGGCGCGGGTCTCAGCTGCTTGGACAAGAACTTTACGGTAGGCTCAATGCGAGGCGTCAGATCCGTGCCAGCCAAGTGCAGTCCGCCGATAATCTGTCGGACGAGCGTCAACGCCCAGGAGATGATGCGACTTGCTGAGCCAAACGCACCATGTAGACCGGTCTTGCGAACGTCATGACTGCGTCCTTGACAACGTTCACGATACCAGCATGAGAGCATCTGTCAAGGAGGACTGGATTTACACAATTTTGAACGACTGCTCCGCAATCACTTACGCAGAGAACAATATCAAGCCTTTCCCAGCAACGTCTACTGCGGCGTACCGCTCGTCCATCAAGTGCTGTCATCACAAACAATCAGCATCGCATCTTCACCCAGACCCAACGTCCTTGCACTCACATCTTCCTTCACCCACTCACCCTTCCCCTCCTTCTCCACCCACCTCACGCCTCCCGGCAACCCGCCCTCAAACTCCGTCACCCGCGGGATCTCCCCACTCACCCACACCGTCCCATCCGCAACCGCATGCCCCTCCTTATGCGTCTCCACCACCGCGCCCGCCTCCCTCAACTGCTCGAACGTCGGGTCCGGCGGGTGCCGCCCAATGACAATCCCCTGCGGCTGCGGTGCCATCCCCCGCGCGATCGGCCTGCTCGGGTGCAGATCGACGACGCACGGCGGCGCGCTGGCCGACGCGGGGTCCTCCGCGCGGATGCGGAGGAAGGAGAGCATGCCGCCGCTGTGGTCCGAGTGCCAGTGCGAGAGGATGATGCGGTCGATGCGGTGGGTGGGGACGTGCATCGCTGCGATGTTGCGCGCGATCGAGCGCGATTCGGGGCCTGTATCGAAGAGCGTGTAGTGCGACTTCTCGCCCTCGATTTGAGTCTCCTGGAGCATTACATCGCCAGCTGTCAGATGCTCCGCAGGAGTTGCAGTGAATAATACACACGATCAGTGCGGAGAAGCCATGCGCGCCTGTATATCGCGTTGAACACGAGCCATTGCAGTAGAGCTATAGAATGTACACACCACAGCAGTAGTTCTCGAAGTCCACAAAGGGGATCCCGGTCAACTCATCGATAGGTGGATTATGTTCAGTGAGGTGCGTTCGCATCTCATGCGTGAAGCCCGGAGGCAACTTCGTCATCCTACATACACACATCTTGTCATCAGCCATCAGAACCGACACAAAGACGACAAGCACGATACCATTCTATGCAGTTATCGACCAAGAAGGTCACCACGAACTTATCGACAGTTCGGAGAGGAGCCATGACATTCGCAGTGGCCTGCGCTCCACCAGGAGGACGCCTTTTATGGCTCACGCACATGCTTGACAACCCTATCGTCTCGCACTCCTATCTGTACATTCCGTCATGCTGAATGAAGTACTACTGGCGAGTTCATAGCGCAATAGATGTCGGAACAGAGGTCTCGATGCCTCAATTCCGAATATCAAGTGGCAGGCGTGATGCAGATAGTGAGCAGGTGTTGGGCCAAGTTCGAGGGCTGCAGCGAAGATGCGCTATGCACGGACCATTAGCAGCCACACAGTTCCTGCCTCGGACATCGGCAACTTATGTATTGAGAGAGATGCAGGATGGATAAAGCATGTGTACAGCGAGTACAGGTATCTACGGTACACGCAGCGCAGCAGTCCCAGAGTAATCTTGGAAATATATAATAAAGAAAGAGCCGTATCCTGACGACGAAGTATGCTTGACGACAATCGAAACTGCGCGTCAGAGATTCACGTCCTTAGTACTTTCTATGGGGTGGGAAAAAGTCAGAGTCAGAGTCAGAAGTGCGTGAGATAGTGCAGAAACACTGCACTCACCCCATGCCGCCATAGCCCATCGGAGCGCCCTGCTCCGCAAGCCTGCGCTTCCTGAAGGCCTGTGTGTGGTGTGAGTAACGAAACAACGAATCCAAGGGCCCCAAAGTAGCACTTACCCGGCGGTACTTCATGCGCTCAAAGTGCATGAAGAAGATCACGAGGAGCATAATGCCCGTCAGCACGCAGAAGATAACTAGCCCGACCGGGATGATCAGAATATGTCTCCCCGGGATTGCGATCGCTGTCGACGCGTCCGACTCTGCGGTTTTCGAAACGGAGGCGGCGCTCGCCGACGCGGTCGAGCTGGCCGAGGCAGACCCAGCAGAGTCTCCGTTAGCATCGTTGTTGATGTCACCAGCCACGGATGTAGTTGCAGTCGCCTGTGCGCATGGAATCAGTTTGTGTAACGCGTAGAGAGCAAGCTTAGCACGACTTACCGAAGCGGCTGCAGAAGTAACGACGGCCGTGGACGCGATGGACGATTCGCCCTGCGGAGACGTGGTCAATTCATGAAAAGCATTGTGTAGCAAATAGTACCCAAAATACGTACAACTACGACAACAGGATCAGATGTGGCTGCTGCAGCGGCGGCGGTGCCAGACACAGCAGCGAGCGTGCAAGACTTGACTTCTTGATAGGTGCCGTCGGCGTTCGGAGTGAGCGTGATTGTACATGTCTCCAGCATAGTACCGGAAGAGCTATATGCATATCAGCAAAGTTCATCGTCACGCATCGACACGGGTGCCCATGGAAGGAGAAATCGCCCGCCACCACCGCGTCGTGCGCACCCGGATGCACGTGACCGCGCCGACGCGCTTGAGCGGAGTTGCGCCGCACGCAGGAAACGGTGCCCTGCGCCGCTTGCACTCCGCCGACAACCATCATAATTCGTTCCTCGTTGTAGGCGGAATGTGGCGAATCTGATGACTGGCGAGGATTTGATGTCCACCTTTCAATCTACGCAGCTTGGCACTGCGCATTGGCATGCGAGGAAGCCATGCCATTGGCGGTCAGGCAACACAGCACGTGGCGACTGCGATCGAGGTCATTGGTCGAGCAGACCCAGTGAACCCTCGATCAACAGACAAGCAATTGTGTGCTTGGATTACGCCTGCCGAGCACAAGAGTGCTCTTCCTCGATGCGGCATCCATCCATTCCATTATTGTTATGAGATGGTTCACGTACGTGCTGACTGTCTGAGTCGTCTCCAGCGTCATCGCAGAAGCCGTCACCGTCTGGCGAGGTACAAGTCCAAGCACATTTGGTTCGGCGACTGGCACAGCATTCACAAAGCCGGCCAAGCAGGACAAGAGCAAGCAAACAGTGGTGAAGGTGGTCCTCGAGCTGCGGAACATCTTGGCGAGACTGCGGATGAAGCTGAGATGTACAAAAGGAGTATGCAAGAGCGAGAACGGGTGGAGACTGGCTCCTGCGTCGAGCGGATGGACGGCAAAGAAAGCAAGGAATGGAAGGCCCCCAGGGCAGAAAGGTCACAACCCGCAAGCGAGGTGGAGAGGAGAAACGAAGGAGAGGGATGAGGCCCAACGAGCTCTGAGAGCGCTGGGAGTTTATGTTCGCGGACGTCGCGGCAACCATCAGTCAGCTTTGATTCTCCGATTGGGAGGCGATAACAAAGTCTACACGCTATTCAAGCTCCGACCGTAATCGTTCCCGCCGGCATCAAGTCGAAGCAACCGGCAGGAGCCAGGCGATCAGCTTCGCAACGAGAAGTCGTCCGTCCATCGCTCTGTGTGTAGCCACCGCCAAAGTTTGATTGATGTGTCGTTGCAAATCCTCAATCTATTGCGAATTATCACAATTACGAACGTTGTACCAGGAACGCATGGCCACACAGTCAAGAAAGGCAATGGATTTTGCTGCTGTAGCAGTTATACAAGGAAGAAGGGTCGATAAAGATGCATCCTACAGCGGTTAGTATAAATGTGGCCCCCAGATGGACGTCGCTGGATGTGAAACGCATCACGCCAAGGCCGTCTAATACATAGCCTCTGTCATCGCATACCTCCTTCGACAGTTTTGTACACCTTTCCGTCTTTGGTCCGCTGCTGCCGACGCAGCTGCATGACATAGCCAATCACCCGCGACACAGCTTGCGTCCCCCACTGCTCGTACGTCACAGACAGCACAACGTTCAAGATGGCCGCGCCCAGCAGTGTGATCCGCGCAGAAAATGGCAGAGGCACCAGCTCCAAGAGACTTGCAACGGGACGAGGAGGCGACAGCAGGACGACAACGTTGAACAGCGACAGGCAGGCAATCGACAGCATCAACAGGCCTGCGGAAAGTATGTCAGCCATCATTGATACGTGATGCATGATGCAGCTCTCCGTCTCACCATTGGTCCACATGGGCCTGCGGTACGGCGGCCCAATGCTAAAAACAGCTGCCACCAAAATATACTGGAAGCACGACACTAAAAATAGCGCCGAGTTCTCAAAGTTAGTGGCCTCCAGTTGATCATCGCCCGAGCTTGGGTCCGACGGAGGAGGAGGAGTGTACCTTAAAACACAATTAAGGTCCAATCGATGAACCATGAGATGATAGTATTGGCGCACCATTCCTGCCGGCGGACCCAAAAGAAGGCCCAGAATTGGATTGCAGCGGTGATCACGATCTGACCGACAAGACTTGCGAGCACCTTCTTTGACACGAGACTGGCTGTCGGACGCTTGGGATGAATATGAGGGAATGGCAGTGTCCGGCCCACTAATGCGTATGTCAGCATGTCATACTTGCAGTGATGAAGAAAGATGTGCCTTACTCGTGATAGCAATGGGAATGATGATAAACAAGTCGATGTAAAGGAACTGCGCCGCAGTATCATCAGCTCCTGACGCTGGTAATTATACGAAGCTGCACACCTGAAAATCTCCCAGCGAAGAGGCAAACGAATATAGCAACGTGATTGTAGTAAACTGAATGAGAGAATATAACGCCCTGTGATCGCAGTTGTCATCATGCTTGTGCAGGCGGCCATTATTGAACGCATACTTACATATATTTGAAGCAGCTGAAACTTGTCACCAGCGCAGAGCGGCCCTCTTTAATCACCTCCAGCACACAACTGATATCGGGCGTGCGACTGGTAAAAGGCGCAGCGACGGATGCCTCTGCTTCTGACAACGAGAGACCAACGTCCGCAGCTTTCAACGCTGCGCAATCGTTCGCACCATCTCCACACATCAAGACCGTATACCCGAGGTCTTGCAGCCGTTCGACTACCTCATTCTTCTCATCAGGTGACATGCGAGCATATACCTGTGCTTTGACCAGCATCTGCATCAATACATATTAAGTCCCGCAAGTTGGCCTCGATAAATGATGGCGGTCTACGCACACGCTGGAGCGTCTCTAGGGGAGCATGGTTGATCATCCAGCGGAACACGTCACCAGAGATGGCCAGAGTGTAGTCGCCGTAGTCAAGTTCGTCCTCCTCAACAAGACGGTGAGCCGGCGGCGTCAACGGCTTCAACGTGTAGTCATCCAATGCCCACGTTGGCTCATCCATGCAGGTCCATTCCAACTTGGACAGAGGTGTCGTCGCATTGCCTACGAGGTGCTAACAATTAAGCGGTCTTTTCTCCAATGCCAAAATCCGTAGACGTACCCCGGATGAAAATGGGACAGAAGACATGGGCTGCTGGATTGATCAAACCGCATTCTCTCGCGACACTGACGGCCGTTAGTGAATTATCTCCGGTAATCATCCTACAAGCAAAATGTGCGGAGCGCAGTGCTTGGATAGCAGGTGTTGTTCCGGGTTTCAGCTTGTTCTCGAAGATCACCAAACCGAGGAACTGGAGGCCAGATTCAGCCTGTTCACTGTATATAGATGAGAGACTGCGGTGAACCTATCTGCCGATTACTGACCGCTTCAGTTTCTGAGCTTTAAGCCAGGAGAGACCCTCGATGCTCTTGCCAGCCATAGCGATGACTCGATACCCGCGCTTGGTGTAGTACGAGAGCAAGTCATCATAGTCCTGTGGAACTGAAAACAAACTCGTCAGAAGACAGCATGCGGCACACGGGCGAACTAACTGACAGGAATCTTTATCGCATATCTCACCCATCACCTCAGGGGCGCCCTTGACATAGATCTCCATGCTATTGCTCTTCAATCGCTTGACGATGACGCTCATTCTGCGAAGCGAAGACACAAAGTCGAACGTGCGGATCACGCCCAACTCGAGGAAGTGTGCATGCTGACCACCGAGCAATTAGTCCGCATAGCAAGCTTTGCAGCGAGAAACGTACTCTTCCGCCTTTCAGCGCGTCTTCAATCCGAAACTGAGCACTACCCGGTGGACGAACGACAGTCTGCACCAATGCGGCAGGGCGACCGCCTCCAGCCCGACTCTTGACAATGCCTGTCCCAGCAACGTTGCCTTCTTCCAGCGTCCATTTCGTAAACCCGAACATCTTGACATCGAGCGGGTCACCAATAACCTCTCCATCCACGTTCTTCAACGAATGGCACGTTGCCAACGCATGGAGGAAGTTCGCTTTTTCTCGACTAGACGGCAGGTCATGGATGTCTTCAATCAGCTCACCGAATCGGTCGAAGTTGCGTTCCAACGACCGGACACCAAGGATGTCCAGCCCGTCTTCCGTAAGAGTTCCCGTCTTGTCGAAGCAGCAGACATTGATCTGACCCGCAACATTGACGCGGTTCGGCGAGATGCAATATATGCCGAGCTTACGGAGCCGATTTATTGCGAAACTCGTGCCGATAGAGAGAGTCGCGGGCAGTGCAGGCGGCACCACCACCGTGATCAGATCCAGTGCTCGAATCAAGATCGTGTGCCATGGTACCTGTGTATTTTCATCACCGGTCAGACATCACCGCGACGGAGAACCATTACTTACTCCGAGCCGGACAAATTGGATAGCGCTGGCACAGAAGCCCAACCCTGCGACACCTGTCAGGACGAGAATAAACCTGATCGAGTCGCGATAGAACTTGAATCCCATCGGCTTCGGAAATAACATGGACCGCACAAGAGCACCTTTCGTGGTGTAGAATCCTGGAGACATTTCAGTCAAATTCGGGGAAAAGGAGCACATGTATGGGTATACCTATTCGAGCAACCAATCCTAAAGCCGGAGTCCGCACACTCCCGTCCATGGCGAGGGAGCCTCTCATCCGCACGACACGAGTACCAGCATAGAGAAAGCTCTTCGACATGTCTCCACTGATGTCCTTGCCATCTCGGAAAAGAGCCATATCTGCGTCCTTCACAGGTGCCTTGCCAACTGGAACACTTTCGCCTGTAAGCATGCTCTCATTGACAATAGCATCTCCAGACAGCAGAAAGATGTCGGCAGGGATCGTACCCAGTTGAGGCTCAACGAGATTAACGATATCACCTGGAACGAGTGACGAGGAATCGCGCTCTGTCCCTGAACATCGTGGTCGGTGATTTATGATTCCAAAAAAGTGACTGAGCCCTTACATGCTCCATTAACGTAGACGTTTACCAGGCAGGTGAACCTAGACATTTTCCGCATTCGCGCGATAGTCTGTCGAGATTCAATCACCTGCTTTCTGGACAGACTTGACTGAGCTTACCTTCTTCGTTTCCAGAAGAGTTGTTGTGATGCTGACGGCCGAGATCAGAGCAATGCAGAAAGCGTAGTAATAATAGTTGTCCAGGGACCAGAGGATCATGCTGGCGATTTGGAATACGTAAAACGGATGTATAACCTGTGCAATGATGAGTTCAAGACAGCGTATATACTTGCAAAAGGATGTACCTCGTCTATGAGAAGTGAGGTGGTAGACTTGCCCTCAATGTCTATAAAATTCTGGCCAAACAGCGTGCGCCGTTGTCTTTGCACGTCCTCATCCAAACCGTGCTGCACAGAGGCCACGCCTGACCATGATGAGTCACGCCAATCCCTTAAAACCTGTCAGACCCCGTTATATCGCATGAAGGATTATGCAACTACCTGATCATACTGAACAACCCAGTCCTGGGATCCAGCGCAAATCGTGTATACCGATAATCAAGAACTGCAAGAGATCCCAAGCTTTTGCCTGAGTCGCCATTTGGTGGGTCTTGCGAATGAGGTGACGTCCTCGATATCGGAAGCAAAGCTGTTGGGTCGGCCGGGGATGAGAACACTGTTGCAAGGTCGTATGGGTATTCAACTCTGCGCAACTCGAACAAAGCAATATCTCTGTGGGCGGTCTTCGACCCGTTGGCATTGCTGCATAGCATAGACCTCGTAAACGCACCTCAACGACGACAAATCCGCTGCTGATCTCTATGAACGCCTTCTCATGAGCAACCGAGGAGAGCCACAATCGGGGGAACCAGTGTCCTAGGAGTGCTAAGACGCCACAAGTTACTACGCAGGAGAGCCGCCAAAGCGACTGGCGCCATGGGATGATTTCGTAACCAATCATTCTGATGTGCGCGTCTTCATCGTCGAGGTAGATAGTCTGTCGGCTGGGAGGACCGGGAGGTGGCGGAGACGTGGGTTCAAACTCGCCCATATCAATACGTGCCTCGCCACCGAAGATAGCATCTCCAGCGAGGAGAGGCAAAGTAGGCACCATGCTCGGAGAGGGGGGATACGAACCATAGTCGAGTACATTGATGCTTGAGGTCTCGCTCGCATCGCCGCGGGCGACGTCCAGAGAGGCTACACTTTCCTCGTCTTCTTCTCCCGAGGAGTACCCCCACCTATCGTGCCCCTCCCCTTCCGACTCGACGGCGTAATCCGAGCTTGCAACTGACCGCCTGCTGCTGGATCGATGGAATAAACTGGTCCTTGAGATACGGCTTGCCGTGGACGGACGGCGGCTACGCGGGGGTGACCCCGTCTCTGTATACCCTCTGCCGAACATGTGCGCAATGTTGTCGAACATACTGTGTCTGAGAACAGGTGAACCTGAAGGCGACCGACCTCGTCTTGATCTCGTGGGCAAACCATGGCTCTCCTCTTCTTCTTCATCGGAGACCACACCGTCGTGCTGCCTCTCCCCATTCTCTGCCGACCCATACACCTTACTGTCCCGGCTGTGTCTCCGATGTGGACTCCTCATACCCTCGCTGGAGCCGGCCTCGCTGTGTCTGCGCGTCCCCGAGCCTCTCGACCACGCATCGCTGCTGCGCCGTCGACGCTCCCCAAGGGACATCCTCGACACGCTACTAGGGTTGACGGAATGCGATGGTCCGTCAAACATAGCACCCTCTCCTTCCTCGCCATACCGAGAATCTCTTCTCCCCCGTGAGTTGCTAGCTATAGCTTCCTGGATGTCGATGGCCGAAGCGCCTTCAGTATAGTCGTACGATCGAAGCCGAGAGGAGTCAGGCTCCATTGGAGGACCTTGATAGTAGAATACTATAATCCTTTACCAATGACAAAGCCGCTAGCGATCAAATGATAGATAGCCTCGACGATATTCAAGAGACAGAGACAGCCATGATTGAAATTCAGTGTGAAGTAGGCGCGCAAGCACCGGCGGCTAGAAAACGTTCGCTAACTACGTCCGGGCTCGCGTGCATTTGCTGCCGACCGGGCAAAGGCGGCGGGTACACAAAAGCTTACGATAGGCAGAAAGCAAGCGACAACATATGTATTACGACAGTACTAGAGATACACATGAAAAGAGTCCGGAAAGTCCAGCGTCAGAACGTTACCCAAGGTATTTCCAGATGAAAAAGAAACAGACGAAGGTGAAGATCGCGCCAACGATGAAAATATACATATCTTGTGTACTAAGCAATGCATAGAATCGTCAGAGATCAGCCGAGAATTGGATGATCGATACGACTACGCACCTTCTCCTCTCAATCCATCCGATAACATCCTTGCTTAGTCCAAGGGTATTCGCGGCATCCAACAGACGTTTCTGCGTCCCTTTCAAAACCGAACGTTGGTCCACAAGGTCGTCCAGCACCGCACGACCTTGCGCAATGAACTCGTCTAGCCGATTTTCAGTATTGTGGATGAAGCTGTGTTCGCGTAGTGCGTGATCTTCTCGAAGGCCAGACATCGGCATCGGTGTGGGACCACTGAACGGCGACTCGGACACCTCGGAGGATGAAGCTGACTGTCCGGCCATAAACCGTCTTCTCGCGTCTCCCGGTGACAGCGGTGTTGTTGAGGATGACGATGCTGATAACAATTCGGCACGCGTCGCTGCTTCACTCTGGCAGGGAACAACATGCATGGCTCAGGAGCTGTGAGCGTTACCAGTAGATGAAACAAAACTGACCTCGCCCTTTATCCGTTCGAATTGACCTTTTAATTCCGCATAATCTGCTCGAAACTTCTGTACTCGCCTTAGTGAGTGCAGGGTCAATCAATCCATATTCGCTGCATGCAGGAGGTAGACACGCACATCATTGCCTTCTCCTGCTTAGCCTTGATAATCTCCCTCTTCGCCATCGAGTCATAATCGTCCACCGTCCGGTGCATCGCCGCCAACGACGCGGATATCTGCCCTGTCAAACATCAGGACAAGTCGTCACATCTCCGGATCCTTCCGCCAGAGTGCTCGCACGACGCGCCGGTGTGTGCGAAGTGCAGCATCGCATGCACGGACCTATGAGAGCCGCAGATTTCTCGCCGTTGCGCAGGCGTTCCAGGTCTGCCTGGATGGAATTCGTTTGGCGCACTCCGAGGGTATAAAGTGAGTTCATCTTGACAACGGGGACGTTAAGCCACACAAGGCGCAAGCTTTTGTGAAGGGATTAGTCCTTGGAATTGTCTCCACGATTAGAGCTACGTGTAAGCAAGACAAGCTACTAGACACGTTTGCTTGGTGATAGTCGCAGACAGCGCTGCACGCAGCTGGACACGATGTCGGCACTAAACGCCACAAGCCCGTGACATAGTCGCGACTGTCACGCCAACTCTGTCACGGTCAGTGTCTTTGTCTCGCCTTCCAGTTGACCGCAGACTTATCATTTTGTCCTTCACGCATATATGCTGTTAGATCAACGTCAGCAATAGCCATCTGAACCCCCTTGTCACTGGGAAATCCTTTAGGAAGCCATGGAAGAAGAGCCAGAGTTTCCCTCAGCATGCGGTCCCATACGGCTTCCGCCATCAACGATCCGTGTTACCGATGCAGATGAGGAGGTACGCAGCATCAGTGCGAACAGCGGTGACGTTCAAATATACAGCCAATTCCTTGCATGCCATCAGATTTTTCTGCTATATACCAGCTTGGCTGCTCAGGACCCTACGGACAGTTCGACTGGGTTCCGCGGACTAGGATACGTCGACTCGCACAAGGACACTCTCACAATTGAGTTCACCATCCAGACTCCAGACGCCTCTTCTGCTATCGTTGAAAACGATCGCGCAATCCCGCAGAGGCGCTTAGGCAGGGCCGCCACGAAGAAGCAGAAGGTGGCATTGGCTGGGCAGGAACAGGTCCTATCAGTCGAGCTGTACCAGGACAAGACCGCATTGCGGAGTCGCAAGGGCGATACGGGGAGTGTCCTTTGGCGTGCAAGGTGAGTTATCAATCACTTTGCTGTAATCAGGCACGCGCGAAGCGTATGAATGGCTGTCTAGCGTTGATCTCGCACACTACGTCCTACAGCAATACTATGCCCGAGCGCCGGACGCGCTCATCAGTCCAGCCGCGCTGCAGGGTGCGCATGTGCTCGAGCTAGGGTGAGCGCGGCTCCCTTCCAGGTCGCGTGCGTCAGTCGACTCACGTCAAGCCCGCCCTCGCCGGCTCTGCGCCCATGATTGATTCGCAACGCCGCATGCAGAACCGGAACGGGCCTTCTCGCCATCGTGCTATCGCGCATCGTCGCGCGATACACCGCAACGGACATTGAGGCTCTCGTCCCACTCATCCGGAAAAATCTCACGCTGAACCGACCGAAGTTACCCCCTTCCCCGTCTCCAAAACATCGGCGCGTGCATTCACGTGGAGATACCGCTCATAGTGATCTCTTGGCGAATGTCATCGTCGAGGCTCTGGACTGGGAGATGCTGCACCGTGCGTCCGCTCACGCACGTCGGTCCCTCTACAAGTTTCCGCCGATAGACATTTTGCTCGTTGTGGATTGCATCTACCATCCATCATTACTCCCTGCGCTGCTGTCGACGATTGACCATTTGACAACGCCGGAGCTGACAGCGGTCCTGGTGGTGACTGAATTACGAGCAGAAGATGTTGTCAGAGAGTTTTTGGAGCGATGGCTTGCTCTATCGCCGGAGGGCGCATGGAAGGTTTTCAGGGTCGACGGCATTTTAGACAGACCATATGTAATTTGGATTGGATGGAAGAGGCTGTCTGTTGGTCAAGAATAGCATCTGTTACTCATGGATACGGTGATACGTACTACGGGGATCGCGCCAATGTCTGCGTGTGAAAGAAAACCATCTATCAACCGAAGCGAGTAGAAAGAACAGCTGCCGTAAAGAGCATAGTGCGGGTAGCATGCAGCATTTTGCCGTCACCGCTTCCTGCGGCCCCCGCCGCTTTTGCGCGACGTTTTACCTCCCGCTCGCTCAGCCTTCTCCACCTTCCGTCTATTCTGTTTTATTCTGTCTGATTTTCGCGCCGCATTTGTCAGGTATTTAATGTCTTTTGCTTTGGTTGCTGTCTTGGTTGCCATCTTCGTTCGGCCTACAGCAGCTTTATTTTTCTGTTTGGATGTCGCGCTGCTTGTATTCTGCCGGCCACCGCTGTTTGTGTGTGATGGGCGCCCCGGATGGTCTTGAGCATTCGCCTCGGCTCGCTTATCTGGACCACTCGATCCATGAATGAGAGCGTCGGGATCAAAATCCTCGACGACAGTCACGGTCGCTACTTCCTCTTCGTACTCGTATTCTTCCTTTTGCTGTCTCTCTTCACCCTTGTCGGCGGATGTGCCCGCCGACAGACCGGACCATTGGTCACCCGATGCGCTCTGCTCTTCTGTCAATCATCGCGTGGTCATATGTAGCACAAGGACAGATCACACCGGTCGACACTTACCGGTTGCACCGCCATATGCCTTCTCCACTTCCGCCGCGTTCTGAGCAGCACGTTCGGCAAGCATTCTACGTTTCTAGCGTGTTGCGCCACATGAACGCTCGGTCACGCAAGTTGATACCTTATGAGCATACCTCTCTCCTCGCTTCCAGGTGCTCTTGTTTCTCCCTTTCAATAGCTTTCTGTTTGGCAGCCTCCTTCTTTTGCACCTTGCGCTTGTGGAACCCAGTCAAGAATTCCCTGAGACGGGCAGGCATGCATTAAGACTCCATCCTTGATAATTAATTAATTTGAGCCAACCTGCGGGCATCGTCGTCGAATAAGACCTCCTTGATCTGCGCCTTCTTTGCACGCTTTTTGGCGGCGATGATTTTGTGGGAGTTCGTGAGGAAGGCGAGGTTTGAAGACATGCTGAGCAAGGGCAGATGAGCGATTGTGGCTGAGCGCCGCGCAGGCGTTGAACCGAGGAGGCGAAATCTGCCAAAATAGGCAGCTTCGCTGTAGATCAAACTCATCACACCACATGCCACGTCTCATTCATAAATGATGGCTTGGGATGAAAACATAAAGTTCAGTCAAAACGACGGACGACTCTCCTTTCCAGCAAGATGTCGGGAGAAGCTGCTCTTCTAATTCTGCATCGTTGCCGCGAATGGTGACGCCTTACGCGATAATGCGGTACGTTTGTGGAAGTATTCTGCGGATGCTGCGCCGCTGACCACATGGCTCCGTTACTCAAGATAGCTCAGGATCTGTTCCAGATCCCACGAACCCGGGCTGTCAATTAATATTTCAGCAAATGCACCCCGGGTGACCTAACCATGTCTGCTCAGGTGCTCATTGTGGGGACGTTGTTTCCGCGATCTGAATGCACGGTTCTGCCGCCGGTACGCACAGACTGCCGAGCAGATGGCCCGCGGACACCGAATGATCCCGCCATAGCCTCGTTGCACGCGCTGTCGATGTCTACTCGGCTTCATTATTTTAGGATGAAGCTTAAAGACCCTGGGCCTCTCTTCCCCGCTACGTCGGACTCTTGATGCATGATGCGCTGGGCGGACCGACCTGACGTCTCGTGAGATTCGCTCGCGAACAGATTTCCAAATGACTTGGTACTACATGAAACGGTGTCAAGAGGCATACACACGGAGGATGATCGCCGACTTCTGGGGCAGATTCACTTGCAGCATTGTGCTACCACAACGCAGAATCCTCAGAACCGCGTGCACATGGTTGTGCAGCACGACGTTATCCGAAGCCGCACTTGGAAGTATCCTACCGCTCATGGCGTCTGCATTATCATGGGCGACCCATCAGATTTCAAAGCTCAGCATCATGCTATCAGGCAGTGACCATCTGTTCTAGCAGATGCGGGACTCAAGATACTGTCATGAAACTGGGCGCAACTGCTCCGTCCCGACAGATCCATGTGAAGGCTTACCGAGTGCGTATCCCAGTTTAGCACTATCGTCCCAATATGCTGATAGCTTTTCTGTAGCACGGCGGCTTCGTCCACTTCGGTGATTATGAATGCCGAGAAAATCCACGCCACTGAGACCAAATGCGAGACAGCAATTGCCGTGAAGAGTTCATGGTGCTGATGGCTGTCCAACAGTCAATGCCAGTCGGGGTTCTGGAGTTCCCTAGAAGACAACCTACTTCCCTTAATCATTAGTGTGGCGGTCCATTTGCTGATGGAGCGAAGACTCTGCAGAGTGTCTACGGATCATCCACGAGTGTCGAGCTTGGCGCAGTCAGGCTCCTCGCGCTCCCCCGTCAGATTGCATCTAGGTCCTGCTACACATGCCACCAATACCTGGCATACATGTCTCACCGTGATAAGGCACACGGGCCCGCGCTTCTCCATGAGTGAAATCCACCGCTTATCGCACGGGAAGCTTGCTCCCGAGGCGCATAAGAAGCGTGTGCTTGGGAAGCTGAGCTATCCTCCGCTCCGTCTTCCTTCGTTCCATCATGGCCAGCATACATGATGACCAGGGGAGCGCGAGTTCGATCTCTGGCAAGGAGAAGGTCGACATCGAGAAGGATGGTAGGTGTCTTTCAACTCTCTGCCCAGCGCACAACGCGCTCACGTGTACATTGTCGTAGTGGTACGTCCCGTCGTGCCCGTCGTCGACTTCGACGATCCCAATCTCGACAGGGATGCGCTCGAAGGGCTCGACTTCGGTAAGTGGTTGTCGACATGCTCAGCCGTTTGCTCTGACATGGAAATCAGAGGAGGACTCCCCATATCCTGAGGTCCGATCTGCGGTTGCCAACACCGACGACCCCACCATGCCTGCATCTACTATTCGCACATGGGTCTTGGGTGTCATTTGGGCCATGATCATCCCTGGCATGAACCAGTTCTTCTTCTTCCGCTACCCTTCGGTTACCGTTGGTAGTGTGAGTACCCGCATGGCTTCGCTTAGAGCCCTCGCTGAACCATGCCTTGCCAGTTCGTCGCTCTGCTGATCACATTTCCCATCGGCCGTGCTTGGGCAAAGTTCATGCCTCGTGTGAAGCTTTTTGGTGTTCCTCTTAATCCTGGTCCATTCAGCGTTAAAGAGCACGTCTTGATAACTATCATGGCGAGCGTCGGGGCTTCCTCGGCGTATGCGGTACGTCGGCGTCTCGTACCCAATGTTCCGTATTAGCTCACGAAGGTTCTTTGCAGACGGACATCATCGCCGTACAACGCGTTTACTACAGCCAGGACTACAACTTCGGATGTGAGCGAAACTGTTGTCGTCCGTTGCGGATTTAATTAATGTGCCGCTACTTGACTTGCAGATCAATGGATGGTTGTCATGAGCACGCAGCTGGTGAATCTGAGCTAGAACTTTTATAGCGAGCGATCGACTGATGGACTGTCAACGCAGATTGGGTTCTCTATCGGAGGCATCCTGCGCAGGTTCCTCGTACAGCCACCTTCGATGAGTAAGTAATTCACTCATTGAGGTTCACACCGCACTGATGTACCTGGTACGCAGTCTGGCCAGTTAACCTGGTTACTTGCGCGCTGTTCAACACGTTGCACCAGCAGCACTACGCTGGTATGGGTACCCGTGGAGGTATCAGCCGTGAACGTTTCTTCCTCTATGTATTCGTCGGCTCGTTCTGCTGGTACTGGTTCCCCGGCTACATCTTCCAAGCACTGTCCTACTTTAACTGGGTGTGCTGGATCGTTCCAAACAACGTTGTCGTGAACCAGCTTTTCGGATATACGAGTGGCCTGGTGCGTGAGCCCGGGAATGATTACGGCACAATGGTCACCCCACTAATTCTTGATACTAGGGGATGTCATTGATTACGTTCGACTGGTCTCAGGTATGATCAAGCAACAATTATGTTCGATAGTGTGAAGGCTGAACGCGTACATCAGATTGCCTACAATGGTTCTCCCTTACCAACGCCTTGGTGGGCAGAGGCCAATATTGCTGTCGGCTTCGTTTTCTTCTTTTGTGAGTTCATTCTTCAGATCTGAAGAAATGGTGCTGAAGAATTATCCAGGGATCCTCGCGCCTATTCTTTACTACACGGACACGTGGTACAGCGCTTGGTTGCCGTAAGTTTCAGGATTTGATTTTCTTCAAAGAGAGATACTGAAAGGTGCTGCAATAGAATGTCATCAAGAGGATCCTTTGATCGTTTCGGCAATGCCTACAACATCAGCGCTATCATCAACGTTGATGCTTCGCTCAACGTTGAGAAGTATGAGGCGTACAGCCCGTTGTTCCTCTCGATCACGTTCGCCATGTCCTACGGTCTGTCATTTGCGTCCATCACCTCCATCTTTACGCACACCTTCCTGTACTTCCGCAAGATGATCTGGGTGCAGTCACGCCGATCCATGCACGAGCAGCCTGACATCCATGCCCGCCTGATGTCGAGGTATCGGCAAGTACCGGAGTGGTGGTATGCTGTCATCCTTGGTGCGTAATACTCTACTATTACAAGCGCGGATGGCTGTCTGATAATTGCGCAGTCACCATGTTCGTATTCGGTATCATCTCCATTGAAGTCTGGCATACCGAATTCCCTGTCTGGGCGTTCGTTTTAAGTCTGATCATATGTGAGGGTCCTCTCCTTTGATAGTCAAACTCAAGCTGACACCACTACGCAGCCTTCGTGTACTGTGTCCCAGTCGGCATGATCCAGGCAATCACCAACCAGCAGCTCGGGCTCAAGTAAGTCTGCCTGACGCGAATGCGGGTCATCGAGCTGACGAACGCGATACAGTGTCATCACTGAGCTGATCATCGGCTACGCGCTGCCTGGCAGGCCGATTGCCATGATGATGTTCAAGACGTGGGGATACATTACGATGGCACAGGCGCTGCAGTTCACGTCAGATTTCAAACTGGGACACTACATGAAGATCGACCCTCGTCAGATGTTCTGGAGCCAGGTCGTCGCAACTGTCATTGCGGGCACCGTCCAACTCGGAGTGCAGGCGTGGATGTTCACCAACATCCCTGACATGTGCTCATCCACCCAGCAGAATGGTTTCATTGTCAGTCCTGGTTGCTGCAACTGCTGTAATTCATTTGGTTGATATGTCCTGCAGTGTCCGTCAACGGAGGTGTTCGGTACAGCATCTTTCATCTGGGGAGTTATCGGCCCAGCACGTCAGTTCTCGAAAGGACAGCTCTACTAGTGAGCCGATATCTTCAGTCATACTTTCCCTTGTTCTGACTGTTCGATAACTTAATCAGCGGCCTTGTGTGGTTCTTCCTGGTTGGCATGCTTTGCCCGCTAGGCGGCTGGCTCATTTCCCTGAGGTATCCCAACTCGTGGGTCAAATACGTCAACTTCCCCGTCATCTTCAGCGGGACTGGTAACATTCCGCCAGCTACCGCTGTCAACTACGTCCCATGGGCTATCGTTGGGTTCATCTTCAACTACATCATTCGTAGACGTCACTTCTCCTGGTGGACGAAGTACAACTGTGAGCACGATGCGCATGAAGTCATGCAATGAAATGTTGACGTTCTGTCGTCAGATGTGCTGTCCGCGGGTTTGGACTCCGGGCTTGCCGTGTCGATCATCGTGATCTTCTTCTGCGTGCAATACCCGCGCGCAGGGAAGATTGGCGCAGACACACTGCAGAAGTGGTGGGGAAATACTGTGTTCCTGGACAATGCGGATGGTCGATCTGCTAGCTACAAGGTTGTCGAGTCTGGCGGATACTTCGGGTGAGTAATCAGAGACAACGAGTCACACATGCGATTTGCTGACGTTATTCCTCAACAGTCCGTCCCACTGGTAGTTTATGACGATGCCATAGTAGGCGTTTTTCCTCTGGTTCATATTGTATTCTAGTAGTGTGTAGTTTTACGATGATGAACGTACGATCTTGACGACGTTGTATTTGTCCATTGTTGACGTAGTGGGAATTTCCGTGGCTGCCTACGGTGGAGCGGCATATTCTCGGGCGATCATTTCCGAGCCTGTCTCTTACACCAAAAGTATCTAGAATGTAAGGCACCACATAGCTTACTGATCTTTCCATACACAAAGGAGCCATTCTGCAGTCTGCCTACGGAAGACAAAGAGCGGTTGTACTACATGAGAGTTTGTGACTACGAATTGCATACTAGTATGTCCGACTTTTCAATGATCCTGTTCTCTCCTTTTCATTTCTCTGCCTCCTAGATGCTTGCAATTCGCTAGTTTCAACCATGCGCATGGAGATTTGACTTAATGCTCATACAATCCATGAAATCAATTTGTCCACAAGTCATATTATGATAGAGCAGTAGCTTCGAAGATTGCATTGGTTGATGTGCGCTGGCTTGAACTGGGGCCACAAGATGTGGCTTCAGCAGGAAGCACTGACCCTCCTCACTATTAGCCAACTCTCTTAACAGCAAGCCGAGCACTGATTAGTTCATTATTGAGCGCTGGGTATCCTGCAGCTGAGCGACCTATCATTATGTGTTCGACTAAACTGGCAGTCATCTGGCACACCACGCTGACACTAAGCCGCAGGTTTGCATATGATGAGTCTGCCACCCCCCATCAGAGAATCAAACCTACTGCACTGTCTCTGCACTGGAGGCAGGGTGCACAGACGGGGTTTCTCTGTCATATATCATTGACACTGCGGTGGGGGAAGAGCGTGTCCGCCTCCCTTGCCTCTCATTCATGCTGCGTCATTCTTGCAACGGAGACACCTTCATCTTCGATCTCGGGATACGGAGAGACTGGGAGGAGGCTCTTCCGCCCGTCCTCACAGATAAGGTCAGGAGAAGCGCGAAGGTCGTGGTTCCGCAGAATGTGACACAGTCGCTGCAGAAGGGCAGATACGATCGCTCACAGGTCAAGCATATCTGCCTCTCGCACATCCACCTCGATCACCTATGCAATCCCGCATCCTTCGCGAACGCGACTTTCATCGTCGGAGAGAACACGCGCGACCTACTCACTCCAGGCCATCCGGCCGACCCAGAGGCGGAGTTCCGCAGTGACCTCCTCCCTACCGCGCGTACTCGATATATATCTCCCACTACGGAGGATATGAGACCGATTGGCCCGTTCTCGCGCACGCTTGACGTTTACGGTGACGGCAGCTTGTACATCGTCGACACGCCTGGCCAACTACCCGGCCATTCAAGTTTGGGCGTGCTTGCGCGGACGTCCGCGGACGGCGGATGGATCTTCCTCGCGGGGGACGCTGCAGGCGACTGGCGGCTGCTGGTGGGAGAAACTGGAATTGCGGACCACGAGCATTTAGGCTGTGTACATACAGACAAGAACATCGCTGCGGCCACTATCGAGCAGGTCAAGGTGTTGATGAAGATGCCGAGGGTGAGGGTGCTGATTGTGCACGATGTTCCGTGGTACGAGGATAACAAAGACGGACCGGCATTCCTGCCTGGCTCAATTGAATCGTTGTGACAGTTGGCGATCAGTCAATCATGTCACCGACCTTGTAATCCTCGTCCACTTTTTTGACACAAGGTCTTGCTCAATAACCAAGAATTATGTATTTCACCACAGCAGTATTGCACTTGTATGACGCTGTCGTGTAATCACGATTCTCTTTGTCATTTGTATTCAAGTGGCAACGCCCGAGAAGACCGCATCAGCAGATACTATCACATGCATGCTAGCTGTTTTGATTGGAAATGAAAAGAACCACGCATGTGAAAAGTATGTTACTCGCCTTAGTTGATATGTAAAATTCGCACCCAACATGCCATCGTCAATTATAGAACGATCTTCAAGAGCTTCTTCGTATCACGTTTGTAAGAAAGGCGTATTATGCTTAGTAGAATGACGATGGACGCGATTCAGGATTCAAATGTGGGCTCCTTACAATCATACACACGCAGATGTCGGGCCTGCGTTGCGATATGGAAAACCAGAGCAAAATCCAACAGTTGCACGTAGGTAGACCGGCAAATGCCGTTGCGGCACAGATAGCTAGAGCTATCCTAAATCAGGCAGGTATCAGCAACTGAACGGACTTAGTGGTTGAGATACTACCGCGACTGGTGGCTACCAGGCACGCTGTGAAAGCCCGCTGATATATAACTACTCTTGCATGGGGGTGTGTCACTTGGAGCTCTGGGGGATGAACATTGAACCTTGAAACACCATATTGTTTGAGAAACAGGCCATGATGTTGACTGTCGTTCAATCCTTGTCCTACAAATGCTAACGACAGAAAGACGAATGTGAGGAAAACCCTTTTTTAAACAGAATGAGATCATGCTCACTATATTTGATCTAGGCTGGCGAAGCGATCTTGAGATCCACGAAATAGCTCCAATTACATTGATCCGCGTGAATTTGTAGATGAATGCCACCAGAGATCAAAGTATGGACGAGATAGGTGACATAGTCTCCATCTTTTTCAATGAATCTAAAGTATTTCATTAAATCAAAAGTCCCTGAAATATGTCCGAAGGACTTAAGTCACATCACATCAAGCGACACAGAGCTCGGTCAAAAAGTCTTTAGCACCACGCCAACGATTGATCTCCGGAAGCGACTCAGAAACCACTTACTTTGGTACATTCAATAGAACTGTAGCCATATGCATATGGTCATATGTCCTACCCGGGCGTTTCCAGCACATGCAAGCTCGGATCCGCACAAAGTACGCGGCATTATCAGTATTGGGAAACGAGCCTTTCAATGCGCACCATAATTGGAGAAACTTCTGCTGCTAAGTCGCTCCAGCCGAGGCACAATCATCCTTAGCTCGTCGCGGACGATGAGTCAGGGGCAGACTTTAGAACAACTGGAAGAAAGCAAAATATAAACGAGTGAGCGCTCGCAAGAGGAAAAGATCGATTAGATAAACCACGTCAAACGTTTGCGCTCAGGATCAACAGCGATGGAAAGCAACTCTTCCCCGGACAACTGCCATCTCGCTTCCAGGCGCGCACGCTCTCTCAGGCTCATATAGCCGCACGGCAGGCATTTTACCCACGTCGCCCTCCTCCTGGTCCACGTATTCACTCGCACTCGCAAGACAAGCCCCGTTGCAGTGATACACCGAGCTTCGACGTAGCGACGATGCCCGCTCGTGTCCTGTCCTCCGAACGGGCCCACTACAGGCCCACGCCCGCCATCTCACGACAACCTGGAGGAGAGATGCTCGCTGATCCCCAATGGCAGATTTTGTTCGACCCAGGCCACCTCGAGTTCACCGCCACTTCTCGCGAACACAGGATGTTTGCTTCACAAGGTCCCCAGTTCACATCAACGGACGCGGCAGAACGACCGACGCTTCCTCACGCTCCTTACGTCTCAGATCGTCAGGGTACGCTCAATTACCCCTCGTATGTGCAGAGGAATAGCCACCCACCCATGCCTCCGTGGCTGTACCCACCGGGTGCATATGGGGGGTACCAGACCGTGCGTGCCCCAGCGAGTGCGGTACCGCCACCGCCACCAATGGTGCACAAAGTGTGGATTCTGGACTGCAAGTCGTGTGGGATGTTCTTGACGAACAGAGGCATGAAAGTGAGTTATCGACTCTTTTGTGGCGCGCTTGTTTGGGTGCTTCGCAGACAGCTGGAATGCTAGGATCTGCAATGCAATCTTGGACCCTGTGGGTTCCCCGCATTTTGTCTAGATTGTGTGATCCGAGGAAGATTTGTATCGTTTATATATTTCCATTTCAGCTTACATGATCTACCTTCTCTTACGCGCGCTGATATATTACCGCAGGCGGTCCTTCTTCTTAGGCCGAACGTCCCGCTCTACTCGACAGATGCGCTACCGATCAACTGCTCTGCATATTCTCCCTACCCTGAGACCTCCTCAATCTGCGCCTCCTCACCACCAGAATTTTCCTCTGCGACACGAACGTGCGAATGCTTGACGCAGACGCTCTGCTGCCATGGCTGCGGAAGCGCAGTGGGGTACACGATCGTGAGCCCGTGCCGGCGGTGTACATCGTCGATCTCGGCGAGCCAGCGTGCGACAAATGGGCATCGGTTCGTGTTCTACGCGAAGGAGGTCGATGCGGAGGAGCGGCGGTACGTGCCCGGGGAGCATGGCGTGCTCTCTGAGCAGCCGCGGCCGCCACTGATGCCGCCTTTGCATGCGATGCGGACGATGAACAGGCTGCCGCTGCGGCCTTCGTTGACGAGAACATCGATTCCGGCGCCGCCACCTCTGTCGAGAGCGCAGGCGGTGCATCCTACTCTCTCGGCGTCCACTACGGCCGACTCTATGTCTGTACTCACCTCGAGCCATGATCTTCTACCCTCAAGGACATCGCTATCCCTGGAAGACCCCTCGACTGGGACCGAGCTGTCTAACGAGACTCGTCTCCCTGTATCGCCTGTCATTGCCTCCCGCAGCGGTGCGAGTCATCGATCGACGGCTCCCGTCGAAGGCTTTTCATCTTTCTCGATGGCACAGCTTCCCCCGACGCCTCCCAACTCCCGTTCAATCACTGCTGGCGCCAACTCTCCGAGCGTTGCCGATCTCGACTCCAGCCAGTCACACAGAATGGTGGTCCCTCCTCTCCCTCCGCCGCCCGCGCCGGAAAAGTTGAAGGCAGGCGATTTACTGTACTGGCACCATCTGGTGAGGAGCGGAGACATACCATCGGTGTCGGAGGACCCGCGTGCGAGGAAGGGGTACGGCGCGACACGAGAAAAGGACGCGCAACCGGGGACGGGCGTGAGCGTCAGGAGGAGAGTGCTCGCAGGACGATAACGATGGCGCGACCAACGGTGTTTGCGAATAGGACCTACATATCCACAGGCAGCGATCACAACGAAAATTCACGACCACACGACACGAAACAACGGCATCTCGCATACCTTGTTCTCTCTATTTATCGCCTCTTGATCTTGGACATGGACACGGACATGTACATAAGTCAACTACCTGACTCTGAGTCGCTCCACGTCCTATCTCCTTGGTGTATTTTTCCGAATACCCGCATCTGTATGTATATCTTCTGTCTGTACATATAGCTAGGCTTGCAATTCGGTTGTAGATCTCTTTTGGTCGTCTCCTATATATGTTTGATGTATATATATTGTCTGTGTTTTGTCAATCTCTGCATTTGTATCTAGGGTTTCTGCAATCAAGTTCGTTGAACAATCCGGGTTGTGGAAGGTCGCTGGTGAGTTCATCTTCATGTCCGGAAAGACTGGTAATCTGTCTCCGTTAAGGTTCGTACTTACACAACTCCCGATCTCAAGCGTCCAAATGACTGAGCGGCCGCTGGAGGGACGATGCACTGCCAATCAATCAAGCCAATCCAAGACGTGGAAGTTCGATGTTCTCCGTTCAACATTATCATCCGTTCGGCATTACTCGACATCCGGCACGCCATCCTGCCACTTCACGCCAGCCTGCTCCGCGACCTTCATTGCGATCTCTCTCACGGCCTTTGCCTCCTCTCTCGTTGCCCCGCCATGCTGCGCGTTCGCAAGGTGCCAGCCCACTTGCCGCGGCGCGTCAACCGCTATGAGCGCAGCGACTATCGCGTAGGTTGTCTCGACTTGTGTGAGAACATCCGTGCCGCCATAAGTGATGCCGTAGCCGACCGTATTGCACCACCATCCTATGTTGCAACATGAGCTTCAGTTCGTGTTTATGTGAGCAATAGAATTGTTTTCACCTAAATCAAGGTATGCGGAGTCAAGGAGGCTTTGGACGGGGTCTGCAGTCTCGCGGTACATGGATCGGAATAGTTTCTCTCCGTCCTTCGCATATTGCTCGACGGTTTGTGTCGAATTGCTAAGTATTCCAATCGCGGTTCAACGTGAACTAAAGATTCGAGCATGCGTGGACCAAACTTACCGTAGTACCTGTGTGCTGCGTAAATTCTCAGGAGTGACTTTTTGCAGCGCGATCAAGCTCTCGATGACCTGACGAACTGCTTAGCCTCTCGGAATCATGCCTGCTTCAGTGCCACATACCCTCGGGAACCCGCTAAGCAACCCAGACTGCAGGATCGCCTCCCGGACTTTACTCGTCAACCTCATCTGCTGCTCATGCGCACGTTCCGGTGGCTCCGCGGTTTGCACGAGCCTCAGCTCGTTCAGTGCAAACTCATATACAACGGGAACTGCCTCGGGCTTGCGGCTAGCGCTGAAGGCCACCGCCGCGACGAGGTACCACGGCTGAGCTATGACAGCATCGGGAGTCGTTAGGGTGGGTGAGGGGAAGATGGACTTGAGCTGGCGGAGGAATGTCTGGCTTGCGATTGTTGCCATTGAGGCGGGTCGAGATAAGGAACAACTTGCGAGAGCGGGGTTCTACCTCATCTAAATATCATTCGCTGTGTTCGAATACGCCAGAATTTGTCTGCATCGCTTCGAAGTTCTGAGTCATCCGCTCCAGGCAGGAGGCTTAAGGAAATTGTCCAAGGGATATGCTGGGCATACTACCACCTCGGATAGCGCTGAACTTTGTCCCGGACGTTCGAACGTTCGAATTGCCGAGGCTCGCGGCTCAACTGAGAGGGTGCTGGTAATTCGCCTTTCACTGACCCTTGCGTACGCTGGAGTAGTGTCTCTCTATCCGCCGGGACGATCGTTCGTTTGTACATGAGCAGCATATATAATTCAGGGACTTACGAAAATGTTGTCAATCCAGCAATATTACCACAGCGTGGATAGTTAGCGCAACGGGTCTCTTACCGAGGACCCTACAAAGGATCACTGAGGTCATGGTCTAAAGGTGGTTTTTGAAGGGTGGTCGCTGCGTAGACTGTCTATTGAAGGTGCTGGTCACCAAGTAGTGCAGTGGGAAGTCAAATCTTTTGTATCAGTAGTCGTCATCGTCATCATGTACCTATTGAATAACTTTGCCCGGTCACTCCCATCGTGAACCATTAGCTACACGGTAGCTTCGCTCACTCATGCGGTTGATAATACATAACACTGTGTGAGATCAAGAGTTGTATTACATGCAACTTTGAATGTATACGCTATCTCAGCTTTATTACGAGCAAAGCCGAATTTAGAACGTCGAGCGTTCACTCTTCCTCACGACTGTCAATTTGACAATGTAGGACTGTAATGCCGTGATAAAAGCGCTATGACTGTCATTCTACTACCCTATGTATACGTCTAAATCTGCACAATTCATACAGATGCGAGGTACCGGAAGAACCTCAAAATGTCCTAGAGTTTGAGCTGAGACGTCGTCGGCTTCATCTTCGTGTGAGTACCAGACGCAACAAGTCGATTGGTTGATACATTCCAAACCTGAAAACATAATGTAAGGCCAAGGGAGCCTCACTCACAATTGTGGTGATCGCTCACTTCCGTCTTTGCGGTAATGACACGGGAGCCCACAGAAGTCGTTTCATTGATTACACGCAGTTTGTCTCCGCTGCAGGGGTATTCCGTCAGATTGTGTTGGAATCTGGGCACGGAGCGCAGATGCGAGAGGCCCCGGTGCGACCTGCGCCACCGGCGTGGGAGAGTAGTAGCGCGCGTGTATATAATAGGGCGCGGCTACAATGGGACGGGCCATCGGTTTGGCCCCGTGGAGCCATCTTCTAGAGAGCGGGCGACTCCCGAATTCCTGGCCGTGCAGCGGGCTGGCGGGAAAGTCAACACAAACCGATAACCATTGACCAAGGGGCACTCACCGCAATCGATGTGAAACCATCAACTACGAGGCTCCTGCTGGGGGGACCAGGATGCTGGCTGGTGAGTGATCCAGTTGGCAGGTCAAGGGCTGGGAGCTGGGGCAGGTTGCCAAGGTGTGAAGGCTGCAGGGCAGCTGAGGGACAGGTGCAACCAGGCAGAGGTGGGATCAGGAGGTCGAGGGCAGGAGGGTGAGGGCCAGAGAGTTGATCACGGGGCGCCGCTGCGGTGATACAAGACACCAGGCACAGGAGGTGGGCACCGCATGAGGGTGGGCCTACCAGCAAGGTGATGGGCAGAGCAGGGCATCAGAGGGTGGGCTGAGCAGATGCTGAGCGAGACAGGTCAGCAGTCCGACGAAGCGGCACAGCCACAGCATGCAGAGCGCTGAAGAAAAGCCGAGCGAGGTGCTTGCATGGAGAGCGCATGGAACGGAGATCGAGACCCGAATCCAAGGAGCATTGGGACTGGCGTGCAGACTGAGTGAGTGACGAGCGCATGGACGTGCTATAGGAAGTCACTGAAAATGGGCACGTACGGGATGCACATGGTACGGAGACCGGAACCCAAGATCAGGGGGTGCTGGAACTGGCATATGGACCGAGGCAGGCAGGGAAGCACATGAAATGGAGACCGGCATCTCTGGAGACAGGGAGTGTGATACAGGTGTGTGGCCCACAATGGGATAGATGCAGCAGTGGCTAGGTCGAGGGGGCGTGTTGGAATCTGGGCATGGAGCGCAGATGCGAGAGGCCCCAGTGTGACCTGCACCACCGGCGTGGAAGAGTAGTAGTGCGTGTGTATATAATAGGGTGCAGCTACAATGGGACGGGCCATCGGTTTGGCCCTGTGGAGCCATCTTCTAGAGAGCAGGTGACTCCCAAATTCCTGGCCGTGCAGCGGGCTGGCCGGGAAAGTCAACAGATTGGTCATAGACAATGATAAGACATGACGCACGGAGAAGTTCCAGCATAGAACACGATGTTGATGGATTGGGAGACAGCCTCGAAGCTACCATCACTAATAGTGAGTCCTTTCGATACAATAGCACTCGACGAGCAACTATCAAAGTGCAACATTAAGCCTTCAGTTGTTAATCAAACAGGAGCTTAGTCCATGTACTGATCTATCAAGAACACGAGGCATGCACCCTGGATTAAATTGTATCCGCTGCACATGTCTATCGCCTTCTCAGCAATATTTGTCTCACAGCTATACAGGCCGCCCACCTTCTTTGACGACAAGCTTGAAAACTACCTGTGCTTGCAGTTTGCCATCCTCTGGCTGCTCAAATGTATATAATTCTGTCACGTCCATGTCATGGTGCATCATAGATCCTGCCAAAAGGCAAGGAAATGGCAGCAAGGTGCTAGCCGTGCTCAGTGACCTGCACAAATACCAAAATAAGGGTCTGCCACAAAGGGTCAGGCCAAAAAGGCATGCAGTGACATGCAGCCTGCAAAAAGGGGCTCAAAGGGCCCTTAGCCTTATATCACACAAAGAGGGGTGATGGCTTGTAAAGCTGCATGAAATAGATGAATGAAGCTAAGGATACCTAGCTTCCTCATGGGTGCTTATATGTATACATGCAGGTAGGGACCTCAGTCACTATACTAAGGTAAATACCCCTGACACCTACATGTGAACATGATACCATAACCGATTAGGTTCTGGTAGCTACTATGACAACTATCTACAAAGGCCATGGATACACTGAGGTAATCCTATCTAATCCAATGAGATAATTGCCTGAAGGTGGTGTCACTATTTGAGCAGCAAAGTGGTGCCACTATTGAGCGGCGACATGAGGCCACTATGGAGTAGCCAATAGGGTTGGTGTCACTTATCTGAGTGACGAATTGCGTGCTTGCTAGCTTGATGGTCCAAAGGGTTCCTTTCTGGCCAAGTGGCCTGGTGTCACGTGACCAACCCCTGATAACTTTTGAATAGGGCAAGTGGCCAGTGTCACGTGACTGGATGGTGAATCATGGACGCTTGGTGGTCATGTGGTAGACACAGTTGTATCCGCAATGTATGTGGCAGTATTGTGCTGTTTGTCCAAGTATCCACTTTTTAAGACTAATATGAAGGTTGGCGTCCGAATAACCACTTGTGGTTGCCAAATGATGACTTTAATGGTGCAAAAAGAAAGTTACCACCTAATACTACGACAGCTCAAGCACTTGATGACTGAATCTGAGTAATTGCCCTTGCAGCTGGCTGAAGCACCAACACGAATCAGTTCATCTCGCACTTGTGAAGAGACGTTGCTATGAGCATCGTGAAAGATTTGGGTCCAAGTTTGAATGTCTTTCAGGGAGGCCATCTGGACGTCAAGGATAAGACTGAGGAATGAGTGAAATGTGAAGAAGGCATTATATATGGATGCAGAGTGTAAGAGAGTGTGAAGAGAACCGTGAACAGGATGGCATACATACATGAGAAGACATGCGTGGTGTGCCCTTCAACTGCATCATAAGGCTCTAGAATGCAAGATGTCGACAGAGGCTTCTATGTTCGCTCCAAGATGGGAGTGTTGGGGAAATACTTACGATGAATTTGGACGAGAATACGTGCTGGCTGTGAATGGGCACAAATGCATGCCTCATGTGACAGTGTCACAGCACATCATGAATCCTGCCAAAAGGCAAGAAAATGGCTGCAAGGTGCTAGCCGTGCTCAGTGACCTGCACAAAAATCAAAATAAGGACCTGCCACAAGGGGGCTAGGTCAAAAAGGCATGCAGTGACATGCAGCCTATAAAAAGGGGCTCAAAGGGCCCTTAGCCTTATATCACACAAAGAGGAGGTGATGGCTTGTAAAGCCACATGAAATAGATGAATGAAGCTAAGGATACCCAGCTTCCTCATGGGTACTTATATACATGTAGGGCAGGGCCCCTGGCATTGTGCTACTGTGAGACCTCAGATATCTACATGTGAACATATAGCCAAAACCAGTAATGGTTTTGTATTCATTATGGCAACTATCTACAAAGGCCATGGATACGCCGAGGTAATCCTATCTAATCTAATAAGACAATTGCCTGTAAGTGAGCCCACTGTTGAGGGGCCAATGGGTGATAGCCAACAGAGCACATCACAATGGTTACAACATTAGATGAGAGGATCTGTCCAAACTCAGAACAATGAGTGGGACAATCAGTCTTCATCTGGATAAGGTTGTGAGAAGATTCAGCCTATCCTGTACCTGGCTATACTGTATGCTGGTTGGTAGGGGGATCCTCTGTGGTGCCTGCCTATTGGCTAGGTGGCAAAGTGGTGCCACTATTTTGAGTGGTGAATCAGGTACTTGCTAGCTTGATGGTCTAATGGGTTCCTTTCTGGGCAAGTGGCCAGTGTCACATGACTGGGTGGCTGAATCATGGGTGCTTGGTGGTCATGTGGTAGACACAGTCATATCTGCAATGTATGTGGCAGTATTGTGCTGTTTGTCCAAGTATCCACTTTGTGAGATCAATATGAAGGTTGGCGTCCAAATAATCACTCAAATGAGGACTTTTAATGGTGCAAAAAGAAAGGTGCCACCTAATACTGTGACAGACAGCATCCCCGAATAAAGCATGCCATGCTATTGATGAGGAACATAGACATGACAATTCAAAATTGATGTTCAGTCACATCAGTGATAGTATCCCCGGACAGGCGAGCCAGGGAAGAATACAGTTTAACCTCAACATCACACTACTAACTAGCATTCCCAGAAATAACATTCTGCTTGACCAATTTGAAGTCGAAGTGAGGAAGCGATGATTGCTAACACATATCTTGGACGACGGACTTCCCTGAAAGAAATGCTATCTATTGTCCCTTGGATTCAGGGATGGAACACGGGTGAGCATTGAGGATAAAGGAGGATGCGGAAAGATACAGATCTTCCTAATATGGCATTCCTTAATATATATGTGTACACATTAGAAAATATTATATAATCCCTCAGCCACATTGGTCCGAACTCTTCATTTGTGAGGGCCTCGATACCTCGGCTTGTCCCTGAGCCTCGGTCGTGAGGTTCAGCTTTCTCAACACTATCGATGCACATCATCGCTGGGCTGGTTCAAAATCGATGATCAGCCACATCAGTCCAGGTATGCCCAGACAGCGTCAGCCAGAGACTGATTTTAACGTCAACATCACACAAGTCACGAACCTAATGACAAGGCGATAGTTCCCTATGAGAGAATTGAGTTCCATAAGCTGGCCAACTTGATTGCATCCCTGGATGGTTTCATTTTCATGTGAATGTCAGAGGCCAGGCCCACAAGACAATGGTGTGCCTCACATGGATGTTCTGTCAACTGGGCAGAATGCTGATTGCGCCTCTCCGACTTGTGAGATAAGCTTGAATGCCTTTCGCACCTTGCGACACAAGGTTCTCTGCGTGCTCACATATTCATATTTTGAAATCAACCACACTCAAGCACTTGATCACTTGAGAATCCATTCTCTGGCATGCTGAAGGAGAACATGCACCAGGCAATCTTTCACTGGTGGAGAGGCATTGCTAGTGACATTAATGCATACAGTCATTAATCATTTTAGATCAATTAACCTCTGGCACCCCATCCTCCCACTGCACACCCGACCTCTCGGCAATCCTCACTGCAATTTCCCGAACTGCTCACACCTCCTCCAGCATTGCTCCCATGTTCCTCGCATTCGCCAGCTGCCAGCCAAGCTGTTGAGGAGCATCCATGGGCACAATCACTGCAGCGGTCACGAAGTTTGTCTCCATCAGTTTAAGAAGGTTTGTCCCAGTGTATGTGATCCCATAGCTGATTGAATGCACCCACCAACCTGCCATTAATTGCATATGAAGATGGACTGGCAAAGGTTGCAAATATTCACGTGGACTCACTGACATCTGCATAGATCTTTTCGAGCCTGTTCAAGGCATCTGCTCTTTCATGGTACATAAAGTGGACGTTGTTCTCTCCCATCTCATGATAATAGTTCAAGCTCTTGGTTGTGTCACTGTGGGTGTGCATACTTTTTGTCAGCTGTTGTTGTCACCTTTAGCATTGTAGGCTTACCGTTGGACATGTTTGCTGTGAAGAGACTCAGGGATGACCTTGGAAAGAACATAGTAGCTTTCAATGACCTGAAGATAATATACGTCAATGTGATTGGTCCTTGTGCTGTCACCTGCTGCATACCCTCGAGGCCCCACACAGCAGGGTAGATTGCAGCAACGCCTCCCTGAGCCTGTCCATAAGTCTTATACACTGCTCTAGTGCACCCTGTGGCAACTCCATGTCCTGCTCCTGCTTCAGCTCATTCAATGCATACTTGTAGATGAGTGGCACAGCCTCTGGCTGACCACTTATGCTGAAAGCCACTGTGGTGATAAGGTACCATGGGTTGTCAACCACATTATCGGGCTCGACACACCATGAGAGGGGTAGAGAGATTTGAGCTCGTATAGGGATGAGGTCGTTGCAAGATCTGCCATTAGGGAGGTGATACGTCGATAGATTCTGTCACAGATTTTTGCCACAAAGTCCGCACGTGACTTTTTTCATGCCACAGATCACGTGCTTCACCATTATCCCACACCACTCAGCCACAGACACAGCACGTAGAGATCAGGTGATAGTCCACATCACATGTTATGGTCCAGGCCCATGGATGATACGGCCAAACCTGTCTATTCCAGAATACAATAGAGGCACCCATTTGGGAACAAAGGGAACAAGAACTATTGTTCAGGATCATCTAGGCTATTGGCTCAAGGTATAGCCATTACCACGATAGGATGGATCATCTCACCATTGTCACAGGAGAACATCGATCTTCTCACCTATTGTTCTACTTATAGATGGATTCTCCCACTTATTGTTCCATATATAGTTTAGTCGCCTAGATATGTAGATAGCCAATCATCTATTCTGTAATAGTAGTACGATGAAGGTTATGTAATCAGGCTCCTGTACACGTATATAAGACCAGCATGTAGAGGACGAAACTTTAGATTGTTTCTCCTCATCTACCACTGTAGCACCCACTGAGCTTACCAGCTTCATCATATATCTTTCACACCTCCATATGCTTGCTTCACCAATAAGTGAGTGTTAGGCTCTCAAGCCACTTTAGGGATCAGGGGGATCAGGATGGCACGTTCCATGTGACTGTTCCTTTTTTAGTTTTTTTGATCTCTTGTCCAGTGGTGCTGTGACATTAGAAACAATCTGACAATTTTCTGCACCCCTGCTTAGTGTCTGACACAAGTGGCCACATATTTCAGCACAAGCAGTTTCAGCCATAGCGTGCAGCTTTTTTGACACACATTCCAATCCGATATCTACCCGGCGTGAGCCTCAGCAAGACTCTGAGCTGCCCAAGGCTTCAAAGTGCAAGGCCACACCCAGGATCAACCTCGATGCCCACTACAAGTGTCAGAAAACCAACAAGGAGCATGGAAGGCTCCTCACACTTGCATCACTAGGCACATCGTCCACAGACAGGCAGCACGCAGTAGCTAGGGTCATTGATACCACACATATTATAAAGTGCGGAATCATCTGCAAGCCTCGTGATCACACCCCACTGCTCAAATGCTACAAGCCCAGATGAGGATGCCTTACCACTGGTAGTCGCAAGCCAGCACCACCTGCAGAGCTTATTACATCTAACGCGTTCCCTCCCCCCATCATTGCTTTCATCCCAGTTCAGCCACTACTGAACTTTATAAAGATCAACACCATTGCCCATCCTATTTGCCCACTCCCATTCAGAGTCAAACCAATGATACACATCGAGATGCTCACCAAGCAGGTAGATGCTACCCACTTTAGGCTCCAGCCCATACTAGGAGCGTTCACATATCGCCTCAAGGACGAGCATCAGGGACCCATTTACAGCCTCGCCACAGAACTTGACAAGGTCTGTGTCACAGATTTTTGCCACAAAGTCCGCACATGACTTTTCTCACACCACAGATCATGTGCTTCACCAATATCTCATGCCACTCAGCCACAGACGTGACACGTAGAGATCAGGTGATAGTCCACATCACATGTTATGGTCCAGACCCACGGATGATACGGTCGGACCTGTCTATTCCAGGATACAATAGAGGCACCCATTTGGGAACAAAGGGAACAAGGATTATTGTTATGCATCGGCCTTCTGCTTCCTATTAGTTTAGCCAGAAGCCTAGATAGGTACGGTGTTCACACCGGAGAACAAAAGGGAAACCAAGATAGGCACGATGTGCACATGCATTACTGCAGCAACCATCGATCTTCCCACTTATTGTTCTACTTCCGGACATCCTATTGTTTCATGTATGGCCATTTGCTTATACCCGTAGATAGGTAGCTTAGGTAAGATAGCCCACTGTACATGTATATAAGATCAGCCATGTAGAGGATGAAACTTCAGATTGTTTCTCCTCGTCTACTACCTGTAGCACTCACTGAGCTTACAAGCTCCTTCATATATCTCTACCCCTTGCTTGCATCTGCCACATCGACTAGTAAGTCAACAGGCTCTTGCACCACATAGGGATCAGGGAGATACTTTGGGATCAGGGGGATCAGGGCGGCACGTTCCACGTGACTGTTCCTTTTAGTCTTTTTAATCTCTTGTCTGGTGTTACCGTGACATTAGAAACAATCTGACATTTTCTGCACCCCTGCTTAGTGTCTAACATAAGTGGCCACGTATTTTCAGTGCAAGCAGTTTCAGCCATAGCGCGCGGCTTTTTTGACAAACATTCCAATCTGACCTCTACCCGGCGTGAGCCTCAGCAAGACTCTGAGCTGCCCAAAGCTTCAAAGTGCAAGGCCACCCCAGGTTTGACCTCGACACTCACTACAAGCATCAAGAAACCAACAAGGAGCACGGAAGGCTCCTCACTCTTGCCTCACTAGGCGCATCGTCCACAGACAGGCAGCGCGCAGCAGCCAGGGTTGTCGATACAATGCACATCATAAAGCGCGGAATCATCTGCAAGCCACGTGATCGCACCCCACCGCTTGAATGCTACAAGCCCAGAAAAGGATGCCTTACCACTGGTAGTCGCAAGCTGGCACCACCCCCAGAGCTTATCACCTCCAACGCAGTTCCTCCCCCCATCATTGCTCCCATCCCAGTCCGGCCACTGCTGAACTTTATCAAAACCAACACCATTGCCCATCCCATTCACCCACTCCCATCCAGAGTCAGGCCAACAATCCACATCGAGACCCTTACAAAGCAGGTAGATGCTACCCACTTCAGGCTCCAGCCTATACTAGGAGCATTCTCATACCGTCTCAAGGACGAGCACCAAGGACCCATCTATAGCCTTGCCACAGAACTCGATAAGGTCTGCGCTGACCTTCACACCGGCACGTGCACATACACATTCATTGAGAAGCAGGTGATCAACACGGTCTATTTGGAGATAGGAGGGATTAGTTTCAAGCAGATAGGAAAGGAGGAAAGGCTGCAGGAAATCACCAAAGCCCTGGTTTTCATCTCTAAAAAGAGATATTTGCACTTTTTGTATTAATTTACACATCTTTACATCACAATGGAGGGAGCCGATCGTGCGTACACATCCACGTTCAGGCAAAGAATGGACGATATTCTTCACACCAATGTTGAATCAGCACATGATGGCAGCACCCCATGCACCTCGCAGCACAACTCACCTGAACCTGGACTAGGACCCCAGGATTCTGCATCACAAGTCAGAGGACCCACATCCCCGACACCATCACTCTTACCTGCCTATGTTCCTCCCACCTGGGAGTTTGAAGGGCATCAATTTGAGCATCTAGAAGATGCACTTAGACAGTCCGCTCCCAGTGAAGTCCCGGATCACATCTGTGAATGGGTAATCATCGCGATGAAGCTCATGGTCAGCACCAAAGTTGCCAAGGTCTACAATGTGCTCAGCAACAAAATGTACGAACACAAGAGGGCCTTCGAATCGTTGATCCAGAACAACAAGAACGAGCACCAGTTAAAGGAGGCAGTCCTCCAAACGGAAAATGGGAAGCTCAAGGACAGGATCAACATGCAAGATGCCCACATAACGGTGCTCAACGATGAGCTCTCAGGTACACAAGCGGCAATGTTGAACATTGGAAAAGAGATGATGGAAATCAAGTCAGCTAACACAAAGCTGCGACATGAGCTAGCTTCGCTCAAAGCAAGCAGCATCACTGTGACACAAGGTCAAACATCTGAGACGGTCCAATCGCACAAGCCACGCATCAAAATTGCTGAGCCTCCACACTACTCGGGGAAAGGAAGTCTGGAAGACTGGCTCCAACAACTCGGTATATGGATGCGGTGGAACGAGATCAACGATGACGAACACAAGATTACCACAGCCTTGCGGAAGGTGGCGCATTCACATACATGTCCGAATACACGATCAGGGCAGCGGCACGACAAGCACTTGGCACATGGGAAGACTTCGTCAACATTCTCAAAGTAAACTACAGGACCCTCGACCTGGACAAGGATGTGCAGCAGCATTTGAAGGAGATCTGCAGTAAGACATATCCCACAATGGTATCTTTCACAGAACAGTTCCAGCAATGGGCCACTAAGACCAACTTAGGGCACACTGCACTCATCGGTTACATTGCTGAACATCGAAGCAAGGACGTACGCCAGGCAATGGTCACATGAGACAGTCTAGGAATTGCTGACCCCATCACATGGCCGGAATACCTCAACCTATGCCTTCAATTGGAGTCCAAGTTCAGAGCCGACAAGGCAGGACAATGCGGAACGGTTACAACAACATCATCGGCACCACAAGCCCTAAAGGACCCTAACGCAATGGTTGTGGATCGAGTATCCACACTTACCAAGGAGCAAGAAGGATGGCTGGAAAAGAAGCTGTGCGCACGATGCGGGAAACACCTCTTCATTTTTAAACAGCGATGCCCAGACCCCAAGTACAAGGGCAAATTTGAAATGCCAAAGCGGGGTCAAGCAACCAGGGCAATATCGACAGCAACATCATCCATCAGCTCCGATGACAGCAAGGCGAGGAAAAAAGCAGTCCGTGCTTTCATCGCCAGCTACGATGCAAAGGGAAAGGACAAGGAGGCAGAACTGGAACCAGCCGTCGAAGCAGCTAGGATCACGGAGGTAGAAGACGATGAGGATTTTCTTCGGCGGGTTCTCTGAGGTCTGGCCAGAGTTCCCATAGACATTGTAATAGTACCTACTCACTCTTGCATGTACCAGTATCAAGTTTTTTATACATCGCATCTACTGGTTCATCAAAACACGCGATCGATTTACCTGTTCACCTCAAACAGGGAGTAAGGAAAGTCCAGACTGAGGCACTCCTCGACTCAGGAGCATATTCTTGTTACATCAACCCACGGCTGGTTGATCAATTGAATCTCACTACGATCTCACTTGAAAAGGAGATCAGGGTTTATAATGCAGATGCATCTCACAACAAGGGTGGAACCATTAAGAAAAGGGTTCTTCTAAGTATAACCATCAGAAACCACACAAGCAGACAAAGCCTTTTGGTTACCGATATAGGACACAAAGACATTATACTAGGCATGAGTTTCCTCAAGGAGCATAACCCCAAAGTGGATTGGGGGAAACTCACAGTCGATTTCACCCAGTGCCCACAAAGATGAGCACCCTCACAGATAGCAGTCCAGGAGGAGGACCTGGAAGACACAAACATCCCCCACATTGAAGACCTGATGGAGTTCATCAGTTTCCAGGAGTTAGGTGACAACTGGAATGACATGGACAGCTTCATTAGATGGGTGTCATTATCAGAAGATCCTGATGCACAAGCTGTAGCATCACTCATTATGGGCCTTGACACCAAGAGGAATCAGGATAGAGTGCTGCAAAAAGGAGAACAGGACAAAGACTACTGGTCAGCCTATGTTCCTAAACACTTCCACGAGTATGGCGATGTGTTCTCCAAGAAGCAGTCAGAACGAATGCCCACAAGAAAGCCCTACGATCATCCAATCGAACTTGTTCCAGAGGCATCGTTACCATGCCCGGCAAAGTTACAGTATATCCTATGAACCTAAGGAAAGAAATTCGCTTGACACGTGGATAGACCAAGAGTTGGCTAAAGGTTACATCAAGAGATCAAGAAGTCCAACCGCAGCACCTGTCTTCTTTGTCAAAAAGAAAGACGGATCACTGAGACTCATACAAGACTACAGGAACCTCAACGCAGTAACAAAGAAGAACAAGGTCCCACTCCCCCGCATTTCGAACCTCATTGACAGGCTCTCACATGCTAGTATATTTACTAAGCTCGACCTGAGATGGGGGTTCAATAACATAAGGATTAGGGAAGGAGACGAAGAAAAAGCCACCTTTATCACGCATCACGGTCTCTTCGAACTCACAGTAATGTACTTCAGTTTCTGCAATGCTCCCAGTACCTTCCAGACAATGATGAATACAGTCCTTGAAGACTTAGTTCGTACTGGAAAGGTGGTAGTCTATTTAGACGACATCCTCATTTTTACGGACGATCTCGATGAACACCGACATCTAGTAAAAGCAGTTCTTCAGCGCCTCCGGACAATGACTTATATGCCAAACCAGACAAATGCTTTTTCGAACAGTCCTCAATCGAGTATCTTGGAATGATCATCAGCAAGAACTCGGTACAGATGGACCCTGCTAAAGTTGAAGGTGTGCTTGGCTGGCCCGCACCTACAAAGGTCAAACAAGTACAAGCCTTTTTAGGATTCGTGAATTTCTACAGGCAATTTATAAAGGACTTTGCGAAACTCGCATGACCTTTAACACTTCTCACCTGTAAGGACGTGCCCTGGCAATGGAAGGAAGAGCAAGACCAAGCCTTCAGTGCACTCAAAACGGCATTTACATCAGCCCCGATCTTACAACTCCCCAACGACGTTGCACCATACCGTCTAGAGACTGACTCCTCAGACTACGCAACTGGTGCAGTACTCGAACAATTAGGGGAAGACAAGCTATGGCATCCAGTTGCATATTACTCTAAATCACTCAATGAACATGAGCGAAACTATGAGATTTACGACAAGGAAATGCTTGCAATCATTCGAGCACTAGAAGAATACCGGCACTACTTAGAAGGACACCCAGAACCCATTGAGATTTGGTCAGACCATCTCAACCTTACATACTTCCACCAGGCACAGAAGTTATCCCAGTGCCAAGCACGCTGGGCATTATTCCTCACACGTTTCAATTTTATACTCAGTCACCAACCTGGAAAGACAATGTTATGTGCCGATCCTCTGTCCAGGAGGCCAGACCATGAGAGGGGGGTAGACAGCGACAATTCGAATCAAATGCTGTTAAAACCTGAATTTTTTGCTATCAATGCGATTCGACCCGCTCACGCATCTGAAGTTGATGATGCTCAACTACTGGAAAGGATCAAGAAGGCACTCACAGACGACATGATGACCAAGGATTATTGTGCACTTTTGACTACAGGACGGTGCGAATTTGGAAAAAACCTCGCAGAATGGAACTTTGAGCATGGACTGCTGCTCCATCGTGGAAAGGTTTATGTCCCCAAGGATCAACAGCTACGCCTTGACCTAATAAAACTCCATCACGACACCTTACCAGCTGGACACCCCGGCAGGTTCAAGACGTTGGAGCTTATTACTCAGAATTATTGGTGGCCAGGAATGTCCGTAATGTTTAAACAATACGTACAAGGTTGCGACAGTTGTCAACGCAACAAGTACTCAAGGAAAAAACTGTACAGACTACTATAACCCAATGACGTACCAGGAGAACCATGGGAGATCATCACCATCAATCTTATCACTCAACTTTCTCCAGCCATGGACTTTAGGGGAGAAAAGAAGATGGCAATACTTGTCGTCATAGACAGACTCACGAAACGAGTGCACTTTTATGCAATGGACGACACAGTCACATCGTCGCAAGTCGATAACATATTCTATAATGAAGTCTTCAAACTCCACGGATTGCCGCGCCAGATTATCTCAGACAGAGGTACTCAGTTTGCAAGCAAACTATTCCAGGAGTTCTGCCAGAAGCTCGGTATAAAGTCAACAATGTCCACTGCATATCACCCCCAGACAGACGGTCAGACAGAAAGGGTTAACCAGGTGTTGGAACAGTATCTGCGAATGTACTGTAACCATAGACAGAATGATTGGGTCTATTACCTGCCAACAGCAGAATTTTCATACAACAACCAGGCCCATGAGTCCACCACACTTTCTCCATTCTTTGTCGAATATGGCCGACATCCAAAAATGGCACCAGACGTACATGAATCAATATGTCACCCTTCATTGGAACATCTATTCACCCACTGAACTGAGGCACAAGAACAGGCAAAGGCAGCATTGGAAGTTTCGACTTCACGGATGAAATGGTACTTCGACGAGAAAAAGGGAGAAGTCCCATTCAAAGTCGGAGACTAGTACTACTTAAGGGAAAGGATCTCAGAGTAAAAGTCAAATCTGCGAAGCTAGGCACACAAAACTTTGAACCTTACAAAGTACTTCAGAAGCTAGGCCCAGTCACGTTCAAACTGGAATTGCCCAAGCAAATGAAGGTTCACCCGGTCTTCCATGCTAGCAAGTTGATCATATACCATCAAGACATGGTCGCAAACCATGAACCCCCAAAGCCCCCAGCTATAGAAATCGAAGGAGAACCAGAATTCGAAGTTGAAGAAATACTAGACTCGAAGGTTGTGAGGGGAAGGGTCCAATACCTCGTCAAATGGAAAGGCTATGACCATTCCGATGATACATGAGAACCCCAAACAAATCTCACCAACGCTGATGAGCTTCTTCAAGAATTCCACCAACAACACCCAGATGCAGCCAAAGCACCAATTAGGGTCATCACTTTTGGTGGAAAACACTTCGAATTATCCTCATATGAAGTTGCACCGATATCCACACACAGAATCAATATGTCCGACCACCCGGACGAGTTCTTCCTATATCATAAAATGACAGACAATGCCAAATCACCGAAAAAATCCTCAAATGAAGCAGCAGGATGAGATATTTATGCAGCAGAAACACACGATTTTCTTCCGCATTCACGAGCTGTGGTAGGGACAGGAGTCACCATTGACCCTCCCAAACATACCTATACATGAATAGCTCCACGTAGTGGACTGGCTGCTTGAGGAATTGACATGGACACAGGAGTCGTTGATCCAGATTACACCGGAGAACTCAAGGTCATACTGATCAACACAACAGATTTCGTATTTTTGATTAAGCCAGGAGACAGGATAGCTCAGATAATCTTCGAATATTATGCTGAGGGACTCCCCTCCAGAAGCTACCAACCGTTGTGAGCAACAAGAAGGGGAAATAAAGGTTTTGGCTCCTCAGGACAATGAGCCTTGAGAGGGGAGTAGTGTCACAGATTTTCACCACAAAGTCCACACGTGACTTTTCTCATGCCACAGATCACATGCTTCACCATTATCTCATGCCACTCAGCCACAGACGTGATGCGTAGAGATCAGGTGATAGTCCACATCACATGTTATGATCCAGGCTCACGAATGATATGGCCGGACCTGTCTAGTCCAGGATACAATAGAGGCACCCATTTGGAAACAAAGGGAACAAGGACTATTGATCAGGATCATCTAGGCAATCAGCTCAAGGTATAGCCATTACCATGATAGGATGGATCATCTCACCGTTGCCACAGGAGAACATCAATCTTCTCACCTATTGTTCTACTTACAGATAGATTCTCTCACTTATTGTTCTGTGTATAGTTTAGTCGCCTAGATATGTAGATAGCCAATCATCTATTCTGTAGTAGTAGTACAATGAAGGTTACGTAATCAGGCTCCTGTACACGTATATAAGACCAGCATGTAGAGGATGAAACTTTAGATTGTTTCTCCTCGTCTACCACTGTAGCACCCACTGAGCTTACCAGCTCCATCATATATCTTTCACACCTCCATATGCTTGCTTCGCCAACAAGTGAGTGTTAGGCTCTCAAGCCACTTTAGGGATCAGGGGAATCAGGATGGCACGTTCCATGTAACCGTTCCTTTTTTAGTCTTTTTGATCTCTTGTCCAGCGGTGCTGTGACAGATTCATGCAGTCAGTTGATATAGAGTTGCAGATGTGAATGGAACTACCAATGTCCTGATGTAGGCATCA